CCCCCCCCAGCCCCTCGCCCTCACGCTGGTGAACGGATCGGGCAGCACCCTGCGCGTCCACGCGCAGCTCATCGCAGATGTGGGGCTCCTCCGCGCCCTATGGGCGGAGCAGCAGGGCCAGGCGGCCGATTTCTTCAGCATCTGGTACAAGGGTACCGAGATCAACTATCCCGCCACATTGGCGCAGGTAAGCACCTACATACAAGACATCGATGGCATGGACACCAGTGCTAATACGGAGATAATTTGGGTGTGAGGAACGAAGACACCTTCACCATCAAGATGCTCCGCACGGGGCTGGAGTCGCTGTTCGCCCACATTCCCAGATAGTGGGAGTGAGAAGATTGAAGGTTGGCTTTGGTGAAGCATGGAGGAAGATCCATACTCCTCCATAATGCTGTATTGAATGTCGAGAGAGGACGCTGCCTTCGAGTATTTGAAGGTCATATCATGACAGTTCTACCTCTCATCCTCCACTGTTTGCCCACGATGTCTACTAACACAAGTGACTCGACTGGAAGCATCATCACCGAAGACGATCTCTGGTTAGCGCCCATGGAAGACTGCCATAAAGAGCTGGTTATCAGCCACTATCGAAGACTGAACAAGATCCTCCATGAGGGAGACGAAGCAGCGATCGGGATCTACACTAACAAGCAAGCGGCTCGAGAACAACTTGCCCGCATGACTTTGATAATAAGAGACTACATGAACTCGGCATGGCCCGACACGATCGAGTCCATGGTCGCAGATGTTGTCGACGCAAGTTTCTCGATCTGTGGCACACAATCGTCATTCTACCAACCCACCTTCGTCAACTCGGCGCTCTGGGGCCGTGAGCAAGAAATCGCGGCTTTGATGCAAGAGCTCAGCGCACGGGATGTGGACGATGTGATGGAACTATGGAGCATAATTCCCGACAAAACGAACAAAGTCGTTCCTGATACCAGTGCCGTGGAAGATATCGGGGAGAGTGTCGATTGGAATAATGTGCTCTTCAGGTCTCGGTCTGAGGACAACATTGCTCATCGGCGGCAGGATTTTACAATCGAGGACCAGGAGCTTTGGGAGGAGGATCTTTTGAGTCTAGAGTTGGAGCAGTTGGATCTTGCTTGGCCGCCTGTGTTTCGAGATCCTGAGCCTAATGTTGGGAGGCAGCGGAGACGGACGAGCACGGCGGCTTCGATGACAACAAGACCGTCGATTGCCAGGGCAACGACAGATGATATTGTACTAGAGCCATGCTCTGAGGCGGAGACTGCTGGCGCAAAGGCTTGATGAGCGTTCAGTTTTGATGAAGTGATGTTGATACAGGGGTGAAATGATGGAAGACTGCCAGAATCGAGGAGATGAAGTCGAAAGAAAAACAAGGTGGCTGGAGAGCCCCACATGTGGATAAAGTCTGTTCCCTGTCACTCGCCACTGGAGACCCAGCGGTCCTCACTTCCTGAATGATCTCTCCGACGCTCGTGCGATCTTGGCCTCCGCTTTTCGATGTTATCCTAACGTCATACGGGTTTGATCTATAAGCAACAATTGAGAAAATCAAGGATCATCTCGATTCAAATACGTTGGCCTTTCTCATTCGAACGACAAAGACCTTGCAAGAGAACAACATTGAGATCGACACCATGGCAGCTAAAATCTTCATGTGAGTATCGCGCACGTCAGTACGATGGCATGGGACTGACGTGAAACAGCACTGGAGTTACTGGCTACATCGCCGGCGATGCCCTTTACGCTTTGAATCAAACCCACCCAGACTACGAGTACTCTGCCCTTGTACGCACGCAAGACAAAGCCGATCAAGTCAAGGCCGCATACCCAAAGATCCGAATAGTACTAGGCGGTCTTGATGATAGCCAGATTCTCGAGGACGAAGCAGCCAAGGCCGACATTGTCCTCCACGCCGCCGATGCCTCCGACCACGAAGGCGCGGCGAAAGCGATCGCCAAGGGAATTGCAAAGGGGCATTCAAAGGAGATCCCTGCATTCTGGTTGCATACTGGCGGCACTGGCATTTTGACGTACTTCGATTCGAAGGATGAGCGGTTTGGAGAGTGGGATGAGAAGGAGTTCAATGACTGGTCTGGCGTGGAGGAACTCACGAATCTCCCTGATGAGGCTTTCCACCGCAACGTCGACAAGATCGTACTGGAGACTGGCATCAACAAGGCAGACTCAGTCAAGACGGCCATCGTCTGCCCACCAACCATCTACGGCAAAGGCCGCGGCCCCATCTCAGGACGTAGCCGACAGGCGTACGAGCTTGCGAAACTTGTCCTGCGCAAGGGCTATGCACCCATCATCGGCAAAGGCAAAGCTCGCTGGAACAACGTACATGTACATGATCTCTCAGACATCTGGGTCGGCCTCGTCGAAGCAGCCGTAGCGAAGAAGCTGGATGCCGAACTTTGGGGTGCAAAGGGTTATTACTTGGCCGAGCATGGCGAGCACGTCTGGGGCGACTTGTCGAGGTTGATCGCGAAGACTGCAGCGGATCTCGGGTATATCTCAAAGGACTGGAAGGAGCAGCCTCTTGATCAGAAAGAGGCGTTTGAGATCGCGGACTTCCAGGCGCTGAGCTGGGGATTGAACTCGAGGGGCAAAGCCGAGCGGGCGAGTAAGTTGTTGGGATGGAAGCCGCACCGGCCGAGTGTTGAAGAGGAGGTGCCGAATATTGTGGAAGAGGAGAAAGAGAGGTTGGGCTGAGTGATGTGAAAGTGTCGTGGACATATTGTGACACTCCAGTTTTCTCTCATCATGCCTTCTTCTTTGCCGTGAAGATATACAATATGGGATCTTCCAAATACTCTTTCCAAAAATCAGGATTGCTCCTCACAATCTCCGTCTCTTCCCACGGCACCGCCTTAAAGCCCTCAAAGTACTTTCCCGATATCTCCTCTGACCCTCCATAATACGGCTCCAAAGCCATCGACTCAAACTCCAACGGCGGCTCCATCAACATCCGATACTTATACGAAAAGCCCCCCTCAAACTCTTCAAACTTCCCAAGCTGAACACCATATTTCCCACTCGCTGCCGCCTTCGACTTTGGGTTATTCCGATTCGCAATAACCAACCCTCCAGATTTCAAATACTTCGCACAATTCCGCCACATCACCTCCAGCTCCTCCACATTCTGCGCATGATCAAACACTCCGTTCGCAATGACCAGATCATACGGCCCCAACCCCAAATGCTCCAGATCCTTCGAAGCGTCGCCGTGATACCATTTGATAACATCCCGCCGGAGCGATTTCTCGTACTCCTCGCCGAGACGCATCATATCGGGAGAAATGTCCACAACATCGACATCCGTGGCGCCGGCTTCGATAGCATCACGAGCCCGGTTTCCGGTTCCGCCGCCGAGGTCGAGCACTTTCAGGCCGTGGCAATTTTTGATGCAGAGGGAGAAGAGTTGTTGTTCCAGAGCCCCGAGCGGGAGGTTTATGAATTGGTCGTAGCCGGAGGCGTTGGTCGCGTAGTTCTTTTCGATGGCGTCGTTGGGATCGGTCATGTTGATGTCGTGCAATGATGTTTGATTTAGAGAGGAGGATGAAGTGATGTTGTCCTGAAACGCTGTCTCGTGGTCTGTGCACTGCAGCTGATTCCTTCAACTCGTGAAGCTGCTTCCTTCGCTGCCATTACCTTCTGCGTAGTTTCATCTTTATGCATCCCTATTCTGCACCCGTTACTACTGACAGCAGCCCTATGATCACATGTCGAGGTGGCGGTGATCCTAGCCTCTCGCCGCCTTGATCCGAAGACTCCAATCCAAGCATATGAAGTGCTTCAATGGCAGAAGATCAGGAGCGTCCAAACAGTCAGACTGGCCTTCTGGAGAGATCAAACCATGTCAATGGATCTACTATGAATGAGGCCGACCGCAATCTCGTGGACAAATTCGGCTACAAGCCCGTCTTCAAACGAGAGTTCGGATACCTTGCCACAATCTCTTTCGCCATTAGCATCGGAGCCGTCTTCCCATCAGTTGCTACAACGTTCATCTACCCGCTACAAGCTGGAGGAAGTGCGTGCATTGTGTGGTGTATGCATTCCCAGATGCCATCCTTCTTCTCCATGTTCGTCACTGATACAGTGCAGCTTGGCTTATCTCAGGCGCTGGCTGCATGTGCCTTGCGGTATGTCCGACTTCCTGATCAAGGACAAAACGTCAATGTGCTCTCGAACTGACCTGCCACAGCTGTCCGTCTCTGAACTCGTCTCAGCGTATCCCACTTGTGGCGGGCTCTATTACACTGTTTCTCGACTGGCTCCCAAGGACTACGTGCCATACATCAGCTGGGTGGCTGGATGGCTCAACCTCCTCGGACAAGCTGCCGGCGTTGCTGCTTCAGAATGGGGTGCATCATCACTTCTCCTGGCCATTGTATCAATTGCATCGGACTTTGCATACCTGCCCACGCTCAATCACACAGTAGCTGTGATGGTTGGCATGGTAATCTCGAGTGCCTTGGTCAACTCTCTATCGACGTACTGGTTGGAGAAGATGTTCAGATTCTACGTCGTCTTTCACATCCTGGTGTTGGTGACTTGTTGCATCGCTTTACTGGCGGTAGCTCAGCCTGAGAATGGTACTCCAAAGAATTCCGCTAGATATGTCTTCACGGACTTTACCAACCAATCTGGCTGGCAGCCTCCAGCTTGGAGCTTCATGTTTGGATTTCTGTCGGTGTCCTGGTCAATGTGTACGCTATCAACATAGGAATGAAGACGTGCAGTCACTGACACCGCCGCAGCCGGCTACGACGCGACCGCCCACATCGCAGAGGAGATCAAAGAACCCGAGATCAAAACACCCTGGGCAATATCTCTCGGTATGCTCTTCACCTACGTCGCAGGCTGGCTATACAATATCGTTCTCTGCTTCGTCATGGGTGATGTGTGTGCGAAAGACTCAATAATCCACTCACCAATCGAGCAACCAGTGGCACAGATCTTTTACAACGTCCTTGGGAAGTCTGGATCAGTGTTCTACACCATCTGTGCACTGATCATCCTGAAGTTTGGGAACTTCGCAGCTATGCAATCATTAACACGAACAATATTCGCCCTCTCGCGCGACGGACTCGTACCATTCAGCAATACTTGGACAACCATCCTGCCCTCAACCGGCATCCCAATCTACGCCGTCTGGATATCAGCTCTCTGGGCCATCGGGATCAACCTCACCGGTCTAGGCTCCTATCCCGCCATCGCAGGCGTCTTTAACGTCACGGCCATCGCACTAGACTGGTCCTTCTGCATACCCATATTCTGCAAGATCTTGTTTGGCAAATTCGTGCCGGGACCTTGGCATTTAGGTCGGTTCTCGAGGGCATTGAATATTTATGCGTGTGCGTGGACGATGTTTGTGTCGGTTATATTTTTGATGCCTACGACGTTGCCTGTGGAGGCGGAGACTGTGAGGAACAGCATTCCTCGATGATAATAATGCCTTGTGCTGACATTGTCTTAGATGAATTACGCTGTGGTGTATATCGTGGCTATCTTGCTGTTCTCAACGCTCTACTGGGTCGTAAGGGGCCAGGAGCATTATACTGGACCTCGAATCGAAGTCACGAAAGATATTGATAACATCGACCCAGACGGGCCACCAACAGGTCACTCAAGGGTATCCGGGGACTCTATTGAAGACGATTCAGAGCCAACAGAGACTCGTCCCCTTCTCGCTGGGCCCTAGAATTCTGGGAGAATGGCTGACAGCATCTTCGTATACACATAGAATCAGACTATGTACACAGATATGTACAGACTCTATCTCTCATCACACTACTGCCAGTCACTCTCCAACACCGCCGTGTTCGAACACGCCCTCGGCACAGTATAATTCCGATTCGGGTCAACCTCCCACGTAACACCACCATCGGAATCAACTTTGATGAACTTATACTCCAGATACGTCCCAGCAACCAGCTTCACCGTCGCATTCCAGATCGGATTGTCAGTCGTATATCCGGAAGCTGACATAGCCACGGCTTGAGAGGTATTCCATTTCCCAAGTTCGGTGATTGAGCCGATGAGTTTGATGCTCTCGAGCCAGGCGGTCGTGACGTTGTGGTTGAAGGAGACGGAGACTGTGGACACTGTGGTGCAGGCTGATGTTGTTAGGGAGGACGTTTTGGTGGTTGATGAAGGAGTTACAGAGGTCGCGGTCGTGGTCAACAGCTTGGCACCATGGACGGCGTTGTAGATGGCCTTGCCGACGCTCGACTTCATGTAGCAGGCTACGCCTGAGAGTGAGACGTCGACGCAGCCGGTGGTGGTCGCACAGGCGTCTATGCATTGTTTGAGACTGTTTACGGAGACCATGCTGAGATCGCCGCCGGCGTGGTCGATGCCGCATTCGATGAGAAAGGTCTTGCCGTTGGAGATGTAGGTGGTGCTGTTGGAAGCTGGGCATGAGACGGCGGACGCTGTAGCGGCGGCGGAAGTGCTCGATGTTGTGGAAGTGATGGACTTTGTCGATGAAGAGGTGGCGGATGTAATTGGCTTAGTGGATGCTCTTGAAGTCGATGACGAGGTGCTGATGACCGTTGCTTTTGTTTTTAGAGTGGTTGACTTGGCTGTGCTTGAGCTAGGGGTACTCGATGTTGTCTTCGTCGAGCTGGAAGTAGAAAGGGTGGTACTGCTCTTTGCGCTGGAGCTACTCGCCGTCGTCTTCGCGGCAGTAGACGACGACGCAATCGTGCTACTGATCTTGCTGCTGGAGCTGGAAATACTCGTCGCTCCTCCAGTGTTAGTACTTGCACAAGGATCCGATCCCTTCAACAATGAAGTAAGGTAGAAGGCACTGGGAGCGCCATCCGCAATATCGATAGCCAAATTACCACTCGAATCAGTAGATATCACGGTGCAGGTCAATAGATCCGTGAATTTCGTATTCGCCGCAAAGCCCGTCACTTTGGAGTTGATCTTGATTGATGAACTCTTCCCAGCACCAAGGTTTGTGAAGACTGAGATCAGGGGCGAAGAAACAGCGCCTTTGCTCGTTACGAGAGCCTTGTCGTCGGAGTAGATGACGTTTGATTTCGAAGTGACGTATGTTGGATCTTTGGAAATAGCAAGAGATCGAGCGCCATTTAGCTTGGCGATATGTGTATACATTGGCGCTTTGGTGTTATAGCCTGACGTCCACAGAGGCTCTCGATTGTACGGATCCGTAGCTCCAGAAAAGCCTTGCTCTTGGCCGTAGTACACAATCGGCAGACCGTCGTTGAGCAGCGTGAAAGCGATAGCGTTCTTCGTCAACCCGGTATCGTTAGTAATCGATGCAAAACGGGGGTTATCGTGGTTCTCAAGGAAATTCCCGAGCAGAGTCGTGTCCTTGCATGTCGCATTGAGCCACTTCAGGTTGTTCGCAAGCTCGCTCATAGTAGCTGTCGTGGACTGAAACGCTCGAAGAAGCCAGAAGTACGCCGCGTAGTTTAGCATTCCAGGCATGTAGTTCTGATACGTGCAGAATGTATTGGGGTTGCCATCGAATACCTCGCCGATGGCGTAGACGCCTGACGAAGAGATGAAGGAGGGCCAGAAGTCCTGATTGACTTGCATCGCCGAGTCTAGACGCAGTCCATCGATCGAGTAGTTCTGGACCAATTGGGGAATCCATTCATTGAACATGGTTTGAACGGTCTTGTCCTCTGTCTTCAGATCGGGTAATGAGACCACAGTGTCCCCGACCCAGCACTCGCGGACAGCCGTCATGTTGTCATGGTCCATTTTGCAGTAGGGGTGGTAGTATTTCGCATCGTCGAATGGTTCAAGATTGGACCACTTCACGTTGGCAGGAGCTCCATTGTAAGCGAAGTGGTTGGAAACTGTGTCGACCATAAGATACATGCCACGGGAGTGCAGGGCTGCCGAAAGAGCCTTGAGGTCCGCTGGTGTACCAAAGGCCGAGTTGAGGGAGTAGATGTCCTGCGGCCAGTAGCCATGATAGGGGTCTCCATATGGAGTTCCCCCAGCGATATTCTTAACGACAGGAGAGATCCAGACCTGGATGTTGTTCAGCCTCAGATGCTCCTCGGGTATGTGTGCTACGACTTACAGCTGTGAACCCCATGCCTTTGACATAATCCAACTTGTTAATCAGCCCCTGCCACGTCCCACCACAATAACTCCCCCAATTGCACGCTGCAGTCGTCGATCCACTCGTCAGCGCAAATCGATCCGTGAGAACTTGATAGACACTTTGACAACGCCATTGCGCTGGTGTGAGCCCAGCAGCAGCTCCGAAGAGCAGCGCCAGTGCAAACGACAGCATCTCGACGTGGTCTTGGCCGTATCACCCAAGAGCACGGTGCTGATATATGTATTCATTGCCATCTCTTTCATGACTTCATGTGGCCCACCCACACTGCGTTAAGAATTTCCAGCTGAGGTCTGGACCTGAAATCCTTGGCCAGGTTCGGGGCTCTTTGTTCGCGAGGTCTGTCGAAAAGGCTAGGCCTTTGGGCTGGCTTGACTCGTGTGGTGGGAAAAACGGACAATGAACAAAGAACAGCAACTGCCAGACCTGGTAGGAATTTCAGGGCGCCTAGCAGATGATGAATCGTTCGAGCTCGGTAATGGTGTGGACGTTCCCGTTGCGGCAGCCGCAAGAGTCGTTCGATATCATGCAGCCTGCGACCAGATTGTGTAATTTGTCGTTCCTGAGAGACTCACGAATAACGAAGGGCGTGTTTGCACCCAATACCAACACTACTCGATCTCCCCGCTGTGGGGCAAAGTGGTTTTCTCGGCCGTCGTTGACTGTCATTGAGTGACAAATCCCAACGTGGCCGTTTGTTGTTGCAAAGAAAATGAAAGAAGCGAATTGTGCAGGAGACATCTCAATCTCCGCGTATCTTGAGAATCCCAGCCTAATAGCTCGCAGAGTTTTCTCGTCGCAGTGGAGCACCTCGGCGGTGGCTTCCCATGCGTTGGAAACCTGGTCGCAGTCTGCGGCGTTGATCACGTTCCGTATGACACCGATGGAAAAGCCGTCAAGTGAGAGAGTCATACTTCCATGATCGGTGTCATGGGTAGAGCCTGGTGCAAGATCATGAGGCACATGAACATTGTGATAGTTCCAACGCTTTCGGGCGTACTCAATAGCCGTAGGGACGGCTCGACCACCGGCTCTGGTGGTGACAGGAGATCCTGGCTCCTCCTGAAAATCGCTGCAACGTTCTGCAGCTTGCCCATCATTAAGATAGAGCCACATCTGATAATCTATTCTGTCAACGGTAGTGGGTCGTGCGAAGTCGCAGACCCATGAAGGTGATTCGTATCTCTCCCATTGAAAAGCTAGAACGTCAAAGGAAGAGTCCTCGCTGTCTTTGAGTATGGCATGCTGAGTTGGGTTCGTTTCCTTGGTCCACAGCAGTCGAGACATATCCGTGAACAACTCCTTCGGCGTCCTCTTGTAGTCGATCGGTATGGCGGCTCGATGAAAAGGCATTGCAAGTCCAATCAATCCAAAGACATGATCGAGATCGTGAGATGCTAGCGAAGCAGCGGCAAGTCTCAGGAGCTCTCCCAGTGGACGGCCACCATCCAAGGGTACTTGATAGTACTCCCACCAACTCCTGAGCTTCCATGGGACTCTCATCGAGTGCTCGGCAGACATAAAAGCTTTCCAGACCTTTTGTGTGCCAACCACATGGAAATCGATGTCATCGGCCTGAACATCCCATTGTCGAGAGAACACAAGCTCCATCGGCCATGCGCGGAAAAATGCCCATCCATCAAAAACATAGTCGTCGAATAGCACGAGGGGTGGGTACCTGGCAACAGCAATCTCTTGAAGAACCCACTTGCGTTTCCACCAGGCATGTTCCTTCCACGATAGCAGGTAGTCCAGGTCAATGGTCGATAACCCCACGAACTGCTCATTCTCTCTCGTTGCCCTGTCCAAAGACACCATCCAACGGAGATCACCACTGTCTGGTCCATCTTCGAGTTCCCGAGCCGCTGGTTTTCCCGGCGCCATGCCAAGCCATATGTAGACTGATTCTGCCGTTGAGAAGATCTGTTTCATCATGCTGACTTGCTTGTTCCGCTCTTCGAGATCGGCCTGATTGATGCAGAGCGCATCGACCCAAACTAGGACGCTTCTGGTCGGGTCTCTCAGCTGCCTCAATGCGTTCTCAAGGTGTTTGGAAACCAGTAGCGTGGCGAGTGGTCCGACATAGACTCCAGTATCAGCGGGTAATTCACCCCAGGAGTAGGAAAGGGCAATGTAAGGCGGCGCTTCTGTGAGTCTGAACAGTTTCAGGTCAGCCTGGACTGGAGGCCTCGGTGTGGCTGCTCGTGCATCGCGTGGGCCTTGATGAACTTCCAGAAGTCGGATAGCAACTCCATCATCGATCGGACATTCGGCGTAGACCCAGTGACCTGCGAAAGGCGTCGTTACCTGTTGTGAACTGCCCGCCGTGGAGTTGTCCATGTGTCGGCATTCGTCGCTGAAGACAGAGCCACAAGTGCAGGCAGCTGAGCTTCAGCGCCCCCAAGTGGGAAGTGCAAGCGTGCACGCTAATGCATGCAGTGTTACGCAGGCAATCAAGCCTCTTGCCAGCTCTGCGAGACACCTCTCTCAATTGTTGGAACCGCTTTTCACTCCGGACCAATTCCAGCCATACCCTCGTACTTGCTCATCAACCACTTCCCGCCAATCTTTTTCCACTCGAAAACACCCAAGCTATGCCTGATCACTCCAGGCGGCAGATCAAACGTCTCCATGGAAACATACGAGATCGCCCATCGTGCCTTCTCATGAACCGTCGTGGAGAGATCGTTCGCCTTCATCCGATAGTCCGGATACGCATCGACGAGATGTCGGAACATCTCTTGTACTCTGTCTCGTCCGATCACATAGGTTTTGAATCCGTCATCGCCGAGACTGAGTGGAAGAGGTTGCGTAAGGTCGCGCGCCACTGCCGCCGAGAGAAACTCGGGCTCTGCGTTGAAATCGTCGGTGAAGCGGTCCCAGACTGTATGGCTGTTTGTCTTCGTGTTGCCGGAGTCTGAGCCAAGGTATCGATTGTTGACGGCCCAGACAACTAGGTGTATTGTTTCGGCCATGTATTGCTCGATAGCTTTGGAGCTCTCGTCATTCCAAGTCGTGGGGCCGATCATATTCGCCATCTTTGCCATCTGCAATCCATCTCTATATTGCACCAATGCCCTGTATTTATTCATCTTGAATATAGTCTGCCTATAGCGGCGGCCAAGAGCGTCCGAATCCCGAAGCGATGCGAGGCCCCGAAAACAATCTTTCAGCTCACCGAAATGGATGTGATTTCAAGCACGTAGGGCAGAGTGCTGTAATCATAAGCAGGGCGGTGTATGTTGGTATCATGATGATGCTGAGATGGAAGAGAGAGGCAGGTAGATGCCAAGGGCCTCCAAGAAAGTGTTGAAGGAGAAGGAGTTGGTTTCACGCGACAGCCCTAAGATTGGATTGGACCGAGGCGAGGCTAGCCACGTGAAGGTCGACGCATGTGGTATAGCGCGGTGCACTTAACTTACGCCTAGAAGAGCCTTGGCTCGACAACATCCATCACCCGCGCTCGTGCTGACCCGAAGACATTAGGAGTCACTGATGCCCTGTTCTGTCTACCGGTCTCTATTGGGCCATCAGTAGCAGAGCTTGTGAGTCCGGGCCCGAAATGTTTCATGGTATCTGATCGAGATGGTATGCCGAGTCCCGCCAGCGAGGGAGTTATGGTAGATATGCAGAGCGAGCATATCCGAGCTGAATTCCGCTTCCAGGGACCACGTATAGGGTCGGTCATATCTTCGATAAGTTGATTATTATTTCTTTGAATCTTGCCAACGGCGGCATCAAATCACTCCGAAACTAGCGTCACTCATTGTTGCTTTTCAGGTTCGCCAATAGAGTAATCCACCAGGCTCAGCAGTCCATTCGACATGCAAAGCACCCGCACATCGTCAGAGGTCATTCATGAGGTGGCTTGATGTTTGTAAGCAACGATATGCAATAGCCTGGGATTGCTCGTTAAGGCAAGTTGTCAGGTGAGAAGACTTGGGTTCGTTGTCGTATAGAAATGCAGGAAGCGATGTGAGACATACTTTGCTGTCAGGAAGCGAGTAGGTGCTTCACTAGGATCGTTCCCTTCCCTTCCATCTATGACTTGGTAACAGCATCCATGAGCTTCAACTGTGTCGCCATAGCATGCTGCGCGAATGGCAACAGTTCGTAAGTCTTGCCTCTTCCATCCGGTCCAGAGTCGAAGATCTCGTAGCTGAACCATCCTCTGAATCCAGTCCGCAGTACCGCTTTGGTGAAGTCGACCACTGGCAGATACCCTTCGAATGGTAACGGCCTATAGTCATGACTCCATCTGCCTCGTGGTCGCATTGCATCGAGGTCCTTCTTCTCGAGCGGCTCGCTCAATTTGTATGCGTCGCTGATCTGTAACAGGTAGATTTTGTCCTTCGGTACGGTCTTCGCAAGTTGATCACAAGACGCTTTCCAGTCTTGCTCCACCTGCTCAGGCTGGCGGCCGTCCTCAACCAGACCACTCTTCGTTGTTGGATCGCCCCACTCACCTCCAGCAGACTGAAAGGTGTCCAAACAAAGGCCAAAGTTGGGTCTATCAACCTTTTGGCAGATGTCCCACACATCTGCCCAGTCAGGAGCGTGCGTAGACCAGCACCAGTTCTCGTAGGCGATTCGCATCTTCTTCTTCGCAAGCAGGTCGGCCAGGTCGCGTAAATCTTCCACAAAGCGAGCTCGATCTTTGCCGATCTTCTCTTCAGGGGAATCTGAAGAACCAACCTGCAGCATATCGCAACCCACCGCCTCCATGACGCGAGTCCAGCCTTCAGCGCGTTCCCAGGCATCTTTTCTCTCAGGCGAACCTTCAGGCCATCCTTCGAAATTGGCAAATGGCTGCATCATGAACGCTTTCAGACCCTTTGCATCGAGCATTGTCTTGAGCACTTTGGCAGCTGCAACCAGGTCGTCAAAATCGTGATCGCCAATGGGTTGAGATCCGCCATCTTGCTCCTCTGCTCGCAGGTGTAGGTTGGCGAATGATACCAGGTCAGGCATTGACAGTTCGATCGCCTGGAAGCCAGCACCGGCGAGGGCGTCCAATTTCTTGGGCAAGGTATGCTCATCGTTGCAGCCAATAGAGCATGAGGCGTACGCGAGCGGGATCTTCTCTAACGCGTCCATAGTGGCGACTCGTCCTGTTGAGTTTCTTCGAAGTCTGCCAGGGGTTTGCACTTACGTGCAAGAGGTCTCACAACTCCTTTTGAGGAAACAAAACGATCGACTCAATGGTGATGCAAGCGTGAGTGACATGACGTCGCGGCTTGCAATGCCATGCCATGTCGATTCGCGTTCCCTATCACTTTAACGTCCACTTTGAAGTGGCAGGATCACGCGTAGAATCACATGCTCGTCAGTGCCTCCAAGCGGAACATCTGATACCACGTGGAAGTTGTAGACAGACGAAAGAAGGAAAGGGTTCACATTCGCCAGGTGAAGTCCCGTACGCTGACTTATCACCGCCACCCATTGGCCAGATCCCCTGCCGGCTCCAGCCACAGGGCCCGGTATCCGGTCAATTCTTGGAGGTGTAAGTTTGCGCAAGACTCACACTTTCACGGCACGGACTTACAGTTTTCTTCACAGGCATTCGGTTGTTGATCGTGAAACTTCCAAGACTCGTTGACCCGACGGCTTCGTTCCGACCAGTCCTACTACCCACGTGTCCTGTAGGAGTCATATCCATCATGGCTGAGGTGAGTACAAATACCAGTGCGACCTTTGACATTTGGTTCTGTTCCTTGCCAGTCTATGCCTCTTGCTTTGCCTTGCTTGACTGGATCAGCCATTGACCATGTCTACACAGTTCTTCATGCCCAATCCAGCCGTCGGCGACCGCAATGGCGTCGAAGACTGGCGCATTCGAGGCATGACTCCTCTCACACCGCCCGACCTCCTTCAACACGAGATCCGCCAAACCGACAAGTCAAAAGACACCGTCATTCAGGGCCGAAACGAGGCAGCGGACGTTGTGCATGGCAAGGACAACAACCGAAGACTCATGGTCGTCATTGGTCCATGCTCGATCCACGATCCTCAGATGGCGTTGGAGTACTGCGACAGACTGCTTGAGCTGAAGAAGAAGTACGAGGACGACCTGTTGATTGTCATGAGGAGTTACCTCGAGAAGCCGAGAACAACCGTGGGCTGGAAGGGTTTGGTCAACGATCCAGACTTGGACAACACCTTCAACATCAACAAGGGTTTGAGGACGGCACGGCAGATGTTCTTGGATTTGACGAGCAAGGGTATGCCAATTGCAAGCGAGATGCTGGATACCATCAGCCCACAGTTCACCGCCGATTTGCTGTCTGTGGGTGCTGTTGGCGCACGAACGACGGAGAGCCAAGTCCATCGTGAGCTTGCATCTGGTCTGTCTTTCCCCGTTGGCTTCAAGAATGGCACGGACGGCACTCTGGGTGTGGCAATCGACGCAATCGGAGCGGTGAAGCATCCACATCACTTCCTGTCAGTCACCAAGCCCGGAAACGTTGCAATCGTGGGCACTGCTGGAAACGACGACTGCTTCGTCATTCTGCGCGGCGGCAACAAGGGCACAAACTACGACGCCAAGTCAATCGGCGAGGCAAAGGAGCAACTCGTGAAGAAGAGTCTTCGTCCATACCTTATGGTCGACTGCAGCCACGGCAACTCTCTCAAGGACCACAAGAACCAGCCCAAGGTCGCCAAGGCACTCGCCGATCAAATCCGCGGAGGAGAAGATGCTATTGTGGGCGTGATGATCGAGTCGAACATCAACGAGGGCAGCCAGAAGATGCCCAAGGAGGGCAAGTCTGGCCTCAAGTACGGTGTCTCGATCACTGATGCTTGCATTGGCTGGGAAGATACCGAGGTGGTGCTGAAGGAGCTTGCTGAAGCTGTTGCTGCCAGGAGAGAGAAACTGGGCCCTGTGAAGGAAGTCAATGGTGTCAATGGACATACGTGAGTGTTGGTACAGAGCAGGCGATAAACGTCTGCGGACAAGCACTATTTTCCTAGCATGGTAACTACGAGCATCGGTCTTGGCGTGGCGTTGGTAGGTCGAGCACTCAAAAGCAATTGGTTGTATGATGATTAGATGATACAACAGCTAGGTCGACGAACGAGAAAAGCACTGTCATGATCTTCAACGTAGACTTCGTAGGGATTTGTTGCACTTTTCAGCTATGGTACTGCCAAAGCAGTTGGCGCTTGGAAAAGAGACATATCAGAGACTGTCTGGTCAGCCACGACGTCTGGCCTACTACCTGCCCTTAGGATCCATGTTCCTTGCCGGACTGGACCATTTTGAAGTTCGTCCAAAACGCTCTCCGCATGCAATCCTCTTTGTTATACAAAGACATTAACTCAACGCTCGCCTTTGACCTCTTGCTCCGAATCCAAACACCGTCCAACCCAATCCATCAATCTTCCAAGGCTCCACCTTCTCTTAATCTGTACCACTACCTTCTTTCCCCTCTGGAAGCACTATCTCCTTCAACTTCACAATCCCGCCACACGCCCTCTCCGCCTCGAGAGCCGGCACGCGCCTGTGATCCTGCACAACCATAACACCATCAAGCGAGCTCAAACGCGGCAACGCTCCCAGGGTATGAAGTCCCATCGGAGCCCCTGGAAGCGCGTACATGCTAGCGATGATCGTAACGGCCTTCACCGACGGCATGCGCTTCACGATAGCCGGATCGATCCACAGCTCCTCCTTCTTGCCGTTGGAGAAGTCCACCGTGAGGCTCTGGATGGCGCCGAGTTGGGCATCGGTCAAGTGTGCCGCGAAGTTCTGGATACCCTTGGCGTAGGTTTCGATGTCGAAGGTGTTGCTCGAGAAAGGGATGAGGGCGGCTTCGGCCTGGATTTGTCGGCATACACCTAGCAGTCCGAGGGGAAGGCAAGTCTTGGGGTAGAAATCCCTGCAAGGGTGATGGTCCGCGCGCATGCTGTACCTGGTCGTCATACGGCAGACTGAGTCCTCCTCCTCCTGGTCTGCTTTGATTGTCGTGAGGGGCTTTTTGGCGGTGCAGACCAGAGCGCGGAGGCGCGATGGCATGTAGGGCATGGTCTTCATTATGTGGATCATGTTGCCGCCGAGTACGAGCTCATAGGTGCGGTTGCGAAGCTCGGGTGGCAGTTTGAGGAAAGGCGGCGTGAAACCGTCACCTCTGCAGCTCCGTTAGAAGAGGAAGACAACAAGCGGCGCAAACGCGCAACAACTTACTCGGGCGCATCTCCACCAGCGACTGCAATCGCAGACTTCTCCTCAAGTCGAGCATCGCGCGGCTTCTCCTCGTCAAGCGCAGACTTCTCCCCAGTAACACCTTGCACCACATCGTCGCGACTGGCATCGCCTCGCGCCGGGAATGCGGAGAGCTCGCGTTGTTGATCCTGCAACATCTCCAGACGATCCCCGGTGTTGAGCGGCACACTCGACGACTGCATGATGCTATGATGCCGTGGTCGTGGCGTGGTGTCGAGAGAGGTTGTGGTTGAAAGTTCGAGGTCGAGAAGACGGGTTAAGTGCGCGAGATTTGGCGCTAAGAGCTTGGCAGTCACATGCGCTAAGGTCATTCACTTACTGAAATTCCTGCGGCGTTGGCAGGTTACTGTTAGCCATCCATGGCTTGTATACGTTACTATTATCCTCGGTGTGAAATCTTCTCGCACAGGAGACAAGGACAGCAAGTCCGAGGCTAGCGAGCGATGAAGTCGTTCTCTCGGCCCCGTTCCAGGCAGACAATGGAAAGACAAAGGCTGGCCTTCCACAGCCATTTTAGAGAGCCATCAAAGCAACAGCTATTGTCGAACATTGCACGAAATGGAGCCCCCTGCAAAGGGTTTCAATCATCCCACGGCTTTTTACCTTGACCTCACTGCTGTCTGCTCTTCCTCGGCCGTCCTAGGAACCAGAAACATACAGCACTTATGCCGGACAACGAGTAATCATACACTGCGATTTGATACGACACCGCTCGATTACAACGATGTTGGCATCAGTGGACTATGGGATGGCTATTCGAGGCTACTGCATGTAACCAGAAAAAGGGCTTGCCATTGGCCAGGATGCAAGATCCGGATTGGAGAAGTACACGCAGCCATCACGAGAGGAATTAAAGCGGTCTCATATATATGGGGCTTCAATCTATCCAGATCGACAACGCTACCTTCAACGCTCTCAGGATTTTCAACCAACTCACTCCAGACGAGAGCACTAAAGACTCAACATGCCATTCTGGGTGATATACCACTCCCACACAACCTTCACAACCGCAGCCGAACGCGATGCATTCGCAGCGTCCATCACCGAAAGCTACGACACCATCCCAGCATTCTACGTAGCCGTGTCGTTCATCCCTCTCAGCGGCAGTCATTTATATCGTTCGGGAAAGCAAGTCTCCAACCTAGACAGACCGTTCGTTCGGCTAGTCGTGCATCACCTGGCTCGACAGTCTACAGACCACGTCGACGGTCGCGAAGCAGGATTCGCGAGGGGGAGGTTGTTGCTGGATAGGGCTATTGAGGCTCATGTCGTCGACAAAGGATATCTATGGGAATATACTATCTCGGAGGAAGATCGGAATTCGTGGAAGATTGACGGGTATATGCCTCCGCCGTTTGGGAGCGAGGCGATGAAGGTGTGGCAGGCTAGGGGTTGTGTTGGGCCGTATTGATGTACGTAGACGAATCGAGCGACGTGACATGCTTGATGTTGCGTCGATGGATGGCGGACTAGTCGGTAGATGCCACTGGCGGCAGAGCTATACTATGTAGCCTTTGAAAAGATTTCATTGTTCTACAGTGTCGCTGGGTCCTTCCAGCCTTGACCGTTCCCCCTGAGGCGTTGCTCCTTTGACCCTTAAAATTGTCCATTCCTTGCGTCTCGAATCCGGGCATTTGATCATGTCGTTTCAGGGGTCTGTAAATGATTACACTTTCCTCGCATGCGTATTCTTGAAGCCCGATGACCCAAGACAAGTCCCAGAAGTTCAAGCCAATCAGACGCCGAGTAAGTGATTACAGGCATGTGATCGAGTAGCCTCCCTTTGCCAACGAAGATCGACTCGCGTATGTCAAATGCGTCGATAGGAGCCAATGTAAGCAAAGTCAAGTAGAGTATCCCGTCCAAAAAGAGGCTCAGTCTCGAGCTGTGGATCTGGTCGAAAGAAGCGTCATGCTGTAATCAGGCTCGCACGGCCCAAATTGTGATATACAATTCCGAGACTCCTTGCACGCCAACCCACAGTTCTCGCATCTTCATAAAGGGCCTTCAAGCATCATCGGAGTCGGATCTCAGTCAAACATCCTAAGTTACCGCTGAATTTGCCGGACTTAACGTCTTCACGCGCGGACGAACTTTTTTGGCATGAGATTTGTTGAAGGATTGGGAAGATTAACCGACGAGGTCGCTCGATTTATTGATTGCATCATTTGAGAAAGAGGAACGATATATTTCGAGAGGCGACAGTTGTAATTTCGGAATCGACGACGGCAACGGACTTTCAATGCTATAATGGATAGCAATCAACCCTCGACGGAAGACCTACAATCGCAGGATGAGAAACCTATCGAGGACCCAGAATCAGGGGAAAATAGTATTGAGACCGAGAAGCGCGTTACTCTCGAAGATCATGAGGTAGTTCTGCTATTGTCCCTGAGCAAGATCTCGACAGGGTATTGACAATTCTTAGAATCCAGAAAACTGGTCGTCCCTGAAGAAGTCCTACTACAGCCTGGGCGTCGGTCTGGCATGCTTCTCAGTGACAGTCGCCGCATCTCTAATCACGCCCGGAACCCAAGAGATTGAAGAGAAGTTCCACGTCGGAGAAACGCCAGCGATTCTGTCGCTCACACTCTACCTGTTGGGATTGGCGACGGGGCCTATCATCGCAGCTCCCATATCCGAGATTCTGGGTCGTGCGGCGATATACCGCATACTGCCGCCGATATACATGCTGTTCACTATGGGAGTGGGCTTCGTCAACACTTTCGGCGGATTGCTGGTGCTTCGTTTTCTCGCGGGCATGGCGGGCTCGCCGCCGCTGGCTATGGGAGCAGGGACGATTGCGGATATGTATCCTCCCAGTCGAAGAGCGGCGCCTTTGTGCGTGCTCATATCGACACCGTTCTTGGGTTCAGGTAAGTCGTTTGGGAAAAATGCGTCCAATCCTTGCTAACGGCGATGCCAGGGTTTGGCCCAGTGATTGGTGGTTTCGCCGCCTACTACAAAGGCTACATACAGATGGACACAATGGTGTTCGATCTTCATAGCCATCGCGACCTACATCTACACCCTTCCCATGGGCGAGACATACCAGAGAGCACTGCTAAAGCGGAAGGCAAAGCGCCTGGGCATTGCGACGAATGAACCGCCTTTGAAAGACTTGCTGGTCCAGCTGCTGCATGTGACGCTGTTCCGGCCATTCAAGATGATTTTCACGGAGCCGATAGTCCAGGTCCTGACCTTTTACAACGCGTTTACTTTCAGCGTGTTGTTCACGTTCTTCGCGGCATATCCCTACGTCTTCGGCAAAGTCTACGGCTTCAATATCTGGCAGAGTGGCCTGACGTTCCTTGGGATTGGCGTGGGCGTTGTTCTCGCAGGTATAACTGGCGTCCTTGTTGATCGATACATGTATCAGCCTCGATACCGACAAGCTCTCCTTGAGGGAAAGCCCGGTCTGCCGCCGGAGTACATGCTGTACTCCTCCATGCTGGGTACATTTGCGATACCTGTGAGGTGAGTCCTGCGATGAAGCTATCCATCAGCAAGCACCGGGCTAATAAACTCTATCACAGTCTCTTTTGGTTCGCCTGGACAGCTCGAGGTTCTGTCCATTGGATCTCTCCCACGATTGCTGGTGGACTGTTCTCCTGGGGTAGCGTCACAGTCTTTCTGTCCGCTGCGATGTACCTCATCCATAGTTATGGCCCATCGTACGGTGCCTCTGCCATGGCGGCTAACGGGATTGGCCGCTATTTCATGTCGGCCGGGTTCCCGTTGTTCACTATTCAGGTGAGTTGAATCAAGTTTTATCTTGCAATGTAGTTCTAACCTTCGATTCAGATGTATGAAACTTTGGGCATAGCGTGGGCGACGAGCTTGTTGGCATTCATCGCCGTTCTTCTGGTCCCGATACCGTTTATCTTCTTCAAGTTTGGCCCGGCTATCAGGCGCAGGAGTCGCATGATCCAGTGAGGTCTCGAAATTCAATTTCTAGAAATAAGAATCTCCGGGCATTGGTCGGGCATTGGTCGGGCATTGGTCGGGCATGCATCCAAACAGGTTGCAGGGCGCGGAAATTCGAGCTAGCAATGTATGTAGAGGTACGCAGAACGTTGCGAACGTTGACTTCCAAGAATGCATGGGATAAAGTGTATATTAAAGTCGGCGGCAACCCAGGATTTGATAGACTCGAACAATCAGTGCTTTCTCAAAGCTGGGAATCCGGTCTTCTCAAATTCCAAGGCCAGTACTTCACATTGTTCGATCTCCACCTCACAATGAGTGTTGTGACCTCGCCGGAGGTTCTGGTATGCAGCCCAGGCCATATCCAGAGGGAAAAGGCAGACCAGTTTCCCGACAGTCCGTGGCTCAAGCACACGAAAGCTATTGACGTATCGGATGGCTCTAGCCGACCACAGTCTGGTGTGGTCAATAGCTGTCCTCATTGCTGCATGTTCTGTTGCCTTGGCTCCGTCGCTCATCTCGATAACAGTCTGAAGCATCGAGAGGCATAGTTCGTGAATCGCAACTTTCGCTCCTAGATAGAATGAGGCCATATTTGCGGCCAGGGTGTCCGGAAACTGCATGTATCCAGATGCTTGGAATTCGCGGAGTGGGAATAGTGTCTGTTGACTTGGTTTTGCCCATGGAAATTGCAGTTGACTGGCGGTCTCCCAGGATTCTATATCGTGGCAGACGACTCGAGCTCGCTCCAATAGTGGAAGCAATGCTTCTCGAGGCCTTCTGGGCGCCACCTCTTCATCAAACCGTTGCATAAGAGCGGCAATCTCGAGGATGATGTCGATGAGCTTCTCGAGCACCGGATATTTGATGTCGAACTGGTTGCGAGCTGGAAAGTCAATCCACTTTCGCTGACATACGAACGATGATCGGCGGTCCAGAAAGCAGAACGGTATCAGGACTGCACGATAAGCGTAGAAGTGGTCAATTGCGAATTGCGAATCTAGTGACCCGGGTCCTGACGATTCGATCAATGCCCAAACTGAAGGCCCGCCATGATCTCTTGGCTAAGAGGTCTGCAATGGCTATCGTAAACACCACGGTAGTCAATTGCTGTCGCTCCTAATCGTTTTTTCCTTGGCCTGGACTTGTGAGTTTCCCTCTCAAGGAAGATAAAACGTTGTTCTCCAGCTCGACAGCCGCTTGCAGCATGGACAGATCTTCAGTCGTTTTTCCAACCACTATAAGTGCTGATGCGAGCAAAGCGTCGTTGAGAAGGTGGCTGCCAGGGTTGGTCGACTGCACACACGCAGAGGTCATCCACGACCCGCAGCAGATATTGACATGGACGCACTCCTGGTCAGCAGAGACTTGATGATCCGGCATTTGACATCGCTGGTTGAGCGCCGCGATGAATGCATCTTTATGAGCCGGTCCAGCACTCAAATGAAGCGGTACCTGCAGTAGCCAGCGAGTCTTGTCGTCGTCAAGCGCCTTGCAGAGCCGTACTTGCTGTGTCGTGGCTCGTCGGAGGAGTTCCACTTGCGTTGATTTAGAAGATAGATCGATCGTGCCAGGTGATTCGCATGGGTCTTCTGTGCTTGTATCTTTGCTTTGTTTCTTCCGTCGTCGGTGCTCGCGGACATTGGCTCGCACCATGTCTCTGCGGCGTTGTGCTCTTTCTGCTGCCGAGCCGGAGTTCGTTGGACGACCCATTCGTGTTCAGACGCCTCTCGTGTCGTAGACTCTGATACAGAGAATTATTTCTCCACCTCATGGCCACTGGGCAATGTACCACTAGACGTCATTAAGCCTCTCGCCCCTGATAAGTAATCCCAGGTGACTTGGTAGTCATCATCAAGGTCTCCTGCTTGCAACCCTGACTTCAGGCGCCCTTCGATGAGTCGTCTGCTTCTCGACGGCTTTCTGCAATGAGCAGCGCGATGAATCCTAGCCCGTAACATCGTGAGTGTCATAGAGTGTGTAGGACATGGAGGAGAATCTTGCTGTCAGCTCAAGGCTCAGTGTGGACGACAGTGCCCCAACTTTTGCAAGCCACTCTCGAAAGCGGTATCAACAACACTCGCTCTTTCTTCCTCGTGTGTTCGAGCATCGACATCTACTCGTCTAATCCTCGCGTACCTGCAGACATCCTCTATCGCGTGGTTTTCTAGACAGTCGACAGACGGACACGTATCAGTGATGAGATCCTCCTGCAATCACGAGGCCTCCGCCTGCTCCTAATCAAACGCGTCGAAAATTGGTGAAAAGAGACCCGAAGCCATACAAAAGACAATTATTGCTCAGTGGCTATACCAGATATGTGGTGCTCCCTTGAACGCAAACGACAGAAGTATATTGCCCGGATCAGGATGCCTCAAGCGAATGCTCAAAGCACCAGGTAGGACGAAGAACTCTCTCAATAGAATACCACAGACACCTTGAATACGTCTTCGTACCTCCACCGAACTGCCTTGAAGTGCTCTTCTACCGGCTGCTGAACAGCGCAACATCGGCGTATCATCTTCACCTTCACCAGCCGCCCAAAACGGCTGTTGTATGGAGAAGGATTCAGCACCACACGGCATAAGTCGCGTCTTATCGGCAGCCACGAATAACCTCAATCTAGCCTCTCTGGCCGCATAGCCGTAGCGATAGGCCTGCTATAATACAATGGCAAGCTGCCCTGCGAGACCTTGGTCGCCACGTGGAGGGCCAACCTTGTCACACCATCTACCATGGACGACATCAAAGAAGTCAAGCTGTCGCAGGCCCAGGAGTTGCCAGCCTATGCCAGCGACTCCCAGTCTGAGGCCGCTGAGAGTGCCGATGAACAGCTTGCGACGTTGGGCTACAAGCCTGAGTTGAGGAGAGTGCATTCGTTTTGGACGCGTGAGTGACGACTGATATATGCCGGGCACTGTCTGACAGCCTCTATCACAGTGATGGCGTTCCAGACGACGATTCTGTGTTCATGGAGCTGCAATATCGTGGTTTACGACTACATCTTCACGCTAGGCGGAGTCATGAGCCTTGTTTGGAGCACGTATGTCATCCCTAACACCGCACACCATATCATGTCTCAAAGTCTGTCCTAGCATCCTCGTTGGCATCGGGCAGACCCTACTCATGGCGTCCCTCGCCGAGTACGCCGGTATCTGGCCTCAAGCCGGCGGGCAGCAGTTCCTCACGCAGATGGTCGCTCCCGAGAAGATGCGTAGATTCCTGTCCTATGTTGTGGGCTGGGCTGTATTGATAGGAGAGATATCCACATCATCGAGCTGCGCTGTGAATAGTGCTCAGATCTTAGCTGCATTCATCGAAGTCACTCATCCTGATGTCGTGTGGAAGGTATGGCGTGGATTACTAGTCTGTGCCGTGCGTTGCTGACCAGGCACATAGCCATGGATGACCTTCCTGGTATACCTTGCCTTCCTGATCGGACCTGTCGTCACCAACCTGGCCCCCGGGTTTCCTACCGTATCTCTCTCTATCTGGAGGTCTGTTCAACTTACTCGGCTTCTTCACATGGGCGATCGTCTTCTTGATCATGGCACCTAAGAATAGTGCGGACTTTGTGTTTACTGAGTTCATGAACACAAGTGGATGGAATTCGAAAGGATGGGTTTTCATTCTGAGCATGTACGTGCCAATCTATGGCTTGTACGGCACCGATAGCGTGATGCATCTCGTGGAGGAGATGAAGCATCCTGCCAGAGATGCGCCGGTAAGTTCCACGTTAACCCACATCGGCATGACTCTCGCTAATATGTGTAGCGTGTCATGGTGTGGTCAATGGTGTTCTCCTCGCTCGTTGCGTGGATCAGTGCCATTATAATGGGCTTCACGACTGGCAACTGGGCAGCAGAACTGGAGACCACTCAGCCGTACTTTACTTGGTGAGGACCCTCCCACTATGTGCTGGCATGATGCTGACCGTCGACATCCAGGTTCATCAATGTCACCAAGTCTGTCTACGGCGGCGGCATCTTCTGCGCTATTACCATGATGGGATTGAACGTAAGTGATAGCCACGAAGTATCAATGACCTACAGCTAAAGCGGCAACAGTATCTCATCATAGTTCACACCAATACCGCAGGAAGTCGTCTAGCCTGGAGAATGGCAAAGGATGGCGGCTTCCCGTTCGCAAAGTTCCACTCGCACAACTCCAAGCGTTTCGGCACACCTCTACGACCCATGTTCGCGGTCCTCTTCATCAACGCCGTTGCGGGAACCCTCGTGATGGGCAGCGATCTTGCGTTTTGGGCTCTGATATCTGGGGGAGGTATCACGCTGCAGATTGCGTATGCCGTGCCGATCATATGCGTACGCCGTCGAATATTGCATCTTCGTCGAGACTGCAAGGCTGATTCCAACGCAGGTGGTCTGTCGAGGCCGAGAGATCCTACCACCGCGACCGTACTTCGATCTTGGTCGTTGGGGATATCTCATCAATTGGGTGGTAAGTCGTTGTAACTCTAAACATTCGGCATCAGTCTCTGACCAGGTTGCAGTCGCTCGGGTGGTCAGTCATCACACTACTCTTCTACTCGTTCCCGCAGTACGTCCCGGTCGTAGGAAATATCGAGAATATGAACTGGGCTTCCGCAATCGTAGGTGGATGTGTCGTGTTCTGCGCGCTTTTCTGGGTGGTGACTGGGCGCCACACGTACATGAAGTCGTACAATTCGGTCGTGGAAGAGAATATTGTGGTTGTAGAGGGCACAGCTGCGAAGATCTAGCAAGGCTCAGTTTTGCGATACTCAAAGAAGTGCTATTTTCCGATTGCAGGCCTCTGAATTGGAGCATTGTCTTTCCACTGCCGACCTCCAAAGCCGGCTCTCATGGCTTGAATTCAGTGTCGTTATGGCGTCGATAAACTCATGTCCACAGGTCCCAAATAGGCATATCGTCGCATGTCACGGTTCGGTGATATCTGCTCTCGCGCTGAATTGTTGCTTCTTGCCTTTTCTCGCCGGATCCACATGCAGACCGCGCGTTCATATATCTCCCCGTTCGAAGAAGTCCGTGTGCAGTGCAGGGGTGAGGTTGGGCGCGTGGGTCGATCATCCGGACAGACGATATTGGGTGCCGTTGCCGTGGCGTTGGATCTCCACCGTCCTCATCCACTCTTTCTCCTTCTCAACCACTTCCACCTCTCGCCATTTACATGTCTCTATCCACTTCTTTGCTGCTTCATTTTGCCATCAGGACCAGGACAAGAAAATAGCTCTACAGCCACGCCGATAAAATCCGCGCGAGGAACTCTTTTGGAGACCGAGGCCGCCGCCGGTGTCTTTCCTGTTGCTTTGGATCTAGAATCTTGCGACGGTGGGTCAGATGCTGAACGCCGTTAAGCAAGGAGAGCGCGAAGCAGAAGAATCATGCCGGCGGTGAGGGCAGCCATCTGATCCACCGAGGCTGGAGGTCGCTATCTCAGTTCGCTCTGCCGGCCATTTTGTTCGGGATCCCGGATAAAGGTACCACGATGGAGGCGGTGGGCTATCCACGAACGAATGCCTTTCAACCTCGTAATCCTCCTCGAATTCCCTACCGGACTGCTGGAGAGAAGCGCGTGTTCCTTCTGCCGCGGTACTGATATCCCTCTCTTTGCTTGCGGCTAAGACCAAAGCATCATGTGGCGCACACTTGCATCTCGCAACGCCTCGTCAACCGCGAACGGGTCCGGCGGTTTGGCGCGATGCAGATCTCTCCCCGCACACCGTCGCAGCTTGGGGTTGCAGAGTGCTCGTTCGAATCAGCCGGGCTGGACAGTTCGCTTTTGAGACGTGCATCTGTTTGCACGGCAAGCAAGGATTGCCCCAATTCGGCGTGACAGCGCTGTCGCTGCTCATATAACCAATCCTACGACCAGGCCGCCCTCCATTGCTGGAGCCCGCGAGGCAGGATGATGCCCGCAGACAGAGTTGCGCCGGTGCAGTTCTTTCGATCCACGTGTGTTCGGAACGATCAGCGGACGACCTCTCACACCTCGCCCACTCCCCGCCAGCCCTCTCTATCTTCCACCTGCTTCAAACTGCCAAGCTTCCAAGGTAGACCCCCACCCTGTCTGCGACCTCTGCATTCCTTCAAGTTCGCGCCGACATCTTGCGTCGTCACGACAAACTGAGACATGCATCTCTGGCCAACGTCACAGCTGCAGGAGAGCTTCCCACTGCGCCGTTTGGATTGGCAGGGACCGCATCGAGGGAACACCTCCTCTACTGCGGCAGGGCTAGCTTGGCATCAAGAAAGTCCAGCGCTTCGGCTTACACTTCGACGGCTGGAGATCGGCATCATTGCCAGGTCTGCCTTCCCGACTCGGCCATGATTCGCCTCATGCACGAATGCATGGCTGACCGCGTTGTCATGAGACCTGCTCCAGAATGGCGGGGGCCTTACCAGAAAGACATCGGAGCAGGGACGCGAAAGCATGATGCAGTTGCCGGCGTTCCAGCAGAGGGTTCGAGGTGTGTCTTTGGATCGTGGCCCCAAGAAACAATGCTCAGCTGGGCTTTGTGTCGAGTAGTGGGTGTTGATTCCGCGGGTCATACAAAGGGAACTGCATGCGGTCGATCCGTCGCCTGCCATTCAGAGCCACACTACAAAGAAAGACTACTTAGTACGGTAGGTTTCTCTACCTCTACCTTTTTGTTGGCGAGACAAAACGGTTGTTTTGCCCATCTCTGCTGCTCTCGATTCGCATTCCTCGCTCTTCATCCTCATTCGCCATGGCTACCTCACTTGGTTTCTTGTATGTGTTCATCTCGATCGTGGCCTTGGTGTCGGGACTTACTCCTGCGCAATGTAAGTCTTTCTCGCCAATCATGTCGTTGTATGATACTGATGGCTGCTTGAGGGAGGTCACAATCGATATACCAAGTCATGACCGATAGGTTCGCCAGGACGGATGGATCGACGACTGCCGGCTGCGATTTGAACGAGTACTGCGGTGGTACGTGGCAAGGGCTCATCAATCGTCTCGATTATATTCAGTCGATGGGCTTCACGGCGGTAGGTGCAGTGCATTGACGTAGGTTGGAATGAAGCTGATCCGAACAAGATCTGGATATCGCCCGTTGTAAAGAATCCCATCGCTTCGACGCAGGACGGCAATTCATAGTATGTCGACAACGATTTGAAAGACTGATCCCAGCATTGACGTTTCGTCACAGTCACGGCTACTGGGCACAGGATGCCTACGCCTTGAACCCCAAATTCGGGACTTCAGCAGATCTGAAGGCATTGTCCAACGAGCTCCATTCCAGGGGAATGGTACGTCAACACCGCCAAGGGACACAATCTCTTTGTATCCATCTTCTAACGAATCACAGTACCTCATGGTCGATGTCGTACCAAACCATATGGGCTCGATTTCGTCACAGACGACAGTCGACTACAGCAAATTCAATCCATTCAACAAGCAATCTTACTTCCACAAACCTTGCAATATCGATTACAACAATCAGACCAGTGTCACACAGTGCTGGCTGGGAGATAATATTGTCTCTCTCCCTGATTTGAGGACGGAGGATTCGAATGTGGCGAATATGTGGAATACCTGGATTGGGCAGTTGGTGTCCAACTACTCAAGTAAAGACTCCATCTCACCCAATTCCCAGGACAGCCACTAATAGAATCTCCCAGTCGACGGCCTCCGCATCGACACGGCCCAACAAATCGACACAGCCTTCTGGGCCGGCTTCCAATCCGCGGCTAAAGGCATCCACACCCTCGGCGAAGTGTAAGTACAGCGCAGGGCGAAAGACTGTCCCACCAATTCCTTCGACATTTGCTCACTCTCCGCCTCCCCATCCAGTTTCAACGGCGACCCCAACTACATCTGCCCCTACCAGAACTACCTGCACGGCATCCTCAACTACGGCACCTACTACTGGATCACGCAAGCCTTCCAATCCACCTCCGGCAGCATCTCCAACCTCGTCAACGGCATAAACCAGATGAAATCCACCTGCAAAGACGTCACCGTACTTGGCTCGTTCCTAGAAAACCACGACAACCCGCGCTTCCCCTCCTACACCCAAGACATCGTGCTCATCCGTACGGCAATAACATTCACAATGCTCGCCGACGGCATCCCAATCATCTACCAAGGCCAAGAACAGAAATTCTCCGGCAGCAACGTCCCCTCGAACCGCGAAGCGCTGTGGACAGCCAAATACAACCAGAACGCCGACCTCTACCTGCACATCCAAAAACTCAACCGCATCCGCAGCTGGGCGATCCGCAAGGACTCGACCTACCTCACCTACAACGCCTGGCCGATCTGGTCCGATTCGAAGACGATTGTGATGCGGAAGGGGTATGCGGGCAAGCAGATTGTGAGTGTTTATAGTAATTCGGGCTCGAATGGGGGGACGAGGACGATTACGATTAATAGTGGGAATTCGGGGTTTACGGCGGGGGAGAAGGTTACGGAGGTGTTGAGGTGTGAGGCGTTGACGGCGGATAGTAGGGGGAATGTTGGGGTTAGTATTCCTACGGGTAGGCCGGGGATTCTGTATCCGACGGCTGGGTTGAGGGGGAGTGGGATTTGTGGGTTGTGATGAGGGGAGGGGATGGGCCCTGGTGGTTCCTTTTGGTGGAGAGGGGTGGGAAGGGGTGGTGGTGGTGATGAACATAATGTGCATAACGAGACAGACTATTCTATCATGACGAAGGGATGATCTATGAGGACGATATGGACGTTCGATGAGTTACTGTAAAAAGCATTGTTCAACCGCAATTGCCCATACACCTCCCTTTCACATGCTCGTTAGGCTGAATTACAGACACATGATGTCTCGTCTAATGACTTGACTCATCCCAGCAAAACCACCCACAACCGCAAAGACGCCACTGTTCCACCACCTCCCTACGGCTGGCGGCGGGTTTGGCGTTACACGTCCTTCCCTATACGTCCCTCCCTAAACGACCTACCTGACATAGGCGTAGCATCTGTAGGCTATATTGCCCAGCAAGTCCAATATCCCGCCATGTCACGTCAGCCAGGGCGTACCTATCCATGCGCCAATATATCGAATTCTCAAACTCTTACCATCCCATCCACATTGGGAGACGAGTCGTAGTGGGTGCACACCCTCTCCGTGTTGAAGGAGAGAGGGGAAAGACAGTCATGTGGCCACATCGACAGAATAGCTTGCTCGAGTGCTTTATCCGGTAGGAAGGAAGATCTTGCGGGTAGATGTGTGTATGCGGCGCCAGTGTGGTAGCGTATATGTATGTACATACGTGTGTAGCTGTAGCTATTATGCTGTGTGACGAGGCTAGGGATGTGGAGTGCAGGAAGCATGTGAGGCTAGATGCTGGAGAGTTGTTGTTGATAACAGTACGGAGATCAGTGTCAGAACAGTGATAAGTTCGAATGGGGAGGGGACTGCGAGTGAAGTATACTACTCACCATTGCAGAGGTCAGTGGACGGAGTCTCGAGTGTCCTCGCTTCGAACGTTTTACAGCTATGCCTCGCTATGTTCCAGCCGGACGTCGTCTATGCAGCTTTGCTAGTGTTACAGAACAGAGTATCATCTCTTCTTACTCCTCCATCTTCTCCTCATCCTCGTCTTCACCCTCCAATGCTGCTTTGGCGAGCCGCTCGGCCTCTTCCTTGAGCGCCTTGGGCACCTCCTCATGTCTGCCCTTCGTGGGGCCGTTGACAGCGCTGATCCAAGTCATCTCAAGCTCGAAATCCTTGTCTTTGCTGTCCTCGTGCGCAACGTAGATGATGCGCGCCGCTTCCTTGACACCCTCCTCCAAGCTGATGCATTCGCCGTCCTTGGGGTCCAGCTTCAGCTTCTCCAGCTCGGCCTTGGCTGCTTGTCGGCCCTTTCCAGTCGCAGCGCCGTAGTAGCCCCAGTACAGCCCTGACGGCTCGATCATGTAGAGGTATGGACCACCCTCCTTCACACCCTTGGTCTTTCCACCTGCGCCCACCTTTGGTCCGCTTCCAACTACGCCGTCCACATCAACGTCGGTCTCTGCATCCCAGCCACCGACAATCGCGGTGATGCCAAATGGTCGTACGGAGGAGTAGAGGGTGAATGCCTGGACGTAGGAGCCCATGCGGTTGGCGAGTGATGAGACGGGAATGGGTGCTTTGTAGGTGCTGCGCCAGCTCTGCCCCTCGTCGCGCGCGCGAGATACGAAGTGTCTGCCGTCGGGTAAGAGGCCAGAGTGGACCTGGAGAGATATCATTGTCAGCTTCACCACCATCACTGCCATATCTGTCCATCCTCACTTACCACACCGATATTCCGATCCACCGTAGCTATCCGCTTGTTCGCCTCCTTCTTGAGCAGTCTGCTGGTGACGAGCTTCTCCAGCGCAAGCACCACGCCGTCCTTGCACCGAATGCCAATCGCCGTGCCGCCATTCTCGACCGCCTTTACTGCGTACTCGACCTGGAAGTTGCGGCCATCGGGGGAGAAGACGGAGTTGGAGAGATCGTAGCCCGTGCCTATGGAGGTCTGAAGGGGGTGTCAGTTTGATACCCGCACGTGATGGTATGGATAGATTCACTTACCATGGCGAGAGGCTAGAGGGGGATTGAGCTGCTGCAGGGGGTGTAGATTGACTGATGGTCTTGGTGGTGTTGAAAGTGGGTATGGGCTGGACTGCGCAGTAGTATTGAAATGTGTGATGGACGGTGGTGGATGTTGTTCGGGTGGAGTGTCTAACAAACCGTCGCAGTCGAGAGCTCGTCGAAGCAGTTGACGCGCATCGCACAGCTGCCTCCGCGAGAAGCTGTCAAGCCACACGCCCAAGCCACACGTGGCGGGTGTACCCGCACCGCATCTTCGATTCAGACTTCCAGCTGACAACACTCACTTCTCTACTCTCCCTCAAATCACCCCTTATCCTAATAGATAACCAGTCAATATTGGTATGCATTTACTCTGCGTTGGCAACTCCTTCTACTCGCAACGATGAATGCTTCACGCTTTCATTCGGCCGGCGAGCAGAAACCGGGCCGTGTCGCTGCTTTCTGCCCGAAGAACGACCGCAGCGAATGACGGCTCCCGATTGCTCCCTTAGCGCGAGATCTCACACGTTTCAGGATTAACCCCGTCACATTCCATCACTCATACCGCCATAACTACCTCCACCTCCTCCCCCTCCTCTCTGCTTCCTTTTCTCTCTTCCTGTGCGCTGTTGTAGATAGACATCCTTCGATAGCCCTTTCGTACGCCCTCAATTCAAAGAGTCGCCCACAGACATACAAAGACAAGAAGAAAGAAAGCCCCGAGATTGCTGCTGCTGCTCACCCGACCTTGCTTTTTGAGTCACGGCCACCTGACCTCTTTCTGCCCCGTCAGAGTCTTATTGAGAAGCCAAAGGAGGTTGTATCGACGAGACACTGACTGCGACAGCAAGAGACAGACCCGCTGTTGACGTTGCCCTGCTTTCCTTTGACCTTTACCGTGACCTTATCCAGGACCTAGGAAGGATCTCCGGACATCTGGCTAGTTGGACTTTGCTGAACACCGGAACTGGTACTCTTGGATCTTGACACATGTTGGGCTGGCCGGTGCTGGTTCATTTTTGCGAGACGTGCCACTACAATACTCCGGTCGAGTATTCGGGCACTGTTTGGACCCAAGAGCATACCTGCACACACGTAAGCTGCGGCCTTGTCACGAGGCCGTTCCCTCTCCCTTGCTCGACTGACCTTTACATGCGCAGTGCGGCAAAAGCTCTCCCGGTGCAGACATCGCAGGCGAGAGCAAAGGAGCCATGAACTCCGCACAGCATGACGAGCTCGCGCAGCTCTTCCAAAACATGCAATTCTCCCACCCAGCCGCTGCCTTCCAACAACAGCAGCAACAGCCTATCCAACCTCCACAAATTCCCGAAACCCCCGATAAGAAGAATGAGGCTATGATCCATTACGCCTCTGCACACTACACCCCCAACACAGCACACGTGCGCGCCGAGTCAGAGCCGTCGAGGAGCCCACCACCGCCCTACCGCGAGGCAGTCATGCCTGAGGCGATGGCCGAGACGCTGAGGCAGCACTCCATTGACCCCTTCGCCCTCCTTCCCAACCAGATCGACCTCTTCCTGAACGCTGACTACGAGCAGAGACTCCGCCTTCTCGAGTTGTGGCGCATCGCTCCGCCGTCCTACCCACTCGATCAGCATCTGCAGGGACAGTGGTCGGCTACGAACATGGAGAAGGAGGAGAATGAAGCCAGGTTGAGGTATGAACAGCAAATGCAGGTTCGATCCGTCCCGCAGGAAGAGCATATGCTCGATACGGTGATCGTGGGGCCTATTAGTCCAATTCGACAAGAGGGTGAGCCGGCATGGCCGCCTGCAGCACGAATGCGAGCTGCATCGATTGCTGCTGGTCAAGGACCACTACGACAGACTGAGGCAGAGCCCTACATCGTCAACGGCTACGAAATCGCCGCAGCATCTCCCCGCGCAGTAGAGCCAGTGTATGCTGCTGCCGGACTGTGGCAGGCACCTAGCTATGCAGAGACGATGCATCAAGAACAACAGCATCAGCGAGCCTTGGAGGACCAGTACGGGATGTACGAGCAGATTCGCAACCACGCCGATTGGGAGCGGATGAACGAGCAGATGATGAGGGAGAAGTTTGTCGGACAGCAGAGCATGGACGATGAGATGGTGATGTGAAGAATCACTCGTTGGACAGAGTTGCGGATCGTTGTCAGGCTGAGATTTCGTATGTTGTACAGGCATTGATGTGGTGTTGGGGCGGATGTGATCTTGAAGATATCCGTTGTGCATAGACTGGCGATTGTGCCTGATTATGGGAGACTTCCATTTGTTCATATCGACTCTACCCGTCTTCTCTCGCCTCAACCTTTAATGACACTGGCATCCGTAGTCCGGTTCATCGTCGAATATCAATCAATCTACTGCCGATCAGCAACCGAGGCATTTCGAAGCCGAAAAGTCCAAGCTTGACTTCCGAGTCCACCAAGATCACCTCACGTCGTGTCTCGTGAGCTACTCTCGCACACACTCCCCCTCTCTAACAACACAACAATGGCATGACCACATATCTGAACATACCCTCAAATCACACCTTCCATAATCCATAATCATGTCCACCCGCCCCGGCTCCTCCACCTTCGAAATCACCCTCCTCCCCAATCTCAAAAACTGCCTCCTCAACCTGCCGCCCACTCTCGCCTCCGCCCTTGTCAACGCCAACACGATCGCGCAGAATGTAGTTGTCGAGTTGCAATGGCGGTCGAGTCAAGAGCAGCAGCTGCAGAGGGGCAAACCCGCCGCAAGCACCACCCAGAGTGCGTTTCTGGGATGGACGGGCATGCAGAGCCAGAGTAAGAGGAAGGAGAGGGGCGATGTGCAGACTGTGGAGGTGGATGCTACGTTTGCGAGGTTGCTTGGGTTGGGGGAAGGGGTAAAGGTGGGTTTTTGGATTGATATGTTTCGGGTGTAGGTGGGATGGGGTATTGATCTTGGTGTTTAGGTCAATGTCTCGTTGCATGTAGAGCCTCCGATGGCGCATACGGTGAACATCGAGCCGTTGAGTGCGACGGATTGGGAGAGTAAGTCCATCTTCTGAGGTGTAGGCATTGGGAAGAAGGTAAGCTGATCGATTCCGTGTGTTTCATTTAGTCATCGAACTCCATTCCTCGTTCTTGGAGATGAACTTCCTCAGTCAAGTCCGCGCGCTGCCAAACCCCACCGCTGGACATAACCATCCGATCACGCTCCATCTTACACCGACGTCCACCGCGAATATCCGAGTCACGTCCCTCACGCCTGCGCCTGCTGCTACGCGAGAGTTTGTTAAGATTTCCCCGGACGCCGAGGTCATTGTGGCGCCGAAGACGAGGGAGAGGTCTTCGAGACCGGGAAGCTCGAGGGATAATCGATCGACGGCGAGTACGAGTCGGAGAAGTGCGGGTGGGAGGAGCACGACGAGTAATGCGCGACATCGCAGCGCGCATGAGAGTGAGAAGGCGAGACCGCCGTTGTTTCTGCGGGGTGTTACGAGGGGGCTGAAGAACGAGTGGTTTGAGGATGGTGGCGACGATATGAAAGATGACGGACTGAGGATATGGCTGGATCGGGAACACCTCCTATCCAAGACACTGAGAGGCGTGACCTGGGTTGCTGTGCAAGTCGTCAAGCCAGCTGGTTTGCAAGAGCCTGTCGATCCGCAGAGTGCGCCTAATCCGGAGCAGCAGCCTGCTTCGAAGGTCGTCGCGAAGCTCTGTGCCTGGGAAGATGCCCCGGACAGTCGCCATGTGGCTCTATCGACATTGCTGTGTGCTACGCTGGGAGCAGAAGGAATTGTGGGTGGGATTGTGCGTATCGATCCTGCGCCTGCGCCTCTTCCTAGAACTGCGTCTGCGATGAAGGAGCCTTCGCAGCAGGCTAGCAAAGAGGCTATAGTGAAGAGGTTGAAAGTCACTCCGTTCGCGCCCACTCAGGCTGAGAAGAAGGCTGCTGGGATCAACTTCGGCGGGAAATCGAAAAACGAACGAGATGAGGGCGTGCAAAGAATCAAGGCGATCCTGGGGAAAGCTATTCTGGAAGGCCCTCTTACCGACGGCATGCTTTTGCCGCCGCGAGAAGGCTGGCCGGGAGGGATACTGGACTTCGACCCTGCGCCTCCTGGAGACCCTTCGAAGGCGAGGACGAATTGGCTCATTGGGGGTGAGAGGAAGTTGGAGATCTCTTTGCAGCCGGAGACGGCGAGACAAAAAGCAGCTCGATGGCCGCCTGGTGAGGATCTGCCAGAGGAAATACCGGAAATGGTCGGTATTGATGCGACGATTGAACAGACGAGGAAGAGCCTGTTGCATACTTCCTCCGTCCTGCTGACGGGAGGTCTAGGCTCTGGAAAGACATCCCTGGCGCATCTGCTTGCTCATCAGCTGCGGAAGGAGTACCTCTTCAATGTGATATACTTCCCATGCCGGACGCTCGTAACGGATGAGACGAGAGTGAAGACGATCAAAGACACGCTCCACCGCGTGTTTGCATCAGCAGCATGGAACGCCCGTATTGGCGGCCGAGCAGTGGTCATTCTGGACGACTTGGACAAGCTCTGCCCCGTGGAGCAGGAGCTTCAAGTCGACGCCAACGGACGGAGTCGACAGGTTAGCGAATTGCTGGGACCCATTGTACGGGAGTGGTGTGGACGAGACACGGGAGTAGTGATGCTTGCTACGGCGCAGGGCAAAGAAAGCGTTAATAATGTCGTTATTGGTGGACATGTGGTCAGAGATATCGTGGCTTTGAAAGCGCCGAGTAAGGATGGGAGGAGGAAGGTGCTTGAGTTGCTTGTCAGGCGGGCGCTGAAGACGAAGACGCAAGAGGATGCGGATACGGGAGTCAAGAATGGTGGTGGTGCGGCGAGTGAGTGGATGGAGGGTTCAGACGGAGAGGACGAGGGCAGGCCGGGTTCTGCTGGGCAATATGGGCATGAGGCTGATGACCCTGAAGGTGTGACTCTCGATTCGCATCTGGATCTTCTGGAGATTGCTGGACAGACGGACGGATATATGCCTGGCGATCTGGCATTGCTGGTCTCACGAGCACGGAGCGAGGCCTTGATTCGGGCTATTTCGAGCGATTCGATTTCGGATGAAGTCACGTTGGGTGGTGAGGATTTTGATGCCGCTTTGAAGGGTTTCACGCCGGCTTCTCTGCGTGGTGTTACGTTGCATTCTTCGACGACGACGTTCGCTGCTATTGGTGGACTGAAAGAGACGAGGCAGACTCTGCTCGAGACATTGCAATACCCGACCACGTACGCGCCTTTGTTCGCCAAGTGTCCGCTAAGGTTACGGTCTGGTCTACTGCTTTACGGATATCCCGGTTGCGGAAAGACGTTGCTTGCATCCGCCGTGGCGGGCGAGTGTGGACTCAACTTCATCTCGGTCAAGGGACCGGAGATTCTGAACAAGTACATCGGTGCTTCGGAGAAGAGTGTGCGGGATCTGTTTGAGCGAGCAGAAGCTGCGAAGCCCTGCGTGCTGTTCTTCGATGAGTTCGATGCCATCGCTCCTAAGCGTGGGCATGACAGCACCGGTGTGACGGATCGCGTGGTCAATATGCTGCTCACGATGATGGATGGTGCAGAGGGACTGAGTGGTGTGTACGTCCTCGCTGCCACGTCTCGTCCTGATTTGATCGATCCTGCTCTGCTCCGACCAGGTCGACTGGACAAGAGCTTGATATGCGATATGCCGAATGAGGAAGACAGGCTGGATATTCTGGAAGCCATCAGCAATAAGCTGAAGCTTGACCCGGCTGTAACGGAGAGCACAGGCTCGCAGAGTTTGCAAGAAGTCGCGAAGAATACTGAAGGGTATTCTGGCGCAGATCTGCAAGCCGTCATGTACAACGCGCACCTCGACGCCATCCACGACGTTCTCGGCCCTGCAGACGGCGCCGCTCAAGACTTTGGGAAGAAGAAATCCGACGGCTCCAGGGGCCGGAGTGGAAGCAACAAACATCAAGATTTCACATACTTCAAACCCGGCGACATCTCCACCAGCCGCCCCATCACCTCCTCAGGAGAGGCCCCCACAACCCCCGCCCACCAAGCCGCCGAACGCGCCCTCCTCGCCGCCAAACTCTCCGCCCTGCAAGCAACCCGCCGCAAAGCCCGCGCCGAACGCCACGCCGCGCAAGGACGCCCTCCCTCTCGCCAACAGCAGCCGCAAAACGGCACCCAAGAAACGGCGTCCGTGGAACCCGTGATCTCCTGGAAACATCTCAGCAAGAGTCTGCAAGAGACGCGGAGTTCGATCTCGAAGCAGGAGCAGGCGCGGTTGGGCAGGATTTATCGCGAGTTTGTGGTGGGGCGGAATGGGGATTTGAGTGATGGGCAGGGCGGGACGGAGATTGGGGGGAGGACGAGTTTGATGTAGGTATTTTGGGAGGGGTTTACAGGTGGTTTGGGAGGGGTGTGGAAGTGGAAGTGGGATACTACCTCTTTGCAGGGGTTTGTCGTGCGCTTCCGGCCTGTGACCGCCTAGCCGGGTTGGAGGGTAGTGAGTTTCGCAAACTTGCTCCGTTTGTCGCTGTGTCTCACCCTAATGATCACGCCGTCGACAATAACCTGCAGACTTCTCTCGTCCCTCCGACGATGGAGAAATCCAGTGATTTGGATGTGGCGGGGCGGTTGCATGGACGGATTTTGGGAGGGATTCTTTTGGTGGTGGAGGGTGTGAAGGTGGATGTTTATGTTGAGGGGGATGGGGCGGGGGCTTTGAGGAGAAGGAGGGACATGCAGGTGGAGGAGGCTTGTTGGTGGGTTAGGAGTGTGTTGCTTGGGGAGTAGGAGAGATGGGTCTTGGGACGAGGAGTGGGGGATGGGTGCCAGTGAAAGGCGTTTCGTGACGCAGGCTGACTGGAAGACTGCAACGGAATCAGTCTACTGTATGGATATCGTCACAGATTGACCTCATGGCTGCGAGTGGCATGCTAAAGAAAGGGGACGTGTCCATTCCGGCCATAGACACGAATTTCACCACGGTATCGAGGCTCTTGCAATTGTAATGCCATCGTTGCCGGATTCTTAAGGCATCTGACAGACATGATGCGTTTCCGTTCCTCTGTGTGAGTAGTTGACGGGCATTGCAGTGAAGGCTAAAGTGCTGCAAAGAAAGGAGGGGCGAGTTTGAGTCTGCAGCCTTGTCGAGCTAGCGTTTACCCGAATCGGGCTAGTTCCAGTTTTGGCTTTGGTTTCTACGACTTCGCGCAGACTCGGCTTCCGTTCTCTCCCTTAACGAAACATCAACACGAACAAAACGACTATCGGAAACAACGCCGTCCATGAAAATCGAACCCATGTGAACGGAGAACACGATCTCGTCGGATCACACAAGCTTGCGGTCTGTTAGTGCGAGCTTGGCTGGTGAAGAAAAAATGAATGCAATCAAGGACAACACTATGCGCTTTGATGCCAATGCGATGCAAGAGCGCTCGAACATACGGAGCTCTTGTCTTCAGCGAGGATCGTACGGCCCATGTCGGCCAAAGTGTTCCGGCCAAGGAAATGGGCTACGAGTCCCGCTCTACAAATCCGCCTTGGCATTGAGACCACTGCGTGTGACGGTGGATGGCAATTACGCGAACATGGGAATGGTCTTATAGCGATCGCTACGGCGGTCGGTACTGTCTTACTTGCAGACACTGCTTTTGCACCACAACGGCAGCGAATTGCTCGGGCGGATAAATGTCCGCGTTTGTATCTCTGGCACCCGCATACTTATAAGCCCGCCCCCATACCAAGCAACGCCATGACAGTAGCTTCTGTCCTTTCCTAGCGGCCTTCACGCCACTCATGCCTTGACTTCAGCTCTGCTCTTCGGCTCTGGTCTCGGATACTTGGGCTCGTGAGCTTGCCGCTGGCAGGTGCCCGTGGAGCTCTACTGCGGATTTGAGCGGAAATGCATCATCATGTCTCTTGGCATGGCCCACGCGACTCTTCTGATCCACCCCAGACATGCTTCTCCGTTCCCCATACGCCCCATATCTGTCGTGCCACATGGTTCTCCGCACACTAGCGGGCGTGAGTAGTGGAGAGCCATGCGAGAAGCCAGGACGTGCTGCGGTGCATTGCTTGGCGGATTAAGTATATGAGCTTGAGGTAAGAAGAGCGAAAGTCCTGCCGGTCTTCCAACGTGGTTGCATCATATCAGCATTGCAGCTTTTCTTCCCACCCCAAACATTCCCAGCCCGAGCGACTATCAAGATGGGTGTTCGGGACCACGACCAGGCGTCGCTCGCCTCCATTGGCAAGGACTTGGAGAAGGTCGATATCATTGAGATGTACAATGCCAACAAGTACGCCAACATTGGTCTCTCGACGGAGGATGCCGACTTCTTCGAAAACTTTCCCGCGGACAAGAAGAAGAAGATGCTCAGGAAGATTGATATTCGACTCGTTCCGGTCCTTGCTCTGCTTTACTTAGCTGCCCACATTGACAGAGCCAACGTGGGTGTTATCTTGTTCCATATACCAGACAACCGCTGACCTATACTTCCAGATAGGGTAACTTCGAACGACAAATCCCCTTTCCTGAGATTTGCTGATTGTGGACAGCAACGCGAAGATTGAGGGCTTGACAACGGATCTGGGTCTTACTGGAATCCAGTACAACATCGCGTGAGTGTCCAAAAAAAAAATCGAGTGCTGGGCAAGGCTGCTGCTGACACGTTATCACAAAGTCTATCGATCTTCTTCGTCCCATACATCCTCCTTGAAGTCCCTTCAAACGTTATCCTGAAGAAGTTCAAGCGACCATCAACTTACATGGGCATTCTCGTTGTAACCTGGGGTGAGCAAGAAGTATGCCTGGGTTGTCAGACTAGCGACAGCTGACCTCGGCATAGGCATTATCATGACCTTCACTGGCATCGTCAAGAACTTCGCTGGACTCATGGTCACTCGCGTTCTGCTTGGTATCGCTGAAGCTGGCTTTTTTCCCGGTGCCGTATACTTGATCACCCGCTGGTACGCGGCTAAACAGGTTCAAACTCGCCTTGCGCTCTTCTACTGCGCCAGTGCTCTCTCAGGCGCCTTCTCGGGCCTCCTCGCTTTTGCCATTGCCAAGATGAATGGCGTGGGCGGACGCCCGGGCTGGGCCTGGATCTTCCTACTAGAGGGCATCGCAACCGTGGTCATTGGCGCGGCATGCTTCTTCATTATGCCAGATACCCCTGCGCTTTCCCGTAAGTGGCTTGACGACGATGAGGTCCGCTGGCTGGAACTCCAGACTGTAATCAAGGAAGGTGGCCGCACTTCGATGGAGAAGTCGGAGAAGTTCAAGTGGTCGTACTTGACCGATCTTCTCACCGACTACAAGGTCTACATGCAAGCTTGGATTCTGTTCACTGCGTCAACTTGCGCTTATGGTACTTATCTCCATCTATAATACTGTCGACTATTTGACTGACGTTATCTCAGGCCTCAAGTTCACCATGCCATCAATCACCAAGTCCATGGGCTATACATCATCTCAAGCCCAGTTGATGACCATCCCACCCTACGTCGCCGGCGCCATCTCCGCTATCGTCCTCTCCAAACTCTCCGACCACTTTCAATGGCGGGCCGTCTTCATCTTCGGTCAAATGGCCACAGTCCTCGTCGGCTTCTGCATACTCCTTCCTTTGGCACCCAGCATTGCCACCCAGATTGGCCCCTGTTATCTGGCCGTCATGTTAATCTGCATTGGACAATACCCTACGAACCCAGCCGGCTCTGCTTGGATCTCGGGAAACTTGGCAGGTGACACCAAGCGTGCGATCGGTATTGCGTTGAACATCTGTCTTGGCAACAGTGGTGGCATTGTTGGATCTGTAAGTCACTGTTCTCAATAACTTTCGATCGATTGTAGTTGTCCTAACTACTCGTCTAATAGTACATCTTCCTCGACTCAGAAGACCCGGGCTACCCAACGGGGTTCGGCATTGGTCTCGGTTTCGCCGCTGCGACTCTCCTTTGCACCGTGGCATTGGAGGCCTCGTACTGGAGAATCAACAAGTCAAGAGATAAGCTGACCGAAGAGGAAGTTCGTGCTCAGTACAACGATGAGCAGCTGGCCAGGATGGGTGATAAGAGCCCGCTGTTCAGGTATAAGTACTAAGCATCTTGACGGCGGCTCTCGGATACTCTTACCTCGAGGATCAAGACGGTGAATTGATGTCATGAACGACACGACACGCGAAGATTCTGTACAGGCATGAGTGTACATGTTGATGTGAGACAGTCTTACTACGAGAGAGCTCTATATGAGAGCTGCATTCCATCAGATAGTTTCAAGAATCAAGAGATTCGTGTAACAGTACACATGATGATATACGAATTTTATATGCTTCTATTGTGGAGATCGATATCAGAATTTCTGCATTGCACATTTTCACATGGCCATGCTCCTTCCTTCTTCGTTTGTTTTGGCCCGCTTGGTGCCGCACAGACCTCCCATGACCTTCGAGGTCAACATGCGGTATGGAACGCTGCAGCAACTACGCACGGTGTCCAGATCGATCGTGTTCATACACGCACTCCCGCAAGAACGCAGTGTTCACGCCAGATTGCACAACCGCAACTCCGACATATACGCCACTCCAGTAACAATCCCCCCAAGCAGCCACGCTTCAACCAAACCTCACGACCACAACAATGAGCCCTGACCACGACACCGCCCTCGAAAACGCAAACCTCAAAGACTTCATCCTCGTGGAACGCTCACCAACACGCTGGTTTCTCCTCTTCATCGCCACTTTCGACCTCAACCCCCTCGACGGCGTCCGAATCCTCGTCAAACATCTCCCAGAACCCAGCCGGCGGGACTTATGGAATTACCAACGATACGGCACATGGGTGTTCGAGATTCAGTCCTCAGAGCTCGATTTGATTCCCATGTCGGTCTTGACCCAGCGGGATGATATCTTCACCGCGAAGCCCTCGGTGGAGAAGTTGAAGGAGTTGATGGGTGGTGGATGTTTGTTCGATGGGTGCGAGGATGGGCTCGTTACGACAAACGGCGACACGCAGCTTGCGGTCCCATGGAGAAGGTCCCTGGAGAGAATCATTGCGAACGGTCCGGGTCGAGAGGCGAAGACTCTGTGTCCGTTCTGTATGGGTTGGGAGCTGTTTGAGCGCCATGAGCATCTTGCCAACGTAAGAGAAACCGCCGTGCTATTGAGAAATGTACTGACTACTGACAGGCATGGACCATCGACCGGTATCCTGTCGAAGTGGAGAGGACACATCGAGAGGCTATCAATGAGAAGCGAGAGCAACTGGGTTGTGAGCGGCTACTGCCCGGGATCCAGTTATCAACTCTCACCTTCGGGGTGCAGCGAGCCCGGCCGAACCATCCAGCTAGAGCGCGAGTGCCTGTTACCAAGACACCAGAACCAGAGCTATCCACACATCTGTTCGGATGGTTCAAGCACGCACAGGAGCGAGTCCTGGGCGATGGATGTGCAATTTGCCGAGAGAAATTCCAGGACGGGGAAAGCATAGCCGACTTACCTTGTGAGCACTTCTATCACGAGAGGTGCATCCGGCAGCACTTCATCCACTTGGGGACATCGCTGAGCTGTCCGTTGTGCCAGCATCCGGTGCCTTTGCATTAAAGGTACAAGGGCCAGCGACCATCGTCAACTTACACCAGCCTAGGCACTCAGACCGTATGACAAGGCGTTCCAAATGTACACCAACATCCTTAAGACCATGAGCTTGACCCCAAGCTGATGCGATTCGCATCTTGTACGGAATGTTGATGCGAAAGGACCTGACGATGCTCTTGCTACTGCCGCAACTTCCATACTGATGGCATGTCACAGACTGCGTTGTACTGGCACCGAGGACGAAGCCACGGTAACGTAGTGTCGATCCGCGAAGCTCCAAAGGTATTCCAAAACCCCATCTCCACGTCCAATGTTGCAGAGTGGCATATGTTTCTCGAGCAGGATTCAAGAAGGCGTCATACCAGACGGATCGCCAGGTCACAGGGGCTTCATGGTGGCCTCATGGGCACAGATGTCGCATTGTACCGTTGCTGGTCGCTGGACAGCCTTGCTCTTGGTGCTTTTGGATCTTGCCTACATCGATCCATCTGCTATTTCAAACGTTCCATACCAAATGTACACTTCCACAGGGCAGAGGTATCATGCTCTTATCTTGCAGCTCATCGCGAGGAACAAGCCGTGACATTCGGTATTCGGGATTGCCCGCATTCGCCACTCTGCACGACATCTACTCCTGCTGACGGTAGACCTGAAGGTCCACGCACCAAGCTCTTGATTGGCAGATTGCAGCCAATAGGTTGAAGAGTCTGTGTTCCTGTTTCAGGCTGATGTGGGAATTGCCATCTTGGTGAAAGTATGCATGTACTTATGATCCGTTAACCTCGTGCCTTAACACTGAGTTCAGTACGAGACTTCAGGCTGGACTTATCAACAGACGATGCTGGTCCAATTGTCTGCCCTCATGGGTTCCGCCGAGGTCGTATGCGCAATGTCGTCGGCACACCCTTGCTAGAAACAGCTGGTCTGGTTGCCGTACATCTGGGAGTCGTTGGCACAGGGTACGTGAGTTCTGGCAGATGTCGTTGAAACAAGGTGTGGCAAACAGTGGTTGGACAGGAGTTCGATGTCCATGGTTGAGAGTGGAGAGCAGAGAGACAGGGATTGATCGCATAAAGTCTCCACATGACTTCCCGCTCGCACGGGATGAAGCGCCCGGCTTTCGAAGGGTGCATGAACAGCCAAGAACAGGACCAACCAGAGGCTCAGCTGTCAAGACTAGCTGCATCGTAATGGAGGGTAGGGGAAGCGACCTTGCCTGACTCCGAAGGAAGACAATAAGGAGCAGAGGGGCTGCTCAATCGACCTGGCTGACTTCCTCATCGCTCTTCAATTGGAAGCCCATCCATTCTTTCCATGCCGGGCGAACATGGGCACGAATAGTCCCAGCTCCCACGCAACATGGCGCTAGTGTCGACGAGACACAGTACAGGATCGCGGCACCAGTTGCCGTGTTCGAGCACCGCCGCCAACGTCGCCAACCAGATGAGCGCGGCCACACAGCTTTCCTCCGCTGACACTCAATCGTGAGGCGTTGGGCAGCCATAGTACGTCTTCGGCCAATGACACCAGGAGCACAACATACGATTGCATGCGTACGACTGCTGGTCGAGCAAGGCAGACCGGCGGGCAACATTCCTTGGTGGTGTTGGCCCGGAAACTTGTGGAAGGGTGTCCTCTCGTTGGCCAATATCAAAGCGGCGGTGAAGAGGACGATATACGCTGTGTGATGGGGTCATCGAGCTGGCGGCCATGGCAAGGTCAGGTCGAAGTGAGTCAGGCATTCGCACAGGAGCGAGGGGCGGCCACGCAGCCACGACCTCCACGACTAGTTGCGGCTCTCGATTTCGCCCTGTCGTCAAAGAGAGGTTACAGTATAAAGCACGCGAAGGTGGCAAGCGTTGCGTGGTCCTCTCCGCCATCGTCGTCCTGCCATCACCTGCCATGGTAAGTTGAGCGTGGGCCAGATGGTCTCAACCTGGTCGTCGACGAAATGGACGAGGTAGACGTGCTGATCATGTCGCAGCTTTATAGCAAGAACAGCTGACTGACGTACTCCTGGCTGAGAGCGGTGTATCGTGCGTGTGTCACTCGCCTTTGACGGAGGCCGCCGAGCTCCCATCGCCAACATCCCCTTAAGCATCGCTGTCGACGCCGTACGACTGAAGCCACGATGCCGGAAGAGCGAGATCGAACACCATGTCAACATTATAGGCCCGGCGGGCCGATCGTGTGTTGGTGTTGTGTATACGCACGACAGGTGCAGTCGGGCGTGAACCAGGCTTCGTTGAGTCCAGAACAAATTGCAAACTTGCAACGCTACTTGCAAACTGCTCAAGCGCAGGGTATGTAGCGACTGTGGCATTCACGTCGGCCGCTAACATGACGCAGGACGCCAGGATCTGGCAGCCGTCCTGGCACGCTCTGCTCACCCTGGAGGGATGTGGACAGTCGAGAGAGAAGTCCTGGGTGTCGATGTCGGCAATGGCCAGGCAGGAAAACTTCCTTCCGACTACCCTTATCCGACAAGTATCGACGACGACATCGCAGTGAAATCACCAACTCCAGCACAAGGTACACAAGGTGGTCAAGGTCAAAACATGCTCACCCGGAGAGGTCCCGGCACCCAGACGTCTATTCCGGCTGCTCCACGTCCAGGTCCAAATGGCCATCATATAGCCGCGAGCGGTCCCACGCAAGCAAGACCCAGGCGCCCAGCAAGTATTTCAGATCGTGCTGTGCAGCATCCTCGCTCCGGCAGCTTTTGGAACATCACGCGGCCCGCGCGCGGGGCTGACATTCCTAGAGAGTCGACAGACTATCGCGCAGGTCGTGACCACGAGGAAAGCTCGGAAGACGATGCGTAGATGAGAGAGACGCTTCGATCAGCGATCCAGGAAAGACCTCGCTTTGCAATATGTGCCAGGGCGTTCAGGCAGTGATTTTGAATGCAGAGGTCCTCTCAGCCGTGGCATAGGGGGCATGTTAGAACTCGAGCCTCAGGATTTAGGTCATTTACTCGTGCGTGGTCGCCGCATATTTCCTCTCATCGGCAATTCAAAGACCAAAACACGACATCTGGAGCTGGGTACGAGGCGTTCTGTTGTATTTCCAGGGAATTCATTGCAATTGTGGGCCAACAACATGTCCTGTGGTAGGGCGCACGAGGACCGGTAGAGCAACCAGACAACTTTCTTCCATTTCGCCTCGGCATCATCTTCTTGTTGCTTCATCGCTGCCGACCGTCTCCAAGGCCGAAGCTGCGTGTGATGGGTCGTCGCGTAGTTCTCCGAAATGCGGTTTCCAGAGGGCGCTCTCACGCTGTTGTAGATATCTTCAGTGTTGTCGAGATCTCGAAGCAACGGCGAAGAAGAGAAGGCCGAACCAGTCAGGGCGCGAGCGTTGGCCTGTGCTCTGCAGGGAGGCAAAACAGACCTCACCCTTTCACGTCTTTCCCTTTTCCTCTTGACAACAACATCTTCATCATCGCACTCACCGACCCAGACGCGAATACGTAGCAGATAAGAGACGGTCATATATTCTCCATCATGCTCACGCGTTAAACCTCGACAGAATCACTCTCATCGCCAAGCAAAGCGCAGATTTAGCCTCAACGCCGCAGCTGGAGAAGCATCGCCAGCGACATCGAATCGAATGACGAAGTGGCTCTCAAGTGAACTGTTCCCATTTTAAAACACGTGCAGAACCCGTTCGACTAGCCCCAGACCGCCCCAATGCCGTGCGATCCTGATACTGGATCCAACGCGTCTAACTGAACAAGTCGACTTAAGCTGAGGATCTGCGAAGCCGTTGGCTGACTGTCAGCCCCTGCCATTTCCTCTGCGCATTTCTGAGCACCGCCAAACAAGATCACCAACGCCGCTATGAATATACTCAAACTCCCGGCGGTCCTCTTTTCGGGAGGGCCATTTGCCTTGCCTTGCCGTCGTCCACGCCTTTCGCTGCGACCGGGTTGACTGTGTCGCGGAGTCCTCGTTTTCGACTTCATCCACTCTTTATGTTGCTCGATTAATCGAGCTATCCATTCATTCAAAACATGTTGTCATTCATTGCGCTCGTTACTCTCTTTTTGACATGCCTTCAAACCGCGTTTGCGAAGTGCAAATCTTACGGCCTGGACTATAAGGATGGCAAGAGCTACAGCTTGGTGCGATCTAGCTCTGCCTTCAGCGGACACGAGGAATTCACGGGCTGCGACAACGATCAAGCGAACAATGTCCTGGTCGACCCGCAAGGAAACGAATACCAATGTTCATCGACACCGCTGCAACCGGACAGCACATCTCAACAATATGTCTGCAACGACTGGACTTACGACACGATGTATACTGGTAAGATCAATCGCCTTTGCCCGACTCTATGCCAGCGACTGTCCTAGCGTATGGCATGTCAGCAGCGTGGAATGCATCAGCTTTGGAGAGACGGGTTTTGCGAGGGAACAAGTTCTGACAATTCGCAGGTGAATGGTCCATCATTGTGATTTCCAACAACGGCAACGGCGACCCCGTGAACTTCCAGCGTGACTTCTACCTTGACTTTGGCGATGGCGCTGCCGCCACCACGACATCGACATCCTCGAGCCTCCTTTCCGAAACCAGCCTGTCCAGTCTGTCTAGCATCAGCCTTGAAGTGTCCAACCCCGTCGAGACCAACGCCGCCGAAACCACCAAGACCTACGCTATCACCTTGTTCGGCCGCGACCTCCCCGCTCTGCCGACTACTCTTCTGCGTGTGGTCAAGAGGAACGAGACGGAAGCATGGAGCGCATCATACTCGGAGAAGAAGGCTGAGCCCACGACCACGCTCGACGTGACCTTGACCAGCACCATCACCTCATTCTTCACTGTCGAGCCAACCCAAACTCCCGTCCACGCACCCCTCAAGAGCATCAGGCCTCTCAGCGGCTGGAACGGAACCAGCACACACTCGTCCACCTGGATGCTCGCCAGCTCGCTCGCAACCGCCGCGCCCTCAACAACAAAGACCGTCACCGTCTTCCAGGCAACCCCAACCCCTGAGACCAGCAGCTCTGCCGCAGCACCAGCCATCCCCACCGTCGGCGGCCACCCCGCCGAAGACCACGTCGCCCCCATCGCGCCAACTTCCCTAGGCAAGCAATACCAAGACCTCGGCCACGGCGTCGCGGACAACCACGCCCACTCGCACTCCAACTCGACCAGCGGCGCCTACTCGCAGGAATTCCGCCTCGCGCTTCTCAACGGCGACAAGCCCGACGACGAGACCCGACGCCAGTTCGTCGAAGAGCGCCACCGTGTGCTGCAGGGAAATTAAGAGGAGGGAAGCTGCAGATGGGACAGTCAGCCATATATTCATATACCCCCCAACATGAGGCGCTGGCACCAATGAAAAGGATGAGGATTGTATTTTTGTTGTCGATGCCAGAAAGTAATGTATGTTGTGTACCTACACAGGAAAGAGCATGATTTGCATTTCGAGCTCTCTGGGATCGGTTATTTCCGTAATTGTCAAGATGCTTCTTATTACCTATCTTCCACTTTCAGTGTCTTCGCTTCCTACTGTGCTCTGTCTTCGAGACTAAGGTTGCTCCACCATACACAAGACCACGAGTCTTCCTTCACGACTCATTCAATCAGTCAAACCAAAAATCCCCGAATCAATCCAAATCTCCCCTCCCCAACCCCATCAAATGCCCCCCACCACTAACAACCCACTCATCCAAACTCCCCACGCACTCCTCACTAAACATCAAAAACCAAAACTTCAACGACGCCCCCATCCACGCACTCGGCATAACATCCTCCTTCGGCGCCCCGGGCTGCGTAACATCCTCGATGACCGCATGCGCGAACTTGGTCTTACTCCGTCCATACACGGCCCTCCACAACGTCCACGCATGTTCCTGGAGTTCCTGGTCGCCCGTGATGCGGTAGAGCGTGAAGAGGGAGGCGATGAGGGAGGGGTGCAGGGTGTAGTGGCGGGAGGGGATGGAAGTGAGGCCTTGCGGGAGGCGGTGTTTCCAGGTCAGGATTTTGGGGTCGGTGGTTGGCGCCTCGTTGTGCTGGGTTAGGAGGGCGGAGGTGTAGAGGGATTCGTCCCAGGGGCAGGGTTTGGAGGGTGTGGGGCAGGGGACGACGGTGAATGTCTCCGGCATGATTCCTAGGGGCGTGGTTTGGGAGGCCCAGAGGCAGCCGTTGAGGAGGCGGATGGCGGTTATTAGGTAGGTTTCGTTGCGGAGGAGGCGGGCTGTGTACGCGAGGGTTCCGGCGATGGCGCACGCGGTGTGGTGGACTTGGGGGTGGAGGGTGTTATTGATGAGGGTGCCGGGCAGGAGGGTGTCGATTGTGGAGTAGCCTGGAGGGATCATGGGGCGGAAGAGGAGGTTCTCGATGATTGCATCCGACGTGGTCTTCGCAAGGACTTTGTACTGATCTGAGCCGTTTAGTAGGGCGTACATCTTTGGAAGAGAGTCGTAGAATGCTTGAGATTGGGCTCCGAGATCGATATCCCCAGGACTGTGTAAGAGCTTCTCCTGAGGATTTATTTCATTCGGGAACAGGCCAGGATGAACAGTGCTGTCCTGCACTTCTGCAAGTGTGTTCGTAATTCGAGCGACAGCATCGTACCACTTGGAGTCTTTGGTGATGATGGCCAGCCTGGTGAACTCCACTGCCAGGCCTCCCAATTCTCCAATGGTGGCGTCGGACGGTGCTGTCTGCTTCACACCTCTTTTCGTAGCATTCATATCCCAGTGGAGGTTTGGCATTCTATTCGGAGTATCAAACGCAGCGTAAAGAATCGTGGCTAACTCAAGAGCCTTATCCTTCAATCTCTGGTCCCGTGTGAGCTCATAAGTAGATATCAGACTTCCCAGAATTTTGGATGTTACATCGTACACATTGATGCCTTCCTGACTGGTCGTGACATTGAAATCAATTGCTGAAACCAGTTCTACGGCCTCCTCGAATTCATCTTTGAGGCCAGCAATCCATAGTGTATCCAGACTCTCGACGAGGGTTAGCGACCAGTTGCCGTGGGTATCCTGAGCGGTACCAGAGATAGACTTCAGCTCATCTTGAGGAAAGCCATGCTTCTTGTACGATCTCCAGGACCGTTCGATCACAAGGCGTACTTCTTTTTGCCGTTGTTGCCGGTCTGATGATTTGGACTCAGACTCTGGCTTGAACTGGTGCTGGATCCGCGGCAGACTTTTGCGGGTTGGGTCTGGAATCGATATGTGTTCCTGCACAGGATAACGCTCTTTGCGAGTGGCCCAGTCGACATCTCTCGGTGATGCCGTTAGTGATTGGAGAAAGTCGAAATCCAGTCGATCCAAAGAAGGAAAGCTGACATTCGTCAGGTCAATGGCCGGTATGAAGTAGACTAATAGAGCCGAGATGCATCCCAGTGCCAATGCGTACGCGAAAGGCTGTCGGGAGACTGCTGATGACATGGTGCATATCCGAGTATTGTCTCAAAGGAAGATTGATGAGGAGACTTCTGGCGCATCACAACATCTTGCTAGAGAATGCAGATCTTTTACCGCCCTCTGCTGTGGCGCATGAAATAGGAGAAGATAGGAGTAGATCCACACGGGCTATACAAAGAGTGAACCGCGATCCCGACCGAAAGTTCAGGAAAGGCAAGCAATGCAACGAAGCACGATGATTTGAGAAGAAGCTTTGTTGCAAGCCAACTATTGAATCGACACCGAAAGCGCGCACTTCCTGACTCCCAGGTCTCTGCTCATCGCCGCCTGTACCAGTACCTTGAACGAGAGGCGACGGAATCAGTGTACGTTGCCTTCGAAACACTACGTGGTGTCGTGATGGCGTAGGCGGGAGTGCGACACGTGAAAGACGATGTCGGGGAGTGAATGGATCTGGTGAAGGATGGAACAGAATCGCGATGAGAGGTGGCGGGGCGGGGATTGCCGGTGCATGGGCGCCGGAAAGCCAAGAAGAGCGGACAACATCCTCTAGAGTGCATGGCCTGCTGCGTACTCCGCTTATCGCTTTAACCAGCACTACCATGAACCAACCTTGTACGTCCAGATCCAAGATGCGTCTTTGAGGTTTGCGTTGAGACTGACTTTCTGCAGACGGGCAGTACCCTCCCCAGCAGCCCGTCGCCTTCCCCTACGGCGCCAACAACTCCTACCCGCCGCCGCAGACGACCGCGTACACATATCCCAACTCCCTCTCGCAGCAGCTCCAGCACCAGCAGCAGCAACAGCAGCCTGCTCCACAGCATCAACAACACCAGCAGTCGCAGTTCTTCCAGAGCCTGCCGCAGGGCGCCGCCGCTCCCCGACAACAACCGCCGCCGCATCTCCAGCGTCAGCAGCAGCAGCAGCGACCTTCGGTCCAACACAATGTCGGGCCCACGATCCCATCTTCGCCAGGAAATGGCCCTGGCGCGCCGCCGCCCATGCCAAACTCGCCGCCCGACCCAAGCTACGAAGAGCGCTTCATAAACGCGTTGCGACGCGAGACCGAAGGCGGCAATGAGAACCAGGACGAAACCGAGAACGCGAATCAAGAGGAGGAGGATGAGGACAATGACGATCAGGACAACGAGGGAAACGACGACGAGCCAGTATATCAGCTTGCGCCTCCACCCGAGCAGATATACCCGAACGAGGTCGAGTTGGAGAAGGCCATGCATGCGTGGTCGCTAGAGCATGGCTACGAATTGGTTCGTAGAGCGAGCAAGAAGAATGCCAGAGGGCAGCTCTACAAACGCTACTTTCACTGCAGCAAGCATGGCAAGACGTCCAACACGAACAAGGCCAACGAGAAGAACAAGGTCCGCGTGAATCGCAAATCCAACCGCATTGGGTGTCCCATGTCTCTGGCTGCTGTGTCGGTTGATCCCCACGATCCGTCTGGCAACTGGCAAATTCGACATCGCAAAGTACATCACAACCATCCAGCCGTCGACGCGATCAAACTTGCGGGACATCGACGGCGGGCGCGAATGGGCAATGTCGAGAAAGTGGTTGACGGACTTTTCGCGATTGACACAAGTACGGGAGATGTGCTCAAATTCCTCCAACGCACGAACCCTGATGGCCTGTTCAACCGTACGGACGTTGCCAACATGAAGCTGAAATGGAAGAAGTACGGGACATGTGCTCAGCGTGGAGAGGACGCCGCGGCCGACAAACCACCACCCGCTTCAACTAAGACCGGGTTTCCATCTGCGTGTCTTTCCTGCCGGGCCAAGAAGACTAAATGCGATAGTGTGCGTCCCGTCTGTGGTCATTGTGCCAAGTCAAAGACCGCATGCCAGTACGATCATGATCCACACCCTCGTGTGCCGCAGCCTCAACAGACTAACAGCCAAGCGCCGCCGCCTGCACCAATGCGCCAGCCTAGTGTACAAAACCAGCACCGCGAAGACCACTCAATGATGAGCATCGACACCAATGTTCCTCATATCGAGCCTCAGCAATTCACCCCTTCTATGCCAAGCAATGCAAACAACATAGCTCCACAGAACGCTACCGAGGCTCAGTCAGTATTGTCGCTCATCGCAGACTTTCAGAAGGAGCACGTGAAGCCTACGAAGCTGTCATCCGACAGTTCCAGTGTCGCTATTCTCGCTCACTCCACGTGCGGCAATGGTGATTCCTACAAGGCTGTGGCGCCGCGGCCGTTCGCGATCAATGTGGACTGGCGCTCTTTTAAAGACAACTTCCTTGCAGCGGCCGTGAAGGAGAACACCAGTGATGTTCTCGTTGGCGAGAGAAAGGAACCCGTCAAGCCGCCGGGCGAGCTGTCTGTCGAAGACCACAACGAATACATCAAGCAAGTCGCCATCTACAAACGTCGGAATGACATGCTCAAGATCGGTCTCAAGGAGTGTCTGACACTCCAACTCTGGAGAGGTTTTCATGCGAAGAGTGCACACGAGATCTGGTCCTCTCTGGAAGATATGTACATGCCACGAGGTAGCGACCAAGCTTATATGCGGTTTTTGGAGCTTCAAAACGTGACACTCCAGAACTGCGGTGGCATCGACAACTATATTCACACCTTCGAGACCAGACTTTATGACTACAATCAGCTGTCATTCCACCACGAGACACGTCGAACAGCCGCGGCTCTCAATCAAAGCCATGCTGAGAGACTGAAGCGACAGAACGGTGGGAATGGAACTTTCCCACAGGAGATGCTCTGTTTTCTCTTCTTGAAAAACCTTGGCCCCCAACACCAGAATATTGCAACCACCCTGACAAAGAAGAACAACATTGGTGGATTTGGATCAGGCGAGCGACTAGACTTCAAGCACTTGGCGCCCCTTGTCAAAAGTGCGCTTGGACGATGATGAACACTGGCTTGTGCGACTGTAAGTATTCGAAATGTTGAATCACTGTACGTATTGGATGTGCATTGTTGCTGTTAGCAAGAAGCGTTGTTCATAGCGACCTATACGAACGAGAAGGATACCCCCACGCCCGTCTGCCAATGTCTCAACATTTCCTAGTCTGCACAACACTTCCTGCCAACCGTCTCCGAGAAGCGGTATCACACATGAAGTGCTGCGTACTTTGGACCTCGTGGCGCCCAATCAGAAGATTCTTTTCGTCTGACTGATGCAAACGAGGCCACCGCGTGTGTTCCTTCTTCCCGCAACTACAAACTAGCCACATCAGGAACTGGGTAGCTCTGCAGAAGCAGCAACCCTTTGCAGAGCCCCCAACCCTCAGGGCTGAACCTGACATCATCATAAACGAGAACAAGTAGGTACCTCACAAATATGCTAGAGTAAGCAGAACCAACCCCTTCCCTCTCCACTACGTCTTCCTGTCACTCACGTCCTCCTCTCCCTCCACAACACAACCATGCCCCTCCTAACCCCCCTCTCCATCCCCAGAACCAAAGTCTCCCACCTAAACCCCATAACCTACGACCACGACCGCGCCGTCAACGCAATCTACAAACGCGGCGACATCTACTTCGGCTCGCAAACCGTGCCCCCGAACAATGCCTGGTCCGACGGCACCCGCTCCTTCATGGCCCCCATGTCGGACTTCCACCTCCTCCAAACCGAGTCCTTCCACGTAACCTCCGGCCGCGGGGTCTGGTACCTCGGCGACGAAGTCATCCATCTGAACGAGGGCGAGGATATGGTCATCCCGCCCTGGCGCGCGCATAGGTTTGAGAATTTGCCGGGGAGCACGGAGCCTTTGAGGATTGAGTATCGGTATGATCGGCAGCGGTTTGCGATGGAGGAGAGTTTTTTTCGGAATGCGTTGACGTATATGGATGATTGTCGGAGAGTGGGCGTGGTGCCGAGTTGGTTTCAGCTTTGTGTGTTTTGTTCCAAGGCGTGGATGGTGCCGGATGTGGTGCCTGTGCCGTGGGTTCGGGGGGTGGGTGGGGAGTATGTGAGGTGTGTGGTTAATTGTGTTATTATGTGGGTTTGTTCGGTTGTGGGGTGGGTGGTTTTTGGGTATAGAGGGAGTTATAGGGAGTATTATGACCCCGAGGGGGAGGGGAGGAAGGGGATGTGATGGTCTGGGGACAAAGAGCTTGGATGAGGGACAGGATCGAGCTGTTTCTAGGGGGGACGAGAGCATGAGGCAAAGAGCAGTGCTGGCGCTGTAAAGACTGTCGATTCGGAGGGATATCAAACGGTATGGATGAAGCCGGGCCTGTCGCACAATGTTAGCCGCCTGGCACGAAATAGACCAAACCCTTGCTGAACGTACTTTCTATCGCCCAAGATATAAATCTCCTCCTCGCTCTTGCCCTCCACGAGATGATCCCTCTTTCCAGCTTTCTTCTGCTTGTTCTCCCATTGCAGCATAAAATGCGTGAACAGGCTTCCGCCGAACAAGAAAACGGTCAGGTACGCCAAGATCACGGCGTGGCCGAATGTGAACTCTGGAGAGGCCCATGTTGGGTAGACGTTGCTCGAGACCACGCCGTTGAGGTTTCCCCAGCCGATCACGAATCCCAGAGTGACGCCGCGTTTGTAGACGCCTTCGGTGTTGTTGGAGCACCAGGTGATGGTGTTCGCGATGGTGGGGTCTTATACATGGGGTCAGCGTAAATCCATCAACGAGGGAATTTCACTCACAAATTCCCAGCGCTCCTAGGAACGTCCCAGCGTACTTCATATTGGGATCTTGCGAGCCAAGCAGCATCGCAAAGCCGGCAATGGCAAGCAGAGAAGTGATGATATTACACCACCCTCTAGCCCTCGTCCTGTCAGCAATAAAACCAAGCGCAACCGTCAAGATCGCAGCCGCGGCATACGGCGGGACCGATAACAAATTCGCCACGGTACTGCTATACTGCGGGTACCCAGTCTTGATGATCGTTGGAATGAACAAACTGAAAGCGTAAAGCGGTCCGTCATTGCCCATATAGATCACAGCGAAAGCCCAGGTCTTCCAGTCCTTGACGGACTGCCAGAAGTAAGTCATCTGGAACTTCTCGTGGTTGGCGCTAGCTTGTCCGTCCAGTTTCAGGCGGCGGATCACGCGTTTGCGGTCGTCGTCGGAGAGGAACTTGGCTTCGTCCGGGAAGTCGTGGACCATCCAGTAGCTTGCTATGCCGATGAGGACGGTGGCGAGGCCTTCGAGAATGAACTAAGGGATGATAGTTAGCAACGAGCGATGTCGAAGTGAAAGTTCCGAGAACGAACAATCCAAGCCCATCCTGGCTTGCCTCCTACACCTCTCATCTGCGCGATGGCCGCCGCCAAAAGCCCGCCGAAGGAGCCGGCCAGTGCGGCCGCCGAGAAGAAGATGGCAGCTCGGATGCCGAATTCGCCTCTCCTGTACCAGCAGGACAGGTAATAGTTGACTCCGGGAAATAGGCCTGCCTCAGCCATTCCTAGAAACTGCAGGACAAGACGAGCGATTAGCAACCAATAGGATTTTGAGTAGCACATGTAATCGTACCCAACGACAAGCTGCAAGACCAGAAAAGTCGTGTACGAGACCCATACATGTCATAACGATTCCCCAGAGTACCATGATGATTGGGAGGAAGATCGATGGCCGTAATCGCTTGAGGAGGATATTCGTGAGAGGCTCAAATCCAGCGTAGGAGACGAAGAACAGCGACAGAGCGGCTTGGTATTGGCCGCTGCTCATGCGCAGGTCGTCAATGAGGCCATCGATCTTGGCATTGCCTGGAAGTCGTTGAGTGTGCCGTTAACGCGATGTTGGGTTGAAAGTAGTATATACCAATATTTGTGCGATCTGTACCATCATCAGCATTTGCCTGCCTTCACTGAGATTGGTGAAACAACTCACCAAGAAAGCTGACAAGATAGAGCAAAGTCAGCCATGGTATAAGCTTCAAGTCAAGCTTCCACAGCAGCTTTCGATCCTTGGGCAAAGCGCGTCAGCGACAAGTCTTGAACGTCTGGGCAGTGACACTTACAATCTCGGCGCGCTCTTCTTCGGACTTGCCCTCGTCTGGGTCCTCGATGTCGTCCAGAGGTCCCTTGGCGATTTGCGGGATATTCTTCTCTTCGTCGCTAGGACTAGGCGCGCCATCGCTCTCCAGCTTATCGATGCGGCCGTCTTTCTCCATGGTGCGGGACCGCGTTATGTGAAGAAGTAGAAGAGAAAGACAGAAAGAGAAAGGCGGCTGTGAGGTAGAGGATGATAAATCGAGTCTACCACTACCTCATCCTACGTCTCTATGTTTGACGGCGTGCCTAAGCGATTAGCGATCGTCGCTCTGCATTGATACAGACGCCCTCGTGCTGATGGACGAACCGGGGCGTCTGATTTGTAGGTTGTTGCGCCGACGCCAAGGTTATCGCCGGACGAAGCAGGCCGTGGCCGTTTTCCCCAGCAAAGTTCGATCCTGATGCGTGCCAAGGCTGGAGGCTCCACGGGATGTCAAAGAGGGGAAGCTGGGGCCGGCGCTTGCATTGTGCTTCGACCTCACCTCGCACTTTTGAGCTCCTTCGATTTATTCGAGCTATTGACATTGATCCTCTTATGTTTACGCGTTGTCGAGGACATCCCGGTCGCTGATAAAGCATTGTCTTGACGACTCTCTTCGGAGGCTGATCTGGATGTATGGTGCAATAGAAGAGGTAGAAGAGACGCGTCAATGGAAAGAGTTGGGCAGGATAACATGTAGGCGTAAGGGTCGCCAGCAGGAAAGGGGTATCTGGCAATATCAGTACGCGTCGCAGAAAGCTTTGGAGGGCAAGGATGTCGATTTGAACCAGCTTCGATATCTGTGGGCAGAACAGCGCTCCTGGGCAGGTATGCTACAGTCGAAGTCAAGTTCGAATCGCGACTCAATCGAAGAGATGCGTGGGCGAGTCGTTGCACGCCTCGGGTACTCGAGAGGTGCATCGAATACACAAAGGCGAAGATGAGGACAACATTGAAGCACAAAGCACGCCCGGTTGTAGCAGCCATCCCTGAGGGTGACTGGTCTTTCCCAGAGTTTGACCGTATGTTGCTTCCCACCTCGGGATTTCACGAGCGGTGAAAGTAGAAGGTAAGTACATCCCGAAATTTCCTCGCAGTATCAATGGCATGTTGCGCCTCTGTCTGCGTGAACGCGTGCCTTTCACCTGTTACTCTACTCTTGCCATTCACCAATGTTTTACCCGAACAAACCGTGCGCCGAAAGTCGAGATCTTTGGACATTTACTCGCTTAAGCCGACCGCGCCGTCGCACAACACGCAAGTCACTCACTCGCTTCAACTATCCGAGTCACTCTTTTAACAGTTTACAACCTCGACAACCACACCTCGCATTCCAGTGGCGTAGACTGTTTTAAAGACTGGGGGATATCGCGACATGGCGGTTCAAGGGTGGAACCCGATCAATTACATCAGCACCGGCGCTGACGACGAGGGCAATGAGATCTTCGAGGTCGTACAACTCCCCATCCTTCCTCCAAAGCGCCGCCCGCCAATCTGCTGCTGCCTCGGGCCTCACAAACACAAGGTCGAAGAATATGAAGACGGTCCAGACTCTCCGACCTCTCCTCGAGCCCCAAAAGTCGCCGCAAAGAAGAATCGCCCAGCCGCGCAGGCAAAATATCAGGACTACCCACCCGAGACCTCACACCAAGAGATGATCGACGGAGATCCGAGCCTGCTCAGCCACGACAACATCTACCGCATCGCACAAAAGTACAACATGGCCGAACTTGCCGACGCTGTCAATGCGAGCCATGGCATGTCAGTTGTCACCTCCCAGCTTCTCTGCAACCGACTTCAGCGTTCTGTCGATGCTAAAGTCAAGCGTGAGGGTAGGACGAGGGCAGATGTACGCGAGGAACTGCGGCAGGTCCAGCTTGCCAATGGCGTGCCGCTCAATGGCAGGAAGCGTAAGAGTGACGTTGGTGAGGCCGGAGAGCAGAATGTTGGCAAGAAGCGGAAGGCTGAGACGAAAGGCGAAGAAAAGGGTCCGTTGAAGAAGCGAAAGGCGGATGCAGGTAGCGAAGTCGAGGAGCCGGCCGAGAAGCAGAAGGCTGGATGCGGGGGCGAAGTCAACGAAGTTGTCGAGCAGAACGCAGGAACGCAAGCCTCAGTCAAGGATGTTGTCAAGCAGAACGCAGGCATGCAAGACCCGGTCGAGCATGCAGAGCAGAAGCGGAAGGCAAGTTCAGAGGCCGAAATCCTAGAGGTGGTCAAGCAGCTCGTGGGCTCGCAAGGTGTTGTCCAGGAGGCCGCCATGGAGCAAACGGGCGGTGTTGAAGGCCAAGTCAAGGACGGAGTCGAGCAGAACGCACGCCCGCAAGATTTGGTCAAGGAGGCAAGCAAGAAGCGAAAGGCAGACCCAAAGGGAGAGGACAAGGAGGTGATCAAGAAGCGGAAGAGTGCTACAGACGTCGACCTCGAGTCCGATCAGGAGGTGGCAGAGAAGGTACCGAGTGGTGATAACGAGGGAATCCGGGCGAAAAAGCAGGCAACCCCGGACAGAGTGGTAACGGCTTCCGGCTTCGTCTTGTGGAATATTGACTAGTGTTGGCTGCTCTCTGGGGTTTTTGAAAGAGCAGATGGGTTTGAAGGAAGGCTTCGGCCATGGTGGTTTCTTTTGCTGTTGACTTGTACTGTTTAGATGATACCCAATGCTGCCTTTTGCGGATCGAATCGAGAAGGAATTCAACCATTGAGTTGTACGTTGCCCCTTGTGTCTTCGCAGGCCAACGGAATCCTGGGCGAGGCAGGGCATACGTGAGCTCCATGTCTTTTACAAGGTATGCTGGTTCCAAGCCAACCTCGGGATTTGCTACCACTGGTTCGATTAAGGCAGCGGAAATATGGGTCTTGAGCCTGACAAGGGAACAACTGGAGAATCTGTTGCTTGAACACCAGTCCAACATTGATAACTGACATGTAAATGTTGGCAACATCTTCTGGTCGAGCCACACGCCCTGTTGTTTGCACTCAGAGCCTGGTAAGTGGTTTGCGGAAGTCATACGCATCTGTCCCATGCCCTTATATTAACTTCAATAAAGTTCTACTTGCTTCACCTCTTCCTTGTACGGTGTTCTTATTGCTCTTATCAAGCCTTCCCTCCTCGCAACTTCTACTTATCTTTCCCGTACAACTTGCACTCGAGACCAAGACTGACATTGTCCCATCTACGAAATGGACAATACCGGCATCTCTGTCAATCTCCCTCTTCCCGTGTGCGGTACTTCGGGCAAGGACATCGAGATCAAATTCGACACCCAATATACAGGTGTAGAGGACGCCGCCGAGTTCGTCAACACATTGCTGCATAGGTCCCACGCCAGATATCACGAAGCCAAGGACACAGAGCAGCAGCGTCCAAAGCGACATAGAACTGACGAGAGTTTTGACCTCGAGCGACGGCGGGCGGGAGCCAATGAAGCAATTGTCTTCCGCATTAATGGCGCTCAGTCAACTTCTCAGTTCCGAATCAAGAGGAGTGATCAATTCAAGCGAAGCCTGGAGCTTTTTGCCGAGCAGAACAACAAGCAGTATGAGAATTTGAAGCTATTCTATGATGGGCGTTGGGTTCCTGCACAGAGTTCTCCTGCTGATGTGAGTGAGTCGTTGATACTATGCAAAGGCGAAGACTGATGAATATGTCCAAATTGATATGGAATCTGGTGAGATCCTGGAGGTGTTCGAGCTTGTTAAATGAGCAGCGAAGACGGGCCTCACTGCAATGCTGAAGGATGTCTTGCAATGAACCTTGAGGGAACGCTTGAGATTGCGTTTGTCAGAGGGTGTTCTTAAGCACTATGTTGGTGACAAAATGACGTTCAATTTTATGACCTCCTTCCCGGTTCAAATAACATTAATCATTCTAGCACACGAACGTCGAAACCCTTTCACAATTTAACCCCGAGGCTGCATATCTCATTATCCTGGTCCGAGTCGCACTGTGACATGCGGACTCTTTGGTAAGGATCATCTTTCGCAAGGCTGTAGGCGTATTCTCGAGGTGTACTGCGTAGCTTGTGGACCATACACGGTCCCTTTCCAGACGCATGTAGCGAGATCTGTACTCTGCATTGCATTCCGAGATTGCAGTGGACGGTTCATTGATATTCGTACAACATGCATGTACCTAGCGGAAGAAGTAGCACTCGAACAACGGAGACAGGTCAGGAGTAACTTACTAATTAATATCGTAAGCCAATCTACGGAAGACTAAATTAGGCTTCGCGCTTGCCCGCCACGCGATTAATCCACCAGCTACACGTCTTCCCGAACGCGTCCTCCACTTCCTCTTTTCTCCATCTCTCTTCTCAAAACACCACCGACTCCTACACCCCACAAGCAAACATGTACAACACCAACACAAATCCCATCCTCTCCATCGACGTCTCAATCTCACCTGCCGCCACCTTAAACGGCCAAGAAGTCAACGTAACGATAAACAGCAAGCTTCCGAAGTTCAACCTCATCAACAATGCATCTTCGATATACAACGCCAAACAGTCACTATCGTCCGGGCTTCAGACGCCACGACACTCGCTCAAACGACGACGCACCGACGACGATCTGCAACGAGATAGGCGAAGCAAAGACGAGAGTGTGGATTTCTGTCTCGCCGGCGTGAATACGAGGACTCACTTCCGGATCAGGCGGAGCGATCCATTCTGGCGGAGTCTTGATGCTTTTGCAGAACGGAAAGGCAAGAAGGCCGGACATTTGAGTCTCTTCTATGAAGGGGAGTGGGTTTCGAGGATTAGTACGCCGGATGATGTAAGTTCATGTTTAATGAAGAGGTGTCGAATCGTTGCGCGCGAACTGATGACTTTCGGTAGCTTGGTTTGTTCAACGGCGAGTGCCTCCATGTTTACGAGATGATCCCGTAGACATCACACCCTGCCTTCCGCGGAACATTCGAGATTTGCATGACTATGGAGCACGATGATGGACTTTGAATACCCAACCCTAGCAAGCGCTGCGAGGGGATGGGGGATTTGACGGGGAAAAAAGACGTTATAGTGAGATCTGGGTATCCTGCTGGGTTTGACAGTGGACTTGGACACGGCCTTGGGAAAAAATCAGCGGTTTGGCATTCGAGGATCACCAATGCACGTCACAGAGAGAATGGAGAACCGAACGAAGATCGGGTCAAATCCACCGAGGGTGTCGACTCCATGCTGTTGGCGGAATTGCGTCCACGGCTGCGTTTCGATTGACAATGGTTTTGTTGAGCACCAGGTGTTATGCAAGTGAGAAACCATTTAAGATGAAGAGGACGATTTCCGAGCCACTCTGCCTCAGATGCGGGGGCGTTTGGGGGACAATGCTACAATGGATTGCGGCGGGCTACGATGGGAGCAGTCAAGGTCGTGGCAGATGGAAATGCTTCTCCAATCGCAAGCAAAGGCGTGACAGTCCGGCCGGAGTGCAGCTCAAGTTCCACCGGAAACTTCAAGACTTAAAGACAACTAGGAGCCGAAGAAGAGAATCGAGGCATGTACATATATATATATATACATGAGAACCCGCAGAGAAGTTAAATTGCCCCTCATCCTCACAGCGAGACACCATTCACCCAAAGCAACCAAACCATCTCAAACTCACACCTCTCCAAAGGCAACCAATCCAACAACCATGTCCCCATCACGAACCACAGCAACAACAACAACCCTCTCCCTCCTCGCCAAAACAATCGACCACTCCCTCCTGCACCCCACCCTAACCGACGCCGACCTCGCCCGCGGCCTCGCCCTCTGCATAAAACACTCCGTCGCAAGCGCCTGCATAAAACCCTACCACGTCCCCCTCGCCAAAACCACCCTCAAAAACACCTCCGTCCTCGTCTGCGCCGTCATCGCCTTCCCACACGGCAACAGCGCCACGGAGATCAAAGTCGCCGAGGCGGAGCTCGCCGTGCGGCAAGGCGCGGATGAGGTGGATATGGTGGTGAACGTCGGGAAGGTGCTGAGTGGGGAGTGGGATTACGTGGAGGGGGAGATCCGGCGGGTGAACGAGAGCGTCGTGCGCGGCGGCGGCGCGGTGTTGAAGGTGATTTTCGAGAACGACTACCTCCTTCCGGAACATATCGTGCGGCTCTGCGAGGTTTGCTCCGCGGTGGGGGTGGCGTTTGTGAAGACGAGTACGGGGTATGGGTTTGTGAAGCGGGAGAACGGGTTGTATAGTTATAAGGGGGCGACGGTGGGGGATTTCAGGCTTATGAGGGGGGCTTGCAAGCCGGGGATGGGGATTAAGGCGGACGGGGGTGTGAGGACTTTGGATGATTTGTTGCATGTGAGGGAGTTGGGGGTTGCGAGGATTGGGGCGACGGCTACGGAGCAGATTTTGGAGGAGGCTGTAAGGAGGGGGGTTGGGGAGGAGTTGAAGACGGTGGAGTTTAGGCCGATGGAGGGGGCGGGGGATGGTGGGTATTAGGTCGGGCGTGGGTTTCGTCGTATCTGGTGTGATAGAGTTGAGCAGCGATTAGAATGCTTCGCAAAAATTCGTTAGCATATCCAGCTTCTCGCAAACAGCGAAACATGTCGGCGGCGTCCCAATAAACGATGAAGGGTGTGTTGTTTCTCTCCAACTGATCCATTAGGCTCGACTCCTCTCACGTATGGTCAAAGTTCCACATCCAAGCTTGACCGAGATCCCAAGAGATGCTATCAGATCCGGAATTCGCAGGATCTTGGGGATCTGAGAGGAAAGTCGAGAAGGCTGTATACTTGTTAGCAATTTGAATTTCCGGGGATGGGCGATATGGTGCATACCGTCTTCGAATCCTTGCAGGTTGTCGAATAATGTATTTGGGAGGTCGGGCAGGATCGCACAGCTTTCTGCAGCATCGAAAGGGCCGGATGTGGCCTGGCCTGGCGCGGCGAGGTCATCCGCTGTTTGATCGCTGGCGGCCGGGACATCATGCTGATGAGTGGAATCGCCACCGCTGACCGTCTCTACGGTGTGCTCTGCGCTCGGATTGAGAATGCACGCCAGCTCCTTCTCCAACACCAGCCTCATCAGCTTCTGCAGAATACTCATCGACTGCGATGACGGCAAGATTTCTGCCCGTGAGCCTTTCTGCAATTTGAGTATCTGCTGGACGTTTCGTTTCACGCTCGTGTTCTGTTCGCTCAGAGGGTCGATCATGGCGCTCAAGCAGAGAGCCACGCCAGCGGTGAATAAGTGCGTTTTGATGAATGCCGCTGCATAGGTATGAGCAGCGAATTTGAAGATGGGCAGAGCACCGAGCTCTACTGTCTGTGAAGCGGCTTCGCGGCACGTTGAAAGACAATTGTTGAAGATTTTGGCATCGTGTGAGATCGTTGTTGAGGATCCTTGAAACCGTGGACCGAAGTCAAAGGAAAGAAGCCGGCGATGGATCAGGATTCTTGTATTGTCGTAGGCCAGTTTCAGAGTCAACGCTTGAAGTTGAGCGGCGTACTGAGCAAACCGCTCGCCAGACGCGCCTATGTCGTGCTCGGCCTCGTCCAAGGAGTTGTAGCCCGTATCCATAGATGTTCCAATCCGCAAATGAAGAGGTAGACTTGACTGCCACTCTTCCAACTTCATGTGGAGGCCCTGCACTTCAGCAACGATGGACTGTAGGTAATTGGACTTGCTGACGGCCTCATGCTGCACCGCTCGTCTTCGGTAGATCTGTTGCAATATCTGTTTGATGATGACTGAAAGTCTAGACATCAGCTTTTTGTAAGTCAACAAGTTCGGGCCCAGCCTTGCCGGCACGAGCAAGTCATCTAAGAAGTCAACGCTGCAATCAACGTCGCAGATTGCTGGAGTGTAGCCGTACAGCATGCAGCAAAACGTCTCGACTTCATATATTGCCCACCAGCATCTCTTGCGTGTCTCGGGGACATGCAATGAATAGGATTGCGTCTGAGGCGGATCATTCGTGTCTTCTGCTGATGTTGATCGATGAAGCTCGAGTGCTTGTGCAATTCGCAAGGCACAGCCACAGATCGGCCAGGCTTTCTGTACGTTACCTCGATAGAGGTAGTACACGGATAGCAGTACACAAGTCTGTGCGGACTCTATCGTGGCGAGAGATATAATGTCCAAGAAAGATTCGTTCAACACTCGTTCGGTGTTCTTCTGAAGGACATGGCATTGCAGGCCTTGCTCTTCGAGGAGCCTTGTGCGGTAAGGACCGAGGCATTCTAGCCCAACACAGAGCACCGCGAGAAGAGTACTCAAGAAGCCTGTCAATTCCAAGTGAGCCATTGCTTGCGCGGCTCGATCGTCCAGGTAGACTTGCAATCGGTGTTTGAAGTCATCTTGATGGAAGGCTAGAACGAACCAATGCACACGATCGAAGTAGGTCTTGACGAGTAGGTCGATGGTCTCGTTACTAGGTACAGCTAAAGTCAATTTGCTTAGAAGTCGAGGTGATGACACTGGAGCCGACGACGACTTGTAAAGGCTGGTACCGGTAGAACGTAGGGGAGTGCGGCCATGATCAGCGTCAGGTGTGTCATCGTATTGGAATGCCTGTGGCCGTGAACATGAGCCAGTCAGTTAGGACACATCAGAGACTCACTGCCTCGACTAAAGCCATCGTAGCGCTCGAGTCCGCCGCAGGCGTAGGCAGTTGCAGTCCGCTAGCATCTGTACCGGGCTCCGGTGGGCTAAGTCGATTGGATTGCTCATCGTGAACTCGACGTTTCTTCGAAACCCTCGCATGGCCAGCAATGCAGTCAATACCAGCTCTCATACATAATGTGCACGGTCTCTGGTCATCGCACTATCCGCCCATCAACATTGTAAGCAAAGCCCCCTCCCGGGTTTGGAAAGACCCACCTTCAACTTTTGCTTGCGACACCGCTCGCACGCATTGCGAACATGTTTCCGTGGACGAACAGACTCCTTCGGCATGGTATCGGCAGTGCTCTGGAATTATCGAGTCCCGGTATTGTTGGATTGAAAGAGATCTGTAGCAAGCTGCTGCAGATGGAGAAGGTGCTTTCCGGTGGAGCTTGGGCGCAAGGTTCCGCCGGAACGTTCGAGAGGGTAATTCCGATGGATATGCTCCCTTTCGATACCAGCACCGTATCATTGCAGCTTAGCGGGCGAAAGATGGCCGTACAATTCCAAGCCTGGAGAAGGATGCTGAAGGTTGAACATCTATTCTATTCTCATAATACATGTCTACGCAGGAATTCCTCAATGTGGCTGAAATACCCTGGCTCGGCCACGCTGCTGTTGTGATCGCCGTTGGGTAGCTCTCTCCACATGACTTTTTGTGAACGGCAGAGTTTGAAGAGCTCTTTCATGTGTTGTGGGCTGTATGATGTGTCAGCACTGGAAAGTTGGAAGATCGAGGTTATTCGAAGACTCACGGTACAATCTCGTCCTTCAAACCGCTGAGAAACAAGATGGGAACATCCGTAATCTGCGGAATCATCTGCTCACTTCGCCAGTGCTCGTGACACAGAGGCACCAGTATTTTCGCCATGGGTAGGACTTTGGGTACCATCTTGGCGATACTGAGGAACGTGTTCTCCAGGATGAGGCCCTTGATGTCACCCGTAGCTTTGTTCTTCGCGACGAGATCGATGCTCACTGCACCACCGAGACTCTGGCCATAGATGACGATGCGATTGTTGCTGAGATCCTTTCGACTGCGAACGAAATCCAAGCCCGTCTGCGCATCGATTGCTAGACCTTTCTCGTTGGGGTTGCCGGTGGACTTGCCGTATCCACGGTATTCGACCATGAGCGTCGTGCATTGTAGTTCGTGGGCGAGGTACTTGGCGATGGGGAGCCGATGGCCGACGTTTCCTGCGTTGCCATGGAATGAGACGATCGTGATGGGTTTCGCTTGTGATTTGTTGGGCGGTTTGACCAAGAAAGCATTCAGAGTCTCGCCATCTGAGGTCGACAGTGAGAGTTCTTCGTAGTCTTGGATGCCGAATTGTTCAGGTTTGGGGACTTCAGTTCGGGCGCCTGGGGGCAGGTTTCGCGGGTAGATGATTTCGCTGTAGAATATGCTCAGCATCGCATGTGCCAACGAGCGGAAAAGAAGATGAGTACTTTTGAAAGTAGTATAGTGCACCGCTGCCCAGACTGACACTTGCAGCTCCTATGTAGAAGGGCAGCCTAAGCCAGGGCCAGATTGAGGACATTGTTGTTGCCTTGCGGGAGGCTCAGAATTTTGGGGGCGCAAGGAGGGCGAATGTGAGGTCTACACCGGTGTGTTGGATCTGGTCATTCTGGTCACCTCGCCATTGCCATTGGCTTGCATGTGTTGTCCAGGGTGTTTCCGGCAGGGTCAGATGTGACCAAGACGACGTGAAGTCAGGCGAGAAGCTTTGGCCACCGGACTGGAAGCTGTTGCTCCACGTCAACTCGCGGTGCCTGGCTGGCGAGCTTCGATCCATCACCAAACCCCCAAAACCACACATTCACCCACTCGACCTTGTCAATAACCCCGAACTCGAACAATTGACACCATCGACACGAACAAGGCGAATCCGCAATCATGATCTACCAAACGGGTGCTCTGGGCGAGGGTAGGCACGAGACATTCTATACCTATCACGATCACATGCTCACTCCATTCTAGATGGCATCCATCTCGACATGAACCACCTCAAGTCCGGCGAGGTCAATCTCGGCACATCCATCATGGCCATCAACTTCCGCGACGGTGTCATCCTGGGCGCCGACAGCCGCACGACCACCGGCGCATACATCGCGAACCGTGTCACCGACAAGCTCACACAAGTCCACGACACCATCTGGTGTTGCCGGTCAGGCTCTGCCGCCGACACTCAAGCCGTCGCCGACATCGTCCAGTACCATCTCGGCATGTACGGCATCACCAACGACGAGCCACCGACCACCCAGACCGCCGCTGCACTGTTCCAAGAGCTGTGTTACGAGAACAAGGATATGTTGAGCGCGGGCATCATCATCGCGGGATGGGATCAGAGACATGGCGGACAAGTCTACTCGATCCCACTGGGCGGCTCTCTGCACAAGCAAGCGTACTCGATTGGCGGCTCAGGTTCGACGTACATCTACGGATACTGCGACGCGAACTGGAAGGAGGACATGACCGAGGCGGAGGGCATCAGCTTCGTCAAGGGAGCACTGCAAGAGGCGATCAAGTGGGATGGCAGCTCAGGAGGCGTGATTCGGATGGTCGTGCTCACCAAGAGTGGTGCGGTACGGCATCTGTACCTGCCCGATCGAAACTACGAGGGGCCAGGCACTGAGAAGCCTTAAACGCTCGGTGTGGCATGTAGCATACGGGAATGGCGTTGAGAGAGCATGATACAGCGAGGAAAACGGCCGAGAAAGCGGCCGCACAAGATGTATGTACCAATACCCAAGGAGGCGTGTCCTCTTTGAATGTAACAAGAGGAAACACTTTCCACACACGCTGCAACAAAAGTCCCAAAGACCGAGAGCATGGTGTGGGATTGGAATGTCGTTCTGGCAGCCAGATGCGAACAATCTTCACGTGCTCTCTTCATACGCGTGGGACAGGCAGGATGGCTCGCACTACCAGCTTGAGGCGCCGGTTCCTTCCCCTAACACGCATCACTAGCTCGGCGCGGGAGGCATTGTTGATGGGATGGATGTGCTCAGGAGATGGCATGTGTAGAAAATGGAGAGAAGTACTACTTTAACTACGCCGAATCAGTTATATCTCAGATATTGCCCGATTGACTGATTCTTAGCAAGGCTCTTGTTATATGCGTTATACGAGACCCTGGAAGAGAGAGGTTCAACGAAAGCTATACGGGCGGCCGTGGCGTTGAACTAGCGAAGATCAGCCTGCCAGTGCTTTGCGATTATTCTCGATGACCTCTGGCTCGAACCAAACACCACCGTCAACGCTGCTCGCTTGACTCCGAGCACAGCGCCTCCTGAACACATTGCGAGAGCAGGGAATGCACGAGGTATGTAACTGTCTATCCCACAGAGCGCCGATCTTGGTTGCGGCCATAGCGTCATTGCTCGCCGCCCACCGCCTGTTATCGGCATCCCTCATCTACAACACCCTGCGACAACTCTCCTCCCTGATATCCCCCCACCCCAAACGACGAGCTCGCCCGCGACTGTGTTGCGCTGCCGTTCATTACCTCACGGGCGTGCAACCATCACCCGGCACCATCACCACGCCGGCGCGCTCAACATTCACATGCGACACGTGTCTCGGCAAACACCTCCACCCGACCTCCAACACCACCACCGACGACACAATCCCGACCCAGACATACCTCGGACTTCACACATGCGGACTCAACTGATTCTGTCTTCCCCAGAACATCGTCTCCCACACGCGCCTGCTCGAACCACACTCCCATAGAACATGGGCTCGGTCGTACTCGATGCCGTGAACTCCTTCTTCCACCCCTCGTCCAGCCATTCCCAACACGACATCTTCCGCGAAACACCACGTACGCATAATCAGAGTCCCCCGCCGAGTCGAAGCCGCACGCCGTCACGATCAGAGGCACATATGTCCGATTCGGCGCAGAGAGCACCTAGCTCGTCTGTCGTCGCACCACATCAACGCGCTAGTCAGAGAGATCAAGATGCGCCCGCGCAGCAGGATGCGCGCAATCCAGCACAAGCGCAGCCCGCGCAGCGACCGCCGAGCCCTCCTTTAGGAGCACAAACCGAGCCTCCACCTTCAGATGGACCTCAACCTGCGGCAGACCCAGCAGCAGATCCTCGCACGCCATCAGCGCGACCGAGGAAGATCAAGGTTCGAGATTTGGAGCACATTCAAAGCTTCGCGACGGAGGACATGCGAAGCTTTTCGGAGATTCGAAGCAGGAGCCGATCACGCTCACGCGGCGAGCGAGACGATGGACCGCAATATGAGATTAGTGAAATGAAGGTGGAGCACATTATCGAGATGGTGGCTGGTCTGTTGACCAAGATCACGACTACGAACGATTTGCAGCACGAGCACCTCCACCGACAGCCGCCTTCAATCGACGCGGCTTCCCACATGAACCCTCAAACCAGCAGCGTTTTGGCGTTCCACGGGAAGAATGTGCCGAGCATAACAATCTTGAGCTATCTGAGCAGAATCAACAAGTACTGCCCGACGAGCTATGAGGTCTTTCTGAGCTTGTTGGTCTACTTTGATCGCATGACCGAGAGGGTGAATGCAGGACCCATGCAGAGCTTGCGTGAGGCGAACTCGCAGAGCGTGGAGAGCCGCAGCTCTTCTACAGAATCACTGGGACCAGACGGCATGGAGGGAGTGACAGCGACGACGCCCTCTGGAACGCAACAAGCGACGCCACCTCATTCGGGCGGAATGGAATCTAAGAGTTCACGACGAGAGACAGGCGCGCCAGGAACGCCGCACAGCCGACCGACGCAGCCCGAATCGCCATCAATACCGCCCGAGCCTTCAGGCATCGATCCCTACAACCTATCGCACTTCTTCGTGGTGGACAGCTTTAACATCCACCGACTTGTGATTGCGGGCGTGACGTGCGCGAGCAAGTTTTTCTCGGACATTTTCTACACCAATTCGAGATATGCAAAGGTAAATCAAACCGATCAGCTGAGGAAATGACAGTGCTAACAGGAATATCCTAGGTTGGCGGTCTTCCTCTCCCCGAACTCAACCACCTCGAACTGCAATTCCTCCTCCTAAACGACTTCCGACTCTCGGTCCCTGTCGAAGAAATCGAAGCCTATGGAACAATGCTTGTGGAATTCTACGCTCGCGAGGTCGTAGCCCAGAAGCAAGCTGCGGACGCGGCCATGCAGATGAGGAGTCTCAGCGAGAGCTCCTCGGATAGCACGAGCACTGTTCGAGCTGTGGGATGAGCATAGAATGAACGAGATGAGATGAGATATCTCCACTGAACACACGAGACGAGATGAAGAGACCGGAAACGGATCCCTCGACTCGCAATGGATATGGGCCACTCAGAAATGGGCGGGCGACAACTTCCTGGACCGAATCGGATCGAAATTGATACCAAACCAAACCAACCACAACCACCTTTCTACTCACGACGATAACGACGGCGTTAAACAGAGCAGATCCTTTCGACTTCCTGTCTTCTTCGCCTAGACTTCTTTGCTGCTTTCCGAGTTTCCTCTTTTAGAGAACGAGTACGATAGAGGTTGCCTCTTTTTGCTGCTCTTCTTCTTCTTTGCGATCGACTGGACCTTTTTCTGCGCGTGTGGATTCGGCTTGCTTCGTTTTTGCCTTTTCGCAGAGTATACCCAACCAATTTTTGAATTTTTTTTCTTCTTCGATGAGCACGCCGTGGGGAAGGGACGACACGATGGGGCGTGGGACTGTGGAAGTATGATGAGATGAGGATGAAGATGAAGATGAAGATCGCTGGGGTGTGTTGCGAGCATGTGGCGCTTTTTCTGTTTCTCTGCTTTTTCTGCTTTTTTCGTCCGGCTTTCCACGTACGCGTGGAGGTTTTAGGGACTCCCTTGCGATAGAGGCGTAATGAGGTGTTTACTGGGATGGGATCGGTCGGTTTTTCTGGCTCAGCGGATCGGGGGTTGTTGCTACTTAGTTCAGTGCATGGGGAGTCGGGTAATACATGCTGAGTTCTTTGCGTTTGATCTTCTCGTGCTGGTTCTGATTTCTGGTCCTGTTGCTGCCTCTTGTCGGGATATTCTGCCTTCGTTGAGGAGAGACGATCGACCTTGAACAGACGTCTCTGCCTCTCCTTCTCGCGCCCCCATCATCCTCGCTATCTCGTGCGACTGCCAGCCACCGAAGGTTTCGATACTACGCCCTGCGATCTCGTGTGTTGCGAAAGGAGAGGCGTCATGACCCAGCCACGTGCAACGTTCCACATGATGTACATCCTTCTCCATGTGAAAGTCCGATGCTAGGGTTGTTACAGCGCTGGCTTCTTTTTCGTCGACTCAGCCACGTGCCACGGAACAAGTGAAGCTGTTTTTGGCATGACTCGTGGCTTGCAGAAACTTGATCGACGGTGCAGGTTGGTACGGAGGGACTTTTTGAGACGGTGCCTGGCGTTGGAAACTTTTTGTTTGAATGGGATGAAGAGAGAAAGGGGATGTGAATGGGATGAGACAGGAGGCCTTACTTTTATGGACTATATGGGTATTCTCATACTTCTGATGAGCGATACTCGGCTTCAGCGGTGAAGGGTATGAGTTGTCCTTCACTGTCGACGATGTTCATCACATGATTCAACGACGCCTCGGTCATTCATACAGCATGCCGCCCTGTGTTTCCCAGCGGTCCCGGCCATCGATTTGGCAGCGGTGTGCAACATGTTCGCTGGAACACACAATTCCAAGGCAATGGGCAGCCATGACGCTTGTGATTCCAACGCGGTGGACGTGGCGCGGGTGGCGTTTGTGCCCACCGACTGACATGTAACCTTTTGCTGTGATTGTTTGGCCTGGTTTGAAGGGGTGTATCACACCTCGGCATGCCAGGAGATTGTATTGACTGGACGGTCACCGAAGGCAGTTGGATGAACGCGTGGCTGTGCTCGCTGTCGTTCTGTCTGCCAGCAAGGACTTCGCGGAAGACGACGATCCAGCTGTATGATGATGCTGATTCCTGACCGTGACTTCGTCCATGCATTCAGCCTCACGATTCGAACCCAGATCCGTGGAGCATCGGCAGCTGTGGTGGCAAATCACGGATCGGCATGCCGACGCACGCGTGGGCGTCGTGATGCGAGTGGCCGCTGTCATGGCAGGGATACCTTGATGGGGAATTTCTTCTGACGGATGCTTGGACAAGGTGTTTGGGCCTCAAGTGTTTGACAGTCCTAGACGGGGTGAAACTCTGATTTTGAGGCGGGGCTGCAATTTCTCCAGATGGCACGCTTGTTTCACACCCCGTGGGGAGTAGTGAGTGGTCGAGCTTCTGCGTACGTAGATGGAGGTCGCCGAAGGAGGGATTGGAGCCGCGTTATCACGGGGCAGTGAGAGAGTGAGAGGGAATCCGACGCTGCGGTCGGTGACACGTGGAGAGCTCTGGTGGAGTCGATAGGCTGTTGATCATGAGAGGCTCAGCACATGCGGCCATGCGGAGCAAGTTGTTGCTTTTCATCACTATCAAGTCACCATCACGTCGTCGGTCGAGTCTGTCGCGTCCGTTGTGGCTTGCCGAGTCCCTTCGCGGTATGCCGAGGGGTGCATCGAGCGATGCGTAGATGGAAGTACGCGTGATTGATGCAATGCAATGCATTCTTTTAGACAGTGTCGGTATGAAGGAAGAAGCTTCGAGACGTGCAGTGCTGTTGCCCATGTGTCGGCGCGTCGGCAAGAGGGTCAAGCGAGAAGACTAAAACTCGGAAGGAAGCAGTAGCGGAAGGCTAAAGTGACTAGGATAGACCTCCTAGAATTTTTGTCGTTGGTAAACAAGGCACGCAAGGGGACTGATGTCACAGTGGTGTAATGATCAGAACTATTAGGAGAACACCCAGGATCCATCGCAACGTGACAAGCTGGTGATGCTCTCAGCGAAAACCCTCGACCATTCTTGACTCTTCCCCGACTCGGAAAGGGCGTCTGTCGTCTTTCTTCCTCCCTTCGACCTCACCTTGACCCTGGCTTCGCCGCAAGCACATGCAACCGCTGTTTGCTCGTTCCACCAAGTCACCCACCTCTCACTCTTCTGAAACTTTGCGCTCAACCGCAACTTCTTCACGAGCTTGCAACACCACTTGAGCTCACTCTCCACTACTTGCCGCTTTCCATACACCAATTCAACCTCTCAGTAGCAGCACACACCAAACCACAGGAACAGCTCGCAACGAGTCGGCACCGCCAACATGGCGACCACGTTGACTGTCACGCTGTGAGTCGGCTCAGGCAGCATCACACCTTTTAATGACATTGCTGACATCTTACCAGCTTCCTACCAAACACCGTCAACTTCCACGAGGACAAGGCAACTCCACGCCGTCGTAGCCCGCCATTCAAGCTCGAGCAGCGAGTCGCTTCCGCAATCGACCTACCAACGCGCCAGAGCGCCGCGAGTCTGTTCAATGCGGGCGGCCCAACCCCACCACCCCTCACTCCTGGCATCCAACAGCAGATCGCCAACGAGGGCTTCTTCACTCCAGGCATAGATGCGAAGAAGCGCCACTTCGCGAAGCCCGGCGATCCACGCTCTCTGCTTCGAAGCGATACCCACGCCGAATGGGGCTCGACCGGAGTCTTCAACCAGCCACGTTCGCGCGCAGGTCCTTTGCCCTCCGCTTCGATTCAGGACTTCGCAAAGGTCTACGATGAGATCCGAGAACAGAAGGAGCGCGAGCAGCGGAAGCAGGGTCGGAGAGTGACCAAGCCGTCTCCGCATGGGAACTACAAATCGCGTGCTGGCAGCTCCGAGCGAGGCTATGAAGGCAAGTCATGGACAGTGGAGCCAGCAGTCCACGGCAACGGCGGCCTAGTCAATGCCATTCGCGAGACTGCTCAAGACTCGCATGACGGCCCTGGCACCACTTGGATCGGTACGCTCGGTTTCCCAACCGACGCTCTGCCTGAGAATGTCAAGGAGGACATTGCGGACAAGTTGCTCAACGACCATCACTCGCAAGTCATCTACTGCAAGGATACCGATATCGACGGCCACTACGTTCACCACTGCAAGACCATCCTTTGGCCCATCTTCCACTACCAGGTGCCCGACCACCCAAAGAGCAAGGCCTATGCCGACCACAGCTGGAAGTTCTACAAGAATGTCAACCAGGCCTTCGCAGACCAGGTCGTTGCCAGCTACAAGAAGGGTGACACCATCTGGGTTCACGACTACCATCTTTTGCTCGTTCCCAAGATGGTTCGCGACAAGCTTCCAGACGCGAAGATCGGCTTCTTCCTGCACACTGCCTTCCCATCTTCTGAAATCTTCCGCTGCTTGTCGACCCGCAAGGAACTTCTCGAAGGCATGCTCGGCGCTAATCTCATCGGTTTCCAATCCGAGGAGTACTCGAGCCATTTTCTACAAACTTGCAGTCGCCTACTGGCCGTCGAGACCACTGCCGAGGGTGTTCAGATTGACGATCACTTTGTGAACGTCACCAACCGTCCTATCGGCATCAACCCCATCATGTTCGACGAGGCTCGTCATGATGAAGAAGTTCAGCAGTGGGTGAAGACCATCATCGAGAAGTACAAGGGCAAGACCATCATTGTGGCTCGCGACCGCCTCGATCACGTTCACGGCGTTCGCCAGAAGTTGCTGGCGTACGAGCTGTTCCTCAATCGTCATCCTGAATGGCGTGAGAAGGTTGTCATGATTCAGGTGGCAACATCGACCAACGCTCAGACGGAGCTTCTCACCACAGTTTCGGACATCTGCACCCGCATCGATTCTGTCCACTCCACGCTCGCACACCAGCCACTCGTGTTCCTTCGGCAGGACATCGACTTCACTCAATACATCGCCTTGCTCACCGTGGCTGATGTTCTCATGATTTCGGCTCTGCGAGATGGTATGAACCTAACGGCACATGAGTATGTTGCTTGTCAAGATGGCAGAGGCAGCGAGAAGAAGTATGGTCCTCTCATCCTGAGTGAGTTCACCGGCAGCGCAATCCTCTTCGGTGACTTGGCGATCCCAATCAATCCGTGGGACTACACTGGCCAGGCGGACGCCATCAAGAAAGCTTTGGAGATGGGAAATGAGGACAGGAGGGCTCGCTGGGATAAGTTGCATGCGATTGTCGAGACGAAGACCGGTGCGTACTGGGCTGAGAAGCTGAAGGAAGATCTGGACCACGCGTACCAGGAACACCACGAGCACTCATCTGCGGCTGTTCCTCGTCTGTCGGTTTCGCAACTTGTCGAGAAGTACAAGTCGTCGGAGCGGAGGCTCTTCATCATCGACTACGAAGGGACCCTCGCCCCTCACAAGACTAGTTCTGGCATTCCACTTGGCTCGCCTGTCCGTGTCATCGACACTATGAACGATCTCATGGCTGATCCGAAGAACGTGGTCTACGTCATGTCCGGACGCCGCCCAGAGGAGTTGGAGAACCATTTCCGCACGCTCCCCAAGGTCGGCCTCATTGCTGAGAACGGCTGCTTCGTGCGAGAATTCGGTGTTCAAGAGATCGAGTGGACGCACTTTGTCGACCTCGATACGGTCGCTCAGTGGAAGCAGCAAGTCCGTACTATCCTCGAGTACTACCAAGAGAGACTGGAGGGAAGCTACATCGAAGAGCGTCGCTGCAGTCTCTTCTTCCGCTACGAGAAGTCCGTTGATCAAGAGGCCGCCATCCGCCAGGCTGGTGAGTGTGTCGATCAGATCAACGGCTCGTGCAAATCCATGCGTATTCACGCCGTGCCTATCAAGCAGGCTGTCTTGATCGAGCAGGAGGACTTTAGCAAGGGCACCGCCGCTAAGCATGTCTACGACACCCTGTGCGACACTTCGAAGGGCTTGTCGAAGCCAGACTTCATGGTCGTCGCCGGTGACGACCGTGAAGACGAGGTCATCTTCAAGTGGGCTAACGAGCTCGACAAGAAAGGCGAAGTCGAAGACGTCTTCACTGTCACGGTCGGCAAGCGCAACACCACTGCCCAAGCCACCTTGACGCAAGGCTCGACTGGCCTCCTCGCCGCTCTTCAGAAGCTCAACAAGGTCTCAGCGGACGCTCTCCCGCGCGACTACTTCAACCTTCCACGCAACAAGACCTTCCCTTCGTGATTCACATCACGACCACACACAGCATCGGCGCATGATGAGGAGTACTTTGGACGTCTTGGGCGATTGCAGGACAGTCGTACCAAGGCGTATGCATCCAATCAGCTTGATTGCTTTACGCGAGATGATAGCGACGATACCCAGAACTAGCGTGCGTGTTTTTTGGGCGGGTTCGGCGTTTTCACTAGAGAGGGAGGGATGGCTTTGCTCTTTGCTCCTCTGTCGTGTTAGATTAGACAGAGATGGAATGGCTATGCAGCAATGCGATTCGAACCAGAGCCCGTTTTCTCTTTGTTGTCCATCGACTCGTTTTCTTTGTGCCGTGTCCGTCTCCTGCTCACTGTCAGAACAGCTGCCTCTCTTTGTCCTCGAAAGTTGAGTCCAGTCGACACCCTTCGGAATGCCTCGACGCTCTTGTTCTCCAGACAATTACACACAAACACAATATCCATCCAAATAACCATCTCTCGACCCAACTAATGAAATCAATCCACCTCCTATCCCTCCCCATCCTCACCCTCACCCTCCTCGCTCTCCTCCCCCTCCCCCTCGCCACCTCCGACTACACCAACGCCCTCGCCTGCGCCCGCCGCAACCCCTCCATCAACGCCGCCATCTCAAAACTCTGCACCCGGCGCGACAAAGCCGGCAACCTCTTCAACAAAATCGTCGTCCCCTCGCCCTACACCTCCCAAGGCGCGACGGTCGATGGGGTCAGAGTGAGAATCACGGGCACGTGCAGTCCGCCGCAGTGGGTGCCGCTGCAGTATTGTGGGGCGCAGTTTCATGGGATTTGTGCGGGTGGGGGGAGTGTGGGGAGGTTTGGACGGAGCGGGTGTCAGGTTTGGAGGATTGAGAGGGTTGATGGGGGACGGGTGGCGGGTTTGGTTGGGGAGGTTGTGGAGGGGATGGGGAGGGTTAGGGAGGGGGGGGGGAATTTGGTGGGGGCGGTTAGGGGTGGGTGATGAGGCTGTGGGAGGGGTGATGAGGTCGCAGCAGAGATGGGGGAGGATGAAGGTTTTCTTTAGGGAGATGGTGGAGTTGAGGAGAGGGACTTCGTGTTCATGTATGGTACGCATGGTATACTTGCCTCTCAAACGTCGACCAGCCATGGAAAGACCTACCTTTCAAAGCTGCTGTGAAGAGATCTCTCCTCCCGATGCTTGTATCCCTTGCCTTCGCTAAGACAACAAATCGTCTCCCGAACTCGATACATACCCCGTCTCCATCCATTGAGCGTTTAGCTAGTCCGACCAAGTATCACTACTCCGTCTTCATTTTCGAGATCGCCATTCGTCAACAGGGACTCGTGCCAGGTCTAGGTGTAGTCGTCGGTGTCGGAGAGGGGCCTTTGAGAGAGCGCTTCTGGTACAGGGGAGATGCAGGAGGGCACAGCGCTGTCCACGCTCGTCGAGGACTGTGCGGGCGTATGATACCGGGAGCTTTCTATACCGTAGGATCGCTAGGTCCCAGTAGGGTAGGGTTGTGGTGTAGTAGGACTTGTCGTTGTGCCTTCTTCCTCGTGCAATTCTTTGATCGCGACGCGGGAAGTCAGTTCTCGCGCAGTACGTGTTGGCGAGTCATTGTATGTGACAAAGGTGCGATACAGTGCTCCAGTATACTCTTTCTGTAGAAGAGGCCAGTCGTGTCGAAAAGCGGCGACGGCCAAAGCAGCTGGGGATCGTGTCCACAAAGACTCGCATTAACGTAGCATGACTCACCACTCACATACCACCTCTCGCACAACCCGCATACACGAACCACTCCAATGCAACAGCATGGCAGTGGTCAGGAGGTGTCTCGCGTAGTCATCGGACAGGCCGAGACCTGATGAAGTGCGAATAGGCTCAGCAAGATTGGGAGGAGCGGAGAGCAAAACCGATACGAACCCCGTTTCCGTCGTCTAACCAACCAATTGTATCAACGGGTCGACCGGCCCCGGGACAACTCCTTCATTCGGCATCCCACTAGGGGAGGTGGCTTTGTCTCAACGTCCTCCTCTTTTCCAATGGCTTCTGCAGAGGCGCGCACTACGTCTCGCACGTGGCAATAATGTGCTCTCCTGCTTCTTGAACGCCGTCGGTGTTGCTCTTAACGCCGTATGCAAGCACGCAAACAGAGGGTAGCCGGAACGTGGAATGTGCTTTTTCCGGTGTCACCATCAATTAAACCGTGCCGGACGAAAAAGAAGAGTCGTATTTCCCACTGGTAGACCGTTTGTTGTTGACGTCGCGTTCGCGCTTCGCTAAACAAGGTACTTGCTCAAGGCTGCGACTTTTCTTCTCTCTTCGGGTGCTGGCTCGTTTAAGTCTTCTCTTTCGCATTCTGTTTGTTGCTTTCCCGCTGGACTTTCAAAAGTGCGAAAAGAGAAGGTACTCGGGTGGCGGTGCTTTTCTCCATCACCTCTGCTTCGCTTTCTCTCATAAGCGACACACTACGAAGAATTCTGAGTCACGGCGCCAAATACACAGAGGAGACAGTGCACTATTTGCGGTTCAAAAGTCCTTCTACACGCAGTTTAGAGAATCGACAGAAACCAGAAAACAGCCCACTTCGCCCAGCATGAAGTTCTTCCGCAAGCGAGAAGATGTCCAAACATCAACACACAGTCTCCCCTCATCACGCAACGGCAGCGAAGGCGACATGGAGAAGAAGGACGGCCCAACCGAGTCGACTACACCCGTTGTAGCATCCGTCGCCCCTTCGGACCAAGCAAGCGATCATGACGGCCTCGATGCGACCCAACAGCAAGAAGAAGAAATCGAATACCCCAAGGCCATGAAGCTCGCCCTCATCATGATCGCGCTGTGTCTTTCGGTTTTCCTCATGGCGCTCGACAACACCATCATCTCCACCGCCATCCCCAAAATCACGGATCAGTTCCACTCGATCAACGACGTCGGTTGGTATGCCAGTTCATATTTGTTGACGACTTGCGCGTTCCAGCTCTTCTTCGGCAAGCTGTACACTTTCTACAGCATCAAGTGGGTGTACTTGACCGCTATTGGCGTTTTTGAAATTGGTTCTGCGGTCTGTGGTGCGGCGCCGAACTCGACTGCTTTGATTATTGGACGTGCGGTGGTGAGTATTTTCCACATTGGGGTTGTTGAACGAGGCTAATGTGCAATAGGCTGGACTTGGCTCTGCTGGTATTTTCGCCGGAGCTATACTGATCCTGTCGACTGTCGCGCCTCTTGAGAAGCGTGCACTCTACATGGGTGTTGTTGGAGGGATGTATGGTATTGCCTCTGTTGTCGGTCCTTTGATGGGTGGTGGTATGTTCGATTCCTTGCATTCTTCTCCACAACGAGGAAGCTGACATTCTCGACAGCTTTCACAGACCACCTTTCATGGAGATGGTGCTTCTACATCAACTTGCCTATCGGCGCTGTGACGGTGCTCTTCATCATCATCTTCTACCACCCTAAAGCCAGCGCCAAGAGCCTCGGAGCCACCTGGAAGGAAAAGTTTGAGCAATTTGATGTGTTCGGTACCATCATCTTCTTGCCAATGATCGTCTGCCTCTTGCTGGCGCTACAATGGGGAGGAAGCAAGTACGAGTAAGTGCAACAGCCGTACGGAGTTCGAGTATTGGGTCGTCGCTAACCCTCCTCCTCTCCACAGATGGAGCAATGGCCGCATCATCGCCCTCTTTGTCGTCTTCGCCGTCCTTCTCGTCGCCTTCATCGCGATCCAATTCTGGAAGAAAGACAACGCCACCGTTCCACCCCGAATCATCAAGCAACGCTCCGTCGCTGCAGCCGCATGGTTCGGAGCAACCCTCGGTGCCGCCTTTTTCACATTCGTCTACTATCTGCCCATCTGGTTCCAGGCCATCAAAGGCGCAAGCGCTGTCAGGTCTGGAATCATGAACATCCCCTTAATCCTCGGCCTCGTCATCGTTTCCATGATCGCCGGTGGTGCTGTCACGGCGCTAGGATACTACACACCATTCGTCATTGCCTCCAGCGTCCTACTGTCTATTGGCGCCGGCCTGCTCACGACGTTCGAACCCACCACCGGATCCCCCGAATGGATTGGCTACCAAGCCCTCTTCGGTATCGGCGTCGGATTGGGAATGCAACAAACCATCATCGCCATCCAGGCCGTCCTTCCTACAGCGGACGTCCCTATCGGCACAGCCATTATCATGTTCGCCCAAACTCTCGGCGGCGCGCTGTTCGTCTCTGTCGCCCAGAACGTGTTCACGAACAGTCTTCTCAAGAACCTCAAATCCCTCGTACCCGATCTCGACCCTGCGAAGGTTCTTGCAGCGGGAGCCACGACACTGCAGCAGGCTATTCCGCCGCAGTATCTTACAGGCGTGAGGGAGGCCTACAATGGGGCAATCACAGATACGTTCTATGTGGGTGTTGCATTGGGAGCTGCATCAATCGTGGGTGCGGTGTGTTTCGAGTGGAAGAGCATCAAGGGGAAGAAGATTGAGATGGTTGCTGCATAAGAGATCTGCTTTCTGGGTTGATTGGATTGCTTGCTTTTCAAGCGCGGCGCTGGGGGTTTTGGGCACACGGGAGTACAGACTCAGCTCAACGAACAGTTTTGAGGATAGAGGATAGAAACATACGAAGGGATGGGTAATAGATGTACGAGTATACCAGACGACAGTACGGAGACAGGATCAGTCGAAGTTCGACTCTTCAACGTCAAGTATGGTCTCGATTCCTTTCCAACCCTCACGAGGAGCTGCAAGAGATTCCTCTCACGAGGAGCTCGACGCTGTACGCCTTCAACATGGAGATGCGAGTCCTCTATTCATTCCTTCCACCAAAGACAAGGCCAGGCATACCTACCTTCGACCACATCTTCCTCCGTCCCACAATCCCACAACAACCCATACCCATCCCCATCCCCATCCCATCCCCAAACCAACCCTCATGCATGCACTCCGACCCTCGCCTACGCCCCATCCCCCTCATCACACCCCAGCAAGCACCCACCCGAACAAACCCTCGGGCATACTCGGAACACGTCCCTCTTCCTACCGATACATATCCCTTAATAACATAACCACCCTGCATTCCGCTTACATACTAACGAGACCCTCGAATAGTCGGAACACTAGTATGTGGCACATGCTATTCCCGGTCGCGTATCCCCCGCAGATTCCTCGTCGTTCGTGAGTCGTGGTGACTTTCCTGTTCGTCTTGTTGGAATCTGGAGTCGGGAATCGTTGCCGAGATTCGGTGGGGATTAATCCGAGCGACAACGATTTCCTCGATTCTTGTTTTTTCTTTTCGCGTCTGGTCAAAAGAGGTGATCGACTTCGGAACAATAGCGCCCGTCATGTGGAAAGGGAAGGGTAGGATCGGATGCGACATTTTGTAGAACTTTTACCTCGGGCAAGTTCTTCTTCGCGGTCGTCGATCTTTGCCTGTTCCTGTCTTGGACGCATGTGCTCGGCCTGGGCTGCTTTGGGGAATTTTTTTTTCCCATGTGACATGTGATGAGGATGACTTGCGAAGTCGCAGGACTTAAGATTGTAGATTGAGGTGAGGACAGAAGTGAGGTTGGCAGTGAGGTGGGGAGTGTGGGTGAGAGTGAGGGTAGAACTTGGAAGTGAATAAATGAAAGTGATCATGGCAGTGAAGATAGCATTGAAGGGTAGAGTTTGGAAGTGAGCCTAGAGGAGCAACAAGTAAGCATAGCAGTGAGGACAGCAGTGAGCATAGACGTGAGGACGGACGTGAGGATAGCAGTGATTGCAAACACTTCATCTTAACTCAAACATTCATTCATCATTGAGCTACTAAACTTCCAACAGCATAGCTAGTTCTCTTCATAACAGCGTCCCCAGCCTACTTCACGATCTTGCATATCAAGTCCTGCGAATCCACGGAATCGCCCTCCTTGACACTCAGCGCCTCGACCTTTCCAGAGTGCGGTGCAGAAATCACCATCTCCATCTTCATAGCGCTGAGAATGGCGATGGGGTCGCCCTTGTTGACATCGTGGCCCTCCTGCAGACGGACCTCGACGACCATACCCTGCATCGGCGCGCCGACCTGGCTGCTGTCGTTGGGGTCGGCCTTGGCGCGCGACACGTTCTCGATGGCGGCGTGCTGGTCCGTCACGGTCACGGCTCGCATCTCACCATTCGTCTCGAAGAAGACCTCGCGATTGCCCGTCTGCTCACTAAGCGGACCGATTGCAAGGAGCTTCAGGATGATGATCTTGCCCTTCTCGAGCTCGACGTGGAACTCCTCGCCGATTTCTGGCTTGTTGAGGAAGTACTTGGTGGGCAGGACGGAGAGGTCTCCGAATTTGGACGTCCACTTCTTGTAGTCCTCGAACACCTTCGAATACATGACGTAGCTGGCGACGTCGGTCTCGGAGCAGCCGCCCCAGTCTTCCCTCAGCTTCTGGCGGACCTCGTCGAAGTTGATGGGCTTGAGGTAGTGTCCTGGTCTCTTGTCCATCTTTCTACGGTCACGGAGAGCCTTGGAACGGAATGGCTCTGGGAAGCCACCGTATGGCTGGCCCATCAGACCCTCGAAGAACTCAAGTACTGATGAGGGGAAATCGAGCTGTTCGGCCTTCTCGTGCACATCCTTTGGTGTAAGGTTGTTGGCGACCATGAACTGAGCAAGATCACCCACGACCTTGGAAGTTGGCGTGACCTTGACAATGTCTCCCAGGAGATCGTTGGCCTGTTCGTATGCCTTCTTGGTCTGAGCCCACTGCTCACCGAGACCTTGTTGGGAAGCTTGGAAGATCAAGTTGGTGAGTTGACCACCTGGGATCTCGTGCTCGTAGACTTCTGGATCGGGGCCGGTGAGCCATGCCTCGAACGGTGAATACATCATGCGGACTTGAGCCCAGTACGCGTCGATCTGGCGGAGCAGGGTAGCATCCAGTCCGGACTCGAAGTCGCTGCCTTCCAAAGACGCGACAAGAGCGCCAATGCTGGGCTGCGACGTAGTTCCAGACAAGCTGTCAGTCGCGGCATCCACACCATCTGCACCAGCTTGAGCGCAGGCGACCATCGATGCGACACCGGTACCGGCTGAGTCGTGAGTATGGACGTGAATAGGGAGGTCTGGGTACTTCTTGCGGATCGTGCCAACCAAGAGGGTCGCAGCCTTGGGCTTGAGGACACCAGCCATGTCCTTGATGCCTGCAAATGGTTAGTCGATGTTCAAGTCGCCTGTCTTCTTTCATATCTTACCGAGAATGTGAGCGCCCATCTTGACAATGCGGTCAACGCATCCCATGTAGTACTCGAGATTGTACTTCTTGTCTGGGTTCAACATGTCACCAGAGTAGCACTAGATTGGCGAACAGTCAGCAATCTCATCTGCGTATGTGGATGATCGATACTTACCACTGTACCCTCAGCAACACCTCCAGCCTTGAGGACGGCCTTGACACCGACCTCGAGCTGCTCCATATCGTTCAATGCGTCGAAGACACGGAAGATGTCCATACCATTCTTCTTAGCTTGTTCGCAGAAATGATAGATGGCGTTGTCTGGCAGCGACGAGTATGCAACACCGTTGGCGCCACGGAGCAGCATCTGGAAGGGAATGTTGGGCACAAGCTTCCTCATCTCTCGCAGACGCTTCCACGGGTCCTCGTACAAGAATCGCATGGCCACGTCAAAGGTAGCACCACCCCAGCACTCGAGAGCCCAAGCGTTGCTGAGCGCGTAGCTGGTCTGGTTGGCAATATTGAGCATGTCGATGGTTCGCATTCTCGTTGCCAGCAGAGACTGGTGGGCATCACGCCACGTGGTATCCATGATCAAGCAGCCCTTGTTCTGTCTTACTGCCTTGGCGAAGGCCTCTGGGCCCTTCTCAACGATGATGTTTCTCCATCCCTTCTCGCTCGGCTTTGAGGTGTCGATGACGTTGCCCTTGTGGTCGGTAAGATCTGGAATGACAATCTCGCCCTTGAGCTTGGACTCGCCAATTTGGCCCACGACCTGTGGACCGTTGACGATGAGCTCGCTAAGGTAGCTGAGCAGCTTTTGGGCGCGGTTCTGGCTGCCAACAAGCCTGAACAGCTCGGGTGTGTCATCGATGAAAGTCGTCCAGCACGTGCCGTCGATGAAGGTCGGGTTGGTGAGGAGAGAGGTCAAGAATGGGATGTTCGTCTTCAGGCCGCGAATACGGAACTCAACCAGAGCGCGGAGAACCTTTCTACGGGCGATCTCGTAGGTGGAGCCGTGGCAAGTGCACTTGACCAACATGCTGTCGTAGTAAGGTGTGATGACTGCGCCGGCGAATCCGTTGCCACTGCAAACTGTTAGTAGCAAAACTACCGTGGTGTTTGAAAAGTGAACTTACCCGTCTAATCGCACCCCATTTCCGCCGGCGCTTCTATAAACCTCGATCTTGCCGGTATCTGGGCTGAAGCCATTGGCAGGGTCTTCGGTAGTGATACGGCACTGGATGGCGAAACCGCGCGTAGAGATGCGATCTTGAGTAAGGCCGAGCTGCTGGAGCGAAGCACCAGCTGCAATCTGAATCTGAGCTGCCACAATGTCGATGCCAGTGATTTCCTCAGTGATGGTGTGCTCGACCTGGATACGTGGGTTGATCTCAATGAAGTAGTGGCGGTTCTCTTGGTCGACCAAGAACTCAGCAGTACCGGCGTTGCGGTAGTTGGCAGACTTTGCGAGTCTGACGGCATCGTTGAGGATCGCGTCTCTGGTCTCTTGTGGGAGGTCCTTTGCTGGCGCCAGCTCAACGACCTTTTGGTGACGACGCTGCACAGAGCAGTCACGCTCGTACAGGTGAACGACGTTACCGTAGCTGTCACCGAGCAACTGCACTTCGATATGCTTCGGTCGGTAGAGGAAGCGCTCAATGAAGACGGTGCCGTTGCCGAATGCGGACTTTGCCTCGGAAGTGGCACGCTCGAAGGAGTCCTTCAGCTCTTCTTGCTTCCAGACGACACGCATACCTCGGCCACCACCACCAAAGGCAGCCTTGATGATGATGGGGAAGCCATACTCATCGGTGAAGGTCTTGGCCTCCTCGAATCTGGCCACTGGGCCAGGAGTACCAGGAACGGTGGGGACATCCGCCTTCTGAGCCAGAATACGGGCTGAGACCTTGTCACCAAGGTCGTTGATGGTCTCTGGGCGGGGTCCGACCCAGATAAGGCCAGCGGCTTCGACGGCCTTTGCAAACTCGTAGTTCTCGCTGAGAAAGCCATAGCCGGGGTGGATAAGGTCGACACCTATTAGACGCATTAGAAACTGCTCAATGTCTCCAAAAGTCATGCATGCTCAATGGCGTAGTAGCCTTGTTGGGCAGCTTGGTGCTTACCGTGTTCTTTAGCGATCTTGATGATCTCGTCACCTGCGAGGTATGCTCCGACGGGCGTGTATTGCCCTCTCTTTCCGATAACATAGGCCTCGTCGGCCTTCTGCCTGTGCATGCCCAATCGGTCCTCATGACTGTAGACAGCCACGGTCTGGAGGGAGAGCTCGTGTGCGGTACGGAAGATACGGATGGGGATTTCGCCTCGGTTGGCGACGAGAATCTTGTTGAGCTGCATGATGGAGCTGTTGGCCCTCAGGCGCGAGTGGACGGTATTGGCATTCTGGTGGGTGTCGCCGTCAAGGTGCGGCGTGCCGAAGTCGCCGTCGACGACAGCGGATTCGTTGTTCGACATGGTCGCGGTTGCAGCCTCTCCCAGCTACTCTGCTGCTGCTCCTCAGGGTGTGCTAGGAGTCAGTCGCGTGGACGGCTGTAGCAGGAGGGAGAAGCAAGTTCAATGGTGACTGGAGTTGAATTCGACCGAAGATCGAGCTCGAAGCTATGACGAGGGGCTAAGGACTGCTTGCAGGAGCTAGTAGACGCGTTTCCTCGGCTACAATAACTCTCGATAAGCTTCGCTGAATGAGAGCGCGGGAATTAACAATGAACCCGACTCTATTTCGTCCTCGGCGAGGTTCGCGAGGAGCTGGATCGATGGTGCAGTAGTTTGCTGGAGAAGTACAGGGCAGTGGAGGTGGATCTGGGGAGGAGACGAGGAGACGAGGACAAAGGAAGGCTTCCAACGATCCTTTTGATCAAGGAGCAATGGGCATTGGCACAAGGCTCGTTGCCCGTGTAACGCTGCAATTACTTTTTTCGAAAAGAACCGTTCACCCCCACTCTGACTTCCAGCCAGGTCCTCCCAACCACCAGCCCTCAGCCCACTCTCCCTCACCGCCAAGCTCAGGCAGGCGACGACGACGCCCAGACTTGGGCAATCGCATTGGGTAACGCTACATGAGGCGGGATAAGCATCCGCTCAACCGCCGCAGGAACATCATCGTTGTCCAAGCGCGGGCTTGCACATCCATACCGTTCGAGTTTGTGCCACTGTGTGGTTGAAAGCCGAGAGGCCAAGTCTCCGAAGTCCAAAGGCCATGTTCAGCTTCACGCGTCACAGTTGCTGCAGAGACGCCGTGTTGGACATGAGAAAGCGTCGTGCCTTGTTTCTCACAACTCACCGCAAGTGAGGCTTCCAATCATCCCATACAAGCCACCCACGGGCTCATCACTTTGGCTGTTTCAAAGCTTGCAAAAGGCATGTATCAACTCCGTGCTTGTTCTCGTTATTCTTTCTTGGAAGCTGAGTTGTCGGTCTTGGCTTGATAAGAAACGTTGCTTCGCGCCTGGAAAAGCCACACAGCAAGCATCTCCGAATGATGCAAAATTGGGACCAGCCAAGAAACCCAAGAAGACCAAGCTTGAAGATCCGGCAACGGGCGTCATGTACGACTTGTTGAGCAACGGAAGATTGTCAAGGTGTCTGTACTGTTTCGGGATCCGGGAAAGAAGCCGTGATGAAAGCATCGCAGTGTGCGAAAATGGAGGTGAGTTGGGGGAAGTTTCGGCATTGCGGTGGAGCAGTTTGATTCCGATTTAGCAGTCCTCACATCAGGGTGGGCTCATAATAGCGACAACATATCGAATCTCCGTCTCCTGCAACACATGCTACGAGTGAGGTCAAGCCGAAATACACGTGGAGGACCTACTGCAGACAGAACAAGTGCTCTCTTTCTAGGGAAGCAGCGGTGTCCGTGGCCGGACAATTAATTTTCCATGTATCAGACGGACATGTCCTCAAGTCTAAAATATGGCAAAGACACTAATACAGACATCACGAGCCGAATAGTGCAAGTCGAGAGGAAAAGAGTCCGTGAAGGTTACGACGTTCGATCTGGATCCGCAACTTGACCTCACTTGCTACGAGAGCCTCGCCTTTACGTTCCTACAGTGCGGACTTCACTCGAACCGTCGACGAGTCAGTTTTGTAAGATACTTAATGCTGGGCCCAATAATGGAAACCCCGCTGAAATGCGGTCGCTGTTGCTCGCTGTCGACATCGACAGGACCTTATCACGAATTGGTCGAATTTTGGCGCGTGTGGAAACTTATATGCGACTTATACCACCCAACACAAGTCCGCAAATGGGCACGAGATCTTAGAAGGCGTTCAAGAATAAAGCGTCCGGGCACGATGGGTGATTGATTCGAGTTTCACATTCTTTCCTCATTTTCGTTTGATTTCGTACTTCAATGACAGCGAAGGGGCTGGTCTGAAGGACATCGACATCACCTGAGGATGCACATCTTCCATCAAACCCAAATGGCGACAGCTTGCCTGTCTTCGCGTTCAAGTACAACGCTCATATGTGCACGAGCTCTATTGCGAGCTGGGAAGTCGAGAGAACATGAAGGTACGCCCAAGAAGCCAGCTCATATCACCCACCAACCACCAACCACCACAACACCCCGAATTGGTTCAGATGCATTCAAGTCTATCCAGTCTGCTGCCTTCGTTACCATGTGGTTGGATCCACCACGGCAGACATCCAACAGCCGTCGAATCGAAGGACAAGCTAATGCAAGCAAAGCAGCGCCAAACGGCACCGAGCTGCAGGTATGTGTTGTACTGCTTCACTTCACCCGTGACGTCGACGCCTCATCAACATGGACATACTTCGAGAGATGGAAATTAAGCCGCTGCTCGAGGGATGGCCCCTAACGACCATCATAGTCGCACTCCTCGCAACATGGACAATCTACTCAATCAGCATCATCATCTACCGTCTCACCCTCCACCCCCTGGCGAAGTTTCCAGGACCAAAGATAGCAGCCTGCACCCAGCTCTACGAATTCTACCACGACGTCCTCCGCAGCGGCCAATACCAATTCCTCATCAACAATCTCCACGACCAATACGGCCCCATAATCCGCATCTCCCCTTACGAACTGCACATCTCCTCCCCAGACTTCTACTCCCAACTCTACACATCCGCCTCCAACCCCCGAGACAAATGGAAATTCTCCGCGGACATGGTCGGGACGCCGTCGTCGTTTTTCGCAAGCGTAGAGCATCACGTCCATCGAGGGAGGAGGATGCCGTTGAATAAGTTCTTTTCGAAGAAGAGTGTCTATGAGCTTGAGGGGAGGATCAGTGGGCATGTCGAGAAACTCTGCAAACGGATTGAGGAATTCAGAGGGACCGGGAAGCCATTGTCGCTTCGCTACGCCTTTGCAGCATTGACGATCGACGTCGTGAGCGAGTACGCCTTCGCCAAATCCTACGGCGCCTTGGACGACCTCGACTTCGCCCCTTACTGGATGGACGCCGTCGACTCGATCCTCGAAGGCTGCTACATCAACCAGTTCTTCCCCTGGCTCCCAGCTCTGATGAAGAACCTCCCGCTCTGGGTGGTAGAGAAACTCAACCCACATATCACAACCGTGATAAAATACCAAAAGGACCTCAGCGAGCAAATCCAAACCATCATGGACAACCCAGAGCAAGACAAAGAAACTGACAACCTCACCATCTTCCACGAGTTCCTCACATCCCCGGACCTGCCTCTCGCCGATAGGAATCTGACGCACTTCACCGAAGAAGCCCAGAATCTCATCGGCGCGGGCCAGACGACGACGGCGCATCACTTGAACACTACCATGTTCCACATCCTCGACAATGCAGACGTCCTCGCGCGACTGAAGGGAGAACTCGAAACCGCAATGCCGGACCCAAGGATCCTCCCTCCACTACACGAACTCGAGAATCTCGAATACCTCTCCGCCGTACGCCCCACCCCCTCCCCTACCAAACCAAACCCTCTCTAACCCTCTCCAGGTCATAACCGAAGGCCACCGCCTCTCCCCCGGCAACATCCACCGCCTTGCCCGGATCTCCCATGACCCCATCCCAACGCCCTTCCCCACACCCACCGCCCCAACACACCTAATCCCCCCAAACACCCCAATCAGCATGTCCATCCTCACCCAGCACCACACCCCCTCCCTCTTCCCCTCGCCCAAAACCTTCTCCCCGGCCCGCTTCCTCTCCCCGCCATCTCAAGACCTCAAGAGATACGTAGTCCCTTACAGCAAAGGCACGCGGAACTGCATCGGCCAGAACCTCGCGCAGGCGGAGATTTACATGGCGTTGGCGGCGGTGGTGAGGAGGTTTGAGGTGGAGGTGTGGGAGACGGAGCGGGGGAGGGATATCGATGTGGTGTTTGATTTCATTACGCCCAAGGCGAGTAGGGAGAGTAGAGGGTTGAGGGTGCTGGTTAAATGAATGAGCGTTCATGTGGAAGGAAGGGAAGGGTGAAGTGAGGTTGAAAGTTTTGAAAACCAAGCGGGATTAGATGTCTTGCTCGCTCTCTAATGTACAACCAGATAGCAGCACTCTCAATTCGCAAGGCGAGGCAAGGTAAAGCCAAAAACAACTTCATAAAACGCGGCGACCTGAGAAACGCCCGCTGTGAATATGCTGTTTCCCTCCCCTTGCTCAGATACAACCCAGCCGTATCCTTGCTTTTTCACACTCTCATCTGCTCGCTTTGATACACACCTAGCATTACAACATCGTACTCGGACGCTCATTATCTGAATCCACCGGCCATGCCGCCGTAGCCTGTTGGCTGAGGGATGATGCCGTTAGGCTGCGCCATGCCATATGGTGATGGCGCTTGGTTCTGAATGGGGCCTTGCGTAAGCATCAGTCTCGACTGGCCAAGGATTGGACCGGTATCCTCATCCTTCTTCTCCGAGGCTTCACGAGCCTTGCGCTCCTCATTGTCACGCTTGAGCTCAGAGATGGCTGACGCTTGTTGCGACATGTAGTTGATCATGAAAGGCATGGTGAAGTCGTTGAGGCCGTGACGCCATGAAATCTCCATGACAGTATGCAGTGGGATGAGGTCGTAGCAGGCGTACAGCATGCCAACGTAGCATTCCTTGCTGCCGATGTCGACGAACTGGTGGATTATTAGCATCTGATCCAACTAATGATGGGCAAAGTGCTTGACTTACGTAGCGCAGAAGCTCCTCGACAACCTCCTCCTTGGTCGAGATTGCAGCAGTCTCGATGGCGTCCTTGTACAGCTTGTCCTGCTTCGAAAGCGCGATCGACTTATCCCATCGCTTGTTCTTGCGGTAGATGCTGGCGGCGATCTGTCGGAAGAAGACAAGGTCGTGCTTCTCGAGTCTCTGCGCGAGAGCAACTGCCTCGTAGTTGTCGAAGTTCTCGACACTATCACGCAGCTGCTTGTAGTCCTCTTCCTCGATGAGCAAGTCGTTGATGGCGTCATTGACAGCACGCTTGTTCTGCGACTGTACGTTGAGCAAGAACGGCTTGATCAGCGGGATGTTGTCAGACTTCTCGAACATGCGGACGACACGGTTGACGTCGATACGTGGCGTGAGGACTTGCAGCAGATCCGTGAGAAGCGAGGGTTGCTCTTGCAAGTAGAAGTTCAGGGCGCGGTAGTAGATCTCCAAGTTGGCGACCTTGACAATCGTCTCCTTGAAAGTGTGGTGCTCCCATGCATCGGCGGCACGCTCCATCATCGCGAGAGCGGCGTTGTCGTATTCGTCGTAGTGGGCGTACAAGAAGACAAGCTCAGGCCAGAGATGTGCTTCCTCGCAGGCACGAATGGCCTTGGGAATGTTGATACGACCCCAGAAGATACGAAGATGCTCCATAACCCGGTCGGGGTGGTATTTGGTCAGCGCAATACCAAGCTCGGTGAACATGCCTGCGAAATTGTTAGCGTACGCTCTCGGCGCGACGAAACGGATACGACTTACCCATATGAGCCCGCTCAAGACCCAAACCAGCCTCAAGCAGCGAGATGAGCTCGTCAAAGTAGCCATTGCGCTCGTATTGCTTGACAAGGTCGGTCAACTCTTCGGCGTGGACAATTAAGTTGAGACCGCAAATCTGTGCCAGACGGAACTCCTTCTTGGCCACGCATGCCTCGTTGACCTGCTTCCACACCTTGACGCTATTCGCTTTCCGCGCGCACTCGACAGCGGCTTGGTAGTCTTCCAAGTGCACGAGAGTGGTGGCAAGCTTGGCCCAATTCGAGATGGAGGTGAAGAAGATCTTGGCGGCCTCGTGGTAGCCCTCTTCATAGGCCTTGTCACCGGACTCCTCGATGTTTGCGACGTTTGAGGATCGGAGGAAGTCCTCGAGCTCTGGAAGCTGGTTGGTGCGAGCGTAGCAGAAGGCGAGAGCAGTGTCGACCGGTGGTTCGCGGAGGGTCTTGCGAGCCATCTTGAGGAACTTGATGAGGTCGTCATCTTTGCCAGCGTGAGTGGCAGTCTCGATGACCTCGAGGTAGTTCGATGGGTCTTGGGCACGGATGTACGACTCGATGGAGTCAGTCACACGGAGACCGTCAAGCTGTGCCTTGGCGACCTTGCTCCAAACCTCTGGAAGGTCAACCTGGTCGGCATACTCCTGACCGCGGTCAATGCTGACAACGTGATCAACAAGGACGTTGGCAGCCTCGAGGTGGTTGTTGGCCTTCTTGTAGATGAGGAAAGCCTCCTCGTACATGCCAACCTCGATACACTGTTGAGCAATATCGTCAGGGCTGTATTGGTCGAGCTGTTGGATGTAGTTTGCGACTCGTCCTCGGTCTGACTTGGCAGCAGTGAGCATTAGCAAGTTCTGCAAGTTCGAGTTGTCGCTGAACGTCGATGGCTCCAGAATGATCTTCTCGAGCAGCTCGATCAGCTCAACTGGCATGTCGGCATCAATGAAGGCCTTGACAGCGATCGAGACCTTCTCAGGATCGGTTTGCTCTGGAACTGCCGTGGAGATGACTTGATCCACGAGAGATCGGCGGTGAATGTTGTTGTCAGAGAGGACGTACGACCAGATCTCGGGGTCAGCTCGCTCGATGAGGTATCGTGCCTGAGCACGGAACATGGCGTTCTCATTGGTGATGCTGATCAGCTCGAGGTCATTTTGACCCTTGCTGTAGGCAATGAACGCGAGATTTGGATCTCTCTTCTCGCAGTACTTTCCGACGGTGAGGGTGTCGTACTGGTCGTTCGTCTTCAAGAATTTCTCAGGATCGTTGTTGGAGTCAATGTAGATCTTGGCCAGAGCATTGTAGACTGCCTGCTGTTGGTTGCCAGCAGCAAGACTCTGCTCGAGGAATGGCAGCAGAAGCTTGAGCCGGTTTCGTGATTCGACTTCAGAAACGAGCTCCTCGATGGGAATGCTCTGCGGCGAGACGGAGTTGAGCAGGCCCTTGATGATGTTCTCATCGCAGTCGACATCCAACAAACCACCGATAACTCCCGGTGTTCGGGCAGGGTTCACGCGCTGAACGTAGACTTCGATAGACTTGAACTGCTGATTCTTGTAGAGATAGAGCACAAGATCGTGAACGAAGTTGAATCGGTCGCAGACGATGATAAGAGGCAGTTGCTCGGTCAAGTGGGCCTCCTTCAAGAAGTTCTTGACCTTCTCTGCGTTGTAGTGGTTCGACTCTCGGCAGACGCGCTCAACCTCTTGCAGCTGGCCCATCTTGGTGGCGGCTTCGATGTACTTGAATGTGACCTCCTCGTCTTCGCTGAGGTTGACGATGCCACCGAGATAGAAGTAGAGACCTTCGGCAGTGCGGTATTTCTCGAGAAGATCGATGATGCGTGTGGGGCCAAAAAGATCGGAGTACTTCTTCGCGATGTTGATGACCGCTTGGAGGTTCTGTCGAATGTTGACCTTGAGCATCTCGTCCAAGCACTCCAGCGCCAGATCGACTGTCAAGCGACCGAAGTAGTTAATCAAGAACTCTTCTGGAATCTGATCTGTTCTCACTATGCAGCGCTTTATGCTTGCGGGCTCTTCGTAGTGCTCCAGGGCGCGGGTGAGGAGACCGGCATTCTCGCAAAGCTGGGCAATCTTGGGCTTGTCGTAGTAAGAGAACATTTCGTTACCCAAGATGGCATCAGCAACCTGAGGCGCGTTCATCAAGTTCATCTCCAGTAGTCGAGTCTGGAGATGGCCTTGCTCAGGTTGGTTCGCAGACAGAACGTCAAGCAGGAATGCGGTCGCTTGCTGGATCATGCCCTGGGATTGGAAAATGTCGACAGTGCGGTCAATGTCGATCAAGCTGGCGTCCTGGCGAGCAATGCTGGTAGCAAACTCTGCAGCCTTCTCAGGGTTGACTCTCGCGATGTGCTGGAGGAGTGCTGTGAAGTCAGGGGTGTACCCAGCCGACTGAGAGTATGGCAAGATCTGCTCGAAGTTGCCAGACTCTGCCATTGCGGCAATGACCTTCTGTGATGCTCCAGCCTCTTGGTAGATCGATTGCGCGAGAGCAACATCGTGGAGTCGGACGAGATCACCGAGCTGCTCAGAGCAGCCAAGCTTGCCCTCCTTCATCCACTTCTCAAGCAAATGCTTACGGTTCTGTTGCAAGACTGGGCGAGCCAGCTCGAGAGTCTCGTGCTGGTTGAGCTTGCCCTTGTCAAGAAGCATACCGAAGTACTGCAGAATGACAGAGAGTTGTCCCTGCTGTTGTGGCACGTTCTTGAACTTCTCAATCGTCTGAGGCGTACGCAGGAAACCTTGAGGAGAGTTTGCGGCAGTCTTGGCCGCTTGTTGGTAGTCTCCCATCGCCAAAAGCTGGTCGAATCGCTGCTGGTATAACGAGTCTGCGCCTGGAAGCCCTGCTCTTGACGCTAGCTTGTATGCCAGCTCTGCATTCTCTGGGTTCTGCAGCAGGTATGGTATGATGGTGCTCTCGTCCACGCTCACAGAGAGCACTTGACCCTTCCTGTTCACGCCGATAATGCCAAATCCGTCTTCGTCGCCTGCGGTGGTGAAGATCGTATCGCTGGAGATTCGGTTCATGAAAATCGTAGTGCCGGTCTCGAGATCGTAGAGGTGGATGAAACCGTACTTGGTAACCAGGTAGATCACCTTGTACTTTGACGACACTTGCATGGCTACTGGGAAGTCGTTCGTCGCCTCAGCAGGGAAGTAGATGTCGACAGCCTTCTTCTGGAAAACCGGGTTCGGCGCCTGGTGGTCGACCTCCACGATGTGAAGCTTGGCACCAGTTGCTGAGCGGTTCGCAAACGTGAAGAGCTTGGTATCTGCTGGCGCATCTTCCAATCGCAAAGTGCCGAAAGCAGCAGCATGACCCTCGATGGCCTGGCTAATGCCACGATCCTTCGAGTAGAGCTGCATGCTGCCAACAACGCGACCCTGCTGCTGCGAAATGCCAACCACGACCATCCACTTCTCGTCTTCGCTCACGCGATAGTTGATGATTTGGCAGCCGCTGAGATTCGCATTCCGGTCGAACACCTTCGTCGGGGATACCTGTGACGGGTCGAAGATGTTCCAGTGGAAGACGCTGGTATCCGTGACAAGGCCAAGCGAGCTATCGCTGAACCACTTCCAAAACACCACATCCTCTGTCATCGTACAGCTCTTGATCTTACTCTTCTGCCCGAGATCGAAGATCTGCAGTGTCTTGCCGCCGGCCTTGAGCGCGATGATCTCTTTGCTCCAGTGCATGATGGCGCTGTCGGCCTTGATGGGCCGCCGCATGACATTGTTGCCATTCTTGAGGTTGATGATTATGACTTCGGGCTGAGCATTGTCGTCGACCTTTTGCCGCACGCAGACGAAGTGGTCGGATTCGAGGGTGCAGGTGTTGAAGCCTATCGAGGCAGGCTGTTATTTAGGCAGTCAGCATTTGGTCTTGTGCGCGCAAACGCCGCCGTTCCACAGGCTCATCGCCCCAGCGCGAGACGTACCTGGATCCCAACAGATGTGAGGTTCAGCTGCTCGGTGAACTTGATTGGGAGCGGAGCCATGGCGAGATCAAGAGAGATGAAGCAACCTCATCCGCTGTCCCCTGCGGCGCAACGCTGCTCCTGAAGTGTTTCCGAGGCGGGCGCACAGCCGGAATCCGCGCAAAGCTTCCAATGGCAGAGAGGACGGTCGAAATGAGCGAATGAGAGTCGTGACGACGTTACAGCGGTGGCGAGCGGGGTGGTGGTGGTAAAGGAGATGGGGTTGTGGTTATTGAGTATGGAGAGAGCCAGCTTTCAAGCTGCTCCTACGCAATCAGACGAGGTCCGTGCGCCCGCGTGCGGATTCGTGCCGAGACTCTGCCGCTAGACGTCACCTCCTGTGCTGACAGGAGAGTCAGATGTTAGACTCCTATTAATCTCACGAGACAACCTACTGGTCGGGGGGATTCACATTACCACGCACACGCGCATGAGCATGCACCAGAGTCGATAAGTCAGGAGTTGACAGGATTGCTTGATGAAGCCTCATATCTGAAGAAACCTTGTGCTTGGCAAAGATCTTTGAACAGTTGAAGAATTGTCTGACGCAACTTGACAAACTAGTCCACCCCATCGTATCATCATCACATTTCCATCGCAGGTCATGCCCATTATCCGAATGCTCCGTCAAAATACGGGCATCAGAACATTCATTCACCCCAAGCATGGTGCCAAGCCACTAGCGCTTAGCAGTTCTTAGGCCCAGTCTTCGGCGCCATCCAGCTATCCCCAGCACCCTCATACGGATCAAAGATACTGTTGTCATACTGCGCAAGCTGTGGGCACTTGAGGCTGCTGCCGATGGAAGCCGGGAAGTTATTGAAGATAAGCTGCGTGGCGGCGGCAACGTTGTTGACGAGACCCTTGAGGGCTTGAGGGATGGCTTGCTGCTGGTTGGAGAAGACGAAGCAGGCGAAGTTGTTGCCCGTGAACAGGTTCTTGGAGTTGTAGACGCCTCCTGTGATGTTGTTGATATCGATGCCGGTGTATGTGTTGACCTGGGGAGGGAAGTTAGCGGGCGTTTCTGACGTTGAACAGAGATATATTTGTCTTCAGAGAGGCTTACTCCACCGGTGTTTCCTCCGAAACGGAAGGTATCTGGATACGCAGCGAACTCGACAACGTCGTCGGCGATAACGGCAGCTGCGTTGTAAGGTTCGAGCAACGGACGCTTGTACCAGTTCCTATTTGCGTCAGCATCGCCCAGTGAAGAGACTGATGGTTAGTGAACTTACTTTGGCATGCGCTCAGTACCTGGCACCCACTTGAAGTTGGGGTAGTTGCCGGTATATGCGAACCAGGTCTTGAAGTGGTCGCCGGTGAGGTAGCCACCTGGCTCAGCTTGCGAGTGATTGCTCATGAAGGCAATGACTAGATCGTAATCAGCATATGCGTCAAATTACTATCATCTTGGTTGAGACTGACCGAAGTTGTGCGCAGCAGGGCTGACAATCGTCGTTGAGAAGAGTGGAGCAAAGTAGCGAGCATTCTGCTGGATAGATCGATGGGTGTTCTTAGCATAGAGACGAGCGAACTTGTCCATAGTGTATCGATCGTTATCCATGCCAGACTGGTACGCGTATAAGAAGCGGGTCGGAGACGAAGAATGAGCATCACCACCATTGGTGTAAGCGTCGCACCGAGTGATGGAAGTGTCACCCTCGTAGTTGTTGTGAGACCAACCATCGCCTTGGGGCACACCCAAGAGGGAGTTGACGGCGTTCGCCGGCAGCGGACCACCGATGGACCAGGTCAGAGTGGTGAAGTCTCCGTCGAAGGCAATGGAGTAAGCGGCAAGGAACTGAAAAACGTCGATTCCCATGCCGAACATGGTGAACAAGCCGTTGGTCTGCTCCATGTTCAAGATACCGTTCCTTGGAATGTATCCATGGTTGGCTGCAGCATTGAGACCTGGGCATCGGCCTCGGATCTTCGCCAAAGGTTAGTCCGTTTCGTCGCAGATCAAGGTCTCAGAACTCACATCATTAACGCCTGGGGATTTTTAGGCGTACGGACCAGACTGCGAAACGTACTGCTCCTGGGCATTGAAAGTCTTGCAAGCAAAGCCAGCACCGCAGTTGTTCCGAGAGGCAGAAGCAGTGTTGACGCCATAGATATGAGCTTGAGCGTCGGAGATGGCGAGATATTTGTTGCACTGGCTCGAGGTTGTGCTACCTGGCTTCGCGTAGTCGCGCTTCGCAAGACCGCCCGTGGATTGGAGCACGGTTGGGAATGCACTGACGCTGGCAAATAACGCAGCAAAGATGAACGACTTCATGATGATAGGATTAGGTGTGACACCTTCTTTGCTAGACTGCGATCCTCTGGCCAGGAAAGGAGTGCCCTATGGTAGGTGCGCAATTGGGCTTCATATATCCATACTGGAAGTCAGTAAAGCTGCTATCCTGTTTCTGAATTTGCCGGATACAGAGGCGTTTATTGCAGGGCAAGTCACTGTAATCGCCGGCATCGACAATTCCGGCCACATCGTATCTTCTATGAAAGTCGGGTATTTGATATGGGTACGGGCGATCGAGATGCAGACCTGCGTGAGCGAAGGCCGTAGCAGGCTACGGTGGCGGGGTGGACCGTATGTGGCGAACGCCTCCGAACAGAATTTACAGAAGCAACGCCATACATGCCGCGAGGAGCCACATCCAAGGCTTCGTGGGGTTTCGCAGCTGGTGCTGTAAGTATCGTCCCTTGACGGTCCTTGCGATGCTTTCGAAGCCACCGTATATGGCGATTCGTTGCAATCCCAACTCTTGCCAAAGACGATCGCTCTTGTCCCGACGTGTACTGGCATTCTAGAGTGATCCTTAGGTTGTGACATTGACGAAGGAAGCACGGGCGTGCCGCATTTGGTGGCCGACGGTGAGGATCGTGGCATGCATGTGGAGGTGCAGGAAGAACGCTGGTGCAGTGCCACCGCAACTGCGCTGCAGGAGCAAACGTAGAAGGCATTCTGCCTCTTGGTATTGACGCAGCCGCATGACCACTGCATCGGAGCGATTCATCACGGATTCATACGGGAAAGGAAAGCTGAGAGGGAGAGAGTAGCGCAGAGTTCCCCTGTGCTGCATGAAACGAGGAAAACATGGAACTCAGCGCCTACCTTGGATGGGCGTGAGGCCACTAGTTCACATGAATGTGAGAGCAGGCGACTGTTACTAGCGGCTGGACTCCTTATATTGCCATCCGTCCAAGCGTGTTCTCACATTGTCTCGACCCTTTCGCTGTTCTAGGCCTTACAAGGCTACAAGCAAGTCTGAAAACGGGTTGCCTCTTGAAAATCTGGCTTGTGGCAAGGCTCCTTTAGTGTAGCAACACTTCTGGGCCAAGTGCATTTGCTGACCGAAGATGGTAATGCGATGTTTCACTTCTGCGGCAGCTTCGAAACGCATCTCTGCGCCAAATCGGACAGGAGCAGAGCAAGCATTCGTCGCTTTTGGGAGGCTTCGATAATCAGCAAGGACGCTCAGCTTCGACAGTCTTGTGGTATGGGCTTTCTTGCTTTTGAAAGCCTTTTTTAGTACTGGCGACACAGCTGGCTTGCACATTGGTCGGCAAAAAGAAGTTGCAGCGCTCGCTTTTCCAAATTGCATTCTCGTATGCCGCCATCGACGTGTGAATGCAGGAGTCTCTGCCGTGTTTGGCCCGGGGCCCAGGCCAGTGTCTGGGCGTGGCTGGATGCCTTGAGCATGACCATCTCGTTTGGTACGAAGCCGGCAATAATCGTCCTCTCTTCAAAGGCGATGCGATAGACTCTGCAATCGATCTCAGAGACCGCAGCCATGTGCGCTAAGCAATACTGCAGAGGCGGCCCGGAGACAGGTTAAATTTTAAACTTCTCCACAACTCCACAACGCGGGGTCAGGCACTGCAAGAATGGTTTCCTTTTCTTGCAACTTCACCTCTTGCAGACTATGCCGGCCGTAGTCGCAGCCAGTGAACGAAAGGCAGAATGTCAGCGCAAGTCGTGCCCCGCCAGCGGCTGGGCTTCCAGCATGAGGCTTCGGTCGAGGGCCTGAGAAGGCATTGCCAGTTCAGCCTGGACATTACCGCATGGCAAGAAACCTGGAGGTGTCAAGATGCTTGTAGTTATGAACCTGGCTGTCCCGATCTCAGCAAAGTGGACGGTGCTCTCAATGTGGCCGACAGCTCGTGGAGCACCTGCAGTTGTGCGGGGATGACCAGCCAACGGAGAAGCTCCCAGGTAGTAGATCAATCAGAGTTACAGTCTCCCTGGCTTCTTTTTCCGGCAGCTTGAAGAGTCCATGATGGCCGTCTCGGGGGCCCTCTTTCCAGGGCCACGAGCACCAGGGAGAGCACAGAACTCGCGACTCCTTCTGGAGTTCGAACCCCCAGAGTTGCTTGAAGGCCGCATGACATGAGCGGTCGAAGAGAAACCGAGCAACATGCAGGCTCCAATTTTACGATTAGTGAATAGTCCGGAACAGCCTCCATTCTGCAAAGCCGTAATAGATGAGTCGACACGACGCTCGTCTTCGAATTTATGGTCGGCTTCAGTCCTCGTGGAAGACAGCTCCATGGATGCTCAATCGTGACCGCGACAGTGTGTCTGTTCTTTATCTCCATATTGCCATAGCGGGCTGCAATTGGCAGGAAGTGGTGCTGAGATCCTGATTGATCCTGGGAAAGTTCTATATACCTGGGCGTTCGCCGCATATCCACGTTTCGCTCGAATGCTCATAGGCATGTTTGGTCCACTTCCCCGTACTTGGCTTACGAGTCGTTGACACAGGCGACCACAGTATGCCGCACTGCTCGTCCTGCTTGTCCCGCTCGTCCTGCTGGTGGACACGACTTTGATATGTGTTTCCTCGGCAGCCGAATGCTGGTGCATTCAATGGTTGATGCGGAGACCGTTCCCGGATTCTGAGAAAGTCGACTAGGGTCCAGTCATGAAAGAGTCGAGGAGTGGCTAAGTTCAGCAGCAGACGCACGTCTTATGTTGCAGGCTCGTCAGCATAGAAAATCTCGCGTCGCCTTGCGCAATGCTTCTTGGCCATGGCACAATACCTCGCAATGCGTCATCAATGGTCACATTGAGTGCAGTAGATGCATTAATGCCTGCTAGCTCTCCACAGAAGCGTTGTGGAGAAGCTTTGGAGGCTCAGAGGATCAGCATTGCAGGATTTCAGTCCTCAAAGAGCCGCATCTAGCGAGATGAACGATCTCCTTCTTCTTTCATGTCCTCGGCCAGACAAAACCTGCTGTTCGGGGAGTGGACACTATGGCGTTGTTGCAGGATGCAAGGCAGTGATCATTGTTCGAGTCATTGCTTTGCTGGAGCTGCAAGGCGACGCTGCGGATTCAGTATGTGTATCTGTGGTCGTTGATGCGTTTACGCCAGCCATTGGACTCGATTCGGGGGAGCAGCAGCCTGGATGAGTTCTAGATCAACGGGCTATGCCGTGACCCGGGTTCTGCCAATTCTGTAGATGGTGATAATGATGAGAGAATCTCGGAGGTCTCGTGAAAGGAGTACCTGAGAGTGAGAGTCATCTCGGCCGTGAAAGTCCTGGCAGCACAACGGCTCGCATGCAGCGACTTCTGACAAATTCAACTTCAATATCGCCTGCTAGAAGAGTTTCCAAAACATCGACACGATAAATCTACATGTCAGCCAGAGCGATTCAGCTGTTGACTGCAGCTTCGCCGGCTCGCTGTCCCTAGATAAACTTGACGGCTGCTGGTCGCCTCCACAGCATCTTGCAACACTCGGCTACATATGATTCGAATCTCGTCAACGAACTCGAGTCCACCACGCTTCTACGCGATGATTGACATTTGGAATAGCACTGGACGATCTCATGCGCAGCTGCAGCATCTATGTTCTTCGTCGGAGCATGAGTAGAAGGATATCGAGGATCCTTGGAATGGGCGACCACTGTTCATCCCAGAGACCCAGCGTGCGAAATGCCTGAGCTAAGATGTATACACATGCATGAGTCTCATGTGTTGAGGAAGCACTGCGCCCGAAAATTTAGCTTGTTTTTCACGGGCAAGTCATCTTACACTTTAAGAGCGTTCGTGGCCGGTTTTCAACCTGTTCAGTCGATCAGGCTTCAAATGTGTTCACGGACGCCTTCCGAGCATCACATGGTGCTCAATGCTCGGTTCTTCATGACCTCGTCTCACTGCCATTGATCACAAGCATTCAGCGGCTCACTCACTTCACATCCAGGGTCCGTGCTCTTGCCGTTGCGAGCCTTCCTTCCCCTTTAAGTACTGCTCTTTTTCATCACTTCTTCTTTCTCTTCCTCCCTTCTCTCTCACACCACCACTCAGCACCACCACCACCCGACACCACCACCATGGATCAAGACCTCCGCCGTCTGATCTACCGCAACGCGGAACTCGAGACCGAGCTACGCCTGGTCAAGGAGCAGCTTGCCCAAGCCAATCATGCCAACACCTACCTCCTCGGCCGGTTCAGCAGCGCCTCAGTTGAATATCAGCCCCCAAGGACCCTCCCATCGTCACGCTTAATCTACGAGCGTGAGCCCGAACGCACCGACTTGCTCAGTTTCGACGAGGTCGGTGACTCCGGCTACTATGAGAGTGGTCCGGTTCCGTCAGCTGCGACCACCGTCAACGAATCGCCACCTGCTGACGTGGAGCATGTGCCGGAGCGTCGAGCAGCTGCAAGAGAGGGCGTGGAGAAGGACCAGATCCGCACCCAGCCTCTCATCGATCACGCGGACGCATACACGCCACCACTACCCCCAGCAGAGAGTCCACCACCAGCGTTCGACTACAAATCTCTCCGTAACAGACCAACAAAGAGCTCTGTCAGTCGTGGGATCCTGAACGTGCGCAAGGTCAGTCCTGCTGGCGGAGAGACGGGTTCTCCACCTTCAGATGAGGCTGGCTTCTCGATCACACAACCCAGCGGCAAGGTCATATGGGTGCCGACAGGAGATGGACCACCAGCTCGGCCCAAGCAGAAGAGCGACGAGGACGTCAAAGAGGACCCATCACCAGAGGAAGGCGAACCACAAGCCGCGATCCCTCAACCACCACCCTCAGCGCCGGCATACCCAACCAACAACCCCTACCCACCCCACCGCAACCCCTACCCCCGCCAACCACGCACCAACGGCCTCAACTCCTCCCGCTGGAACCCCTACTCGCAACCCATCGACCCCGGCCCCACCAAAATCAGCGACCTCTTCACCTCCCCAAGCATCCCCGACTCTCACCCCCTCTACCGTACCGTCCTCCTCCTAAACATCTCCCCAACCACCGAAATCGCCAAAATCCTCGCCCAACTCACCTCCCCGGCGACCATCACCATCCTCAAAACCGCCGGGATGAAGACGATTCCGCGCATGGAGACCAACGCGGCGATGTTGACGTTTGAGAGTAGTGTGGCGGCGGTGCGGTTTGTGGCGCGGTGTCAGGGGGAGAAGTTGTGGGAGTTTGAGGGGGAGGTTAGGTTGATGAGGACGGGGACGGGTGGGCAGTTTGGGAAGGGAAGAGGAAGTAGGGAGAGGTATTCGAACAGGCAGCCGATGCAGCAGCCACTGTGGTTGCAGATTGATGCGAGGGGTGGGTTTGAGCGGCCCGGACGGGATCTGGAGGTGGAGAGGGGTATGGCTGATGAGATTGGTGTTGGTGGTGATGATGAGGTGCAGCTTGAGGAGGAGGCGATGATGAGGGAGGGGTAGGGGTTTGAGATTGAAAAGCCCTGGGCTAGAAGTCACTAATTTGCTGCAAAGGCGTAAGTAGAGAAGATCAATCAGGCTGTTTCGATAGACGGACATACCTTCCCTCCAATACCAAAAGCATTTCCTCTTTCTACACACCATAAGCCCCGCCCTCCCTCGCCACGGCATAATTAATATTATACCTCTTCGCAAAATGACCATTCACCAAATCCAACAACACCCGCACATTCTCTAGGAGTTCCGGCTCCTGCAGCTCAGTCGTCATCTGAGCCACCTTCAAAGGAAACGTCGTGACGACCATGCTCACCATATCGGTGATATTGGCAGCAACATGTCTCTCAGAAACCAGCACAATGGCAGCGACCAGATCGCGGAGTGCGTAAGGCGGATGTAAGGCGGATCTGAAAACGAAACTTCGCTCGGCTAGGCGCTGGGCGATGCGAGCGAGGATCAGATGTGCGGCGACGTAGAGGTTGAGGGCCTCGGCGAGTTTTACGTCGTATGGAGATAGGCCGGTGCCGAGTTCGCATAGTGTGATGAGATCCAGGCTCTTCAAGTTGCGTGCTGTGCACATCGTTGGATAGGTCCATATGTCTTCCTCTTTCCACCTCTCTAGGTTATAGGTCAACCGTCTCACCCAGAGTGTCAGCTCGAAAGCCTTTTGGATCAGAGCGTATCGGCTAAGATCGCCATTTCTCATGGCTTCACCAGCGGCCAATACTCCTGGGATCTCTACTAAGATATCGAGGAGAAGATCTAAAAGGGTCTTGGGCGGACAGTCACCTGAGAAAGGGATGGTCTTCCATCCTTCTTCGGCCAGGAAGCAGGACTGACGATCGCTGAGACACGCCAGGAGCTGCCATATCATTAGAAACGCTGCTGTCTCGGTGAATGTCAAAGCGTACAATATTGATCCTGAAGTATCGGAAAGTCTTGTGCTCGAGGCCGCTTTTAAAGCTCAGAGGTCCTTTTTGCTGAATGAGATACGCAACGCCCTTTACGTGGGCAAGGCGGGCAGAAGGAAGATTGGATTCGATGCACTCGAGGCCAGGTCAGATCGGGACACGATCGTCAGCGCTGAAAAGACGCACCTCGTACAGAGTCAGGATCATACAAGTGTACATGACCATGGAATCCCGCCAGTTTGGACTCTTCAAGGACGACTGTAACTGTCCGAGGGTGGACAAGTACAGTTTAGTGGCATGTCTGCGCATGTCAGGTGCTTGCAGGTCGTTGGCACAAAGGGCGCTGGCATTGGCCATCAACGCCGTGGATGTGAGAGTGCGAGTCGTCGAGGAAGTGGCTTCAGCGAGAACTAGCTCGACCCATGGGCGTTCTACGGACGTGCCAACGTTGAAGCGGTGGAGGAACTTTGCCAGTGTTGCGGCGTTGGCTTGTCCTAGTGGGATGGAGCCACCGAGAAGCGTGTGCGAATGTAGCGTGACAGAAGTCTCCCGGTCTGAAAGTAATTGTGTCAACATTTCATTGGAAGCCGTGAATACAAGAAAGACGCAACGACACACCTCGATATTTTGTGAACAGGCTCTGGTGCTGCTCGACTGCATTCCGGGGTAGGGGTTCCTCCTTTTGTTCGGGCTCGGCGGTCAGGCGGAGTGGAAGCCCGCAGCGGCCAGGCTGCCGACAACTCTGTGAATCTTCCGCGCGCCTGCGAATGGTCTCGACGCGGGCGTTCGAACTTGCTCGAGCTGCCTGTGCGCGGATTTTCCTCTTCTGCGCCAGCCTCTCTGCATTCGAGGTGCTGTTGATGAAGAGCCATTCATGTTTCTGGCAACCGCCTGGGCTGTCCTTCGCGGATGTCGTCTTCGCCGGCGAGGACGACATGTGGAGGCCGATTGCGAGCCTGCAGAGAAGCGGAAGGCGTACGGAGAGGGCGGTCTTGGGCACTCATGCTGCCTTTGTAGTTGTTCTATCGAGGTGCGGTCGTCTTAAAGTTGATGGGTGCGTCACGCTATTCTAGTTGGACGATCCGCTCCAGCCAGTCCCAACAATCATCAGTCGCTCCTTTCGATCTTCAAGATGTTACCTCCTTTAGGATAGCACACTCTTCACCGTCGGCATTGGCCATGCGAGGACGGAGCCAGAGCCGCTCGTGACGGTCAACGGCCGCCATCCTGCTTCTGGCCACTGTATGCCGCCTTCGGAAAAGAGCTCGCCAGCTTTTGCCACCTTAGTTCGACCTTTACCCTTTCGAGTGTCTGCGTCGAGGGGCCCTAGATACAATAGCTCAACGAAGAGCTGCGTAAGGTAGCATTATTCTATTCACATACACTCAATGACAGCAAGGATCAAGTATCTGCATATGCAGCACAGAAGTCTGCTTCGCAAGTCCGATCTCACGCATTAGTCCACCGCCAATCAGTCACCATCCCGGCGCCCTGCCCAATACCTGCCAGGTACATACTCTCGTCGTCGGCTTCACCACTTGCCGCATCGCTTCAGGGCCCATTCGTGGAAAGCTGTGGATCGCCGATGAAACAAGTCATCAAAGAGGAAGTCTCATTCGGGAATGTCACTGTCTCGGACCGTCATGTCAGCCAAGTACTGAACAGCACTTGGTTTCGTCGCAGTCGATGGATACATTGCCAATGGATCTAAGAAGAGAGCATCTGCCCAAACTTTTAATGCGATTTGACTTGACTGATCAGACTGGTCAGCCGGTCTGGCTCGGGCAGCTGCGCGCTGAAGAATCTTCTCGAAGAGAGCCAGGCTCTGGCAGAGGTGGTTGTTGTCGGATCTTATGAACTCTGAGTTCTCTTTTGGCATCGACTCTTCGAGGCACAGGACGTGATCATCGGTAGTGTGGCTAAGCAAGGCGGTGATCTTGACTTGAGCAACGCCTCGGATGCTAAGCAGAGATTTGGTGTACGGGTAGTGAAAGAAGTCTGCGGCGCTCCAGACCTCTCGATAAGCAACGTTCAGAGGGGGATCCGTGATCTCAGCGTCTTCAGCGTCGTTGAAGAATGTTCGCCAGATATCCAATTGCAGAAATCTTAGAGAAGAACAGATTACGGCCGCATCAGTGATAAGCGAGGCCTGTGTTGCACTTCTCGCGTCCAGATGAACAGTTGCTTTTCCGATCCTGTCTGCATATGCGTAAGGCGTTCCGTCTTTGGCCACAAATGCGAGCATCTTCTCTGGCGTGTCGAAAAAGAAGTTGGCATGTTTGTAGTAGACTGTCGATGCAGCCTGGTACCACTCGCGGCTGACAAGAAACCGGTCGACCAACTTCGCCGGGAACCACCGAGCCTGTAGGCGGTTAGTCATGAGGTGGAGGAGATCTGTATCGGGCATGTACCTCGTAATCTATTCCTCGCCGCTCACGACGCTCTTCCTCTTCTTCGTCCCAGCTTGCTTTAGACAGTGGGCAGACTTGGCTTTGTGGCACATATGCCATCTCGAGTATGACATCCTTCAACTCCTGTGGAAGTCGGTTCCAGGGGCAATTGTGATCATGTGTGCTCACATTTGGGCCTGGCTCTTCACTGACTAAAGTGGAGGTTGTGGATGTGCTTTCGCTGTCATGTTCACTCCTTTTGTCGACGCTGGCGGCAGACCACTCCAACGGCCGCGGTTGAGACGCGGTAGCTCTCAGAAGATCGCACAGGCTTTTGAGGTTGGTTGCGAAGATTTCACAGTTACATGAATAAGTACGATCTTCCTTTTCGACAGTAAGTGTCGATATTCCGCGGAGCTGAAATAGCATCGGGTCATGCACCTCCAATTTTTGCTCTGTCCACATCCTATCGTCGACGTCAGACGGCATATAGTCGATGTCGAAGTAGTCAAAAGCGATGCGAAGGTGCACGTGCTTGAGTGAGGGGCACATTTTGACAATCTTCATCATGACGGCAGATATTGTCCGATAGTCTAGGACGAAAGTGATTATAGTGATCAGCTTGGCGTACGATCGAGGCAAGCCGCGGTCGTCACAGATGAATTCCTCCATTTGCTGCCCTTCAATGTGCCGGTTCGCGAAATGAGGGTCATAATCGTATTCCATGTTGTGTGCAAGGACAAAGTTCGTGCGGCTGTAGAACACCTTCGATGCGGCGTGATACCACTCTCGATCTACCATCAGTCTTTCCATGGGCACCTTTGCATCCCAGGATGTCTGGTTCAGGTCAGTGATGTGTACGGGGCGCCACGCTATGCTTCACCTCACCGCTAGAACGCCCTCGGTGTGGTCTTGGATTGGACAGTGTTCGTGGCTGCAGGTGCAGATTCTGGGCTGCCAACTGCACTTGTGCATTGGAGTGCAGCCGCCATCGGGAACGTAGGCCAACTCGAAGATGAAGTCTTTGATTTCTTGAGGCAGCGTGTTCCAGACGCATCGACCGTCAGGGAGAGGGCGAACGGGATTCGGTCGATGCGCCATGGTATGGTGCATGTGAAGTCGTGTTGTCGTGTTGTAACGGTGAAGGCGGACTGGACTTGCGTGAGAGAAGGTGAGGGGCCTGCTCACATGTCGGATTCGAACTTCAGGCCGCAACTCCCGTCACTTAAGACGTGTGGAAGTCACGCCAAACGGACGGTCCAGACACGGAAGCGACACAGCGTTCAAGTCGGAAGGTGCAGCCAAAGCCTCTCGAACGACACCTGAATTCATCTCTTGTCGAATCTACTCTTCTTCGCTTCCCCACCACCACCGCCCGGCGTCCCCGCCGCACTCGAACCCGCCGACTTCGACGCCGACACAAACTCCACCTTCTCCCTCTCCGCCACCCTCTTCTTCTCCTTCCTCTCATTCCGCCGCACCAAGCTCTCCACATAACACTCCTCCGGCCACGTGACCGCCACGCCCAGCCCCTCCGACAAGCTAGTCGCATAGCTATCCTCCTGACTGATCCCCGCAAAGTCCATCAGTTTCGGCAGCAAGCTGGGATTCCTCAGCGATGTGGAGTTCTGCAGCCTCTCATTGAAGTGTACGCCCTGCTTCTTCAGCTCCAAGAATCGCTCGAATTTCTTGGTTGTGGCCGCCAAAGCTGCTGCTTCTTCGCTGTTGGTGGGAGGAGGTGGAGGCGAATTCGGGATATCGAAGTTGGGCACGGTGGGCATTGTGAGCTCGCGCAATCGCTGGCGCTCGTAGGTGTATGGCGAGAATAGAGCGGAGTCTGTGTCTTCCGCACTTGGGCCTGCTGGTTCCGCCGACGGACCAGCAGTTGGTCCCACGCTCGCTGAGGCTGGTGTTGGATTCGCCGGTGTTGGTGCTGGCGCTGAGCTCGCATGTGGAAGCGTCTCGGTTTTGGATGTCTCTTGAGGCTCTGCTGCCAGTCGGTCAGGTATTGCATCAAGTCGATCTCGCTCAGCGCTTACTCTCGGAACTGGTCGTGTTTGGCTGTGCAGCACTTCGATCAATCTTCGCTATCTGGCAGTCTCTCACGTTAGTAGGTATCCATGCTTTCCAGTCCATGTTATTAGCATTGCCCTACCTTAGCAGGCTTCTCCGGTTGAATATCGTCTTCCTCGTCGCTGCTTCCATACGCTACGAGTGAAGCCATCGTTGAAAGCTTTTGCGATGTTGTCGAAGCGAGGAAGTGAAGTCGAGCAGATCACTGAGCCAAAACAGAGCTTGAAAGCAGCCCGTCAATATTTGACTTGAATTTGATTGATGTTGCTGCTCCATCCCTGTCCAGCTTTAAACTCTAATGGCGCTAGCGTGTTTCTCCAGGTACATGTATCTCGTGAACAGGTGCACATCACCCCGAACACCATTTTATGCCAAACCATCTGTAGAGGTACGGCCTTCCTTTACAATTGCAATAGCACGAATCTTGTCCTTCGAGGTGAATTGAGACGATGCAAGCGGTACGACTGGCAATGCCCACTGCGACAGTACTTTAACTCTCAAAGATACGACTAGGAACCCAGTGCAAGGCATCTACAGCATGTAGCTACTGCGCGAAGGACCACGAACCATGGAACTGCCCCACAAAGGCCGAAACGGACTGAAGCATGGAAGTGTGCCAAGGTGCCACGGAGAGCTTGAGGCCTGGAAGATGTCCGAAGCGAAAGAAGGAGCTGGCCAGAGTAAAGGCAGCATCTGCGTCCCGTCCTAAATACCATCCGTTGACGCCGGCCTCAGGACCGGCCGGGCCGCCAATGATTGCGAATGGATTTTGACGTAGGCACCGGTCTGCAACGAATCTCGGCTAGCATCCGGAGGCCGAGACCACAGGGGTTGCCTCTCAGACTGGAAGAAGGTGCTCGTCAGGCTGAGTGAAGCAGTGGCGCCGGCTTCGGGCTCAATGCTCTCCAGAGGAGCTCCAGTTGTCCGCGTGGGCCATGGCGGAAACGACGACAGCATTTGAAGAATCATTGTCCAACGGCAGCGCACCGAGGGTCCTGACTCAGATCGACTGTACTGCCGAGCGGATACTAAGACACAAGCAGACAGCTAGAGCGACCGCAGCTGTATTGTTACCGCGTGACATAGATGATAACGAGTGTCGAGCGTTTCGAATTTCTGTGCGCTACTCTTCCATCTACAACACTTCCCTCTCCAGTACGCTGCAAGGACAAGCAAATGACTTTACTCCAACATTTAGACCATGTGTTGAAACGGCCGTCCGAAATCACTCATTTCTACCCTGATGCTTATATGTTGAAGCCAGTAAGGCGGGTAACTCCGAAGAGCTCGTCTTCTCGATCGCCAATTAGAGCGCAGTGATGGCGCCAAACATCCAGTGGTTCGGACCTCAGTACCGTAAATGCGATGTGGCCTAAGATGGAGACGGACAGTTCACTTCCACCAAGCCGAATGGGTTGCCAAAGGGACTGTTGTGGCAGGACGAGTCTGGGATGACATATGAGCTACCCGAACCACAGTCAGCGTTTTCCCAGAGAGTAGTGACGCAGCCGGAGCCTTCGACAATGATCGAGTTGCCGCCCAAATTGTCGCATGAATCGCCGGGGCCATAGGCCAAAGTTCCCCCTGATACTTCGTTTCCGCGGCAGTTTGAGTCAATCCAGACTTGGACACCCGCACTCTGCGCCGTTGCATGGTGTAGGATGGTGATGGCGAAGGCTGGGATCAGCCAAAATCGAGATAGAGCGTTCATGATTGTCGGATGTAAGACGCAGGGGTGAAATGCGGTGTATGAGAATTGAGCTTGGTGAAGAGTCAATAGAGCTACACTGACGAATGACCCAGCTCAGAAGGCAATCAAGACGCTCTTATATCCTTGCGAAGAGTTATCCGCGTCCTGACGCTGAGGCCGACAGTTACTCGTCATGAGACCGAACCCTGACATCAGTGTCAACTCTCGAAACCCCTTCCTAGTAGATTCCGCAGGAAAACAACCGGGTCGCCTGCTTACAGATAACTCGCTAGCCCACCTCCCGATGTATGCCAGACTAAGAAGTCTTAGCTATGCGATCGAAGTAGTCGTTTATATTGCCTCGAAGCTTCGTCTTGTTGTATTCCCGCTTCGTGCTTAGGGCTCTACAATACGAGATGTCTGTACGCAGTCTAATCTCTGATCTTCCTCTTTGGCTCGGCGAAGAATTACTAATTATAAGGGGCCAGAGTCGAAGCAATGATCTTTCATAATCCTACAAAAAAGGCAAATAGGGTCAGAAGGCTAAGGAGTGCTAGGGCAGAGGCTGAAGCCAGGGGTAAGCGGTGACTATGGGCTAAGTGCGCGTATGCATCACGCTTGTGCTGACGGGAGCTATAGGCTCCCGCGACTATTAAAATGTTTAGGAATACTACGATCGGCTTAGAGTAAAGCACGAGTCAGGGATATAAGCGAAAAGCCTCTCAGAGTAGATCGAAGAGAACGAAGAGGGACGGCGAGAAGGTCAAGCAAAGATAGGGGTTTGAAGCCTTAGAAGGTATAGGTTGAGGCTTCCTGTTGCTTCGAGTTACTCCAGCAAAACTATGTGTAGTTTGCGATGCTTAGCGAGAGTAACATGACATTGTATCGTCGTCGTCAGATCTCATTTACCTGGGCTTGTAAAGACTACGCGAGGAGTATCGATTGACGTAGCGTAAAGAAAGTAACGTCGAGATCCGAGATATATCAAGCTTGCGATGGCTTATAAAGACTACACGAGGTATATTGATTGATATAGCGTTAGGAAACCAGTGTCAAGATCGGAGATGTATCAAGCTTGCGATGTACTGTTCAAGGTATAAGTACATGGCTACTTGACAGTGATACTCCATTCAACAGTTTTCTCATTACAACCGACTCTGCTTCGTAGCCTATCGTCCGCTCCATCGACAAGACACCATGCACTTTTTCTACACTGCCGCAGTCGCTTTGACAGCTATCAACTCTGCTCTTGGCGTCCCACTCAAGAAAAGAGACACCGTCTACAAAATCGTGGATCTCAACCAAACCTATACCGGTTATTACTTGACAGTCAATGAGGCCCAGGGCAACGGTGGCGAATACAGCGCCGACGAGGAAAGTCAGGCCGAGATCAACTTCGAATACGCCGCTGAAACCGCTGGCGACGGCTCCACAAGTTTCACTTCTGAATCCGCCGGAAGTCAGGGGGAGACTCTCACTTTCAGAACAATCCTCAACCAAGGCACGGTACACGACGTGCAAGACGACGACTGCACTTATATCGCCGAGGGCTTCTTCGCCTTCCGTGACCAACAGCCTGGCCAACCCTACTCTTTCGCAATCAACCTTTTCACGGGAGATCCAAACGGCGAAAATGGCAACATTGGATCTATCACTCTTTCCCTTTCTTAGGAATGAATGTGTCTCTCCAGATACACATGTTCACAGGTCGTACCAGTCCTGCACAGGAGGTAAGCCGTTTGAACTGAGCGCGGATATAGCTACTAATTCATGGAGAGCAGAGCACATCGAACGCCGCCGCACAAGACCTTACTCAGAACAGCGGTCAAAGCTCTGATGAAAGCTGCGTTTTTCTCTTTTCGACAAATTCTGCTGGCCCATACTTGCGCTCGCATCTGTGGACGCTCGATGACAGCATGTCTCTCGTCTAGATAAATATCAAATAGCGAAGCTTTCGACTTCAGCTATCGCACTTGTCCAACTAGCAGCCATGAGGACGTCAAGACCTCGTGTTGTGTCGTTCTCGAGTTGTACCATCCGCAGATCCAGCATGTCGTCTAGGTCTTTGTCCACTGTTCCCCCGTGCTGGTCGAACCGTAAATCCTTCCGAATTTGGAAAGAGAGCGCACGGGAGAGGCCGCGAGAGAGCAGCTGTGTGGGAGATGTGATGCGACCCAGACCCGAAGGGCGTGTGGTAAGGCGAAAGACGGTGGTGGGCGTTTGACGGATTATACGTACCGCGTATGTCCTTGTGTAGCCACTACATGGTGGGCAGGGGCCGCGCTCTGGAGCCAAGGTTTCTATCTGGGTACGCTTGATACAGGGACCCCTGCGTTTGTGTTGAGCTGAAGCCAAGACCACGCGGATAGTCTCCAGCATGACCCCTTCCCTTGTGTCTTCGAGTTGCGATGTTGCGAAAAGGGAAAACCATTCCTCAGTGTTACTTGGCATCATGGAGGCCTTCAATCAGTAGCTTGGCCTCGATGTGTTTTCCACGTACACTGGAATCCCAACATGAGCACATTTGATTGATTGTATGTCGTCAAGAAGACATGGATGAGGTGAAGGGCGAGCTCGCGAGTAGAAGAGGGCCTGGGCAGTTCTTAAGTCCAGCCCTGCCATGGAGAATCGTTCCCTACGGTGATCGCTGTATCAGGCGATGTCTCCGAGTACTCGCTTTCATCAGAAGCGGGACTGACTTCTGTGATGCATCGGATCGGGACCTGATCGAGGCCAATCTCCACGAATCTTTCTCGAAGAACAGACATGACGGCTTCCGTGCCGCCTCGAAACTTTTGTAGTAACTCAGAGATGCGTAGTAGGCAGTCACCCGCACCAAATTCCGAGACCACGGTGTTGTGCGTAGGCATACAAGTCATGACGTCTGCCAGAGATGTCGCCACGGTGAAGAGCTTCAGTTCCATGCCCGGGCCATGGGCCTCGAGGGCGTCCATTGAAAGTAGTGTTAGGCTCGAGAGAAGATCACGACCTATTTGGATGGGCAACACAAGACTGTCCAGATTGCCGGATGGCTCAGCAGTCATGGTGAGTCTGACTATGGCTGTTTTCCACAAGAGAAGTCGCATCCACTGCCGTGTCACGAGTAGGTCGGCTTGTTGAATGCTGTTGCAATGCTGTGGCGAAGTTGGAAGTGTGATCAACTGGCTGTCTGCGGCTAACATATTGTCTGCCGTCAAGCTGCGGCTCACATCGGCGCTGTCGAAACAGGCGAACATGTTACAAAGACAAATAAACGCAGATGGGTCCGCGGCCACGTCTTCCTGCTGCAATGGTGGCAGCTCAGGTGAGATCGTGGCCGTGCATGGCATATCATATTGTCTTGCATGTGCTCTGAGACTCATCAGCAATGTTTTGGGGGCGGCCATATTGTTCCGCGCCGCTTGGCAGTTTTGATTTCTCACCGTTCAGTAATGAAAAGAAGCCACACAATGCGCAGATGCGCTTGCTTGGTGGCCTGGTCTAGATCTTCATAATGGCTCGGCTGGTGCAAGCTGAGCAAGTGAGAAATCGCAATGGATTCCCTGAGCAGAAGAGTGCTGACTGTCTGCTGTGCGACATGTAAGTACGAAATGTGCATAAAGAAGCTGGCCAACAAAGAATCGAGTGTCGGTCTTCGCCTATACTGGGTGGTATTTCGAAGGTCTTCGATTTCGTCGATACAGGCCTGTGGTGACGGCATTCCAGTGTCCCCGACTTCGAGTTGTAGCTGCAAGACAGTCGCAATACAGACGCTTGAGCCCAGAATGTAGGCGTCGTTGTCGAATGGTGCTTCTCTCAACAGTGCCATGAGCGGCACAACATCGACGACAGGCCAGACAAGATACATTTTGCCACGATATATCTCAAGATAGCGCTCCATGACATGTAATGGAATAGCACGGTGGTATTCAAGCACCAGTGGATCCTGGGGGTAAACAGAGCTCACATTGTGTTCGCTGGCACCAGGCTGGAAGCATCTTCGCTCGTGTCGCGACCTCCTTTCACGGATTCCAGCAGAAGCAAGACGATTCATAGTCTTGGCGCGTATCGTCTTCGGCCCCATCTTCTTCTTCGTGCGCAGCCTCTGGCAGTTGAGTGAAGAGGCCAGGCATCGAGCACAGGGCGCCTGGCCATCACACTTGACGCGGCGGATAGAGCATGCATCGCAGACACGCAGAGTACTCATTGGTCTTTGAATATAGTGTTTGACGAGGTTAACCCCCTAAATCGAGGCGAAACTTGAGGTGAATGTGGACTATTGTACAGTAGAAGTACAGAGACGGTGGTGAGGCAATGGATTATGGATGGACTAATCTCAGCGCAGGCTAGTCTTACTCAGCTAAGACTAGAGAATTTCCCCAACATCCCCAGCCCTCCTTGACCCTCGCCCTCATCAGGCCACATTTGGTACCCGTCAATATACCGTCAACCATTTTCCTGAATATCAGTCACTGCGCGAGATGAACATTTCCGACCGCACGCTATTTGCTACTGCTAACATGGCGAATCTGCTGTCGTACGACGAATGCCTCAAAAGGCCTTAAACGAACGCTGTTGTTGTTCCCGGATTGTACGTCCGGGTACACGCTTGCCAGCACATCCCCCTTTTCAAGGACGAACACGCCTGTCGGGACTGACCAGTCGATTGTTCGCTCACGGAAGTTGCATACCACCAAAGCACAGTCATCTTCGGCACGTCTTGTGTACGCGAAAACGTCTTCATTCTTGCGATCGACCAACTCAAAGTCTCCATAGACGAAGACATCTGGCCATGCTTTCCGCAAGCTCAGAATGTGCGCCCAGTACTGAAAGGGGCTCCCAGCAACACCTACTTGGCTGGAGGCATTGCATTCTCGATACCGGTCATTCACACGGAACCACGGCTGGCCATCTGTGAACCCCGCGTGTTCCCCTGCCGACCACTGCATAGGCGTTCGAGCATTGTCTCTGGACTTGAGATGATACTGACCCTTCGCGATGACAAGCGATTCCTTGTCCATCTCCGTATCCCGCAGCTCTTGCCAATGGTTCAGCGTTTCGAGGTCGTGGAAATCTTCCATCTCCCAATGTTCTGGAATGTTCGACATCCCGAGCTCTTGTCCCTGGTAAAGGAAAACAGTACCGCTCTGGAGGCCTAAAAAGGTGGCGAACATCTTCGATGCCTGCTCTCGATGCTGGGCCTTATCAGAAGCCCATCGCGAGACTGTTCGGGCTTGATCATGATTCTCCAGGAACAAGGCATTCCAGCCGTTGTTGTCATACATGAAACGCTGCCATTTGTTGACGATATCTTTCAGTTCCGACATTTGCCACTCCTTCGGACTGAATTTTCCGCCGGCACCGTGGTCTATACCTTCAACAATATCGAAGTTGAAGATCATATTCAGCTCATTCCGCTCAGAGCCAACGCACCGGAGAATTTCATCAGCATCAGAGATCCAGGGCATTTCGCCCACGGAAAACGCCCCGTACTCCTGCATAATGGCGCCAATGTCCTGGAGATACTCATGGATTCGAGGACCATTGGCATAGTGCTCACTCCCGTGATGATACTGCTTGGCGTTGTCTACCACCGTTGCATCTGGCAATCTACGATCCTTGCTGATGAGGTTGATGACATCCATTCTGAAACCGTCGACACCTTTGTCCAGCCAGAACCGCATTACGTCGTATACCTCTGCTCGCATTTCATCACACTCCCAGTTGAGGTCCGGCTGCTCGGGGGCGAAGAGATGCAAGTAGTATTCCCCGGTGTGCTTGTCGAAGGTCCACGCGCTGCCACCAAAGTACGTACTCCAGTTGTTCGGGGGCCGACGATTTCCCTGGTCGTCGATCCTGGGTTTGCGCCAAATGTACCAGTTCCGGTATGGATTTGACACCGATGACCGAGACTCCTGAAACCAAGCATGCTGGTCTGAAGTATGGTTGACGACGAGATCCATGAGGAACTTCATATTCCGTCGACGCAGGCCATGAATCAGTCGGTCCACATCATCCATTGAGCCATATCTCGGATCGATTGACCTGTAGTCGGCGATTGTCGTAACCCATATCTATTTGTGGGCTCTTGTATATTGGACATATCCATACAATGTCGACCCCCAAGGCCTCGATATAATCGAGCTTCTCGATTACGCCGGGGATGTCTCCGATGCCGTCTCCATTTGAATCTTTGAACGAGGACGGGTAAATCTGATAGACTGCCGCTTCTTTCCACCACGCTCGCTGCGGCTTGGGACCGTTAGGTACACGAGTTTGCACCATCCTGGAGTCTCGTTTTCTTGCGTATCTCAGGGTTGACCAGCAAATGACTCAAAGTACCAATCCTGAGACGGAGTGCACCAGACTAGCCGTTGAGTGAATGGCTGGGATCGAATGCATCTCTACAAGCCTTATCATTCGTATTTACTTGCTAACATATGTTCAACCCGTTCCGGATCACCCACCCAAGGCGGAAACTCGCTATCAATCTCGCAAAGACTTTCGCAGACATGTCTCAATGGCTTCGCGGAGACTTTCGCGAATACTCTCGCGAGGATTCTCGCAAAGACTTTCGTAAAGACTTTCGCAATCCTTCCGACTCTCACAATTGGCCAGCAGTAACCGCGCTTTCACTCGAACGGAGCCTCTCAATAACGGAAGAAGGTTTTTGACTTCTTCTCGAGCGGGGTCCCGCATACTGGACTCCAGGTCAAAAGCCATGTGGCTTTTGCTTCCCTACGCTAAATCCATGTGGAGTTACGGTGTATGTGATACCTACATCTGGGACCCAGAGAGCATATAAGACTTCAGTACTACGCTGGACGAAACGACACCCATCCCTTCTTACCTTCACATCGCCTCCAAAGGCGATGAGGTCTACAACACCCTGCCTAATAACGTCAACCCACGATGGACGCGTGACCCAGGACTTCGACGATTGAACCTGGCGATTGTCACCATGTTTGCATCAGCCGCAGCCAATGGCTACGATGGCTCACTTATCAACGGCCTCCTTGCCATTCCAGCCTTCAACAACAACCTAGGCGACATCGACTCAAGCTTGCTGGGCCTAACGCTTGCGGGTATCAGTCTGGGTGGATTACCTTCCTTCATCCCAGCTTCCTACGTCAGCGATTACATGGGCCGTCGCTTCTGTGTTGCGATCAGATCGTTCCTCATGCTTGCGGCATCCGTGCTTCAGTGTGCCACATCCGACGTGTACGCTTTCTTGGGCACAAGAATCATGCTGGGAGTCGGTCTCGGCTTCGCGCAGACCGCAGCTCCTCCGTTGACAACGGAGATTGCTCATCCCATGCATCGAGCCAATATCACAAACCTATTTCAAGCGACCTGGTACTGGGGCGCCATCGTATCCGCTGCAGTCACCCTGGGAACCCTTCACATGAGCAGCAGTTGGTCTTGGCGTCTACCTTGCTTGCTACAGGGACTATTTCCCGGCATCCAGCTTCTGGGCCTCCTTTTCATTCCTGAATCCCCTCGCTGGTTGATTTCAAAGGATAGGCACCACGAAGCCCTTCAGATTCTTGCCAAGTACCACGCAAACGGCTCGGTCGATGATGAGCTCGTTCAATACGAATATCAAGAGATTTGCCATACGTTGGGGTTAGAGAAGGAAGCCGCCAGGAGGAACGGGTGGGCAACATTCTTCGCAACGAAAGGTAACCGACATAGATTCCTCGTCTGCGTGCTCGTGGGCTTCATGATCCAGTGGGCTGGGAATGGGATTGTCTCATGTAAGTCGTTCACAACGATTCGAAAAAAACTCGCAGTCGCACAATTGGCTAAACCTTTTGTCAGACTACCTCGCCCCCATCTTGAAAAGCGTCGGTATCATGAGCTCCACCACCCAGTCCGGCATCAACCTCGCCCTCCAATTTTGGAATGCGTCACTCGCCTTCGTTGGTGCCCTGGCGGCCGAGCGCTTCGGTCGACGTCCCCTCTGGCTGCTCTCCGCGTCCGGTATGCTAGCGTCCTTCATCGTCGTCACCGCGCTGTCCGCGACTTTCGCCGAACACGGAATCAAAGCCGCCGGGGCAGCGACCGTGGCCTTCCTCTTCATCTTCTTCGGATTCTACGATATTGCATTCACGCCACTGTCCATCGCCTATCCCGTCGAGATCTTGCCGTTTGGCTTGCGGGCGAAGGGGCTGAGCGTGAATCTCACGACGGTCTTTGGGGCCGGATTTTTCAACCAGTACGTGAATCCGATTGCGCTGGACGCGATCCAGTGGAAGTTTTATTTTGTGTACATTGGGACTTTGGCGGCTATGATCCCGACCATATACTTTCTGTTCCCCGAGGTGAGTTTCGCTTAGACGTGTTGCGATGCTCTCGGCTGACACGTCTCGGTAGACGAAAGGACGGACACTCGAAGAGATTGCTGTCGTTTTCGATGGCGAGGATGCTAGATCGGAGGTTCAACGTCAGATAGTAATTGGGAAGGAGGACTTGAAGGGCATTGAGGCTGTAGAGGTGGATGCTGTGTTTGCCGAAAAGGCATGAAAGTACAAAACATCGACAAGACTTATTGAGACTCCCTCAAACATCGCGCTGTGGGTGCTTGAAATGTAGTGGTCTTTGTAGCGCCAACTTAGTCGCCCATATCTTTGCCTGTTTATTCCAGTTTGAACATGCAAGGCTGTACCACGGTGGTCTCGATAGAGTTCAGGCTAAAGTTGGAGAAAGCGGAGAAGGGGGCTGGGGAAGATCGTGCACTGCCTCGCGCCCATTCTCGCTCTTATTATTGCGTGTGGATGTCTTTGCAAACCCGGTCGGCCCGATCTTTCCCCTCCGTTAGAAAATTTGCAGATGTCATCGCTGGTGCAGTGACGATGCATAAAGCTCCGGTGCTGCGACGGACCAGCAAGTTGTAAGCCAAAACGGACCCTGTTGGAAGCATCTCGTGGTCCCTCACCAAGTTCTCTCCTGGCCAGCTATGGTCTCGCTTTCTCCCGCAAGCGGCATCGACTACAATGCCGCACCTCCCAACCTTTCGACATTGACTAACAATAGTATCGTTGAGACATGGCGCCCTCGCGCCCATGTGCTTCCGCCCAGCTATCACATTGGCGACCCCTGCATGCACTACACAGATCCTCAAACCGGCCTCTTTCACGTGGGCTTCCTATACACATCCAACACGACGGGCGGCGCAGCAGGTGCAACCACAGGTGACCTGGTCACATACCGAGACACCAACCCCGACAATGTCCACTTCATCGTTTCCGGAGGAATCAATGACCCCGTCGCTGTGTTCGACGGCTCTGTCATTCCGAGCGGAATCAACGGCACTCCGACCCTATTGTACACCAGCGTCAGCTATCTGCCAATTCAATGGACGATTCCATACATCAAGGGATCGGAGACTCAATCTCTAGCCGTCAGCTACGATGGTGGCGCCAACTTCACCAAAGTTGCTCATGGCCCCAGCATTCCCGGTGCTCCTTTCGGCGTCAACGTGACGGGCTTTAGGGATCCTTATGTATTCCAAAGTCCGCAAATGGACCGCTTGCTGGACAGCGCCCAGGATTCTTGGTATACCCTCGTCAGCGGCGGCGAGCATGGTGTGGGGCCTGCAATGTTCATTTACCGCCAGTACGATGTTGACTTTCGCGACTGGGAATATCTGGGGAAGATGTGGTCGGAACCTGCTAACTCCACATGGGGCGATGGCACATGGGCTGGTCGATGGGGGTTCAATTTCGAGGTTGCCAACGCCATGTTTCTGGATGAGGAAGGGTTCGACGTCGAGGGCGAGATGTTCCTTACTCTAGGGGCCGAATGGAGTTATGAACCGATCCAACCACAAGTGTCAGACGTGCGCAGCATGTTGTGGGCTGCAGGCGATACGAGGCTCAATGATCGTGGCCTCCCAGCCTTTCAGCCCTCCATGGCGGGATACCTAGACTGGGGCCGTTCATCATATGCAGCAGCTGGTAAGCTGATTCCGTCGACAGCAAAAGTCTCGCAAAAGAGTGGCGCCTCCGACCGATTCGTCTCATATACCTGGCTTACCAACGACTTCTACGGAACCAAAGACTTTCCAATCCGCCAGCAGGGATGGGACGGTGCCCTGACAACTGCGCGGGAGCTGTTCCGTGCAGTGATATCAAACGTCATCTATAATGACCTCGTACAGGAAATTGCCTCTTGGAGGGTCTCACGGTTGAACACTGATGGGACCGTGGAGCTTGCTACTCTTGGGCAACGAATCGTGCGAGAGGCATCGGACGCTTTCAAAACGAAGGCTATGAAAGTTGTATCTGAGCCAAACAGTACGATAGGGGATGGAGGACGCACCGAATTGGAATTTTCCGCCTCGCCTAGCTCGAAGCACTTTCTGTTGACGGCCACTTTAGAATTCCCCTTCGCCGCAAGGGGCATCGACAGCGACGTGAAAGCAGGCTTCACGATCCTCTCCTCCGAGCACGAATCAACTAAGATATACTACCGTAAGACTCCCTGCTACATACTCTACACGCCCCACCACTAAACGTCTACAGAACTCTCCAACGAATCCATCATCATCGACCGCGGGAACTCCAGCGCTGCGGCGGCCACTACGCCAGGCATCGACACGTCCAACGAAGCTGGCAAGCTCCGTCTCTTCGACCTCAAGGCGTCCAACGGTTCCGCATACATGGAACCTCTGCATTTGAGCATCGTTGTAGATGGCGGCGTGGTCGAGGTCTACGCGAACGAGCGCTTCGTGTTGAGCACCTGGGTGTGGTATGTTATTTCCACCTCTTTGAAGCGAGGAGAGTGTTCGTGGACGGGCGTGGTGCTAACGAATCGCTACAGGACTTGGTACGCTGCATCGAACAATGTTGCGTTTTACCACGAAGGCTCCTCGGCGGCAAAATTCAGCGATGTGATGATCTATGAGGGTCTGGTTGATGCGTGGCCGGGACGTAGCCGTGTGTCGAATAGTTCGAGTGGAATTTAATTCACTAAATTATGCAGTCCAAATTGTGAATATGGCCCGATAGTAGGTTTAGGCCACTGGACTCCTCTGTCAAGCTTTAAGCTTAAAGGGCGCTAGCGCGAGTTGCCGCAACTTCAGGAGATCGACACATTGACAGCAATCTCGACTTCACCTCGACTCTCACACCACCACATCGCACTCCACGTCTTCCTTCGTTTCCTTCGCCACGCTCTCTCCACCTCTATCTTTCTAATACCACTGTACGCACGCTCCGCACGGCACTTGCTTTCCAGCGTGGAAAGACAATGCATGCTCACTAAAACTATTCTCTCTGGCCACGAAGATGGAAGACAAGAAACGAAAGCGGCCAGAGGACGACGGCGGCGATTCAACGACCGACCACCCAAGCGCGAGCAAAAAGGCCAAGCACGACCTCTTATTCCCAGCGCACGCATCCCATTTGGATTCGGAGGCTCGAGCACTTTATATCAGCTCGCCAGCAGCTCAGGAAGTACTCGCGGCCATTGCTCGTGGCGATCCTACCGCTATCACTGCAGGACATGCGCCGCCTGGACTCAGCAAAAGTCAGCGCAGCAAGTGGGGCAGATCATTGCGCGGTGTTTTGCAAAAGGCCAGCGGATCAGGTCAAGCGGTCTCACAAGCTGGATCCGCGAACGTAGAATACTCGACCGCAGGGCCCCACTCTGCTATCTCGGGTGATGTCAGCAAAAAGCGCAAACGAGCAGAGAGCGTCACAGCCATCAGCAAGCCGCAAGTCATCGACCTCTTCTTCGCTGGCGCGGCCTGTCTGCTCGATGAATCCGTCAGAAAGACTTTCCTCGCCTCTGGAGAGGCGAAGTTTGTTACTGACGCAGTCTTGGAAGGCGATGCAGATGCAATCACTGCAGGACATGCGCCTCCTGGTCTGGACAGAAAGCAACGAGTGAAATGGAGGCAGGAGCACAGACTTCTTGCTCAGCGTCAACGCGATGTAATGCTTTCCAAACCAGGCACCACCACCGACGGGCCTGGGCATCCAGCCACACCGACTAGTATGGACCATTTGTCTACGGAGGAGCAGGCCCATCTAGGAGCAGCATCTGGTGAAATGCGCAACACTTCGAACGCTTCCCTAGAAGGTACTCCGAGGCCATCAAATCCCAAAGCCAGATTGGCTGGCTTTACGCAACTTGCACAGCCGCCTACGAAGATCTGGCACAAGCCAGAAGAAAACAAGCCCAGCGACGCTACTTCGATCAAAGTGGAGAGTCTCACCCCGGCACACTCAAGTCACCCGAGCCAAAATGCGATCAGCAATGATCATCAAGCCGCCCGGATCTCGCTGAAAGACGATCATGTGGCCTCTGTGTCTGAGGCTTCCATCTCGTCATTCAGGCATGGCTCGCACGCTTCCAACCCCACGCTTAACCGTGTACGCTCAAGAGAGTCTACTTCTAACGTGATCCCGAGAAGAATCCCTGGTAACAGGAACTTCGAAGCTCCGGACTACTTTGCCGATGGGAGCTTGGCAGACACGCAACGACGATTCGAAGCCTGGGCACGTGCTCAGCGCGGTGGTAGCAGCGACAGCTCTGACAGTGATAGTTCCGAAGATAGCGACGAGGAGAGCAATGGCGACGCATCGTCTTCTGGCCGGCCTGCCGTTCGTGGTTCGTTCCACGAAAGCTGGGCGGAGCAAATTACAAACCCAGAGAAGCAACCTGCGGCCACCACATCTGAGGCTGCCGAGCAAGTTGCTGACGAGAACGCCCTTGACAGCAGCGACAGCAACGATGATGATGACGCTGAAGTACAAAGTCAGATACAAAGTCAAGTGTCGAGGGAGTTGCAGGAGGCGACTAGTGCTCCCGGAGACAATGCGAATGAAGATGATCAGGAGTCGCCTGCTGAGTCTGAGCCGGACGCCGTGCACGTCCTAGATAGTCAGGCCGCGGATGACCTATCGGCTAGCGATGTTTCGCCTGTGTCCGCCCATGAGGCCGCTGCCGGGGGAACCGTGATACCGTCTTCACTCGACGACCAGAAGGTACGGCCATCGACGCCAGATCAACAAGCTCCAGGTACACCTACACCTTACGGGCAACCAAACACGATTCGGCAAGCTAATGTTCGAGTCAAGCGCATGCTGTCGAAAACAGATCCTGGTGGCGATCGTTCTGGCTATGGTCCAATCGAGGCAGTCAAACCAGCGAACAAACCAAATCTTGTCACTAGTGGGCGGCGAACTGTCGGTAGCACCACACATGGGGATCGTCTCGATCATGGCGAGCTTTCCGACGACGTCTACGAAGCCATTGACGACGTGACCAGCGGCTTGATGAGTTCCGCCAGTCTTGGAGACCTTCGATCAATGAACGAGTGTAAGCCAGATTCCCACAACGGATCGGACGGGAGCCCTCTTTTGACTAATACTGGCAGTGCTATCAAGACCTCGGATATGGGCGGACGTGAGGATATGATGGAGAACGCTACAGAAGTCGATGTGGATGGGAATGTTCTTGGAGCGTCTGACGAAGGAGAGAAGCTTGCTGCACCTCTGAAGCCAGAGGACGGCAAAGATGGTCAGAAGGCAGCTACACAACCACGCAGATCCCACAGTAGGACGATTTCTAGCTCGCTATCCAGCGCTCTGAGCGAGCTCAGTCACACTCCAAGCCTGCCAGCCGAGCCACAAGTGATCATTCCCGTCTACGTTCCAGAAACCCCTGAGATGAAACACGAAGAGAGTGTAAAGAAGAAGCGAAAGATGACCGGCAACTCGAGCCAACACTTCAGTTCTGCCAAGCGTGCTAAGTCGAGTGGCAAATCCAAGCAGACGCTCGACGAGATCACAATGGAGACTCCCGAAGGACAGGCTGCTCGCGGGCAGGATGGTAGCTCGTCTATCTATCAAACTGCTGTGTCTCGTATGACAAGATCGGCGTTCAAGGACGCTCGTTTGCCTGAGCCAGAGCGCATTGATACTTCACAAGATGAAGTCAGTAGCCCTCTGCCCCATGCTACTCAGGCACTCAGTGCGGGAGTGGAAGAATCCAGTCCACTACCGGATGTCGACGCCGATACCCCTGGCCTAGGTGAACACTTGTCCGCTGCGATTGATCAAAACATTGAAGTCGTAGCGACTGACGAAGACAAGACCAACCTGGGAGAAACCATCACAACCGACCTCCAAACCTCCCCATTCGCAACACCACCCCAACACCCCTCAACCCCCAACCCCAACCCCACAACCACAACCCTCAAAAAGACCCCCCGCCCCAAAACAAAATCCACCGGCCGCATCTCAACGCACTTCATAACCGACCGCGTCGACCTGCCCGCTCCCAGCAGCACCCCTTCCAAAGCCGGCCTCTCCCGCGTCCCCATCCCACCCACCACACACACGCACTTCGGCCTGATCCAAGAAAAACTCTACCAAGAACCCTTCTGGCTCCTCATAGCCGTCACCTTCCTCAACAAAACCGCCGGCCGCAGCGCCGTGCCCATCTTCTGGAAACTGAAAGAGCGCTACGGCACGCCGGAGGCGCTGGCGGGCGCGGAGCAGGAGGAGTTGTTGGGGATGGTGCATAAATTGGGATTGCAGAATCAGCGGAGTAAGCGGTTGATTAGCATTGCGAAGGCGTGGGTGGAGAGGCCGCCGGAGATGGGGAGGCGGTATAGGACGTTGAACTACCCCAACCAAGGAGACGGGAGAGCTCGCGACGTCCCCAACATCGTGGAGGAAGACGCGGAGGATTGTGCGGGCGCGCTGGAGATCGGGCATATCCCCGGGTGTGGCGCGTACGCGTGGGATAGTTGGAGGATTTTCTGTCGGGATACTTTACGCGGGTTGGATGCCAACAACACCACCAAAAAGACTCCAGACTTTGAAGCCGAGTGGAAGAGGGTTCTGCCGAAGGATAAAGAGCTCCGGGCGTGTTTGCGGTGGATGTGGGTTAAGGAGGGGTGGATTTGGGATCCTCTTACCGGCGAACGCCGTCGGGCGACACATGATGAAGTGGAGAAGGCGGAGAGGGGCGAGATGGAGATTTGGGATGGGCAGGAGGCTGAGTTTGCGAGGAGGGCGGCGGAGGGGGAGGGGACGGGGACGAGCGGGACGCCGACGAAAGCTGCTGGCGATGCTGAGGGACTGCAGGGCCCGCCGTCTTCGTCGTCGAAGGGGAGTAGTACGATTCATCTCACGCCCCGCCGTCCGCCGACGAGGGTGGCGAAGGCTGCGCACAGTATTGAGCAGGCAGACGAGGAGGAGCCGCCAACCAAGAAGCCGCCAACAAAGACCATGAAGAAGACACCCACTACAACATCGTCGAAACGCAAGCCCAAAACCAAAACAAGAACGTCTTCACCTCCCGCAGCCGCCGCTGCCGCCGACGAAGAGTTCAAGCAGGACGATGAAGTGAGACAAGATGAGGAAACCCCCCTCACCAAACCCCAACCGAAACCCAGCGAAAACCCCCCAACACAAACACAAACCCCTTCTTCAAACCGCAAACGCAAGACGAGAACGAGTTCCTTCCTCCCCGACGACAACGAAGGCTACGGCGAGGACAAGGACGAGGACGAGGGGAAGGGTGGGAAGAGAAGGAGTCGACGAAGAATTACGACGTGAGGTGGGGATTAGGCGGTAGTTGGATGGATGGATGAAGGGGTGGAGGGGGTGAGATGGGGTGAGGTGGGGAGTGTACGATAGGATAGGATACCTCAAAACGAAACTCTATAGCAAGATGAATCCCCATGTCAAGATTGATAAGAAAGAGGGACGATTCTCAAAGAAGCCCTTTTTGGCTATGAAAGACCGATTCGGCTAGGTAGGTGAATGATCGTAGCGAGGTCGTTGTCTACGACTGGCCTGCGACAAAAATTGGGAAAGAGGCTCGCTGGCTGGTTGGGAGTTAATGGATAGGAGCTGATGCATGGATGGATGCCATGCGTCCGTCGCTTCCTCGGGGATGGATACTTCGATGGGATTGAGTGAAGATTACTGGTGGGCAGGCTTGGAGTTTGCTGGACGGATGGATGGATAAGAGTTTGATAAGGTGGGTCAATAGATCGATACGATTAAGGAGTGGAGTGAATAGGAGTGACTGAAGATTGTACGATATCGAAGAATAGGATAGGATAGGATACCTCACCCGGAACCACCATAGCAAGATCAACAAGAAAGAGGGAGGATCATCAAAAACCGTTTCCGGCTACTTTGCAAGAACACACAGTCAAGGCAGTCCTTTCCCACAAATTCCGAACTCACTCAAGTCTCGAAGACACGCGAAATGGAAAAGGCACAAGCATCTCGCTTCAAGTCATTCAATGACCAGACACCCTTTTCTCTAACGGTGCCCGTCCATCTGTATGCATCGTAGTAGTATACACAGCCAGTCCATCCATCCATCCATCCATCCATCCATCACGACCAGCTCTCACAGTCCCCAAGAGTCGTGTCTTCCTCCTCTCAAGACCATTTCAAGTCTCAGACCGTCTGCGTCCCATACCCCCGAATCTTATCGGCAAAATCCCAACTCTGATTCTCCAAAACCTCCTTCTCCCTCAACTCCACACCCTTCTCATCCACCACCGCAATGCTATACTCAGGCATACTCCTCGCATCGCGATAAAACAGCACCTTCATGCAATCCCTCACGGCCTGCACCGCCTCCTCGCGCCCGAGCTGCGCGCTCGCCGCCTCGTCCGGCACGATGCGCCGCATGATCGGCTGCGCCAGGTGCGCGCCGAAGCCCGTCGCCATCGTCGGCCCGCTGAACGTCGTGCCGAGCAGGTCCGCGGACGCGAGGAAGGGCTTGTTCTTCTCGTCGAGGCCCGCGACGAGGAGGGCGTTCCACAGCGGGTTGAAGTCGCTGCGGCGCTTGTACATCACCTTGCTGAGGTACGTGTGCAGGTTGTTCGCGCCCATCATGGCCGGGTCCGCTTCGCTCTCCGCCGCCGTGTGGCTGCCTGTGCTGTAGTTCTCCTCCACGTCGAGCGACTTGAGCAGGCGGTCGAGGTACTGCATGTCGGAGACATCGCCGCCGACGCCGACGACGGACTTGCGGTTGAAGGGTTTGAGGCGGTGGACGTCGGTGAAGCGCGCGAGGGAGCCGTACGAGGCGAGGTTGTCGGCGGCGATGACGACGCCGGATTTGAACTTGATGGCGATGACCGACGTTCCGGTGACGATGGGGGATTGCGTGTGCGTGATGGGTTTTTGGGTGCCGCCGTGCGAGTGCGGGAGGTAGGAGGGGTTGTATTGGCCGTAGACGTCGTCTCTGGGCTGAGGGGAGGTTAGTTGGATGGAGGCATGTGATGGGGGTTTGACATACTCTGCCCCAGGCCTGAGGGAAGTGGTTCATCTTGAAGGTGTTGTTTGATCAGGTGGTGAAGGTGCTGTTGATGAGGTTTCGCTTGGTGGATTTTGTGTTGTTGTTGAGAAGTGTGGTGGTGGTGTTTGATGTGTGTTGGTTGATGGATGGAAGTGAAGTCGACCAGGCACGACTGACGCGCAGCTGGCTGGAGCTTGGACTGCGGTTCCCAATGCGGAATAGCGCCACCGCCAAAACATCACATGCAAGGGCGAGCACACGACAACACATGAACATCTACACATCCTCACTAAACACTTCAAATAAGGAGAAAGGTCAAGACAATCATCAGAGAAAATCTCACTTCCTCAACGATAATATACACACAGCACTCTCACTCGCTCCCTGTACTACTCTCCCAAGCCAGTCCATAATGCTCATCCCGAATGCCCATGGTATGTACCCCATTCCCATCCCATTCCCATCTCCTGAGCCCATGAAGCACATCAAAAAAGTCTATTCAATAAAGGAAGAAAGAAAAAAGGGAACGTCCCACAGCACCAATCACTCCACCCGCTCTCGAGCTCGCCAGCGCTCAAGAATTCCAGCAAATCGAATCGTCCCAAGTAAAAAAGCAAACGCCTCCGCTTTGGTTTGCTGGCTGGCTGGCTGGCTGTGTACACGTTCCATTTCCCAGCATCGAATCAGAAAGAGAACTCCAAGAAAAGAGAAGGCGTCAAAGTCGTGAGTAGGATGCGTTTGCATGTTCGCATCATTACAGTCGGTTCGATTACGGGTTCGGTTCGTCGTGAGTGTCTCGGTGGGTATTATTCGGTAGAAAGGATGATGAAATGCTGCTCCCATATCCAACCCAATTCGTTGGAAGCATCGTCTTGGTTCTTAGCCAGCCACAGCTCGCCTTTCTGGGCCACCACGTCAAAGACTTCGCCTTGCACGTATTGCAAGTACGGGTATCCGGCCTCTTTGCGAGTCTTGTCGATGCTGAACTCGAAAAGACTGGCGCAGACGAACATGACGTTCATGTCTTCTGGAGCTGACCGTGAAGGCGAGGCGGGTTGCTGAGGTGTGCCAATCTCAGGCGGCATAGCCGAGCTGAAAACTCCAGAGTATCGCTGCGACTCGGCTTGGTCCGGTCGTGCAGTGAAGTATGTAGCATCAGAAGCTGGCCGCTGATTGCGGTATTGGTCGGTAGAGTCTCGCTGGAAGTACGACTGATTCCCCGTGGATGGACGGTTCGCCGAAAACGACAAGTTCGGTGTGTTGGAGTTCGACCACGGACGGCTAGCAGATTGAGCAGAGCCTGGAGTTTGACCAGCCGCATGGCGTGTCGACATTGCTGAGTTCGACCGATAACGGGTATCCATCGGCGACTGCACTTCTGCACCAGGTATGTAGATGCCGCTATGTCTTCGTGATGCCAGCGTTGTGGACGACTCGCTCCCAACAGACAACGTACGATTTGAGCTGTCAAGCGTAGACGGTCGTCGCTTGCCAGCCGACGCAGGCTCTGGGGTGTCCATCGACGTGGGTTGTGGGGAGAGGAAGTTGGCAGCCTCGATCTTGAGCGTACCATTGCAGATCGACAACTGATGAAGCTCCTTCTCGACCTCGATAAAGTCCGGCTTGAACGCAGGCTCAATCTGCTGAATACTCGATGGAATGTCAGCGGCCTCCAGGAGTGGTTTCAACTTCCTCTCCCAAGTGCTGTGCCAGGTAAGCTGAATGTCAAGGAAGACATGCAGACAATTGCGGACGAGCTGCGCCGTCATGTTGTACAGCTTCGGCAGATCCAGCTTGAGCTGCTCATTGAGTGCCATGTACACCTCAGCAGCCTCAACAGTCTTCTTGTCAGACTTGATGCCTCGCTTCTCGTCCGACTTGAATTTGGCGTAGTCCAGGATCCGCTTCTTGCGCTTGTTAATCGCACTCTGCGGTCCTTCGTGCAGCTTGATGCATTGGATCATCGGCGCCAGGACTCGCTTTTGGACGGCAGCCTTGTGCTCATTGAACGCAATCTGCGTCAGATCCCTGATGACTTGGCCGTACCTTCGCCACTTGCTCTCGATCTCCGGCAACTGGCTCTGGTGAACATCAGTGAACAGCTCCAATGCATTCGCATAGTTGTTGATCAAGTTGATGGCATTGTCCGCTTTCTGGAGGTAGTCCTGCACATCCCGCATGCAGATCTGGAGCCGGATGAAGTGTCCACCAAACTTGTGAGCAAGCTCATCAAAGTCTGGATCCGAAAACACCTCTGCAATGCCGACTCGCTCCTTCAGCTTCTCGGTGCGGCGCCCGAAAGCTTTTGCCAGGCCATTGCGAACATCAGACTCTTTGCGTGACTTGCGGTTGACGATCTGATCCACCAAGTCAGCGCGCTTCTTGGCGTCGTTGATTCGTGTAAGCATGCTGATCGAATCGTCGGCAGCAGCTCTCAGATCTTCAAAGTCGGGGTGCTCGGGCGGGGTGGTCTCCAGGAGTTGTTTCAGCAGCAGAGGATACTTTCCCACACGCTGCGTCGGCTTCACCAGCAAAGAGTCCAGATCCCAGGCCGATGTGATATCGCTCGCATTTGCGTGGCACTCGTCGAGCCAGCACTTGACGGTGGTGGTGCTCTGGATGGCAGAAAGCCGCTTGTTGGCTGCGTCATGATTCTTCAGGTACGCCCCATACACCTTCTCGATTTGCTGCATGTTGGTGAGGAAGGTACGACCAATGGTGGTACTGCGATCCTTCTCATCATCCACCGGCTCGCTGAAGTACGTCTGCGATGTGCCATCGCTCTGGGTCGTGGAGAAGCTACTCCTCTTGTTGCCGCCCCATCTGTTGTTCCTCGCCGGCACGTATATCTGCGCCGCAGCTTTCCGCAGTTCATCGTAGAATTGTATGGCGAACCGCTCAACCTCATCACAATTGCCGAACAACACCTTCTTATCGTCAGGCGCTACCAGTTCAGGCGTGCACGTAGCCTTGTAGATGTCCTCGACGATCTTCAAATCCTGGTGATACGAGTACTCAGTGTCGAGAAGTTCCTTGACGATCAATCGTCGCTTGATGAGTCGCTTCTGCTCAGGTCCAGGAGATGTCGTCTTCACCAAACGAGTCTGGCTATCAGCACCAGTGTCGAATGAGGTCTGCCTTGTAGACTCTGTAAATGAAGTCATGGACTGCGAAGCTGGCACTTGGGGCGGCACTCGCTGGCTGTCAATCGAGGGTCTTGACGAGCCAGAAGCAGTCCAATTGGTCTTTCGGTACCGGGGCGACATCTCCGTCGACTCTCGATCCGAATAAGCCTTTGCTGAAGCAAGGTCCGGGAGCGCAAACTGCGCTTTCATGACACTATCTGCCGGCGGTGGCGGAGGAGGTGCGTGAGAAGGCAGAGGCGGCGCAGATCCCGCAGACATGTGATTGTCCGGCGAAGTGAATTCAGCCGCTCTCTCACCCGCAGCCTGAATGTCCGCGATGTCAAGCTGTCCAGAAGTCGAAATCCGTAGACCAGCGTCGTTCAAGCTGGGCGGGAAGACTGCACTATTCGGACCTGTGCTCGAGCGAGGCGTGTATCCAATGTCTTTCGGTGGAGGTAGAGGCTTGATCTCCTCATCATCGTCGACGATCGGCTCTTCACCACGCTGTTGGCGCTCCCACTCTTCATCAGCCTTGCGAATCTTCGCCTCAAAGTCATCATCTTCACCACCTCCATGAGTCTCACTGCCATATACAATGACAGTTCCCGGCTCAAACCCAGCATCCATTGGCGGCGTGTCCGGCGTGTCCGGCGTGACTGAAGGTATTTCGTACGTACTCGAGTCCAGAAGCTGCTTATCGTGGTCCTCTTGCTCGCAAGATCGCGCGTTCATCACACTCGCCAACAGACTCTGTATCATATTGGCATCTGATCCGCCATTAGCAGACAGTCGGTGCAAGTCCAACACGTGCGGATCGAGCGCTTGAATCATTTCCGGAGTGAATGAACCCGTCGAGCGGTAGTAGTCGAGAACACGCGATATGGTATTCTGAGCATCGGGTGATTCGCCGTCTTCGTGGAAGGTAGTCGGCTTAAGCGTGTCATCTCTCGAGAGATACTTGCGAGGCGTGACTTGCGACGGGTCTTCGGGGAAGCTCTCAGGCTCGTCGACGGGAGAGTCCATGTATCCATTTGAGGTGAATGCCTGATGATTGTACTCCTGGGCGCGGAGGACGTCATCTTCGGAGTGTACCTGGTGCTGAACCTCCTCGAATGAGTGTTCCACGTCTTTCGACCAAGGCTCCGAGTGGTGCACAATGCTTGGGTCATCGTCGAGCATGATACGAATCGAACCTTGGTCACCACCCACACTACTGTTGCCAAGGCCCCACCGATCTCCCAGGTCGCTGGGACTCTCCTCCGCAGACGCACTGTCATCGGCAAATTCAGTCCCAGTTCGACTGGCTGACGATGGACTGCTTTCCCGCATACGCATGACATTTTCCAAGATGCTTGGGCTTTGAACCTCTTCGGCGGGTGCGTCAGCGGGGACCTCAATGGAAGGCAGCGGCACGGCTTTGGTTGGCGGTTGGTACGTTGCGGGAGTTAGGAGTATGGGAGGCTCTTCCGCTGCCGGTTCTGGAGGGTTTGATGTCGGTACCGCAGCGGGCCGGCCGAGCACAGGGCTTTCATCCTCAAACATGGTCCGATCGGTATGACCCGTCAAGGGCTCTGCGTCTGCTGGAGAAGCTTCCGGGATGCCCGTTGTTTCCACGCTCAAGCCTTGTGGGTAACCGTTTGCATGTTCTGCGTTGTGGCCGCGTTGCAGAGAATGCTGGCCCTGTTGATCGACGTTTTGTCGCGTGTCAACATCTGCACCAGCTGCAGCTTGTTCGTAGTCGTTCGAGGCGAGTCGTGACGGGGTTCTCGAGGATGCGCTTCGACTTCGGGAGTGACTTCTTCGCATGCTTTCTTGAGATTCGCTGGACTTGAGGCTCTGCGTGATGGCCTTTTGTATTCGTTCCCTTCTCTCCTCGAAGTTGATCTGGTCAAGTTCTGGTATTCTCCTTCTCGACCGCTCTTTCTGAGGGTCGTACGGCTTCCCCAGCCACTGCTCGCTGGGTCTTCGCCCATCTCTTGTATTCGCACCTTGAAATCGCTCTGCAGCACGAGCGCGGCTCGCTGAAGTCGTTGCGGAGCTCACTGGCTGCCTAGGCCGTGAGGAACGCAGCGGTGGTGACGTCTTCGGCAATGGAGCGACAATCTTCGCAGAGAGTGTTTGACCAGGCTGGGCAGGTGGAAGGGTGGGAGGGTGGTATCTGCTTCGAGATGCAGATGGAGCATTCTCTTTCCCATTGGCAGGATTCGCAGTACTCGGTCTGGTAGGTGATTTGGCGAGTCGTCTTCGGTCGGGTGGATTGGACATGGCCGAAGCTGCTCGTGATTGGCCATTTGATGATGCGGTAGAGGTATCGGAAGGGCGTCGGTTGCTGACTGGTATTCGAGAGGCAGATGGTGAGTTGCGATGCCGTGAAGGGCGATTGACAGAGTCCGGTGGGGTAGGATAGAGGGCAGGTATCGCTTGGGCGCCAAGGTTGGGCATGCTGGGCATTGCCATGGACTGAATGGTGTCCATGTCGCTTCTACTCCGCTTGTGGCTGAGCTTGTGCTTCGAAGGAGGCGCCAACAAAGGTGTGGATATGTCCTGATGCGACTGGCTCCGTCCATGTCCCAAAGCCAAGCTGCCTTCACTTCCACGCCGTGGAGCCTTCTCAAACGTCGGCAGCGGCCCATAGTTCCCCAAGTCCACGTCAAAGTTCCCATTCCATTTTCCATCTGCAGTGATCTCGCCGAAGAGCGGTCGTGAATTGACATGTAACTGTTTGCTCGGTGACTTTGCTCGCTTCGGACTGAACGCGGCGTGTGGCTGGCTGCGGGTCGTCTTCATCGTGCCCGCGCTGGTGTTCGAGGAGAAGGACGAATTGGACAGCTCAAACGACGTCGAGGGGCTCTTTCGCGGCGACCGGGTCCCCGGTGGTCTCTTCTGCAGCTTGCGATTTTCCGACGTAGGCGACCTCTGGGCCGTCCTGCCGGGGTTCGTAGGGCGTTTGTAGCGGTCGCGGGCGGTGTTGATGGTGAGGGCAGGTTGTGCATTGCTCATAGCCGTAGCGCCGCGGTCGAATCGGTTGGCCATGTCCTTGACGGAGCCTGGAGGGCGGGAGGGAAGCAAAACCGGGTTGGAGCGAACGCTGTTGAGCGAGGGCCCCGGCGGCGACATGCCCTGTGTTGTGGTGCGGCCAGGAGCGGGCGCGGTCGCTGGTCCTGCTGGGGTGGGCATGACCCCTGCCGCTGGAGCTGCGGTGGCACCACGAGTGTATGGGTCCAGGTCAAACGGGGTGGATGAGGTGTAGAAGTCGTGAGGATGGGGCGGTCCGCTGGCGGTGGGCCGCGGGGGCGTAGAGGTCTCTTCCATGGCGAGACGCGCGCGGGCAGATCATGGCATAGCGGAGGGGGTCGCTGTCGCGGTGGGGGTGGTGGTGGTGTCGTCGTCGGCGGGCGGTTCGTTTCCTCGCGCTGGCTGGGCTGCGGTCGAGATGGTGGAGTCTGAACGAGAACGCTCGGACGTGAGTGACTAACTTTGTGGGGGATGCGCCCGGCCAGGCCAGCAAGCGCGACGGCGATGACCAGGTGCGGCGGTGGTGTTTGTTGGCAGCAGATGTCACTTCCAATTGTTTGCGACGACAGAAACAAATATCACTCTCCGCCAACATGTACGTATGTACTTCACTACTCACATCCAACGCCCACCTCGCTGCCGAGCCCACCAACGCCCGCCCCCAAAGCCAAATCGCAGCTGCCAACCGCTGAGCCGCGTCGGGAAGACGGCTTGCGCTTCCTAGAAGACTCCCTCACGGCCACTCACTCGCCGGCGACCATGGTCCGCCGTCCCTGCTGCGATCCAAACCGCCTGCACTCCTATAACACGGCCCCTGTACCGGCACCTCTTCGCATCTGCCGTCGAGAACATTTTCTTCCAGCCAAACAGCCCGCCTCCCGCCTCGCCTGTGCAAGACGAGGGAGTCGCCAGCGATGCGGACATGCACTTCTCGCGTGTGGTGCTATTTGCAACCGTCGGTTCGCTCGAACCCGCCTGATCGACTGAGCTCATCGTGCAGAGACTCACTCGCCGGCTGTCTGCTTGTCGCTGGCCCTTGCAGCCAGCAGCATCGTCCCTTGCAGCACCAATTTCCCAGCCCATGATCTTGGTGCGACCAGACTTTTGTGATCGGCCGTACGTCTGCGTAACGCATTTGCCAGAGTCGGTTGTATGCGCTCGAGGGGTGATTGGATGGTGTAGGCGCCAAGGGTGATAATACGGCTTTGCTGTCAAGCGTTTCATCTAAGTAAGGGAGTGGCAGTGGGGGTTGTGCATTGTTATGATTTAGATTATCACAACAGTGGCTATGTGAGGTCTAGCTGGTTCGTGATGAGGGGCGTCGCTTTGTTGATGTGATGTTGGAGGTCCATGCACCTCACACGCCATTAACAACACCCACCTCCCCCTCCTCCATCACCCTCAACAAATTCTCAATCTTGCGATGCTCAAACGTAAACCGCGGGTACAGAAACGGCCTCAGATCAAACCGATTGTCATCCGGCGTGTACGATTCCAGATACAATCCCGGCGTCATGGTCGTCATCTTGTGTCGGTTGATCGCGTAGTAGTACATGAAGTCTCTCACCTTCTTGTACACCTCGCGGGGCGCTCTGTCATTCCACTCGGTCACCAGTCGCTCGAACATGCCCACTGTGCCGAGTTTGAACGTCTTGCGCAGGCGGCCGAGGATGGAGAGTTCGTCGTAGGTGAAGCCCATATCTGCCTCGTCGCTTTGAACGTACGTCTCTGTGATGGGCTCCAACTCAGCGGTGGGGACTGCATCGAGGAATTCGTGGAGGATGGGAAGACTGAAGTTCTCTTCTGCCCACTTGATGAATCGCTTGAGATCCGTCTTGGAGATACCCCCTATGGGGTTGATATCCGCCGACGAACAGTCGTACTTGGTGAGGTATCCACGCAAACACTCATCAACGTTCGCCGACCCCAGAACCAGGAGGCCCCCCGTACCGCCACGAGAGGTAGGGATAAGCTGGCCAAGTGCGTACGCGAGGACCATACGAGAACGAGACTGAAAGTTCTGCAAAGCCAAATTCTCCGCTTGCGATCCGCCGTGGACCTTGAACTTGGGCTCGAAATCGAGGATGCCGGCGACGACCGAGTGTAGTGATTGCACCATTGGGTCGATGTTGGTGTCGACGTGGTGGGCACCAATGGCTGCTGCGAGCTCCCTGGCACGGGTACGTGTCTCTCTTGACGATTGCTGCTCCATGCCCATGAAGACTGTGGTGAAGATCTTGTTACAGAACTGTGCTGCTGTGAGGCCTGTCGGGTCGGATCCGCCGCTCAGCCGCTTTGCATCTTCAATGACGGCTTGGTTGCCTTGTCGTATCTCGGAAACAACCAGTCGGCACATGCTGTAGACGATGGTGGCTGTGGCGCAGCTATCGATGCCACCGCTCAGGGGAACAAGGAAGCCCGCTGCTTTCGAGCGACGCAAGTAGTCCCACATCCAACAAGCTGGTCCCAGAGCGATCTCCTCTTCTGGTAAATGGTATCTTGGCTCCGTCGCGATTGTCAGAGGTGCTCTTGGTGATAGGACTGATGGCGAAGGGCACAAATTGAAATCAACCTGAATCCGCTCGAGCTTTTGTACCTCCGGCTCGTTCGCTTGCATGCCTCGACTCCTGGAAGTTCGATATGACCAAATCTCGTCCAAGTCGACAGTTGCGGTCAGAACTTCGACATCTCGTAACGAGAACTGCGAACCTTGTGCAAGCACGCTGCCTGAGTTGAGAATGAGTGCGCAGCCGTCGTAGTAGAGCCTGTCGCCGTCACATCCTCGCTGGTTGGAATACATGTAGACACCTCCCGTCTTTGCAGTCGCCTCCTGGATCAAGTTGATTCTCGTGTCAAGCTTGCGTAGTTCGTGATGACTGCCGCTAGAGTTGAGGACAATCTCGATGCCAGCAAGCGAGTAGAGCGTGTGTGGTGAATTTGGCGTCCAGAGCTCTTCGCAGGTCTCAGACGCAAAGGAAGCATCGTTCGTCTCGAATGCAACCTCTCCAATACGTGTCTTACGCTGGCCTCGGGGAAGCTGTTGGATGACTTTCGGCAGGGTGTAGTTCTCGACTCTTTGTCTGGGCCAAGGGGTAAAGTATCGCATCTCGCGGAAGTTGCCATCATTGCAAAGATCAAGCTTCGGTCTCACTGCAAGCACCTCGCCATTGAGGGCGATGAGTCTTGAGTTGTAGCTGCATCCTCTGTGCTGGATGGGCAATCCTAGGTCGATGATGATGTCTTGGCAGTCCGGGTGTGATATGATTTCGGCAACAATGTCCCATGAGTTGGCGTAGACGTCATTCTCAAGCCAGTGGTCAAGCAGGCCATAGCCTGGTATACACAGTTCTGGGGTTAGAATGAGAGTTGCTCCTGCCGCTTTGGCTGTTTTGATGGCTTCGATGATCCGATCGCTTTTGCAGGTCAGTATCGCTGAATATTTGTAACGGCTTCCAGCTTACCGATTGCCATCGTAGTCGAGAACCCACTGGTTCAGCTGCGACGTGGCCAAGACGCACTTTCTAGTCATTGTTGCGTTTAATTGAGCAGGTTGGTGCTGTGTTGTGCAGCTGGTGGTGTTTGCCAGCTAGCGTGGAGTCACAAGATAGACCCTTGTACGACTAAAGCTCTTGGCAAGCTTCATCAACGCCAGACGTGAAGTCGGCAAGATCCGTGGTTCTCTTCCACTATCTTCACGTGTTCGTCACTCGATGATTTTGTCGCACGTTGACACATTAGTGGGAGCATTTGATGTCATCTCGGCTGCAACGGCCGGTATGCACAAACGGCGAAAAAGGTGGCCGCTGTTTGCAGAGCACCTCGAATCGGAAGCCTCGGCCAGGAGCCCGCTCTATCTTTTATTTATTTCTATGGGATTTGGGAACGGGGAGCCCACGTTCCCTCATTTCGCTGCGAACACTAGCAAGTAACTTCTGCCAAACCATGCGACCTGGTCTCGACTTTCGCAACAGCAGCAGAAAGGAATCGAACCGTACCGTCTTCAAGCTCCGAGCTGCAGAGAGGACGTGGCTGTCAAGTCGGACAGCGACCAATCCGGATCGTGAAATGGATTTAGACTCCACCTGGTTGCGTTGCCTGGAGGCTCTGGCTAAAGGTGCCGCGACGCTGGCTGGATCTCGCCGCAAACAGCCTGGCGGCCAAGCAAGATTTACGAACGTCTCGGTGGCGGACGTGCCAGACCCGCGGGCGAGATGGGAAAGCCATTGTTGCAGTGCAGTCTTCCGCTGAACTGGAAATGACTGTCCACCCTCCCGAACAACTGCGCAGACACACAGGTCTCGTGTGCAGCACGGAAGCACGGGTGAGGTTTGGCGATGGAAGGGTTGGTAGGCGTATCCGTCCGTCCCTTCTTATCAAGGTGGCAGGCGTTGTGCGCTAGTGTTGCCATGTTGGAGCATGGGCCACATTTCGCCCGTACCTGCTTTAACGCGCCCTTTGGCCACTTCTGCTTCGCATTTCCTCGCCCACCTCTCCCACATCTCCTCACTCCAACTCGCGCTGCAGACCCCAAGCATCCACCACTGCAAAGCCCGATCAGCTCCATTGATAGCCCGCGAGGAGAGCAATTGCCAAAGGTAAACAATCGCCGCCCATTGACAGCACTCTTTGGTCGAAGCTGACGCGGTCCCAGATCAATCGACCCAGCATCCATCCAGCAACCACCCACCGCCAACCCTCACCATGTTCCGCTCCACCCTCCTCCTGGCCACGGCCGCCTTCGCCGCTGTTGCCAGCGCCCAGAACTACTCCACTTCCGGCAACCTGTCCGTCGACACCAGCCAGATCCCATCGGCTCTGAAGTCTTCCTGGTGCCGTGCGCAGACCAACTCGTGCCCGCAGATCTGCGGTGGCCGTGCGTCTCCAAACAACTGCGACTCGGTACGCATGCACCCTGCAGTCAGTTCCCCACCAATGCTAACATCACTCCCAGAACACCCTCACCTACCAGTGCGTCTGCACTGACGGCTCTTCCCCCAACATCAGCGACTACGATCAGACCATCCCGTCCTTCGTCTGCCAGACGTGGGTTGGGAACTGCGTCGACGCTCACCCTAACGATCTGGACGGTCAGACCGGTTGCCGGTCTGTGACTTGCGGCTCTAGGAACGCCAGCAGCAACCTCGCAGCCACCACCTCTTCCGCCGCCACCACCTCTGCCACCGCCTCGAGCAGCTCCTCTGCAGAGAGCACCTCCGCTAGTGGAACCCCCACCGGCTCCAGCGCATCCACCACTGCCACGACCTCCAGCGCTGCCATGGCTCTTCACGTCGCTGAACAGTACGGTACGGGCATCATTGCTGGCGGTCTTCTCGCCCTCTTCGGCCTTGTGCTATAAGATGTTGAGTGATGTTGCAATGGACGGACAAAAGCAAGAGCATTACGGCAGACACTGTTGGCGTTGATGAAGAAGCTGTCGATGGCACGATGTTGACGGCAGAAGATTCGAAGACTTCACGGTTCATGAAGTAACGCAAGAGCATGCATTATTTGTTGATAGCGAATTCTCCAGCGTTCGGGCGTTGGAAAGATTGAGTAACTAATACTGCATAGTGAGAGTATGATGCGCGATACCACGCTTGTAATGACGATATTCCAGCAGGCTTTTCACCTTTCCGTGGTACTCGTCAAGCTGGACCAAAGACCATCACAACCCTTCAATGCTTCCCATACTCCGTTCACTTCTATCATGTTCAATGTCGCTGACAAATAGTTTGATAGATCCTCTTTTCGTGCACCCTCACTTCCCTCTATCACTTCAACAGCAACACATCCCGACATCGACACACGAGAGCACACTAAAATTCACACAAGCCAACCAAAATCCCCAGAACATTGATATTCAACTACACCCTCCCAAAAATCTCGTCAAACTCCTCCTCCGCAATCTGCACCACATCCTGCCCATAGATCACCTTCTGCACATCCGCATCCGCCCACTTATCCGGCACGGGGCCCTTCCCCTCCCTCAACGCCGCAAACTGCCGATCCCGCTCCTCCTTCGCCGCCCCTTCGCCCAAATGCATCGCCCGTCCGCTCGCAGCCGCCAACTCGACGAGTTTATACGCGCGCTCCCGCCGGACCGTTTCGTAGACTTTGAGGCCTTTGGAGATGGCTTCCGGGGTGGTGTTGGGGAGTTTCGACAGGACTACGGCTAAGACTGCCCCGTCTTCGATCGCCTGCGCGGCGCCCTGCGCGAGGTGCGGGAGCGTTGGGTGGCACGCATCGCCCACGAGGGCGGTAGATTCGTACGTCCAAAACGGCAGCGGTTCGTGCACGCGCAGCTTCCACTCGCAGACCTCGCCATCGGGCACAAGGTTCAGCATTTTCTGGACCAGCGGGCAGAAATCCGCAAACACGTCCAGCATCTGCGGCTTGCTGCCTTTGGTCGTGTACGTCGCGGAGGGGGCGGCGGCGAAGTTGGCGTCGGGCTGCACGGTGCTGAGGTTGTAGATTTGTTTGCTGGAGACGGGGTAGGCGATTATGTGGCGTTTTTCGCCGATCCAGCGGGTGACGGATTCGCGGTCGAGGAGGGCGAGGAGGGATGGGGAGGAGGACATTTGTTCTCGGGTCAGCATGATGCGGTAGGCGGCTTGGCCGGTGTCGATGATTTTGGCGGAGATGTTTTTGAGGTGGAGGAGTTGGTCGCGGATGGTGGATTTGACGCCGTCGGCTGCTAGTAATACATCACATTGGACTTGATGTGGTTCGCCATTTCGCGGGATCGCCGTGAAGGAGGGTTGAGGGCCCCAGGAGGTGATCTCGCCGGCGCCCGTGCTGAAGTGGAAGGTGATGCTCTTTTCGCGCTGGCAGCCGGCGTACATGGCGCCCGCCAGCGAGGCGCGGTGCCCGACCATGTGTGGGTAGCCGTAGGTGGAGCGGATGTATTTCAGATCGACGTGGCCCAGTTCGTTGTCCGTGGAGCCCTCTTCAATCGACACTATCAGCACAAAGTAGACAAGCAAAGCGAAGGCTGTGGGGAATGGGCACTCACGTCTAATACTCGTCTCCTTCAAATCCACCGCTTCCCGCTCAATCTCCTTCCACACCCCCAGGCGATCCAGGATCCGCGCCATGTTGGGTGCGAGCTGGATCCCCGCCCCGACAAAACCCAGATTCGAGGCCGTCTCGTAGACTTCGATCTTGCGGAAGCCTTTCTTTGCGAGGGAGAGGGCCGTGGCGAGGCCGCCCATGCCTTTTAGTGTGGGTTAGTCGTTTGGTTTTGAAGGGAGTACGGGAGGGGATTATGGGGAATCTGACCAGCGCCTATGATACATATGTGTAGATCGAGGACGTCGTTGGACGCCATCTTGGTGGTATATCGTTCTGTGTAGTCTTCGAGACAGTAGCAGGTGACGTTGAGGAGCGAAATTTGAGCCTTTCCTCTGCAAAAGGATGCACACAATGAGACTGTTTCTGCAGTAATAATGCTCGAAAGACAAACGACACCTAGCCTCCACTCTGCTTCAGCCTCCGGCAGTCTTATTATACACCCATCTCCCACAATCTACCTGACATGTGGACCGGCAAGTCGAGTTGAAAGTTGCGTGTATGTGTGTTCTTCCCCGTTCGTCGGCAAGTGGAATCGGTCGAATTCGGTCCTGGATCTAGTAATCGCTAGACTGGATTTAGTGATAGCGTCGCGCTGCTTAATGGTAAGTCGTAACTGCCCTCCCTATTTGAACTCCATCACATTCGCAGCCGATTTTGCTTCGGCCGATTGGGACGCTTATGGTCGGATTTTATACTTGTTTCTTATTTCTGGAGGATTGGATATGGGGATTCTTTTCTATACGGCGGGTGAATAATTTGATGAGGAATGCAGGGTTTGCGTCTGGCTCTACGAAATGCAGGAGTTTGTCCTCGGCGTTGGGCGGAATCGGACAGCTTGAACTTGAGAACGCTTCAATGTCACGGTGATGACTGGTGAGTGTGGAGGATGCATTTCGCTCTTTCGAGTCTTGAGGCTATTCGACTGTCACTGAGGAGTAGCAAACATGAATCTTCGCTAGCTGTAGTAGTCGTTGATCGTAGGCAAGTGAGGTTGAACTTGAGAGGGGATTTGATTGGCCAGACAGCCAAAGTGGGTCCACTTTCACGGGCATCTGAAGTGACCACCTCTAGCAACACAATCCTTTCGTCAATCCGCATCTTCATCGCCCAACATGAGTATCGAAGCCGTATCCCGGAGTGCGCTGCCACGTCTGGCCTGGACCGCAAGCTCCGTCCGTCCCACCGCAGCAATCGTGCAGCAGGGCTCATCCGCATGGAACAAGCAGCCAACGCCGAGGAGGACAACGGCAACGACAGCATTCGCAAGGAACACATGGGCCGAGAGGAGAGCAACCCCCCAACCCTCCACCCCCATCCACACAGCATGCCAACGAGCCTTCTCCGCCACCCCCACCCGCGCCAAAGACCACCACTTCGACACGCTCAAATTCGTCCAACGCCTCAAAGCGGAGGGCTTCACCGAAGAACAAGCCGTCGCCATGATGAAAGTCCTTGGCGACGTCATCGAAGAATCCATCCAGAACCTCACCCGCACCATGGTCCTGCGCGAAGACCAGGAGAAAGCCACCTACACGCAGAAAGTCGACTTCGCCAAACTCCGCTCCGAACTCCTCAGCGCCGACAGCACCGAGAGCAGCCTCACGCGGGCGTCGCACGAGCGGCTCACGAACGATCTGGCCAAGCTGAATAACCGGCTGAGGGATGAAGTGCAGAGGACGCAGGCGAGCGTAAGGCTGGATTTGAATTTGGAGAAGGGAAGGATACGCGAAGAGGCGAATAGTCAGGATTTGAAGATTAAGGAGACGGAGACGAGGATTGAGCAGGAGAGTGCCGCGTTGAGGGAGAGGTTGGAGGCGGTCAAGTTTAGCACTTTGCAGTGGTTGATGGGCGTTTGCACGGGTACTGCGGCCATTGTACTGGGTGTGTGGAGGTTGTTGATGTGAGGAGAAGGATGGCAATGGCTCATCCATATCGATCGAGAGATATGTTGTTGATTGCGCATGGTGCCTGTACACAACCAGGATTCTGTTACTATACCACATGAAGCGATCGTCAACCCAGAAACCATCATTTTCCTTGCGGACACAGACCTGTCGCTCTCTCGCTACGATGCCGCCAATATGTCACGCAAGTACGTCGAACGATACGGCCTCGATCAAATGGTTTCTCGGCTGTGCTGTATCGGATCACTCTGGAAGCACCATCAACAGTCGAATTTCTTATTTCGTCTCGAAGGGCATCGAATCGAATCTCACTTGTGCGGAGCGCTGCCATCTGCACTTGTTATGGCGACTCTCGCCTTCGACATATGGGATCGTCAACACCTACTTCATCTTCTGGGGCCCGAACCGAGCAGTAATGCATTGCGTTTCAGCCGCAATATGCAGCTGGACGAGTCGTCTAACCGCAACAGGAAACAGGGTACTCCGCACGATCTATTGACTTCTGGTCTAGACGCCCAAGAGGACTCGAGGATAAAATCCACCTGTCTATGGTCAATCGTCTCTGGCTCAGAACTCTCCACGAAGTGGAGCACAAGAAGATCGAAAGCATGGCCGATGAGAAAGCGTTTCTCTTCCTAGCGTGCGACGGGCAGACATGTCGCTCGGCGGCGTCGATGCGACAGCTCAAGCATTCACATGCTCAACTTGGCAACAAGCCTTCAAGACGTGGGTCTCAAAGCGTCAGCAAAGTCGACCCTCCGCCTATGCCGTTGCCTGTTCAGATCAAATTCAACGCCTGTAGTCAGCCGCCGGCGGTGGAAAGCTATACTGGACATTGTTCACGCTGCAGGAGACGTCGGAAGGTCAGATCACATGTACTCCTGGCTTGCCTTCTTACTCGTGACTGACAATCGTGCAGTTGGCGCGCTGGACGGGTCGATGCCAGCCATGTGAGAAGCAAGATTATTCACCGCCGCGGAGTGCAGCCCCTAAATCCACGACATTAGATCTGGCACATGACACTGGGCTACCTTCATACTGTCCGACCTCCACACCCTTGACTACCGTGATCTGCGAAACCCCATGCGGCATGCCACGTCGCCCGGCAGACCGCAAAGCAATGCACTACTTCCTAAATTACGCCGCCCTCGATCTGTCTGGCTACATCCTCCGCGACTTGTGGAATGGCTTCGTCCTGCAAGCAAGTCAGTCGGATCCAATGGTGCGCCAGGCTGTCTTGGCCGTATCCAGCGCTCATTTGGATCGCTGCAGTGGCATGGGTCTCACGTCCGCGACATCGCTGGCCTCGTATCAAACAAGCGTGAACACGCTGCGTAACTATATGCTGCGCAAGGAGAAGCCCTCGCCTGAGCTGGTGCTGCTCTGCTGCATCTTACTTTTCACATTCGACCGTTTACGGGGCGACAAGGCGGCTGCTGCGATCCACCTTCAGAGCGCCATGTCGATTCTGAAGAATGCTAGGAGCCTAATGACCGATGACTCCAAGAGATCTTTGGTGATGAGTCAGGACGCCATCGCTGACTTGACGCATGTTCTTCTTCGGATGGACATCGAAGACACGATGCCAGTCCTCGACCGAGGGCCTCTACTCGACCTGGCAATCGACTCGGTACACGCCTACGACGACGAACCCCCACCGATGAAGTTCTTCTCCCCTCGCGAGTTCATGGAGCCCTGGATGGAGACCTGCCACGCCGTCTGGACCTTCATCGGCCGAAACGCCAAGTACCGGACCCTGCCTCTCGACGAAATCCCCCCTTCCGTCCTGACCCACCGCCGCAACCTCCAGCGCCGGATCAAAGCCTGGCGAGCCGCCTACAAGAATTACATCTCCCACGTCGGCATCCCCGCCGCTCACGACCTCCCTCCCCCCTCCCCAACCCTCAACGCCCGCATCACCGACGCCATCAACGCCCTCATCATCGAATCCCACTACTTCGTCATCAAATCCGTCCTCGCCGAAGCCCTCCCCTCCCCCACCACCCTCATCCACCCCTGGGACCTCATCGCGGAAAAAATGCTACAGTGCGGCGAGAAAGCCCTCGCCCTCCGCCACGCGCAAGACCTTCTCGACGCACGTGGGCATCGCGGAGAGTCTGCTCTGCCTGGCGCATCGCACGCGGTCGCCGGAGGTGAGGCGAAGGGCGCAACGGTTGATTGCGGGGTTTAGGGATGTGGAGGGCGGGTTGTTGACGGGGGTTACGGCGTTTTTCGCGGGTGAGGAGGCCCCGCTCAGGGGGTTTGTTTTGATGTATGAGAGGCCGGGTCACTGAGGTGGTGTGTTGATGGGTGGGATGGGTTACCGGTGCCGGGGGTTCTTGACAAGGTGTTGGTGCTTCTTGGGAGATTGCCTGTGCGATGTCTGAAGGGGGGTCTGCGAGCTGTCTCACAACGCAAGAACTGATCAGAGTCTTGCTGGTGAGAAGATGTTGTTGCTTTGGCATGGATACTGCCCATTTAATGGCATAAGCTAAGCCTACGAGATAATCTCCTGAGGCTGGAGAAAGCAAAGTCGAAGTCACTACCACTCGACATGTACAGGGCCTACAACTAGGAATTCGTTCTACTGATAAACCAGCAGATTGAAAAGCCCTACCTACCACGACTGCAGAGCTGGCTTTCACTTCGACACTCTCGCGGAGACATCCCATTCAAAGAGCTATCTCAAGCTCTTCGCGCAGACTTTCCCCGTCTGGCGAGCTGCTGACAGATCGAGCACGCCCGACTGCAGAGTACATCCCAATGGTTGCGAAACTATTAATTCGCTTTTGCTACAAGACTGGATTGTATGATCAATCAACCGCGGGTGTTTCGCACGAGGCGGGTCGTCGTATATACAACAAAGTCTAGGTAAATTGACTGACTGACCTACCGCTGCATTCGCAACATCACTCCGACGAGAGCGAGATATCTACCTCTAGTCGAAAATGAGATCCATCCGCACAATCTCCATCGTGCAATGCCACGCAGAAGGCGAAGTAGGAGACGTCATCATCGGCGGCGTCCTCGACGCCCCGAGCACCTGCAAGACAATGTACGAAAAGCTCCTACACTTCCTGGATCCCCAGCGAGACGCCATCCGCAACTTACTCCTGAACGAGCCGAGGGGTCGCTCGTCCATGAACACGAATTTGGTGCTCTCACCTTGCAACCCGGAGGCGGTCGCTGGTTTTCTTATCATGGAAAGCGGCGAGTGGGCGCCTATGTCTGGCTCGAACACCATTTGCACGGCGACGGTTCTGCTGGAAACCGGTATGATCCCTATGCATCCGGGCATCAATACATTCTCTTTGGACACGGCCGCGGGCCTGGTCGGCGTCACGGCCGAGTGCACGCGGGACAAATGCCAGAGCGTCGAGCTCGACAACGTCCCCTCCTTCGTCTTCGCACTAGATAAAGAAATCGACGTCCCGGGCCTAGGCGTGATCAAAGTGGACATTGCGTACGGCGGCATGATCTTCGCGCTGGTGGACGCTGCGTCCTGTGGACTGAGGATTGACAATCTGCTCGGTCCGAAATTGATCGATTGGGGCGAGAGGATTAAGAAGGCGGTTCAGGAGCAGTATACGCCTGTTCACCCCGAGAATCCGGGGATTCGCGATGTCAGCGTGCTGGAGTGGACGGCGCCGCTGGAGGGAGGTGAGAATGGCGACAAGACGGCCGTGAATGCCGTCGTGGTCTCGCCCGGCCGCTTCGACCGCAGCCCTTGCGGTACGGGGTCATCTGCGCGCATGGCGGTCCTGCACGCGCGAGGGCTCTTGAAAGAAGGCGAGATTTTCCGCCATCGATCTATCATCGTGACCGAGTTCGTCTGTCGGATCAAAGGCACGAGTCGAGTGGGTGATTTCGAGGCCGTGAAGACCTCGATCAAGGGACGTGCGTGGATCTCCGGCACCAAGCAGGTGTTTCTGGATCCTGAGGATCCGTTTCCTGAGGGGTTTCGTGTGGGGGATCAGTGGAATATGAGGGAGGATGCGTGTTTGCCTTCGTCGGGGCGATGAGATTTATATACCTGCTCAGAAGATAGATATATACATACGTCTTGGCTCTTTGGGAAGACCGACCTCATTCTGGCAATCGCAAAGGCAGGTCGGACATCGATTGTGCAACTTCCCTCTTCATCGATTTACTAGTCAACTACCTGCACTTATAGCAGTAGCCAAAAATCAACAAACCTGCGGCTTTTTCTAGACTCCCGTCGTCGGCAACCTGCATGGAGCTCGAGCTCAAGCTCGCTGCAGAGTCCCGAATGGCGTGCAATAGACGCATCCGGGCAAGGCTAAGAAAACAAACTTCAATGCATGCACTACCGGTCACCCAACGCCACGTTTTTCGTTGGACGGCAGTCCCGGCGTCTGGACGTCGTCGTCGTTGGGCGCGGTCAGCAGCCAGCATCCAACACCCAACAGCCAAGAGAATGTGTTGTCGCGAGAGGAGTTTCAAGGAGGGAAAGAAAGATTGTCACGTCTTGCAAAAAAGAAAAACAGAAACGCGACGATCTTAACACTCCCTCCCAGCCCACGGAACTCGTCTTCCCGGCGAGACTCCAGACGTGGGTTTCGGATGATGCCAACCAACGGAACACGTGCACGGCGACTGTGGGAGATGGCTCTCAACTGCGTCTCATCGGCCTGTGCAGTGCAGTGCGCCCGCGCGGGGAAGACGACTGCATCCTCGCGACATGAGCTATCCGCAGGAAAAGGCCTCACGCACAGGCGACGACCATCTCAACGAAGAGATGCGGTGAGCTCGAGAGGCTTTTTCTTGTCGACGATGGCGAGCCTGAATGGGTTCATGACGTTGGACAGACTTTCGCCTGGCCCAGGAACTTGGCAGAGGTTATCCCCCTCTCATGCAGGATCGGGCGCTAGCCGGCCGAACGGTCTGTGCCAACTTCCCTGTTCTCGATCTTGATTCGAGAGTCGACGACATCAGGTTTCCCGCGAGATGCTGCTTCCGGATGCACGTTCGGAGAATTCGCGCAAGCCACTCGCTGGGTCGATAGAGCTTGCTATTTTCATTGCAGGAGAGGGGGAGAGTGGAGAGTGTTGTGTGGAAAGAGATGGGTGAGACGAGGGAGGGAGGATTGTTGTCCATGTTGTCTGGCCAGCGCCTCGTCCTCGGAGCGAGCGCGTAGCAGGTCTGTCTGTTGGTGATGAGCCGCATAATCAGACGGCGCCAGTCTGACGATGATGCATGCATGTGCCTTGACCAAGCTTCCAAGATACCAGCCTCTTCCCCATAACGCCATACGCCATCGAGACACATCCACCTCTCCTTCTAGGTTCAATCTTGCATATCAGTAACCTGGCCGTGCTCCACACCTCCTGCGGGCGCCCTTTTGTACCAGCATCAAGCATCATACTCCAGACATACTCTGTCGACTTTTCCACACCTTGTACCTCTGGAGACATCACACCTCCCGTCGATGACTGCTACAACTGCACGGCTCTCGCTTCTCTTCGGGCGTTGGGGATAAACTGCATGAACGGAATTTCTGCTGTGTCCAGCATGAGGGCGGTGGAAGGGCGTCGGATCCATATCTGAGGGACGCCTTAATCCTGAATACTCCCCTGCTCCCCCTCACCACACCCACCTTGGCCAAACGGGCAGGGTCCTAGGAACTCTGGACGTTCGAATTGATTTTAATCAATCTCCTCCAGCGGACATGGGGTCGAATCGGATATCCTACCCACGCTCCTTCACCCCCGAGAGCTTGCCGACGCTCTCGACCCGGGGCAGCTTGCAGCGAATTCGCCGATTTGACGGTGTGCAGAAGTCGAGCAGGACATGGGATAGCCTGCGTAGGGTAAGCTCTTGCTTTCCGCCCCTGCTGGATGACTGCATCGGAAGAAAGGGAACACAGAAAACTAAATAATGACTTTATAGGATGACGAACTCTGGCTGAAAGATGCCAACTGCTTTGTCCACCTTTACGAGGCGGCTACCTCGCGGAGAGGGCCTTCATTAAGGGTGCCTCTTCGATTACTCGAGCAAGCTAACAGCACCTTTCTCTTGAATGAGTGCTTGTATAAATCGGCGGCTTTGAGTCCGGTTTCCAGCGACGACGATAATTCGGATAGTGGCTATTGCGGATCGATCAACAGTATCACTGATCGACTCTCTCAACCCTGCGAGCTGTACATACCGGCACCTGCTCACCTCACGAGACAAGAAGCCTCCCTATATCACATCGGAACACGCAATTACTTCGCCTTCCTCTTGTCGAAGCCCGTCGTTGGCGAAAGCTTGGGAAGAGCGCTTGCCCAGCTCGCCCATCGAATCGAGGAGTGGCAGCCTGAAGCTGTCAATTCGACGGCTCTATTGGACTATTGTCAAGAGCAGGGGTACCTGGATTTCTCAGAAAACGTCGACTATGCATTGGCTTCTCTGTACCTCGCAGAACAAGCTCGGATAAACTCGATCTGGGTGGACGCGTTTGCACATTGCGTGGGAATGCAGGATCGACTTGACAACTGCATTGATGCTGAGGGGTTGAGCGAGACGGCGAAAGCGATGATCAGCAAGGCGGCGTTGGATATGGAGGTGCATATCTCTCGGATGACGAGAGCACTTGGCGAGTTTCTGGAGGATGACCTGGGACCGGATTATTTGGGCCTTTCGAAGCCGTTGAGAGCACATCTGGATCGATTCAGGAGTTACCTCCACGTTTACTACGTCAACCAGGTTGGATACTTCCCACCTGATCCCAACGACCCTTGGGACAAGAGGATGTGGTGCAGCATGTACGACGACTTCCGATACTTGTACGAGTTCCTGGCCGACACAAGCTCCTCGATCGATCCAACTAGCAACCACGGCCTCAACGGAGGTCTTTGCGTGGTGCAGAACGTCCAGGCCTTCGACGAACGACACAGCCACACTCCTCTGCCGCATCCACTTCCTCTTATACCGGACATGACAGCACGGAAGCGAGCTGGGGAGGGGCAGAGGAGCTTGCGAGGATTTAAACTGGGGCGTTCGTCGGAAGGAGCATCAGGTACGACCTCGCCAGAGAAGCAGGCCCTCGCACAAGCATCCAACAGCACCAATCGGGAACTTTTGAGCAACCGACTCGTGAAGGAGTACATCCACTTCGAGCGCCAGAAGCTGGAGGAGAAGGTCTCGATCAGCGAGGCGAGGAAGGTGAGATGGCTTTTGGTCTACGGGGTCCTGCAGATGCTCATCGGCATCACACGAGCTCCCACGGAGGTGCAGGACACGGATTCGTCATCGTATCCACTCTGCATTGCGACGACTGGCTGCTCGCCTCCGTGGGCACAGCAGCAGACGGTGTTGTGGGATTCTTACGACGCTGACCGGTCGTCGTCGGCGCGTTTGTCTGCTGAGATGGAGGCTGTGCGGAAGACGTTGGAAGAGGATCGGATTTCGATCCATCCGGACTGTGAGGCTGAGAGTGCGGATGATTACTTTGCTATGAATGGCATTTCGAGGTCGACGTCGGATATCAGTCTGAGTACTTCGTCGCCGCAGCTGTCGAGGACGACGTCGATTCGGTCGAGTGTGAATTCGCTGCATCGGTCTGTGGTGGGGAGTCTTTCGAGGAGGAATAGTGTCAGACGGGGGAGTTTGATCTTTCCGAAGAAGGAGATGTCGTTTTGCGATACTCTGGTCGAGACGCAGGTGAATGGCAGTGAGGGTGGAGAGGAGGAAAGGTCGCCACATCAGAGTCCAGTGACTCCAACCCGACACGACGAAGGCCAAATCTTCGAACTGGAAGCACCGCTCCCGGAGATGAACAGAGTGCCTACCCTCGAACTCCACCAACTCACTCTATCCAACGAGTCACACCCGTTCACCAACGAACAACCCCTCAACTCATCCGCCAGCCAGCTCTCCGCCCTGACGAGCCGATACAGCAACAACAACTCCAACACATCCTCCTACATCGAACCACCGACCACATCATCAAACCCCACCACGCCCTCCAGCGAGCTCTCCTCCCCCGAACGACTCCATCCTCCCAAACCCAGCACCAGCACCGCCGACCTCTCCACCTTCGACTTCGGCTTCAACGGCGCCCCCTCCCCCTCCACAACCTACACCTTCAAAGCAACCTCCACGCCCCCACCCACCTACCGCGCCAAACACCCCCCAACCTTCACCCCGCGCCACGCCAGCCGCGCCAAAGGCCTCTCCGTCAACGCAGGCACCTACTCGCCCTCCGGCGCCACGACAAGTCCCCCCTCGCGCCGCATCAGCCAGCTCCGCGCTCTCTCCACGGAATCCGTCGCGTCGGAGTCGAATTGGAGCGAGGGGAGTTCGGTTTATCCGGAGAGTAGCGTCCAGGCGGCGGAGATTGAGGAGGAGGAGATGAGGGGACGGAGGAGGTTGAGGGGGTTGGAGGGGTTGGAGTTTGGGAGTGTGGATGGGGTTGTTAGGGAGTGAAGTAGAGCAGAGAGTGGTGCAATTGGAGATGGGTGATGATTTTGTTGGTTGGGTTTTTTCAGCGTTGCATTTTGCATTCTTGTGTTTTGGTGGCACTCATTATACCCCGGGGTTTTTTATTTGGTTTTATGAGAATCGAGGGTTGTGGATGGACTTGTCGATACGCATGAAGAGAGAGAGAGCGAATGCATCTGACATGAACATGTCCCTTACCACAAATATTTCAAGCAGCCTCCTTACTTTTGACATGTCCGACGAGATCATCGTCCAAACAAAATTCCCCAAACCAGACAGCGCGTCCAAAGATCCCACACATCTTTTTCATCACGAGCTCTCGCTGCATCCTGGACACGCTCCGCTGAGCAGGATCTGGCGGGTACCTTTCCCCCCACCTTGACAGCTTCATGTCGTGATGTCTTTGCTGACATATCGAGGGTGAGCTGTTTTGACTTCGCTGGTTTCTGTGTGCTCATTCTCCCTCCACGGAAGACGAAGGAAAGGGTATATGTAAGAGGTGAGAAGGACTTGGAGTTGAATTTTGGTTGTGTTGAGGGCTAACGACGCTGCAGAGAACGTGCGTGTCTGTGGTTCGAGCAAGAGGAACGATATATTTGAGAAAGGACGACAAGTGTATTGGACAAGATGGCTGGGTGAGTATCACAGCACCGTTCTCCCTATCTCAATGCTGCACACGAACACAATGTCATCACCACCGAAGGGTATCCATCAACCCCTTTTCTCCCGCCAACCATCACATAGATCCCTCACCCCCCTCGCCCAAAAACTCGCCACCCAAGGCCCCGTCCGCACCCTTCCCATCGCCCCCCGCTTGATCCGCCTCCTATTCAACCACACCTACAGTAAGCAAATACCCCTCCAACCCCCATCCGACCCATCCATCTAACAGTACCCGCTCCAAGTCCTCCAAACCACCCGCGCAGTCTACGTCTGGGAACACCCCTACTACCCCCAGATCTACATCCCAGCGTCCGAGTTCGCGCAACACGCCCACAAAGCGCTGCAGCTCGAAAAGGGCTCCGAGATCAAAACTGACGACGGCACCCGCGTCGCCCAGTACTGGAAACTCACCGTAGGCGACCGCAGCATCGACAAGGCCATCGCGTTCGACGACGCCCTGGACGGCAAGGGCAAGGACCTCGCGGGGCTCGTCAAGGTCGATTTCGACAGCGTCGACCAGTGGTTCGAAGAGGACACGCCGATTTTCGTGCACCCCAAAGATCCCTTCAAGCGGATTGAGATTTTGTCGTCGACGCGCCATATTGTCGTGCGCGTGGGCGGGCAGAAGGTTGCGGAGACGGGGTTTGCGATGCATCTGTATGAGACTGGTGAGTTGTATCTTGAAGATTGTCACTTAAAAGGGAGTGAGACGGGTTTTGTGCTGATGGGCTGGTTCCTCAGGACTGCCGACGAGGTTCTACCTCCCCCTAACCAGCATCGACGCAAGCGTCCTCCGTCCCTCCAAGACAACCACCAAGTGTCCGTATAAGGGCACCGCGAAGTACTACAGCGTCGACCTGGGCGATGGGAAAGTCCATGAGGATGTAGTCTGGTACTATGATGCGCCTTTGCTGGAGAGCGCGACGATCGTTGGTGAGTTCCGAACCCCTATTCCTTGCTTTCAACGGTGGTGTAGGAGGCTAATGGGGTTTTGTGGATACAGGACTCTGCTGTTTCTACAACGAGAAAGTGGAGATTGAGCTGGATGGGGAGAAGTTGGAGAGTCCTGTGACGCATTTCAGTAACAAGAAGCCGGGAGAGAAACCTTCGATCTAAGTATCACGCAGTACCGGCGATGAATTCTCGTAAGATGTCGTTAAGATTGATGATGGAGGGAGATATGTGATGAGTGAGAAAAAGTGCACTATCGTCGATAATCTGTACACTCTTTCATTCATGCTCCGCTGCTCTACCAAAAAGGAAGCAAAAGGTCCCGTATATGCATACAGAACCTTGTAATGCGCGCGAGCCATCGGTCTGCCTCGAGGTTGATGAGCCATTCATCCCGTACTACACATGCCATGCCAGCCATACTCTCTTTCGTGTCACTCCGCGCTCCTCGCTCAGAACGCTCCAAGAAAAAACTTCGCCTCTCACGTAGAAAAAGGACCTCTCCGTCGAGGTCGAGAACGAATGGGGTATGATGCATCGTAACAAGCAACAAGCAAAAGGTATCCGCAGCTAAAAGGAAGACATGCCCTCCCCTGATCGCCCCATCGAGACACTTCCATGTGTCCGTGACGTCGTGCTGCTCTGTAAAAAGTAGCCCATCCCATCCCATTACCGTGCTCCATTTCCGTCTTTCACCAGTCTGTCATTCGGTGGTCGCTGCAGCATGTCCGCTTAATCACATTAAAAAAAAGTCGAGAGTTGTAGTGGTAAAAGTGTAGTGGTTGTATCGTAGTCGAATGCAGAGTCTGTGTCCTGCTCTGTCGGAAGTCTGTTTTCGGTGATTTCTCAGAAACTCGTGGGTGGGTCGTCGCGCAGTTTCGATGCGCTGCTCTTCTTCGTCGGTCCCATGATGCTGTTGACCGCCAGCATGCCGCTCTCACGTCGGCTGGCTTTGATGTCGCGTGGGGTTGGTGCACCTGTTCCGGTCATGCCATAGACAGTCGGCGAGCGGAGTACGTCGTTGAGAGAGCCATACCCTCCATCTCCTTGTGGAGCCATCTGATAGGTGGAATAGCTCGGGTGCATAGGGATCATGCCAGTATCCTCGGCGTGGTGGCCACCCATGGACTGGAACTGGGTCTGGTTGTACGAGGGCGTTGGAAGATCACTGAACATTTGCTTGCGTGGGGAGCGCAGGTCCGTGGAAGACGCACTCGTGTTGGGCCTGGCGTCGCGGGGTGACTGTGGTGCCTCTGCACTGTCAAGGGGTGAGCTGAAGATGCGGTGTTGTTCCTCGATGAACAGGGAGATGAGTGGTCCTGGAAGATTCAAGGTCGGCGAGAACACCACACCAACTGTCAAAGTAGTCAGCACGTGTCACCTGAAATATGATGAACGACACTTACGATTCCGAACTGTCATCTTGTTCTGCTCCACATTGTCCACAATACAGACCATGTAGGAGGACAGAGCATCCAGTAAGGCTCGATTTGGCGTTGGCAGCTTGTGAACAAGCGCGTTCACCTTGAGGATCTTCTTCTCCACGTCTTCGATTTCCAGGCACTTTAAGAAGTCGATATGCAAGTCTCTGGTGAGGATACTGGCGGGTAATTCTCGCAAGTACATCTTGAGGACACTCGCAACGGCATTGACCTCGTACTGGTTCTCATCTGTCAACAGATTGATGTCGCCCTCGTTGTTGAAGCGATCTTTCAACTGCCTGATGATGATGTTTGATCCAGACACACGAAAGATGCCCTCTTCACCTACGGCGTTCTTGGCGTGCAGGTACTCCAAGCACCGATACACGACAGCAGGTAGTTCAGTAGTTGCATCGGCTGGATGCGCCACAGCGACTGCCTCGGCCAGAGGGATGCCGAACACCACTCTGCCACCACCAAAGCGGTCTTGAGGAGGAGCCGACGGTGTCTTGGCACTATCGTTGGTGGCCAGATCGGAAGACGACCGTCCCCGACTGAAAGGCAGTCCAGAAAACATGCTGCGCTTCTTGTCCTTGAGTCCGGGAGTAGGCGGCGGCTTCTTGCCCCAGTCACCAGAGTTCTGAATGACATGGACGTTTGTGGGTGCTGAAATAGCCAGGTGGGTGGAAGATGGCTGCGCATCAACCGTGAGTTTGTCATAAGGTGGCGATGGCGTGTGAGGTACTCGTGGACTGGCTGGCGGTCCCATGATCGGTGCCTCGCCGGCGACCGTCTCGTTGTAGTTGACAGTTCGCACTTGGTCAATGGATTTGGACTGCGCAGGGTCCTTGCTGTTGTCTGAGCTGGGCCGCAGGTCATTCATTGATCTCTGTAGTCGAGGACTGCGCGGTGCGCTGATCTCAGTCTTGTAGATCTGAGCTTGACGGGCAGCTTGTGGCTCCTCGTCATCTTTGTAGTCGACGTATTGAAGCAGAGCCTCAACCCAGGCATCACGCTCGTCGTCGCTCTCGGCGCATAGAACATGTCTGACCAGGCTGCTTGAATCCTTCTTCTTCGGCTCTAGAATCAGGAATGCGTGCCTGAATTGGTTCTCTTCGTCGTCAGATGATCCCTGACTCGCATTGGATGACTGCTTCCCGATTTGTGCATTCTGAAGCTTGATCGACCCAAGGTGGGCACCTCCAGGGCCTTCGAAGTACTTCAGATTGGGCCCGTCGAGGACAAAGTATCGTGCTTTCCAACCACCAAAGTTCTTTCCGCGCTTGGTGAGATAGCCAGCTCGATTTGGACGCAGTGCCGACGCCGGAGATTCTGGCCGCCCGTCCAGGTTGGCACCGAAGTAATCGTCACCCTCGCCGCCAATGGCATCAGAGGAGAGGAACTTGCAGACGAACATGGCAGGCTTGTCGTTGGTGACTGAATCCAGCATCCTGTCAAAGTAGTGGTTCAAAGCTAGTCTCCTCGCATCGATCTTAGCTGGGGCGTGACCAGTGAACAGAGCTTTCTCCGGCAGGCGGTCTCGCACCGTGACCACAGATTTGACCTGCTGATCCAAAACCGCAAGCGAAGCGTAAGTCTTCTCGACTCGCCAAAGTTGTAGATTATCTGAACGCGAATGGACTGCCAGAATAAACACAGGGTTTTCGTCGGCGTGTTTGGGTGCAATGAAACTCGCCCGGGACGGTCTCATGCGCGACGAAGCGGTCTTGACGTATATCGACGGAAGTGCGTTTGGAGGTAGCAATAGGTCTGGATACTGCTCCGTGGTCAATCCTCGATAGATCTCGCCAGGCGAGTAGGCGACAGGATCACTTGAGGTCGAGGGTCGTTCGCGGTCTGGCGTGGCATCGGGCGAAGGCTTGAGCCGGTCAACGACTGCTGAAACTGGCTGAGGTTGAGGGTGCATCTGCTGGTGATAGGCTTTGGCTCTATCAAGATGAGGGGAGATCATTGCAAGCGGCGTTTGAGGCGGCAGTGGAATGGCCGATCGGGGTGCTCGAGGTGACAGGGGTAAGCCAGCTTTGGGGGACATAGGAATTGAACTTGTGGCAGCGTTCGTCTGTCGTGGCATTGGCGAGTTGGGGGGTCGGTCACCCGGTCTTGGACTCATTGGCAGGCCCGGGCTCATTAAGGACGGTGCAGTGTTGTTTCGCTGAAGCATGCCACTGGCATCTGACACTGCACGGCTGCGAACGATCTCGGCAGGATTGCCGGTAATAAATATCGGCGGTTGACGTGGTGCCTCTCGAGTTGGCTGCTGGACGATCTGTTCGCCGAGCTGTGGCACGGCGGTGGGCACTTCGATCTTGTCCCCTGATGGCCTGCTCTTGCTCTTCTTCTCCTTCTTGGAGCGGCTTCGCTGCTCGTCTTCCTGTCGTACCAATGCCTCTCGCTCGCGATCATCGTCCTCGCGAGTCTTTCTCCGGCCTCTGTCAATGTATTCTGAACGCGCGCTTTCCGGATCATCCTCGTATTCTGAGTCTGAAGCATCGACAATGTTATTCATAATGCTGGGATCTGCCTTGGGTGCATCAAGTTTCAAGGGCGCGGGTGGCGCCTTTCTCGTCTTTGGACTCGAGTAGTATTGGGTAGACGCGGGAGGACTCGTCTGCAGAGACGAATTGGACATGCTCTTCGAGTGACCATGTAGGAACTTCGGACTCTGTGTATCGACCAGCTTCGGCGACATTGGAGGTGTATTCGTAGTTGGCGCTCTCTGAGACATTGCCATGGCCATGGCTGGCCTCGCTTCGCTTGCTGCAGTCACAGGCACAGCAGTGGCGGTGTTGACTCGATCAAACTCACGTGAAGCGCCGCTCAAGCTGTTTGCAGACTGTGGTGTCGCTGGCAAGCCGGAAGAATGAGCTGCGGCATCCTGAGGCGTGTCTGATCGCCCACCACTTGCCCCTGGGGCTTCTGAACTGTTGCTGGTCTTGCGAGTATCCACACTGATGTCGCGTGACATGTCTGAAGGAGGCTCCATGTGAGAGGGAGAAGGACTTGCTTCTTGCGAATCTGGTCCATCGCCCACAACTGATGTTATGAGCGAAGGCGCAGAAGTCGATTGCGCAAGTTGCTCCTTCAACTTCTTCCTGTAACGTTCGTTCTCTTTCAAAGCCTTTTCCAGGTCCTTGTTCAGACCAAGTATCATCGACCTCTGCTTCTCCACCAGCCTCCAGAGCTGAGCATTGTGAGAAGCGGCCTGCTGCCTCTCTGCAATCAGCTTCTGAAGCGCAGCCTCCGCAGAGCCTGCTGCGGTTATCAGAGCGCCGGCATCTTGTGGGCCGATATTATCGGAGACACGATATGCATTATTGGCATTAGCGGTTCGTTGGGAGGCGGATGATATAGATGAGACGGTCGAGTCGATAGAAGCGGTTCGATGAGCCATTATAGGACCACGTTCTGGGCGAGTGGCCGCTTTGGAGTTGCTCATGACCGTGGGAGAGGTGGGAGGAGAAATCTGAGGTGCAGCGGCAAGGACTGGTGACGAAGGGCTGCTGAACGTGCGGTGATGATGCGACTGGATCTTGCCAGCCGCCCTCTGCTCGTCCGCTACAGCCTGGCGCGTAATGGCTTCGCGAATGTCATCCTTGCCCGTGACCTTCTTCGCAGGATTCGGCACCCTCGGTTGGCGGGCGCTGTGGTGATCGGTGGTGGTGCCGTCGGGGGAGGTGGGAGCGGAGGGTGTGCTCGACGGGACGGGCGACTGTTGGATCAGAGGAGATCGCAGACGAGAGTCTGAGGCAGCGTGAGAATCTTGCGGAGGCTCGTGGGCGGTGGTGGTTGGCGCGCGAGTCGCAGGGCCTTGCGTGGTAGTCGAGTGATAGTGCTGAGCGGGCGGCCACCCAGGGCGAGGCAAGGGTTGGGCCATTTGGTGATAGCTTAACTACCGTAGTTAGGCCCTGGCTATCGAATAAAAGCACCCGAGCTCGTTGTGACCAGGGTGCTGTTCAAACATGCGCCGACGAATTAGCGCGCGAGGCCAGGCGCTTATACGAGGATGATGGTCAGACGGCGGCCAGCTGCTCTCGTCGCCACGGCAGGCCACGGCTCAGATGACGGCGGAAGAATGACGCGGGCGGACACGCATCGCAGGGCGTGCTGGCCGCGGTGGTGGTGGTGCTCGAGGGGGTGGTGCTGACCTGGTGGAAGCACTTGGGGAGCAGCAGCAGCAGTGTCGAGGTCAAGGATGTGTGATTTAGGCGCAGAACGCCATCCGCCGCTAGGGATGCACGAGCCCTCTGCTACAACGTTCTCTGTTCGATCGAGACTACCTCTACATGTCCATACTATTGAGCTGCTGTCGAACGAGCCCTCACTGATCACTATCGAGATATGGACTACGAGAACGGGGCTATTGGCATGCTGAACCACTCCGCCGCCGCGCCAATGGCGATCCCCCTCTTGCTTGATTGATGCCAGGTGAGGTGTGGTGTTTCAGCGTGTCGAGTCCAGCAGGTCGGGTCCCTGCTGTAGCACCTGGACACCACCACTCTCACAAGCTACAACCCGCCCGTCATCATTGATCTGCCCGCCCAGTCGCTGCCACCAGGCGCATGAGCCCTCGTCAGCCTGATGGAGGGTGTGAGCAGGTCTCGCACGCGATATTGGCTGTTCCGCGGGCATGGTGAGACCGCCCAGCCTGGCCTTGCCGCAGCCAACGTGGCTCGCTCGTCCACCACAGGTTCCTCTGCGGTTGTCAGCAGCTTGTCACGTCCATCCATGATCGTTCTGGGGCTGGTGGTGCTGTCCTTGTGACGAACGCCCGCTCTGTGCGGCGACTTTTGGCTGTCACATGTCCCAAAGTCAATCTGCTGCTTGTGCAAGGGCTTCGCCTGCTGCCGAGCATCCACCACTCATAACGCAAAGATCGACGCAGGGTGTTCGTTCCTGCGACTCGCGCTCCATCTCGCTAGTCGATATTTGATGATGCCAGCAGTGAGATGGTTGCCAACTCTCCCTCTCGGTTTGCCTGGGACGTGTTACAGCCGCCAAAAGTCAATCCCGTATGACAGTTGCCATGGGCGTTCCATACGCCAAACGAAACTCTCACCAGATAGTGCCTCTTGACTTTCCCCACGCAGCATCTCACCCAGCTTGTTACTGACTTACCCCAACATGATGTTGAGAGCCTCCTCAGCCTTGAACATCACACAACCGCCACGTGCCCATCTGTTCAGGATGGATGCCTCGCCTCGCCCCGGCCAGATGTCGTAGCCGTCATCGCGAAGCGGTCGGTAGCCCAATTCGAGCGCTTGCAATTTAAACGGTCTCCGTCACAGGCGCTTACCTCGGAAAATCGATTTATCAAACATGATGCAGTCCAAATCCTCGCCCGGAGATCAAACCATCCGCCGCTCGTTTGATCTGCTTTCGGTCAACATATATACAGATACGGTGCCATAGCCGATGGAGGTGGTGGAGTGAAGTGGGCAGGACCTGCATACCAAGCTTCGCGCTGATGGCTGCATCGCTCAGGGGAAACTTGCATAAACCGCACGCGCTACTCCAGGACGACTTCTTGCTCAATGCTCATGCGCACACCCGCCCGTTTGATCGCCTTGGAAACGATGCAGATTTCAGGGACGGACCTTATCGCAGCCGGCGCCTTCGATAGCAGGATTCGGGCCACTCCACTTGTCAGCTTCCTCCACCACCATCACCGGACTTGGCTCGCTTCGAGCCGACTCTTCTACGGTAGAGGGCTTTGGATCCAGACTTTCTGCTTGCTGACAACTGCACCTCGTTTCTGGCGAAGCAATGTCTCGATACTCGGTGGACAGAAGATATTGTCGGGCTGGATCTCAAATCAATGCCCTATACCCGACGTCCGCCGTCGGCTTGATGAAGATGAGCAAATGGCCAGGTGCTAAAGATGGATACCAGGCGTCATGCTTGTACCTGGACGAACAGACCACCTCTTGATCTCATGGACTAACCAACCAAACCCTTCTAAAAGCATTCACCTCACGACTCGCTACGAAACTCAAAACAGTTGGCATGAAAAATACCTGGACCATGCACATCATACTTGCATCAACGCTTTAAATGAATGACGAAATCGACTCTGCTTCCAAGCCAATCTACATGCGAACCACCGAACAAGCATATCGCCTCGCCTCGTCTCGCCTCGGGTGCTGGTCAATAAAACATCCCAGTCCATGTATAGATGCCGCCAAGGCCGCCATTTTGCATCGCTTGTGGACATCCGAATTGGGCGACTTCAGACTTGATAAGGCCTCCTACTTCCTACTACTGGCAAAACCACAGTCCATGATATCGACTTCCCTGTCGTCGCTTTCTGCACATTCCTATCGAACCTGCGGATAACACCCAAACCTCCCATCCCCCTCATCCCACCCCACACACTGATGACAAGTCAACACATTCCCAGCATCCACTTCCCTCTTGATCGCCAAGAACCTCTCGTAATTCTTCTTTCCCCAAAAACTCTCCTCGGGATTCGGCTCATACGTATCACCTTCGTTCTGATACGCACCCTCAGGCGTGATGGCCCGTAGCGGGTCTGGGGCTCGCGTCATTGCATTGTAGACGTTCGCCACGCTGCCGAACCCGCCGTATGTGCTGTCGGCCGGGTCCCAGGTAGCTTAGAAGAGGGAGTGGTAGTAGGAGGTTCGCCAGGCGGGGTTGAGGCTGCTTTCGCCGGGGCCGCCGGGTTGGTCGGAGGGTGGGAGGGGGTAGTGCTGAGGAGGAACCATCAGGAAAGCCCCTGGCACTGGGGCGGTCTTCAGGATGGACGTAAAAGTATCTATGAGTTGGGATTTCTTCGCTGGAGTAGCGAAGTTCTGGGTCGAGATTAGGCGTGAGGCCATAGCGACGCCCGTCCCGACGCCTTGCTTCGAGAGGGACTGGGCGATGGCACTGTTGTAGTATTCCCAGTAGTTGGCGTGGGTCTTGATTTCCACGGTGATGGGCACGGAGAGGTTGGGCAGGAGGGCTGTGGCGAAGTCCGTGGCGGGTTTCATGGAGGCCTTGGCTTCGTCGAGGGTGAGTTTGGGAGTAATCATGTCGATGAAGATGAGGCCGACGCCTTTGACCCCTGCGGCCATGTAGCCGCCCCAGCCGTCGGCGGACCACTGCTCGGTGTTGTTGACGACGAGCGAGACGGCCTGGTGAATGCCGTCGACGAGGTCCAGGTTTGGGGCGATGATGGTGGCGTGCTGCAGGGGCAATTCGGGATACACTCGACTCGTGGTCTCCATGAGCACCCCAAACGTTCCTCCTCCTCCACCCCTCAACGCAAAGAAAATGTCTTGATTCTGGCACCGGTTCGCCGTCACATACGTCCCATTCGGCAGCACGGCCTTCATCTCCATGACATTGTCGACGCCAAGTCCATACGTCGGCGACAACGCGCTGTGGCCACCACCTGTCACCCATCCCCCAGACGCACCGACTGTGGGCGACGTCCCGCCGATGGCCATCATACCGTGTGCATGTGCAGTCTCATAGATGCCCTGGAAGCCCTGACCGGCGCCATAAGTGAGTGTTGGGCCAACGGGGGCGGAGGAGCCTTCAGGCGTGAAGTCGGGCGTAAGCTGGATAGGCGGCTGGACGTTGTGCATCCTTTCATTGTCTTATCAGCGTATATATCATAGTCAATGAGGGCTGGAACTCGCCAAAGCGCCAAAGCACCAGGAGCTGCACTTCGTCCCTTGTAGTCGTGACCCGTATTCTTCACCACAATGGGAACACCAGTCTCGTGTGCAAACGCCAATACAGCCGCCACATCAGACGGCTCTCGTACATCAACATAGTACGACGGCACATTTCCCTGATGACAAGTCTGCAGAACCTGATCCGCAACACCAAGCGGACACCCTTGCTGCGTGGTCTGGCAGATGCCGAAGTTGGACGTGATGTAGCCTCCGGGGTGGTCCGCGATGAAGGAGGAGTTGGAAGTCTGAGTTGAGATTTCGGCGCATGCTGCGATGTTGGGGACGTTGGTTTGGGTGGTCGTGCCGTTGGAGTAGCTTAGGTAGCAGGGGAGGGCTAGGGGCTGAGTTGTGTGCAGCCTGCCTTTTACTGAGGCGTTTAGGGAGAACAGGTCGAATGCTGGGATGGCTAACGCTACAGCTGTCAGGCTGGTAAGCAGGAAGATCGCGTTGAGCAACATAGCTGATCGAGACATAGATGCCATGCAACGCATTGGCAACGAGATGCAGATTTCAGATCTCGAAGACAGACCACAGAACCCGACTTCTTTAAACAGCAATGCAATACCTGTGAAGCCTTCATCAATAAAATGCTGCCGAGGCTGCAAAGCAACATTGCTCACATTGCAACCGCGAGTTCGTCGATCCGAAGTTAAAGAAAACGAGGTATACGAACTGTGCGTCGATTTTTGCATATCATTTCTCGGCAGCCATCAAAGGCGTAGTGCCTTATTCTGGCGGTTGGTTTACTACCACCGTGCTTCGATTTGATGCGGGCATTGAGCATCTTGGATGACGGTCAGTGGCAAGTCTGTCGTTTGGTGCATCGAAATTCCACCCATGGGTAACGATTAGAGTCACAGCTGAAGGAGCCGCCACTCTTTGCAAAATCCATGGGGACAACATCCTCACATCCCCTTCAACGAGACGATCTCACCAACCCAACCACCTTTTCCCTCTCCTCTTCAAAGCCCCATCCTCCCCGTCGCCACCCTTTTTCCTCCCCACCCAAAACTCCGCCACATACCCATTCCGATACAACACCGTCCCATTAAAATTATACACAACCTCCCTCTCCTCCCTCCTCTCAACCACAAACCCAACCTCCTCCGCCACGGCAATAACTTCCTCCAAAGTCAACTGCACGAACGGCGCGCTGCCATACAAGAGCGGGCCTGCATTGATCCAGATTCCGCCCGGGCGGAGTAAGGAGTGGATTTTCGTGAGGTAGGCGAGGAGGTTCCGGGCGGTGTCGATGAAGAAGAGGGTGGCGATGGCGGAGTAGGTGTTTTCCGAGTGCGGGAAGAGGAGGGTGAAGTCGCCCGGGACGAGGAGGGTGTCGAGCGAGGGGGTTATGGGGGTGGTTATGTTGACGGAGCGGGTTATGTCCTGGCGGGTGCGAGCGTGGGACCAGGATTCGAGGAAGGGATGGAGGTTGTGTGGCCGAGAAGTCGATGTGATGTATCGATAGGCGAGGTTCATAAAGTCGTCTTTTTCGTTCGTGGTGACCGACACGCGATCCGAATCTAGAAGCGCGATCTCATGCGCGAGTCGACCGAGTCCTGCACCTGGGACGAGCACATTATAATCCCCAGGATGGTCCTGCTCTTCGTCAAGATGCCTCGCCACTGCATCAAGAATATACGGAAACGTCGCTTCTCGCTCTGCATGTCCATCGATGGACCAGTCCCGCACCACATGCTTCAAGGCGTGGGAGGTATGCGTGCGAAGCATTTTGAGTTTATTTTCCTTTTGTTTCGGTTCCTGGGCTTCGAAGTCTTTGACGAAGTCGTCGAGTTCAGAGCGCGACATGTCGTAGTATACCAGCGCCTTCTCAACGATGGCCTTGGTCAGCACTGTGTTTTTGTCTAGCAGGGAGCGGGCGATGTCGAAGTTTCTGTTGTAGGAAATCGTTGATTCGAGAATCTATGTCTTCAGTCAAACCTGCATGTCATCCATAGCTGAGATGTAGTAGCCGACCTTTTTGTGGTCCTTTGGGACATGCTTGTACAACGACTCGAAGCGATCGATTTCCGCTCCCGCAATGTCTCGATATCTGTCATAGCCATGAAGTGCTTCGAGAACACTCCAGCGAGGATGTTTGTTGTTCCATCTGCCGTGGCGTCGGTCGATTTCGTGGAGGACTCGCTCTCGCTCGAGGTCGTGTCTTTGATTTCCGAGCCTGCAGTCAACATCGAACAGGCGATTGATACTAGCAGCTGGACATTGTTGTATCGATCTGCTGGCATGTGCGAACTCTAAATATGAGTTCAAAAGTAGCAGCACAATCGTTACACTGCTCAGACAATGGTGCATGCCCCTCATGTTCAGGCTTTTCCCTCGGGCTACCGCAGTATCTGCATTTGAATGAAATCGCCTGCTCGCTATCCCGATAATGTGTGGATACCAGCCAGCCAGTGTGTACATCGAAGAAAGACCTTTCTTCAACCTATGCAGTGAGAACGAGCTGTGAACATGCTAAGAAATGCCAATGCTGGGATGCAGCACCTTGATGGACGCCAGGTGGGAATGTAGCCTGTTGTGTTCTTGGCTCTTTCATGAGATCGCAACGACGAATTGGTATTTTGCGTTGGATAGCACATTGCATATGATAAATGAGATAATGGAATGACATCTTACGTGATTTGTTCGTGGTCATTGACGAAAGTGTCTTTCTTTCTTTCTTCCAGGATTGCCTTTCCGGCAAGACGAGCTTTCAAGGCCGTTGTGTCGTTCGAGTATTGCTCTTTGGCCCAAGTGTCCTCTAGTTTCTTGAAACAATTGCGCGGTAATAATATCGAAGAATTGGTGGATTAAATTCCTCAGTGTGGCCTGCTCCACGACTGCGTCGATCCAAAGCCGATAAATCGATCATACAAAGTCTTTCTTCAGCAGGCATTGCTTTTCGAAGTCGAAGTCTGCCTTTGATCTCATGTTGATGATACGGACACCGAAGGATGGAAAATCCACGGACGATCTTTCTTCGTCCAGGAGTATGGAAAGCTTCGTGCCTTCAGGGAAGGTAGAGCTCAGGTGGGGCAGGAGATAGTAGATCAGCAATAGCAACACCGGTCAATCCTGGTATGCCAGTCCGTACAAAGTCGTACATCTTGCGTCGATTGAGCTGCCTCAGCGCTTCGCCTTTGAGGATAATCATGGCTGCTCTGTACTACGTCGCCAGATTCAGCGTGGCGCTTGCCGTGCCTTTGATCTTGTCAGCCTTCGCGCCTCGCTCGACATCTTCACCAATCCACCCCACGCCACGAGATAAAAGCAAAGCACCATCACAACACGCCCTTCGCGATCAGAGCACCTGGCAGCCAGCAGAGAAAAGGACGCCCACCAAGCTCTCGATGCGGAAAGGATCAAGAAAAGTGAGGGTCAGTCGGCGGAAAGAGGACGAATGAAGGAATACTCGGTCTATGTTTGTAATATCAGCCGAAGAGGCCAGAGCCGGCGTACTTGCTCGACCATCGGTACGCGGCAGGCATCGCTTCGAATCGGTGGTACAAAGGCGCACAGAACCGCAAGGCGTACGAGAGCGGCAGGTTGGATCGGTCTGCAAGACGTCGAGTACAAACGGATGGAGAGGCCAAAAGGCGCGTGTAGCACATGGAAATCGGGGGTTGAACGCGTGAGGAGAGTTGCGTGGAGGATAAGCAGGAGCAAAGCAAAACAGAGGATGGCGGAGGTGGTGTGTAGGACAAGGGGGTCGGCTTGGTGAAGCCCTCGCGTTTCTCGACCTCGTGAAACTTGGAACTCAGCCCCTGTGCTCCAGAAGATCATGACCCTTGCCCATGACACGGTGGATCCATGCCCTCATCAGCGTTTGGCATGTCGACAGTCATGAGAAGGACGTCAATAGAATGACGCTTTGTTTGATGCAGTGTCCGTCAATAGACTTTCATACAAATTCAGAGAAGTTGAAATCGTCCCTGACAACGGTTTGAACGATTGATGAAACGGCTGGAGAGAGGGTGGTGGGGCGTGGGGTGTGATAAGCTTTTATAGTGGCTCTGTGTTGCGAAAGCCTGGATCGGCGCGGCCAGTCGCCGTGGATGTGGCCTGAGTGAGACGCTGGGCTGCCCTGACTGAACGAACGACGCACGCTGACGCTCAACTTTCAATTCAGTCTCCTTCCTCGCCCTTCCACCAACAACACCCGCTCCTCCACCACGACAACTGCCACCACTGTACTCCCACGACCTGCCCATGCACCCGTTCATGGCAACATGCCGCCCGGACGACCCCCAGGCGCTCATGGATCTCTGCGGGTGCGCGACGTAGCCCTCCTCTTCACCTTGGGTTTCGCTCCCCTCGCCGCGGCCGCTCTGCAGCAGCAGCCGTACATATCACCTGAGCAACATTCGACCGACGGATTGGCCAATGCGGCCTCGTCGGTAGAACAGCGATGGCACGCATCCGTGGCCGACTCGCTGCATACACCGCTCAGCGGACAACGCGGCTTCCGTGATACGGATGCCAATGTAAACAACAAAGACAATTCCGCGCGGACTCCAATCAACCAGCGCGCCCTTGCGACTGTGTCCTCCCCGTCCGAGTCTCACTCGGCGAGTGGACAGCCTCCTGCCCAATGGTCGGCCACGACGAGTGCTGGCCTCACGCGACGAACGGCGCGGTCTCTGCAGGACTGGCAAGTCGAGGACATTATGCTCCTGGCGACGGTTGACGGAAAGCTCCACGCACTAGAGAGAGCCACTGGTCATCCAAGATGGGTCTTGGAGACAGACAGAGAGATGGTTGAGACTACACGACACCGCCGACAGAACAAGACTGTCGATGAGCAAGGGGTGGAGCAGGAAGATCCGCTATTCATCGTCGAGCCCAGCCAGGATGGTAGCATATACTTGCTGGCTCCAGGCTTCGGCCTTCGAAAGCTGGACTATACTGTCAGACAGTTGGCAGAACTGTCACCATATGCAGGAGATGGATTCCCCGCGGTTGCCTACACCGCCGAAAAGAAGAACACACTTTATACTGTCGATGCTGCCACTGGCAACATCCTCAAGTCTTTCAGCTCTGCTGGATCTATTGTCAATGATGACAGGAGTTGCAGACGAGCGAGCCCACTGGACGTCGAGGCCAACGAATGCGAGCCCATCGGCACTCTGACAGTCGGCAGGACTGAATACACCATTGGAGTGCAGGACAGGAACACCGGTGAGCCAATCAGCACCATCAGATATTTCGAATGGGGCCCCAACAACCGAGACCAAGATCTCCGCAATAAGTACAAGGAGACAATGGATCACAAGTATGTCTACTCCAAATACGACGGAGAGATTCAATGTATGGACTACAGCCGGTCGAAATACCACACTGCTCTCAAGCCCAAGTACAGGCAGAAGCTTTCATCCCCTGTTGCGAGGGTATTCGATGTCGTCCGGCCAACAGACGACCTGTCCAGCGATGCTTCTCTTGTCATCCTCCCTCAGCCTGTTGGACCCAGTGGCGCCGAGTTGGACGATGAAGTTGAGAGCGTGTGGGTTGATTGCACAAAGGCTGGCAACTGGTATGCGTTGTCAGAGAAGAAATACCCAACTGTCACCGAAAAGGCACCCGCAGCAAGGTACCTTGAGGCTGGAGACTCCAGACACCTTCGTCTTGAACGCAAGCACTTTGCAGGTGTCCACTACCTGAGCCTCAGTGAACAGTATACCGGGTCGAACCAGGTTGATGGAGGTGGCATGATGACCATCGATGGCCCGCCGGTAGATACGGACATTGAGAAAGCGACTCCAAGAAGGGAGAAGACTGATCACTTCTCGATATTGCAGACACTGGTCGTTTTGGCAATCATGGGTCTATGTGGTGCTGGCTTCATGTATCAGCAGCAGCTTGGACTGTCGCCGTTGAACATGAAGCAAATGTTCAAAGCTCCAGAAGTTGCTGTGCCTGTGGGAGAAGACGTTCCAGAGATTCAAGTCGAGGATGTGAAGATCCGTGAGGCAGAGCCTGCCAAGGAGACGATTTTCCCACAGGACACCAAACCTTCACCACAAGTCCGATTTGCAGAGTCAGTGAAGGTGGACGAGAAGCTTGACGAAGCTGTTGCGGAAGGTGAAGATAAAGTGGAAGATGGAGGTGAACCTAAGAAGAGGAAAGCGACACGAGGCAAGCGTGCTGGCCGTAAGCAGAAGGAGAAAGAAGCAGCACAAGCGGAGGCTCGCGCGAAGAAGACTGGAACCATCACCCAAGCAGCAGAGGTCATAACGGTCGCCGATTCTGAGAGTCCTCAGGTCACTGGACCGCTGCAGATCAACAGCCTTATCATCAACACCGACAGCGTGATCGGACAAGGAAGTTGCGGCACCATCGTCTTCACAGGCTCATTTGAAGGTCGCGAAGTTGCTGTCAAGCGAATGTTGGCCCAATACTACGAATTGGCTTCACAAGAAGTGTCGTTCTTGCAGCAAAGCGATGACCATCCGAATGTCGTCCGATACTTTTGCCAGCAGAAGGACAACCACTTTCTGTACATCGCCGTAGAGTTGTGTCAGGCAAGTCTGTTTGAGGTCTGGGAAGCTGAGAACGCCAAGACGGAGGAGCGACGACAGCGATTGCGAGCGTTGAAGATCACGATGCAACAGAACATGACCAAGACTTTGCATCAACTCGCTGCCGGCCTGTGCCATTTGCACAACCTCCGCATCATCCATCGCGACATCAAACCACAGAACATCTTGGTTGCCTACCCCAAGAAGACCCAGCAACCAAACGATACTCGTCTGGTGATCTCCGACTTCGGCCTTGGTAAGAACCTGCCCGAGAATGTCAGTACACTCGTCGACCCGACTGGTAATGCGGGCACATCTGGCTGGAAAGCGCCCGAGTTGATCAGCCAGCCCAAAGAGACGACCAGCAACAACACCCACAGCACGTCCAATGGCAGCGAGAGCGGCACACTTGGCTTCAGTGGCGTCAAGCGCGCGGCAGACATCTTCTCGCTTGGCTGTCTCTTCTTCTGGGCGTTGACCGATGGTGTGCATCCCTACGAAGACGCGCAAGGCTGGCCACAGCTTCGCGAATACAACATCAAGCAGGGTAAGAAGAATATGGAGGCGCTTCAGCAGTGGTACGACGCGTATGAGCCCATGCAGTTGATATCATCAATGCTGGCGCATCAGCCAGAGAACCGACCAACCGCCCAAGCCGTGCTCAACCATCCGTACTTTTGGACACCCGAGAAGCGCCTGGCTTTCCTGTGCGATGTGTCTGACCATTTCGAGAGAGAGCCACGTGGCACTTACGACGACGGATACGCTGGCGACTCACTGCATCTTCATATGCTCGAACAGCGGGCTGTGGAAGTGATCGGCGAGCCCTGTGATTTCCTCGGCAAACTCGACCGATCGTTCGTCGATACACTGGGCAGGCAACGCAAGTACAGCGGCAACAGGCTCCTTGATCTCTTGAGGGCGCTTCGAAATAAGAAGAACCATTATGAGGACATGCCAGAGGATGTCAAGAAGCGGGTTGGTCCGCTACCTGGCGGCTATCTCAACTACTGGAGCCATAGGTTCCCGAAGCTGCTGATGACTTGTTATCAGGTGGTTCATGACTTGAATGTGCAAGGCAATGATCGATTCAAGGGGTATTCTGAGCTTGGTAGTTCGTAATGGAGGACAGCTTCCATACTGCAATGTCACGGTCTACTCGGTCTACTCGTCCACGGCGACTTTTACAGAATCACTTTCTTCCTCATCGTCTGAATCCCGCATCCACAGCGTCAAAGTGCAAACTTAATGCCCACGATCTTTGATCATGCACCCACCGACCACATGCTTGTTCAGTACTAACGACCGAGTTGCAGCACCCGCTTGATCAATCAATCTGCTACGACTGTCGCCCCGATCATTGGGAAAGGCATTCGTCAATGGACTACGTCGTCGATCCGCTCCAACACAGAGCATCGGACGAATGACGCCGCAGGAGGCAGCTACATAGTGCATTACATCCACTCATCATCCCGATCAACAACCTCTCCGCAGCTCCAACAACGTGGGTACCATGTGGGCAGTCGAAGGAACAGGCTGCCTCTGCCATGCCATTGGCGATGCATGATCAACAAGAATGGGTTGAATACAGACACGGCGCCTGCTCAAGTCGAAAAAGTAGGCGGCGGTTGTTGAGGCATTGCGAGATCTGGCCTGTCAGGCGGTGCCAACCTGCCGCTTTTTGGCGCGGCGTGCAGCGTGTACTACGCGTGGGATGCAGCTCAGTGGTCGCCTGCTCGCTACCTATAGCGCCAGGTAGATGCTCTCTCTTCGGACCAGCGTCTCGCTCAAGGACGCAGCATCCGATGACGCGCGCCTACAACTCGCCTTGCACCTGACTTGAGCGGTCTGGAGGCTGGCAATGGCATTCTGCTTGACGCCGGCCGCGGTCGACCAGACGAACAACGTTGATCGGGGGGAAATGGCAGCGCTTGCCAGCAGGCACCGCAGAGGCATAAAGTGCAGACGGTTTGCCGTGCCACATGATCCTCGTTCACATTTCATCACGATTTTGCCTTTCGCTAAGTCAGCGTCCGCATCGCAAGGTTGTCCCAGTCCCGAGCGACGGGGAAAACGCTTTTTGTTCGTGATTTTTTTGATTGGACCGTCCCCAATCCTGAGGAGAACGATTGGTCCATCGTCGCCATCCTCGACCCGACCCAACGAGCTGGGGCCGGCTTCACTCCACGGATCGACGACCAACTCTGCCTCCACGCGAGAACCAACACCTCCCCCTTCGCCCTCACCGAACAACGCCAGCACGCACCTGTCCGGCACAGCTGAACGTGAGGCCTCTCTGCTGCCATTGCCAACCCAGCGACGGCCCAACCGGCCCAATCACGACGTGGGCGGCTACGAGTTGAACGTCGGTTTCAACGTCCAGGGTTTAAGCGCCGAGTCGACGTGCTGCGAATCACAATCATCACAGGCCCGTGGCAGCTGCGGCACGTTTGATCGTCTCTAGCTATTCTCAGCCTGGCTTCGACCCAAGGATCAGGAGCAGGCTCCCATTGGGCACCCGGCACGCTGCGTGCATGCGGCCAGCGTCACCTCCAGGCAAGACAGGACGACATTCTGCTTTTACGCGCCCGCACCAGAAATAGCTGGGCAAGCGCTTCTGCGCAGCTCGTCGGCCGTCCGTCTTGTTGTTGCTGTTGCATGGCAGCGACACAGTGCTCAGAAGCACCGCCGGCCAACATTACCCCCAGGTAAGCCGTGCCCATGATTTCGTTTAAACCACCACAGCCCTGCTTCGTCTGCCTTCCCCTCCCCGCCGCCCTCTCTTCACCGGTGTGAAGCGTGTGCTTACTGTAGCACCACAGGCCTGCGGTCTCGTCGTTGCCGATTCATTCATTTGATTCTTCGGTCACTCGCTCCCGCAAACGACGACGACTCGCAACCATGGCTTCTGCGACTGCCACTGCCACCATGGCCGCCGCGGGCTTCGACAAGAGAGCCAGCACCGCTTCGTCGTCTCTGCAAACTCCAGGATCTGGTACCTTCCCATCCGAGCTACTGAGCCCCATGGCCGCTTCGCCGAGTTTCAGCAAGAGGGAAGATGCCTTGAAGACGCCCATCACCCCTCCATCCGCGTACCTGGACTTCCTCAAGAACTTCTCGCCAGCGATCCAAAGCCCCGCGTCGACGGGTACCAGTGCCCGCTTCAGCTTCCACGAGAGTAGCTTCGACAAAGCGTCAGATAAAGCATCCGACATATCTGGACCCAAGTCCTCATCGATCAGCCCACCCACATCTCAACCAGCATCGCAGCCCCCACTATCCCGCAACACATCCTACGACTCGAACAAGTCCACCGCTACCGAGAGAAGCGATGCCTCGACGGAAAGCATCGAACGCTCCAAACCACAATCCCCACGCATCATCATCCCACCATCCCAGTTCGCCAAACCAGCCGCTCCTAGATCAGCACGGGGTACCCCTCGACGACTGCACATCCCCCAGTCACCCGCCTTCTCACCCGCCCTTGGCTCAGCCCTATCCACCCATTCCGTCCCATCACCATACTCCTCTACCCCAATCAGCGCCGCACCATGGAGCGCATCATTCTCTCGCGACTACACCAACGCCGAAGCGAACGCGAATGGCCCCCCTGGCAAAGTACATGTCCGACAAGTAGTGACGAGGACGGTCACGTACTGTCGGACGCCTTTGGACCCCGCACCCAAGGGCAAGAGGAGAAAGATTGAAGTCGAGGAGGCTGACGAGGTCAGTACTGTCGACTCCAAGTCGGAGGTCTCGTGTGAGGATGCGAACGATCGACCGATCAAACAAGAACGAGTTGAGAAGGCCGATAAGGAGGGTCCGACGACGGGCGAGATGAAGGGTGATGTGTAGGGTGAACTGCCCATTGCCATATCCCCTCATCGACACTCACAACATCTGCGACCTACGGACTACTCAACATCAACAACCAACTTCAACGACAGCACACCCTACTGCCACCACCACCGCCACCACCACAACATCCCCTAACATCACCGACACCTTTCGTCACACTTCTTTTTGTGTTTGTGTTTTTTGGTTCAATTGAACCAGATGACGACCTTATGATGAATACCACTCTGTTAGTGTTGGAAAACTCAGGCAAGGACGAAAGAGTCTTGCTAGAGAGATCTTGTTATTTACCGGTATTACAAAGCCTTTATCGAAAGCCTGGCGCTCAGAGAGGCGTAAGAATACGGAGTTTTGTTTACCTTTTGATTTGTATGGAGGAGAGGGAAGGAGGGAATTGGTTGGGACGGAAGATCATCTATTTGGAAAGATGGTCGAGGGGATTTTGTTTTTTCTACGTTGAACATGGAGATGTGGAGAGAGATTTTGAGGGATGGAGGGGTGGTTCGAGAAAACAGAGAGATGAGAGATAGGAAAGAAGAACTATTCATATTACATCTACCTCCACATCTCTTCAGGGCATTTCGCTTTGCCTTCGGAAATGTTTGCCCCCATCACCTCGATTGTCCTCGAGAACCAAACATGAACTCATCTCACTCATCTAACCTCGCCCTATCTTAACTCAACCGACAATTGCCACAAAGCAAATCCTCCCCTCCCTATACCAAACAACCACGCCGCCCCTACCCCTTCACCCCTCACAGCCCTCTCCACTGCAAGACGAAACCGTCATGCCCAACCTGCAAATCAACCTCCCCCACCCCATCCACGCGAACCTCCTCGCCACAATCGAAACCTACAACGGCGCAGAAAACTTCCTCTTCTTCCACCGCGGCTTCTTCTGGGCTCCTTGGGGGATTTTGGGGCCGGTGGCGAGGGGGGTTGTGGGAGACGCGCCTGCTGGGGAGGCGGCGGCGGGGGGAGATGGGGCTGGAGAGGTACAGCGTGGTGGAGGAGGTGGAGGTGGGCAGGGAGAAGGAGTTGGGGGGTTGAGGCCGAGGGTTCATGTTCATCATCATTATTTCCATGGTGGTGCTGGTGCTGGGATGCCGTATTCTTGGGTGAGGCTGGTGGGAGGACGGGGTGGGGGAGGGTTTGGCGCTGGCGTAGGTGGTGCGTTGGATTGGTATGAGGAGGAGCTGTTTTGATGTAGGAACATCAACGATTTAGAGACAAGCACAAAGGGACGGCCGCTTGTGGCGACTTTCTCCAATAAGTGGCTCATGTCTAAACAGTAGGTCTTGCTGAGAGCTGCGTGGTTCTTAGTGAAGTTTGGGGGATAGATTGAGATGAAGTGGTTTGGGGACGGGTTCTCCTGCCAAAGAAAGATTAGCAGTCTAGAGACCAGATTGAATATATAACCACTTCTGGGGAGTCTCTCAATCAAATTTGTCCTGTCTGAGCAGTAGGTCTTGCTGAGGGATGCGTGGTCGTTGGGAAGGTTTTGGAGATTACTGTAGCAATAAATGGTTTGAGGACTCCGGAGGTGTTCTGATGTATGAAGATCAATGGTCTGAAGACAAGAATGGACGCCCAATTACGTCGAGGAAGGTTTCTCCAATGTATCCCTCCTCTCTAAACAGTAGGTGTTGTTGCGAGATGCGTGGTTCTTGGTAAAGTTTGGGGGATACATAGAGATGGGCAGAAGAAGTGTAAAATATTGTTGCTCCTTCCATATTTGTAAACTGTTAGCGCGAAGCTTAAATCGCCCATATATGAGGTTTTGGTCGTTCGCTTGCCCGCCGCGTCTCGGCTTCACGTCACCCAACACAACAACAACCTCACCCGCAAGAAACCAACGTATATCCCCAGTTGGTTGGTGGTTACAGATCGATACGCTGACACATCCTTGCCGCAGTCACACCATGACGGCCAGAGAGAACGTCTTGAATCTCCCAGAGGTGCTCGAGGATATCCTCCTCCTCCTCAGCCAGCGCGTGGACAAGCAGTACCGCGCGACAATCGCCGCCTCCCCCCCGCCTGCAAGAGAAGCTCTTCTTCCGCCAACCACGCGCCGCCAACCGCGAAGAACTCAACCTGCGCGACGCCCTAAACCCTCTGCTCCCATGGAACTTCACCCAGTACCAGCAGAAAACGCAACAACTAGCGCCCACCCCCAACGCTGACCGCGGCTACGGCTTCACCTTGCAAAGCGCCCATTTCCCCGGCGACCACGAGAACCTCCCAGCGACCGCCACCTGGGCCCTCAAACTGAACGTCACGACCCCGAAGCACTGGACCGGCACTGAGAGCTGGCGACGCATGCACCTCTTCCGCGCGGGCCACTTCGCGACGATTCTGTACTTCCACTGGGAGCAGCTGGACATGGGCAGCAGGACGCTGCGGATTGATATCGTGTTTCCGGATGGCGAAGTTGTGGATGGCAAGCCTTGGATGACGACTACGGGCGAGGTTTTCGAGGCGGAGATGGATCTTGCGAGGGAGATGGGGTTTGTTAGCAAGCCCACGCGACATGGGATTAGGCCGTTGAAGAAGGCGAAGAAGTTGGGAGGGAACTCGAGGTGGGATTGAAGTGGTCGTGTCACTGAGAGGATGCTGGAGAGCTTGGGAAGGGGTTTTGGAGTTTATGGAGTGGCCTAAGGGAACAGAAGAAAGGACGCAGGAAGCGTGAAGGGACACGAGCTTTTTCAGGGGTTTGAGACTCGATGAAGCTGTATGAGACGACTAAAGACAGGACATAGGAGTTGCGAGTGGGTGGCATTTCAATGTGCATTGTCTCTCTTTCTTTCAATAACTCCGTCCCTTTCGCAACTTCTTTGAAAGCGTAATCACCCTCGTCGCTTCGGGGATCCGCTAGCGTGGAAAGTCTAAATCGCGAAGCATGTGACTGTCGGCCTCGACTCGAGGTTTAAAGCTTTCCCTCCTTGCACTCACCAACTTCCGCAAGAGCACCATACATCCGCAGAAACCCTCCTTGCGACTGCACTACCATTAAGGTCCAAGGTTCGAGAGTCGCCTCCACGCTCAAGGAGAGTATCGCAGAACAGTCTCTCGGCTTGTCTGCACCATCGGCTTCGAGTCGAGGAATAGAATTGCTCGTCGTCGCGATTCATCACCTTTTGCAAGGGAAGCATCCCACGAGGTCTCTCAGAGACTGCGCTGTTGTTAGAGTCGAGGGTTCGACGGTCGACTCGACGCTTACTGGGATCCATCACTGATCAATCTCTATAGGTCGTCTGCACCATCGGGTTCGAGTCGAGGAGTAAGATTCCCCTTCCTCTGACCTGGCACTCGGCGACTCTTACAACCGCGACGACAATACTCGACGCGAGTGACTGCGACTGCGCTCCTGCAGACAGGCTCCAAGGTACCAGCATCCCCTGCACTTACAGGTAGTGATCGCTGACCCATCTGTCAAGGCTGAAAGCAGCGAAATCTCGAAGCGACTGCGTGTGACTGCATCTCCGACAAAGCTGTAGGTATCAGTGTTGACTCTGAACTTACTGGGGTTCGTCGCTGACCGCTCTAGGTCGCCCGCACCATGTCGACCGCCGACTACATTTCGAGTCTCCCCGCCGAGCTCCTTGAGTACGTGCTCTTGCGCGTCGACAACAAGACTCTACTGCTGAGCCAGCGTGTCAATAGGCAATTCCGCGACACAATCAAGGAATCTGTCAAGCTGCAGGAGAAGCTCTTCTTCCGTCAGCCGCGCACAGGAGCCGACAGGGAAGTCAGCAACTTCCGCCAGAACCTCAACCCTCTGCTGCCATGGAGACGGGTCTTCGTAGAGGGCCTCTCCCCCCAGCCCGAGTCTCCCGAGAGCCTGCCAGCAGCAGAATTCGGATTCGCGTTGGACGTTTCATTGGGGTGCATGGACGAAGACGATGGAAGTTCGTCTGATAACTCCATCTGGTCCGTCAACGTCGACTTCGCGGGAGCAAAGAGCTGGACGGGCGAGGAGACTTGGCGGCGGATGCATCTCTTCCAAGACGGAGTTCCTCTACTCGCTGCGATGGTGAAGTGGATGGGCAGCCGGGTCAAGGTGAAGCAGACTGACACTCAACAATACATGTCAATGCTCACTTGCAACCTCGAATGGCTGAAAGGCGGTCCTCAGAAGGCTACGATGGGCAAAGTCTTCGATGAGGCGATGGGGTTGGTTGTTCGCAGAGGTCTCCGGAACGACGACTAGGCGGAAACTCATGGGTTGAGTGGCACCGGAGCGAGAATTGGAACATCGTCATCTCCATATCTCTGAAGACAACTCGCCTACTCGAGGTGCGGCTAGGAGCTTAGTCGCATTCACAGCACCGGTGAGATGGCTGTCCAATGCGTTCCAGATGGGTATGGCTGGAGGTTCTGAGAAGCAATGACATAGTAAAGGCGGCCAGAAGCTGGAACTTTAGGTTCGAAATCAAGGCACTCGTCCCTCACTCCAGGTATGACGACTGGACCTTAGAGCAGACCAGACTTGAGCCATCGTGGAGGTGGCAGCACGCATGGGATATGGTCTTTGTTGGCCAGACCATCCACAGTGACAGCGATCTGGTAGCAGCCATGAGCGCCTTGTTTGCACGCTGTACATCGAAAACAACAATTCAGTCTTTCTAGAGGTACTCCTTACGTCAGTGGAAGTGTTGGTGGTGATGGTGAGACGTCGTGGCCTTGCAATGGTTACCGACGAGCCGTGTGAGGCGTCTTCGCGTAGAAAAAGCTCGAGGTCCAGATCCAGGGGCGTAGCTCTATATCGATGGTCAATGACAATTCTCAGCCTGCAGTGAGTCCCACGATCGGAGGCATGCTCATCATTCTTGTATCAGTATTGATGTGCTTCTCAATCGAAAACATACGTAGAGAGCCAAGCAACAGATGATGTCGCCCACAGGAGTTTGTCTCAGCGAGAACCTGGAGATGAGCAGGGCACGGAGGCATGTCCGTCTTCATGCATACCATCGACGATGAACGCGCAGAACTGAGGTACGTCGTCCTGATCATCACAGCGTAGCCTATCGAAGTTCCTAGCAAGGACCCCACAGATACTGGCCAACCAGGTAGTCAGTCCACGGACCTGAGTCCACGACCAACACGGCTTCTGTATCCGGCTGGAAGGACGTTCGTCGTTGTCGCAACCAGTTCCTAGGTTGCCGCGGTATCAGGTGAGCCAAAGCTCTCATGTGAAAGTACGTGTTGGCGCACAAAAGTTTACATGGCGCATTATGCAGCTGTCGTCGTCGTAGGAGTTGGCACTATACCCTCTTCTGCCCGGGCATTTCAACATCCGGACAATGAATAGGGTGCCACGGCGGATGTATAACAATGCCTCCTTTCCACCGCGGCCGACTCGACCTTGACAGCAGATTGCAGGCGTTTCAAAGCCTTTTCCAGACTGCGGTGAAAAGATCGCATGGCTTTGGAGAATAACCAGTTTTACCGCACAGAAATGCCTCTTTGGACGAGGAAATGGCAGTCAAATAGCTCGTGAGTGCCGTAACAACTGGGCCATAGGCGTCTGGATGCACGCCTTAGCTGAGCACGCTGATGACTTGTGCCGACCTCTCCACTTGCACGTGACTTTGCGAGATTCACACTTTGATTGATCGACATTTTGGCGGCGCTCCAGACCAGCTTCCGGCTCTGACTCCCTTTTGTGCTTCAAAGTTTCGAGAGACACGACGTCTTTGTTTGCCTCGCTCGGCAACCCGAGGAAATGGCCGTGAAGAAGTTTCCCTGCTTTGTCTCATGTCCCGAAGAAGTTTCGAGTTGACAGTCCTTGGTCCAGGGAGCCCTGCGAGGACCAAGAGGGGATAAGTCAGCCAAAGCTACCAACCGTTAGAGGGTCCAGTGGTCGGCCAGCCCAACTGCAAGCCACACCGAGCTGGATGGAAAGAGTTTGTGGTTCCAGCGTAAGCGGCGATGCGTTGCAGCAGCCAGAGCAGCCACCCGGATCTTGTTGTTCCGTGGAGGACGCTGTGACGTAGTCGGTCGTGAGTGCAGCACGATGTTGTTGTCGACAGGAGAGGTGTTCCTTGGTCTACTTTGTTCGAGAGAAAGACTGGAAAAATGGCCAGAAAGAGAAATGCACGGCGGTGAGGCAGATCTCCCTTGAAGCACGTTTTCCCGGATACGCAGAAGATCCCTACGTCCTCGACAAGGAGAAAGATCTGCGCAGTCCCACATCTGGCGAGCTCTGGAGCGGGTGCCAAGGGACGGCTGTGGAGCCTAATCGCCGGCCTTCCTCGTTCTAGACCTGGCGGCTCGATGTGCTGCACGCCAACCGCCCTTTGCGGGCGCCACCAGGTTGCATCCAACCTGCTTGACCGTTTACGCTCGCGCCCGCTTGCTAATTCGCAACGCCAGAGTGACATCGTCTGCCGACTCTCTCCTGTGGCCGAGACTGCCTGTCTAGAGATACTACCGTTGATTGGGGCTTCTGCTGTACACTCCTATCCGCGACATACACCACCAAGGAATACGTACTCCGGCGCGACACACGTTACACAAACAACCACACCCTCCTCTCGTCCCAGTCTGCCCTTCTTGTGGGGTCTGCGTGTTTGTACAGGTCCGGACCCGAGACACGCGCGCACCTATCTGAGACCCGGGAACCCGCCTCTTCCAAATGGTGAGGTAATCATGCTGGGGACGCCAATACCTTGACCGCCCTGTTGGAACCTCTGGAATTTTGTAATCACCAAACCTGTCTGGCATTTCTGTCGAGGCACACCTACACTTCACGAACGACCTACAGCACGCTTTGGATGGTGGAGCCCTTCGTGGCTTTCGATGAGTGTGTGCTTGCTGCAGATTGGAGGACAGCAGCAAGCTGGGAGGTCCGCGAATGAGTGACAGCAACAGTGAGAAGGTAGCAATGGAGAGGAGGACAATCTGTTTCCCGCATCATGGCACCCAAGGAATTCTCCAGCATGGAGACAAGGGCTTCAAGGACGAGATCGACCGACTTTACGTGCCGGCGGAAAACAATGCTATGGAACAACTTCTCGAGTTGAAGACGAGATTACGAACTCTTCCAACCGAAGAATTCTGGGGAGCAGTGACTGAAGGCATCTCGAGGATACTGGGGGCCGAGATCTGCTTTGTTATGAAGAGAGTCTTGGTAGACGACCAGAATTCAGCGGTCGAGATGCCACCCATTGGAGAGCCTGGATCCTGCATCATGGCTTCAGCCCTTCATTACTGCGCAAATGATGGCACAAGAAACACACATAACATGACCAAATTCCATGCATACGGCTGTCCATGCGCATACATGCGCCACGACAAAGTCTTTGTGATTCCAGATCGTCTTGGCAAGTTCATCACCAACAACCCGAACAAACTACCGACACCCTGCGAAGCATATATGGCCGTTCCACTGTTTGAAGAGGGCAAGTGCTTCGCACACTTTGGCGCCATGTGGTCGGTGGAGGGTGCTGCTCAGAGGAAGCTGTCATGGGCATTCAACGAGATGATCCTACACTCACTGGAGGACATGATTGCCCAGCGATTCGTCGAAGGCACCGACTTCATTCGATCTTCGACACGATCATCTCAGGACGCCAAGTCCAAGGTCATTCCTCACGATGCCGTTACGATTGCACAGTCCCTACGACCTTACGCCGGCAGTCTGTCCCACGAATTGAGGACACCCATGCAAGGCATCGTCGGTATGCTCGATGTCATGTACGCTACAGTTCAAGAAGCCGTCGAGACGCAAAATGATCCAAGGATAAAGAGAGTGTTTGAGCAACTCAAGGAGAATATCGAGATTGTTCAAGATAGCTCTCGACGAGCGGTTGAAGCCGCCGACAATGTCGTGCACGCCTATGACATGGACATGAGCATACCAGAAGTACCACAAGCATTACTGGACGAGCCCAACGACTCACCATTCTCCGCCACAGTTGATCGACGGCCCGAAATCCTGGTCGCTGGCAACAACTTACCAATCAACCGACCGAACAAGCGTCGACGTGAGGAGGCAGGCTCAAGAAGTGGCAGCGATGTCAGTTTACATAAGTTTCCACGACTTGCACGAGCGCCATCGTCCTGCCAACGCTGCTCAGAGCAGGACATCCAGCAAGGCGTGCGGGAGGCCGAGAAAATCTCCGCGCAGTCCCAGGTTGGCGCTGTCGTGGCAGATGCGCCGGGTGCGGAGCTTGCAGCCAGCACGATGATTGACGCTGGTCGTGTCATTGCCCCTGGACTTCGACATGCCAGTTTCCGCGAGCTCATACAAGGCGTTATGAGTGAGTGTCTGAAAGTTGGAGGACGACCAGACTACGCCACAACTCAAGAAACCGACTTTGGAGAAGTCATGGAAGTAAGGACGAGGGGCTCTGACGGCACCATCGGTCAAAAGATGATCGAGTGGAGTATCGATCCATCTGTACCGCGGACCATGTTCATCGACGAAAAGGATCTCTGCAAGCTGATCTCCTGCGTCCTGTTGAACGCCCTCAAGTTCACGGACAAGTTCGACGGACGGATCTACGTGCATGCCAAGATGAGCCACCGAAACCGCTACATTTCTATCAAAATATCGGACAACGGACCTGGAATACCTGCGGCGTTCTTGCCAAAGCTTTTCAAGCCATTTTCTCAAGAGAACGGATCCATCACCAGACCAAGCGAGGGCCTCGGACTTGGACTGATGGTCGGCAAAGGCATTGCAAGGAAGTTGGGTGGCGATTTGATCTGCACGCGGGCAGAGACGATGGGACCAAACCACGGCACAGAGTTCGAGATCAAAGTGCCAGTCCAGGCTGGAGAGACGATCAGCAGGCCTGCGTCTCCGTTTAGTTCCCCTATGCCTCGCAAGGCGACCATCGTAGCGACCAATTCGCCACAAATCAGACCGCCACCGGCACCGGCAGCAGTATCGGACAGCCCACGTCATTTCTCTCAGGCATTACACGAGGTTGTCAGCGAGAACCCATTCGCAGCTCGGATGCCTCTGCCTAAGGTTATGATACCTTCCACGCCACCATCACCCAAATCCCAATGTCTGAACTCGGGTCCTGACACAGATGGCGAGTCGTCGAGTCCGCCTGCACCATCGCTTCCATCGCCACCAATTGAAGCAGCCAAGCCCCGTCCTCGTGTGCGCAAATCGGTGTCAAATCCGGAGATCGATCGTGATCTGGCCAAAAAATGTCCGCTGACGTTCCTGGTCGCCGAAGACAACAAGATCAATCGCAAGCTACTCGTGAGCATGCTCAGCAAGTTCGGCTACAAGAACGTACTGGAAGCGCACGATGGCGCAGAGGCGGTCAGACAGATGGCAGCGCAACGAGCTCATCCAGAACAAGTTGACGTTGTTCTCATGGACCTCTGGATGCCCCTGATGGATGGCTATGAAGCTACTGAGCGCATTCTCGGCTCTTACAAGGATGCGACAAACGGATCGCACAAGCCCACAGTCCTCGCCGTCACAGCCGACGTGACCGACGGAGCACTTGAACGTGCCGCAGAAGTCGGCATGAGAGGCTTCATGACCAAACCCTACAAGATGCTGGACTTGCAGCGGCTCATCACCGAATACTGTGCAAGCCACAAGGCCACTGCCGTTGTTTGAACATCCCGGTCCGAAAGTGCCGATGCGAGGAGTCGAGGATGCGGAATGCGGGCATGACATGCATGAAACACGGGTCGGTCACACCGAGATGCACTGATACATTGGAATGAATAACGATGTCGTGTACTCGGGAATCTCACGTGGGGGATACGAGGCGTGGAATCTTGAAAGCACGTTTGAGATGTGCATGTCATAAGTAGATACCCATATCGATTTTAGATGCATATGAATGAAGATGGGAGCGAATTAGAGGATATTCAAATCGAATTCGACATCTTCGTTCAACATCAGGCTCTCTTCATGCCTCGGTAGTCCTGTACATCGTCCAATTTTAGGGTTCATCCAAATTGCTTGAGAGAGCTTGAGAGCACGCGGCGAGCATGCAGGAACTATGAGGGTTCCAGACTTCTGAGCTCTATGGGCTCCATGGGCTCACGGAGAAGAAAACGTCGTTATTGTAGTGCATGTAGGGGCGTATGCGGAAGGAAGCGATTGACCGACTTCCATGAGGCTTCAACGTGGACCCCTTATCGCAGAGACGAGGCTATGCTAACCAGTCAGTAGGCGCTCCCCTAAATGCTCCTGCGGAGGATTTGTTTGCAGCCCCGGATGACAGTCGAGCTTCGTAAATAGTTATCGCTAGTCCATGGCGCTCAAGAACAAGTTGGGCTAAAATACCAACGAATGAACAGAGGACTAGACCACCCGCGTGAGGAGAAATGGCCGCCACGAACGCCACTTCATCGCAATGCATCCCCAATGCGATTGTCGTAAGGCATCTCCAATCCTTACGCGCGGCATTTTCCTTCTCGTGGGGGACTTTGATCATGGATTGATGAAGACACCAGAGAGTGTTTGCGGGAGGACGGTCAGAGTAGTGTAGTCTTCCCGCATTCAATGATCGCCGAGGTCGTTGATTGAGATGATGTGTAAAGTCCTGTCCGCCTGACGAGAACCCTGTGGCCTTTGCTTGTATTCCTTGGAGGTTGTTCGACGGCATGTTGATGCCCCTTGGGCGATGCACATGGCTGGCGGTGGTTTACTGGATTGTTATTTACAACGCCAATCATGCTCAAGCTTCTCGGTATCTGTTCATCTTGTAGGCCAGTTCATTCCTTTGAGCTTCTGCTTGCAGCCTTGCAAGTTAGACACTGACATCGAGCCAGCGGAGACTCATGCACTACAACAGCGTTTGACTCCGGAGAAAATCCCAAATTGATCATCGATGCCTCTCTCGGAGATCCCAACTTTCACGAATGTTAGCATGTCTAGAGTCTCTCGAGTTCACAACTCAGCTGATATGTCATTCAGCGACATCGACTGGAGACGTGAACTGGGTTGATGTTGTGGCGGCCAGTGCATCTTCCTGCGGGACTATAACATACAATTATGCCATGGGAGCAAATACCGTGAATGCGTCGCGAGCACACGCAGGAGTGTTCGGCGTCGCCGGTCCCGTCATCGATATGGTCGCTCAAGAGAAGGAGTTCGCGAAGAACGATGAGCCTTGGGACTCGGACAATAGCATCTTCATACATTGGTTCGGCATGTGAGTGTTGACGTGGTCTCAGCAAAGGCTCGCTGACGCGGCGAGCAGCAACGACGTAGCAATACAGGTCTGGTCAGGGCGGAATCTCAACGACAGCGAAGCGATCTTGCGTCCTGATGTCGATGACTACTTCAGGCTGCTTGAGCGACAGCATGATCTTGGAGCACGGCATTTCGTCACGATCCTGATGCCGCGTACGTATCTCGAAATTGACCTCATCCCTCGCTGACAATTCGCATCAGCAATCTATCGAGCCCCTGTCTTCAACTACGGCTTCAGCCCCGAAGCCGTCGAGATCAAGAACCTCACCGATTACTGGAACGCATATTTGCAAGAGGAGCGAGAGAAATTCCTCGCCCGTTATCCAAATACCACGGCCGTCATGTTCGATCCGGAGCCTTCTTTCACGCAGATATTGGACAATCCCCATGATTACGGGCTGCCGGCGCGGAAAGCCAAACACGGGGCGCCGGCGATGTGGCATGACTTCATCCATCCAGGGATTGATATTCAAAAGGCGGTTGGGACAGAGTTATGCGGTGTTCTGCAAGCGACGTGGCCGTGTTGAGACAAGAGGAGGGGAGGCCAAATACGGCTTTGAGGAAGCAAGGCGACACGTTTCCCAACTTGGGTGGATAGGACATGCATCGCCTTTCTGCAGCTCTTGCATATGAATCGTCAGAAAGTGGTCCTGCGAACAACAAGAACGACCAGGACACTTCGGTGCCGCACTGTGTCATGCTTCCCATGGCGAGGAAACGACCGGTTTCTTGAGATATTTGATACGCTCGATAGTCTCGTGCTATGGGAGAGCTTCAAGACGCTTCATCAAGATCTGTTATGAATGAATCAGGGGAAGTTTGGTGTGGATGTATGATTTATAATGTAATTTGGAGACCTGAACACATTTCTGTGCCCTCCTTCCGCATATGAAGGTCGGATTTCGGACTTCGGGCCGGTCCCCGCCCGTGTAGATGAATCTCGCTTTCAAACACATCCAAGCTCTCATCAACATCCACTCGCAACAATACCACAACACTCACTCCTAAAAAGGAGCCTCGCCAAAATGGCCGCCGACCACCTCATCACCGACCCGACCCTCCTCTCCGTCCTCTCCGCCGCAGCCGAAACCCGCACGCAATGCCTCCAAATCCTCGCCCTCCTCTCGCAACGCGCCTCGCAAGGCGACGACGTGGACGACGAGCTCCAGACCGCTGAGAAGAACCTCAACGCACGACTGGCGATACTGCGCGGTATCAACCGCAGGGCTGTCATGGGTGTGCGACAAACCAAGCAGGAGACGGCGGAGGCGCGGCAGGAGATTGACAGTCTGCATCTGCAGTTGCAGAATTTGTATTACGAGCAGAGGCATTTGAGGGGGGAGATTGCGGGGTGTGAGGATTTTGAGTATGATATAGCCTCGCCTACTACTTTCGTTGGAGTTGATACTGACGCTACCACCACAGTCACAAGTACACCAAACTCCCCCTCATCCCGGTGGAAGAGTTCCTCGCTACACATCCTGAACACGCCGAGGCTGACGAGCACGAGCTTACGTTGGCACGAATCGCGGATGAGCATGCTGCGAGACAGACGCTGGAGCAGCAGAAGCAGGAACTGGTCAAGAGGAAGGAGGCGTTGGTCAAGGAGACGAATGCGAAGAAGGAGGAGCTGGGCAAGTTGGATGGGGAGCTGGAGAAGTGGATCGGTGGTCAGCAGGGTGTGAGGAAGATCTTTGAGGCGAGAGAGAGCAAGATGGCGGGCGCTTGAGGTGAGGAGCATGCGTGGATTTTTTGAAAGACATGGCTTTGTCGGAGAAGACGAGTCTTCAGCGACCTTGGACTCGAGACGAGTGAAGATATCCTATCGTGAAGAGACGTGGCTTTGTAGAAGCTAGTAGAAGACGAATCTTCGGAAACTGTGGACTTGGGACGAAGAAACGTATTCTATCGAAACCTCGAACGAGCCTCTGCTGGACCCTGACGAAGCTCAATCCATCCCGACATCCATCCGCACCTTCAAGAGATTCTGCTCCTCGATCTTGGCCCGCTTGTCCAGGAACTCCTTCATATCCCAGTTCACGGAAACATACCTCCCGGCCAGCCACTCTCTCCTCTCAGCAGTAAGCCAAACCATCGAATCTGCTGCTAGTTCCGGTGTGTCGATCAACCCACCCTGGAACTGTTTCGGCATCCCCAAAGCCAGCTCAGTCGGCACACCACCTGGATGGATACCGAATGAAAGGACGCCTTGGTCCTTGTAGTCACTGTTCAGGAACTCTCCAAATCGGAGCAAGGCGAGCTTGCTAGTCTGGTATCCTGATGCACCTGCCCCGATAAGTTGCGCGCCGATGGAAGAGACGTTCAAGATGGTCCGAAGGCTGTCCGAGGTCTTGAGCAGGAGAGGCAGAAGAGCGCGGGTTACGAGATATGGGCCCTTGATGTTGATCTGTATTGCGGTCAGCGTTTACATCACAACATCGAGCAAAGAAGCCGGATTCGTCGAAGAACGTACCTCCCAAACCTTCCACCACTCCTCGACCTTGGACTCGGTGATCGGTACGAACGGCTCAAGATATCCAGCATTGTTGACCAAAATATCAAGTCTCCCAAACTCCCTCTCCGTGCTCTCCGCCGCTTTCTGCACACTCTCCTCACTCGTCACATCCAACACAAGTTTCAACACCTTCGGTTCGTTTCGTCCAGCCTCCTTCGCCGCCTTGATCATACTCCCCTCGAGCTCATCCATCCCCGAGCGCGCCGCGATGGCGATGTAGGAAGCCCCCGCTTTGGCATAGCTGATTGCGGTTTCTTTTCCGATCCCCTTCGAGGCGCCGGTTATGAAGACTGCGCGGCCGGACAGGTCGAGTTGCGTGGGGTCGATGTAGGCGTATGTGTCTTTGTGGATTGTGGGCGTGAAATTTGTGCCGTTGTTGAAGAGTTTGGCTTTGGGGTTTTGGGACATGGCGGGCGATGGTATGGCTTGGGATGTTTGGAAGGTGTTGTTTTTGTTGCTTGTTCGCTACCCGAGACGTACGGTTACATGTGTATGTCTGTGGCGTCGTCCTGATCCAAGGCTGTGGCAATATCGACGTCAATCAACGCCCCGGATATACAACTCTCCAACTATCTCCTGTGAAGCATTGAGGGTTGATGGTTGAGCACCCTTACTTCTTTCTTCTTTCAGAATCGTATGCGTACTTGGGTGTTGTTGCTACGCTGGATCCGGTAGAGGTTTTTGCTAGCTTTTGTAGGGTTTGATGGAACAAAGCAACGGATTTTAGAGAACTCCGGCGTAGATGCTCGTCAACGTTGCATGAGGACTGACCCACCTATAGCTAATAACTGACCTATCGATGCAACATGAACGCATGATGCTGGAAATCTCTATCGAGCTCATAGAATCGTCATTGGCGTCTTGAACATTCATCCAAAACGTCACATGCATGGATGCTAGCTCCCCCTGCCACCACCATCGGCCCTCGGTCCGCTCCAATGCATCCACCCTTCGGCTACGGATAAACCCCAGTCTGCAGTGAGGAGACGCACGCGTAGCTAGAGCTGCATTGACTCGTCTCCGCCATGATGACCCTCATTCAAAGACGCGCAGACGAAGGTCTCTTCACCATAACGCTCTTTAATCCACCTTGAAGAAATCCACCAAACCATCCAGACAACACAACTTCGATTCCTTGCCCACCATGCCCCGCCCAACCCTCAAAACCCCGCTCTGCGAGCTCCTCAAGATCGAATACCCCATCATCCTCGCCGGCATGGCACGAACGTCCTCGGGGCCCCTCGCAGCCGCCGTCTCCAACGCCGGAGGCCTAGGCGTCATCGGCGGACTGGGCTACACGCCGGACCAAATGCGCGCCATCATCGCCGAGATCAAGTCGAACCTGCGCGACAAGAGCCTGCCGTTCGGCGTGGATCTCGCGCTGCCCCAGGTCGGGGGGAGCGCGAGGAAGACGAATCACGATTACACGCACGGACAGCTGGACGAGCTGATCTCGGTGGTCATCGAGGAGAAAGCGAGTCTGTTCGTCAGTGCGGTGGGCGTGCCGCCGCCGCATGTGATTAAACGGTTGCATGAGGCGGGGATTTTGATCATGAATATGGTGGGACATCCGAAGCATGCGCATAAGGCTTTGAAGGCGGGCGTGGATATTGTGTGTGCGCAGGGAGGGGAGGGAGGTGGACACACGGGGGATGTGGCGACGAGTATTTTGATTCCGTCGGTGGTGGATGTTGCGAGGCAGTATACGAGTCCTTTGACTGGAAAGCCGGCGATGGTTGTGGCTGCGGGTGGAGTGTATAATGGGAGGAGTTTGGCGGCGATGTTGTCGTATGGTGCTCAGGGTGCTTGGGTGGGGACGAGATTTGTTGCGTCTGAGGAGGCGGGATGCAGCAGGTTGCATAAGGAGGCTGTTGTCAGTGCGGCTTTTGAGGATACGTTGAGGACTCTGGTTGTGTCAGGCCGACCGCTGAGAGTGAGGATGAACGATTATATCAAGTCTTGGGAAGTGGACAGACCTGAAGAGGTGAAGAAGCTGTGTGACCAGGGAATTGTGCCATTGGCTCATGATATGGACAACGATAAGGAGGTCGACATTCCTTTCTTGATGGGACAGGTTGCTGGCGCCATCACGAAGATTCAGCCCGCCAAGGAGATCTTGGAGGAGATGGTGACGGAATGTGTGGATGTTCTGAAAGCGCAGCAGGGCTATTTGGGTAGCAGCGTCAGTAGCAAGCTCTAATATCGACAGGTCATTGCTCAATGTAACCGTGTCTTCGCTCACGCCTCATCCTCTGCTGATTCGATTGCCCGACTCAGATTCGTCCAATCTCCAGATCACGAGCCTTTGGTCTTCGTTCTCGGGGTCGTCGAATCGGTCTGTGAGTTGAGATCCACTTTCTTGCGGAACTACACCATTCTCCTCTGAGCCGAAGTATCGGGGATGGCGTTCACAAGGATCGTCCTGGGTTGTATCGACCAGCATCCATTGCCAGATCAAGAGTCATCTCCCTCTTGCTACGGGGACACCCCTTCCAACCGCCGAGTCTTTTCGCGGCATGATTTCTCGCCTCCTTTCCAAGACCCAAGGCACACCATCCCTCAAAACCTCGAGATATCCCGCCCGAACAACCAGTTGATGCTCCAGTAGATTGGGATCAAAATCTTGTTCCGCCACGAAATCGTCTTGGTCACATACGCGCCTCGCCAGATAACCCAAGCCATCCACCCCGAGATATCGCCTCCAGCGGTCTGGGCAATGGCTTTTCGATTTCCAATGTAAGCCATCACCCCGAGATCCTTGTACTGGAAGTCCTTGGACGTAATATCGCCTTTGTTGAGACGCTTGGCTAGCCAGCCGGCTTTTTGGGACGCGACTTGGGCTGTCGCTGGGTATGCGGTGCCTTCGATGGTTGCGCAGTCGCCGATGGCATAGACGTCCTGGATGGGGTTGCCTTGGGTGTTTTCGACTTGGAATTTCGCGTTGGTGATGACGCCGCCGGTCTTCTCGTGGCGTTTGACTCTGTCCCTGAGAGTGTTTGCTACGAATGGGTTCATCATTAGTCCGGTGGACCAAACAACCATGGCTACGCCCATTTCCCCGTCTTCTTTCGTCTTCAGAGTATAGAGCGATTGGCCTCCTTTGGTTCCCTGCGGCGCTTCATATGCCGATGGAAGACCGGGTCGAAGCTCCTCGACGTGGTGACTAGTCTTGATTTCGATGCCATTGCGGCGGAACGTCTTCATGGCGTACTTGCCCAAGCTCTCGTCGAACATGCTCAGGACTGTGGGAGCCACATCGTACACCGTGATCTTGACGTATTTGATCAACTCCGGGTAAAGCCTCTTCATATCCTCGTAGACCATGTCGTACAGCTCCGCCGACCATTCGATGCCTGTTGGACCGCCTCCAACGACGGCAAAATTGAGATACACCTAGCAAAGCGTGTCAGAAGAGTAGCAGCCCCGGGACTAGTAGCTGGCGTTTCTTAACGCCTTATCACACTAGACGACCTGCTCACCTTTTTCATCTCTTCTGTCGTTGTCGGGAGAGCTGCCTCCTCAAAGCAAGACAGTAACCTGTTCCGTATCTTCCTTGCATCTCCCACATCTTTCAGAAAGTATGCGTTCTCCTTGACGCCCTTTGTGTTGAACGTCTGAGCATAGCATCCAACAGCTATCACAAGCTTACCATATGACATGCTAAAAAGCTCCCCCTTCTTTGCCGCGACCTGCTTCTGCTCCTGCCGTTGTTGCGACGTCTCGTTGGCATGCCTGTCCGTGGCGAGCGATCGGCTTTGTAACGGGTCTTCGACAGACTCTTCGACCGTTAAAGTCTTCTTCTCGAAATCGACCTCGTCCGCCCATCCCTAAACCACCAGATCAGCAACCACCTCAAACATCGTCCAAAGTCCCACCCACCTGAAAGAACTCGGCCCCAACTCCTCTCCCTCGATAATGCCTCACAGGCTCCAACACCGTCCTAAACTCGAGCGTACCCACCGAAGTCCCAGCAAGCAAAGGCGTAAACACAAAGTAACTCCTCGGCGACACGACCACGATCTGGTACTTTCTCGGATCCAGATCTCTCGAGAATCTGAAGCCTCCCCATCCTGATCCCAACACCACAACTCTCTCCCGTCCTTTCCTCGCGGCATCCAGCTCAGAGATCGAAAGGTCGCGCTTTTGGCTCGGTGAGATGCTCACTCTCGACGCAGCAGGTAGCCATTGGGTTGATGAGGAGAATCTGCCCAGCGCCTTCGTCCCGCCTCGAGCCAGCATGGTGAGAGGTCAGGTCAGTATCACGAAACTAACAAGTCTTCTCCACTCCAATCAAAAAGTCAAAGAAAGTCATCAATGCCTTTATCGTGCCATCGCCATGATTACATCACTCGAGTCATCCCGCGGTGCGCGCGCTGCTGCTGGGTTTCCCTACCTAGGCTACTTTTCTTCGGGATCGTTCGGAAGTGTGTGTGCGCGGAAGCGTTTTTGAATCTACAGCAATCCCTGGCCATAACGATAAGGTCAATGCAAGGGTGGGTTATCGTTATATAGAGGGTATCGCTATGGACAGTAGCACGTGATATACATTAGATAGTATCAAAATATGAGGATAATGTAGTCTGTCTCGTGCTATGGAGTCGACGACCTCGTAAGACTGGCTCATGCCGGCTAAGAGCAGTAATAAGATCTATACTGCTTTCCTCTTATTATTGTTCATATAGTAATAGCCTCTTAAGGGCAGTAAGGGTATCTTGAACAGTAACCTTAGGCACTTCTTACTCTTGCTCTTGTTAATCTTTAGGCTCCTTAGTCTAATACTACTAAGTAATAAACTTGACTATATTATTAACCCCCTTATTAAGCACTTGCTTATTAGGTGGGTTAATAAAGAGGCTAATATCTATAGCCTGCTTAATAACCTTAGCCTACTCTAGTCGCTTTACAAGCTTAGCTACTTTATTAAACCTAGTAGGCCTAGGTAGTAGGCCTTAGACTACTCTAAAGTATATTAAGTAACGGAAGCAGGCTCTAATAGTCGTTATAGGTAGCTTATTCTAAGTATATACTGCCTATCGAACTGCTTAAAGGAGGTTAATTTAATAGCTCTCTTAAAGGAGAGCTTTATCTATAAGATATCGTAGGAGTAAACGACGATATAAGGCCTTAAATATCGATATAATCCCTTAATCTAGAGGCTAGAACTTGCTTATATAGTTAGGGGGTAGAAATAATACCTAGACATAGCTTATAAGAGGATAAGAAGCAAGTTTAGTAGCTATAACCTTATATAATAAGTAGTTATCTATAATAAGAAGGACTAAGCGGCCTTAGGTGTATCTTACAAAGGATAAGAGCTAGTTAGTACAGATAATAGTGTTAATCTACGCCTTAGTATTAGCCCTATATTATATTAGTAGTCTAGTAATATTCCTTTTATTACTACTAAAGGGCCTTAGATTAGCTAACTTACTAATTATCTAGAGTAGTAGTAAGTTACTACTATTACTATTACAGTAGTGTATTATTATAATACGTGCCTTCTCTTGCTTACGGCTAGTAAGCCGCTTAGTTATAATCGAGTAGTCTAGTATTACCTTCTAGAATAGCCTAGATTCGTCTATATTATATATATCTCGTATAAGAGGATAACGAGTAATAACAAGGCGTGTTTACTCTATTACTTTATTAGCTCCTTTAGGTACAGAAGTAGCCTTACCGTACCTATAACGAGAGCGTAGCTAGTAACGCTTTTAGAAGCCTTCTAGCTATCTATTTAACTACGTAGGCTCTTATTAATAAGTAAGCTACGGTATCTGTAACTATAGATAGTAGGTAGCCTCCTTTAGTATCTAGCTATAAATAGAGGTGTTACTTCTCTACTACTGCTACTAGACTTAAAATAGCGCTTCTTTAAGCACTAGATACTCTACTAGGGTATGCCTCTTTATACCTTACTTAGAACGTCGTAGTCTAAGGTTATCTACGTAGCTATATTTACTTAAGAGGATTGTTAATATTAAGGCCTGCCCGATAGGCCTATTCCACTACTCTTCAAACTACTTAGCTAGCTCTAAATGCTTTAATTCCTAATACTCTTAATAGTATTAGCGGAGGGCGCTTCTCTAAGAGTCTAATATTACAAGGCGACGACGTTTTAAGGGCGGTTCGGCTATAGCAAATAGTCTACAAAGGGGCTTCGTAAGTTAGCTAAGATAACCTCTTAATAGCGATATATATAGTAGCTAATAACGATATTGTTATAGGCAGTATAGGATAACTTAAGGTGAGGAAAGGGTCAATGCAAGGGTGCGCTATCGTTATATAGAGGGTATCGTTATGAAGAGGATCGTTATAGCCAGGGATTGCTGTATGCCGATGTTCGGAAGACGGTGGTATTCTTTCGGATGAGGGAAGTATTGTGTTTGCGAGACTGTTACTGCTTGTTGACATGGGACGCGAAAGGATTGTGGGTGGGATGTTGTTTTGCGTCATCGCTTCGAGACGCGCGACAGAGCTTCCTCAGGTCGCGTGCTGCGCTGCAATTCTGAATGACAGACGAATGCTTCTCTTTGGGAGCCCGACGATAGCCGTGCGAGGATCTGTGGAGGCATAGATAATGAGTCGATGTCTGGGAGAGGGAAAGAAAATCTTCACAAGTCGAAGCCGAGCGATCCCGAAAAGGAGACAGGGAAGTTTCGACCTCACCTCGTCACAAGGCTCAACTTCTCCTTGTCATGAGGCCTGAAAGTAGCGGCCAAATTGGGCTGACCCGGGGCGATTTTGAACAACATAAGCATAATCTGAATTCTCAATGCCTACACGAACGAAAACACAACACAAAGGCCAACTAAGCCCAGCAGCAAAGATGCCCCTATTCTTTGGCCATCAGACCCATTAGCAGGCGTAGGTCGATCCGCTGGCAACGTTCCAATCGCCGAGCCTGGATCATTCTTGTTCGCACCTGCTGTAGTCGCTGTCGTTGCTCCATCCAACGCGCTCGTGGTCCCATCGACAACGACTGTTTGCCCATTGCTCGGCACACTGATGGTCTCGCCTTCGAAGATCGTACTCGAGCCGTCTTTGACAGTGACGGAGCTGCTGCCATCCCACAGGACCACGCCACCCGGGATATCACTTGCTGTGATGGTATGTCCGTGCTCGGTGAATGTGGCCTCTCCGTGACGTGAAGAACTTCCCGTGGGGAAGAGCATGGTGGAACTCCCGTCGACGACGAGGCCTTGACCTGAGGGTAGTGCGCTGATGGTCTCTCCATCGAAGACAGTGCTTGAGCCGTCTTTCAGAGTGATGGTGCCGCTGCCGTCTGAAACTACGATAGCACCTGGGATTGGTGTTGCCGTGATTGCATGGCCGTGCTCGGTGAAGGTGATGGCTGCACCTGATTCAGAAGAAGCCGCACTGGCGAAGCTGATAGTCGAAGCTCCGTTGATAACAACGCCTTGTCCGGATGGAAGAGCACTGATGACTTCGCCGTCGATTGTCGTTGCAGAGCCGTCAGCGAGGGTAATTGTCGATCCGCCCTCAGCTACGATGACCGAGTTGCCGCTCGGTGTTGCCGTGAAGGTCTTCCCATTGTCGGTCCACACGGCAGGAGCTCCAGAGCCTGAGCTGGCGACAGCATTTTGTGGCAACGCCAGAGTCTGGCTTCCAACAACAAGCCCCGATCCATCAGGCAACGCACTAACCCTTTGCCCAGCAATGGTCGTTGCGCTGCCATCAGCCAAAGTTATGCTGCTTCCACCCACAGCGACGACGACATTGCTACCTTGTGCGGATGCCGTGAACGACTGACCACTGGCAGCAAGAACAGCAGCAGGCGCAGGCGTCACCCCTGCTTGTCCTCCTCCAAACGCCTTAGTCGCGCCATCCACAACAATGGAGTTCGCTGAAGAGCCGACGCTGATTGTGTGGCCGCCAACCACGGTCTGTTGTCCAGCTTGTATCGTCGCTTGTGAGCCGCCCTGATTGACAACAACAGCAGAGCTGCCTTGAGGCGAGGCCGTGATAGAATCACCATTATTCCCAGCGACGATGACTGACCCGCCACTTTGATTCGAAGAGTCTGAATTCAAGCCGGCCCCATTATTTGGCGAAGAGTTAGGAAGAGGTACCGCTGTGTTGGCGTTGTTGGAAGCCGAGTCGACTGCACTCTCCAATACAGACAGCGCGTTTGCAGGAGCCGCTTGTTCGTTGTTCTGATCGTTCTGGCTGGGTGATCCTTGGTTTTGACTATTGGTGTTCTGGCTGTCGCTGGTTTGACCGCCTCCACTTTGACCATTGTTGTTGTCGTTGTTAGAGTTTTGATTGTTCGAGTTTTGGCTGTTGGAGTTTTGATTCGAGTTGGAGTTTGAATCCTGGTTGTTCGAGTTGGAGTTCGAGTTCTGGTTGTTCGAGTTGTGGTTGTTCGAGTTTTGGCTGTTCGAGTTCTGAACGTTCGAGTTCTGACCGTTCGAGTTCTGACCATTCGAGTTCGAGTTCGAATTCTGACTACCACTCCCTCCAGAGCGATTCTGATTCTGATTGCTCGGATCCTGATTCCCAATACCACCCGTCGAGGCAGGAGGCTGCTCACCGCCCTCAGTCGGCGAAGAGCCCGGACTCTGCTTGGGCGGATCAGAAGACGCAGGAGGTAGCTGATCCGACTGCCCGACAGGGGTACTCGTAGGATGGCTCTGGCCCTGCGTAGGCGTCCAACCCGGCGCAGGCGACGTCGTCGGCGAAGGACCACCACCAGGACGAGTCGGGAGAACCTCCGCCGTTGCAGCGGAAAGCGCCAGAGGAGGATCATACGCGCCATTCAAGGCTCCAATACAGCTCGCCCAGGCAGGCTCTGCACCACGGACTTCGTTTGGTAGTGCGATGAGGGGTTCATATTCGCCGTCCCTCGGACATGTGAAGTTGCGGTTTTTGTGGACGTTGCTGTCGTATATGAATCGTAGGGAAGCGCACCAGACTTGTGATTCCCATATTGATTGTGCGACTGGGGTCTGGTATAGGTCGGTGAAGTTGAAGGATGCGCTGGGCAGGGAGTAACCACCGGCGTTCCAGCCGTAGATGCTGGATAGTGTTGCTGAGTTCGTGATTGGGAGGATGGTGTTCTGAATCGTCGTGCCGATTGCGCTGCAGAAATCGGAGGCGTAGAGGCTGTCGAATGAAATGTAGAGTGTAGGGCTGGTGAACGTAGTCCCAAAGCCAGTCGCTGTCACAATCTGTCCTGGTGAAGGGGATGCTGTTGCTGGTGGCCAGTAGAGAAGCTGTACAGTACCTCCAGTAACACGGCATTGACCACAGCCAACAGTGCAGCTGGGAGCGAGTACCTGGCTTCCAGGCCACGGACTCGGTGTAGTCTGCCACATGCCACCTCCGCCGTTCGAAGGTGCAAAGTCATCTCTAAGGTTCTCGCAGACATCGCCCCCGATCGATGCTTGCGTACATAGCGGAGCTATAGAACTCTGGATAGAGTACCACGATTCATCTGCGGATCCCGCACTGCTCATCAAGGAATCACATGTTGCCGAAGGTCCGGGAGGTAGTGATGTGTTGTACCAGAAACAAGAAGACGGAACAGCGTCGTAATAAGTTGGTTCTACGTACTGATGAGAGGCCCAAAAGTCCCAGGAAGATTGGCAGCCGGAGACTGATGAAGGCAGCACACATGCAGGCGTCGTGGCATGTGGATTCTGTCCAACACTAGTTGGAACCAAGTCTGTGTATGTGGTAGGCCCAAAAACAGACCATGTATCGATCTCGGTGATTGGCTCTGTCACTGTATACGTGTCTCTGATGTATGTACCGGCGAAATCGGTCCCAATGAACGTTGTGTAAGACGTACTCGAAAGGGGGATTTCAATGTAGGAAGTGACAGTGTAGGTGTATGTTGTTTCCACGTCCGTCGACACGGTAGGTCTCACAAGGTCCCAATAGCTGTTCCATTCCGCCCAGCAGGTGTCGTTCGTGCTGTTGCGATGGTGCGTGGAGTTGTGGAGAGTTGGAAGTGGTCCAAGTGAACCTGTGCCTGTCGCGTGGATCGTGTATCCTGTGGAGTGCACAGTCGCGTTGGATGCAGCCAAGATCGCGCCTGAGTGGAACAGCCGTGTTGTCGACGAATTGACTGGAGGTATGCTAACGGTCGAAGTATTCGATGTGGTGGCAGAGGTCGTCAATGGCGAGCTGGACGAGGAGGAAATGCCCAATCCAGCAGCAATGAACGCGCCTAGTCCTCTCGTAGCGCTGGTACTCAAGTTCGCCGTAGCATGCGATGAATATCCAGCGGTCGAGGAAACAGTTTCGTTGTGCGCGATGCTGTCGGAACTACTCGAATTCGCCGTAGCGTGCAGCGAAGTCTCCGCGGTCGTCGATATAGACTCATTGTGCGCGATGTTACCAGTGCTACTCGGCTCTGATATATCATGTAAAAGCGAGTTCGAGGCGCTCGCTATGGTACTAGAGGGTGTGGTGGAATTGAAGCCTGTCGAAAGTGTCGCATCTGACGAAGACGAACGCGTTGTCGTCTCTTCAACGAGCGTGGAGGACGTAATCGAATTTGAAGTACTCGAGAGCGTCGAACTGTTCGTAGTATGGTTGGCATAAAGAGGAAACGACCGGACAACAGGATCTGTGCCAACAATCAGTCTCGTGTCCATTCGTTCTCGTTCAAGAAAACCACGATCGTACCAGCCTTCGATCCACCAAAGAACCACGCCGAAAGAGCGACAGCCAACACGTCGACCCGCATCCTCAAAGAAAAGCCAAGAGTAGTACCTACTGCGAATACCTCCCAGCCAAGAAAGACCCTCAGCCCAACAAGGCGGACAGCGTAATCTTCATATCTGCTTGGCCCCTATGTGCCTCGACTCTCGAGAGCCTCTCAGCCGCAGCAAAAACACTCCCCACCTGCCGCACCGCTCCAACGGTCACATAGCCCATCAGGAATCATCCGAGTCTAGAGTCCCCTTCGAGCATCGACCAGCAGGCTATTGTCTATTGGGAGGAGAGAGCTGCCTGTTCGGGCTGCTGCGTCTCTAGCGCGGCTGAGGCAAGATGGTATGGGCTCAACTCAAAGGCACGCCAATGTGTGATGGTCGGATTGAGTAATCAGTCTATAGTTAGACCTTGATGTTTAGTAGTAGGCCTCTTTGCGCGTGCCGGTAGATCGATGGGGCGGAAACATGTCATTTTCGTTCGTGGTGGGCTAGGAGACACGGCAGCCGTCCAGCCATGGCGTTTGGAGGTTTCAGCTATAATGAAGGCTTTCTCTGCTTCAGGCGGATTGGAGGGGCTTTGGTTGTACAGATGTGTACCTCATCAGCTCAAGGCTAAGGTTGGAACGGGTTGCGGCGTCCAGTATCAGTAATCGTCCATGAACCAAACTGAGTGAGTAAGGGCGGCACTAGTCGACTCATCAGCCACGGCATATTACCCATCAGGGCAGATAATCAAATCAAGGAGGGTTTTGGTTGACATTCGCATATACATGCCTTCTTACCTCGAGACATGCCAAGCCTCGACGTCTGTACAGAGAGACGTTATCTCCTATCCCCTATCCCCGTGGTTGATCAAAGGTCTGCGCCCTCGACGCGTCTGATTGTCTTCGTCGAGTAGCTCGTTGAAGATGCAGTTCTGAAGGCCATGTCGAGAGCCAAAGCGGCGGGACACCATGCAGTAGAACGACGCCGACGCCGCGGCTGACAGCGAAATCTTCTGCATTCTACAATCTCAGGGTAAGTACAACAAAACATCTACAGCAAAGCAGCAAAGACCAGAAATCGCTCAGACGGGGTATCATAGCGCTCCCACAATCTCAGAAACAACAAACTCCAGCAATGCATTACCTCTCCCATTCTACACCGTCTCGTCAGGCTCCTCGTCCTCGATATTCCGCTCCTCCCTCGCTTCTTCGTCGAGGCCGGATCTGTCGCCGATTCCGCCGCTGCGTGAGGCCTTGTCCGCAATCCAGACGCCGCCCAGGGGGGCGACGAGGCTTGGGTTGATGAACCTCAGGCCTTCGGCGTCAGGGTCTACTCTCCCTGCCCACCGTTCTCGATTCCTTCTCGATTGCGCAACGAGCGAATCGTTGTTGTCCGCCCATACATTCCTTTCTGGTGCGAGATTGGTGCTATTCAAACTCGCTGGGTAAGAGATCGGTTGATCAGGGTGTCCGTCTTGCTCGTTTTCCGGATGGTCAGCATACGCCTCTCCTCTCTTCACAGCACTCAACGCAATGAACTTCATCAGGGGTTTGTAAGTTTTGCCGTAGATGACGGATATCCAGATCGTGACGACGACCAGCGGAGTCATCAGGACACTGCGTGCCACGGCGCCTTGGAGGATGAGTTGGCCGGCAGTGGCCAGCTGGAAGAAGACCATGCCGACGAAAATCCGATCGCATATCATGCCCCACGCTCGTCCAGACGTCTGCTGACGGTGATCCATGGCATACAGCAGCTGGTACTTGTAGGTGAAGTGGCCAAGAGCGAAGTAGAGGAACCCAGCCAAAAGGACCTGCCACGACTCTCGTAGGACGGAGTATACCATGCAAATGATGAAGATAAGCAAGGCGTTTGGCAGGTAGAAACCATACGAGAAGATCGGCGGTTGTACCAACTCGGCGTAGTCCCTTGGAGTCTTTGCTCCAATGAGCATGATAGGGTACAAACTCACACTGCCCACTTCCAGGAGTCGAAATGGGAATAGACCGACGCCCTGTAGGATGATGAAGTTGACGTAGAAGGGCAACAACCTTTGCAACGACTTGGCCAGGGTGTAAGCGACGTTCTGTATATCGCGGATCGCATCACCGAGGTGCTGGAAGATGGAGTAGAACTTCGAGGCCGTACCCAGTACCGTGAAGAGGACGAAGAAGTTGAAGAACGTAAAGAAGAAGTTCTTCGAGATGGCGGATAGTTCGATGTCGCCGCGGGAGATCTGGCCTTGGCACCAGGAGAGCCAGTAGTAGAAGTAGGGAATGAGGACCAACATTAGCGATGTGGCAGCGGTGGGAAGCTGCGTGTCGATGAGAGACTTGATGTTTTTGTGGTCCGCCATAATCTCTGCGAGCCCTGGAAGCACTTTGCTGATCGTCTCCACGTTGAGGAGAACAGCAATGGGTGCGAAGATTGCACTCCAAAAGATCGTAAGCAATATTATGAGCACAGTGATGGACCAGGAGCGAAGCATTCGGCCTCTCCTGGACAGATAAGTGTTTCGCCAGATCACATCAACTGGTTCCGGGGACTGATTGGCGATAAGCTGTAATGGTGACGGATCCAAGACCGCCTGAATTGCCATCTGACATGCCGCTACTGAGTCCATGGTCACAAATGCAAGTGGAGTGGGCGCGTAGTCCTTCTTTCGCAGTTGCTTGACCTGTTCATCTGCTTGACGAAGCTTCTCCTCGTAGTAATCGATCGCATCAACCCTCCTCGAGCGGAGCTTCATGAAGCCGTATCGTAATGTGGCCTGTGGTCTAGCCTTTGAGTATGGTCGTACGTGGTCGCCATTAGCACCCACCAAAGCAGCCGTCTCATCTTCATCCACGACAGGCGTCCCGTACCCGTGAGGCTCCGGCGGCGATGGCTGTGAGATTGGCAAAGTCTCGTAATTGCGCTCCACTCGGCGGTATCCCAGGTGAATCGTATATGCCTCTTCTAGCCGCCGCAAGGTGTCCATTCGCCAGTTCATGGCATTGTCTAGCTCTTTCCAGTTCCTGCATAGCACCACGCTCTCCACTTTGCCAATGTCTAGACTCTCAATAAACTCCCTCACTTTCTCTTCGTCTTGCAGGTGATTTGGTATCCCTGAAAGCCTGATCGTCCGATCGGTCACTGTCGTCTGTGTTCCTAGAAACTCCTGTCGAACCTCGATGATCCTCCTTGTTTCTGAAATGATCAAATATATAGCAATCGCGGAGAATAGGTACGCGAAGACAATGTACATCCACAAGTAATCGGTCTCGAAGTCGCCAAGGAATGGAGGTCCTGTGTGATTCCCAGTCGAGTTTGAGCTGAACGCATCCATGCCTCTCTTCAGGCCTGCCCTGTAGAACATATCCACATCGTCGCCATGCTTCTTGTGATCCTTGCCGCCCTTGTCATCTCCCCCATCATCAGGAAAAGCGTCGTGGACCGGCTTGATTACGACGAGGGAGAAAAGCAGCGTGAGGAACAGGAAATTCATCGCCAGCTTGAAGAACGCTAGGAAGGCGTATGCATCGAGCCCAGCAGAGGCCAGTAATTGCTGATCCGTGATCTTCCATAGCGGGACTATCCAGCCAAAGAGTGTATTCGGCAGCTCTGGTAACGCCGTCGCCTCATCCTTCTGCTTCTTCCTCGCAGCGTATAAGCCTGTCCATCTCGGTCGTAGGACGCAAAAGGCCAGGAAAGCACCGATACCTAGTGCCAGAGAGATGAGGATTTGAATGGTGGTTGCGCGCGGATCGCTGGTGCCGGTCCATCTCGCGTAGTCGCCGTCATCGTCGTCGCCGCCATCTTTGTCCTTGAAGAACAAAGTGAAGAGGTCGGCCATCGCAAGGTGCGCGTAGGTGGTGAGGAAGAGGGACGCGATGCGACTGAGTCGAGACTTTGCTGTGTTACTAGGATGGCTGCGTCATTGTACCGTGGCTGAGGAGCGATATGGTCTTCCGTAGGCGATCCTTCAGATGAACCCTCTAGGTTTCGTGGCGGCTCTCCTTTTGTGGGTCCCTCAGCAAACAACGCGTCCTCGATTATGCTGGATATGGCCATGTCCTTCACTAATAATACTATATGGTGCGAAAGCGCTTCTTTCATTGTGAGTCTGGCATTAGACGATGCTTTCTCGCACTCGTGTATCCGCTCTTCTACTCGTGCTTCTTCTTTGTGTGACAGGACTCTACTTCTTGGAAGGAAACTCACGTATAGTACTTGATGGCTTCTCTCAAGCAGCTAACAAGACTGGACACTATATCAAAGGTGGAACCTCGATCTTCGGGCTCAGTACAGTCAAAGATGAACCTCCAAACTTCCCTCCATACGGAACGGTTGTAGCAGCAGCTCGGGGGGACGAAGACCTCTCGTGGATGAAGGATGCTGGTTTTCAGAAGAAGTGTGTTCATTCGGGCGTATTCCAGATTGTGGTGCATGGCTAATAACATTATTACAGTTGGGATGTCTTTCCTTACAACATTAACAATACTGTCAACCCGGATACTCGTCTCCAGATCCCAATGAACAAAGGCCACGAAGCCATGGTGTACCTCAGCTACATCATCAACAACTACGAGAATCTGCCCTGGTGCATCTTCTTCACTCACGGCCACTATGAGTCTTGGCACCAAGAAGAGCCAATTCCTCGTCTCATCAACACACTCAACCGCAAGGCACTGGCCAAGGAGGGCTACATATCCCTCCGCTGTGACTGGTACCCAACGTGTCCTGCTGAGATTCGTCCTTGGGATCACGATGCCACAGTCTGGGGTCCAGGTGTCAAGCGTAAGGAGACTGAAAATGCGATCGCTGGCAACTGGAGGCAGATCTTTCCCGGCGAGGGCATGCCTGATACGATTTCGAGTCAGTGCTGCGCTCAGTTCGCTGTGACGAGGCAAGCCATTCGGAGGAGGCCTTTGGATGATTACGAGAGGATGAGGGAGTGGCTAATCAGCAGTCTGTTGGATGATGAGGTCAGTGGGCGAGTCTTTGAGAAGTTGTGGGCATACATCTTCACCGGTAAAGCCGTCCAGTAGGTTTTTCATAAACCCATATGGAGAGAAAATGTGCTGATGTGATCGACAGCTGTCCACCACCACAGCAGTGTGCTTGCGAACACTTCGGTCGATGCGAGCCACAGAATTGGACCCAGCCTCCCGATGGATTGCCTGCCCTACCCAAATGGCCATGAGAAGAAGCTGGGGTGAAGTCATCGTCGTGATGCGAAGTCCAAGTCTTGGCTTCGCGCCATGGAGCCGAGTCATGAAGATGAAGATGGAAGGCGCGATGGCCGGCGCGTCCAACTCTCTCAACCTCACTTCTCGAAGCCTGCTATCTTTTTCAACATCTTCGCCTCAGCAGGACGAGCCATGGCATCGACTATGCTGTTGAAGCCGACACTCCATGTGGAGATCTTGCTCAAGAGCAAGATGAAGGCCAACCACAATGTCTGCGATGACATCTCGAACCTCATCAAAGAAGACTATTCCCAAGTGAAAGTCGGCCAACAGATCAATGATTTCGGTGCGTGAGCAATGTAACGCAACACCTCATCGTATCCTGACCTTGTGCAGAGAGCACCCCCAACGCCAAAACCATCCAATCTATCATTATTGCGGACTACACAGGCCCAGCGAAAAAGATCGAATGGCACAGACTGGATGAAGTCGAGCTTGATGTGCAGTCATACACGCTCAAAGTCGAAAAAGACATGCCGCACAGGAAGACTCGCAGAAGCATGAGCCACGAAGACGACGAAGATGAAGGTCCACAGACCAGGGTGCTGCCACTACCGCACGTCGTTCTCAAAGACGAGTGGGACTCACTCATCTTCGACGACGCACTCCCATCGCAACTGCTTCGCTACCTCACACGCATGCTGGGAGTGATGAAGCAGCCGGGTCTTAACCTCGCCACGTTCAACTGGAATCGCCTTTGCCTTCTTCACGGTCCACCTGGGAGCGGAAAAAGCACGCTATGTCGCGCTCTAGCCCAGAAACTCAGCATTCGACTGAGTAAGACCTTCACCCAAGCGACGCTTGTCGAAGCCAACACAAATTCCATGCTGAGCAAGTACTTCGGAGAGAGCGGCAAGTTGATCGGGGCGCTGTTCGACAAGGTACAGTCACATGCCCAGTCACCTTCTACTCTCGTGTGCGTGGTGATGGATGAGGTGGAGACGATAGCTGGCTCTCGCGAGAAAGTCACGTCTGGCGTCGAATGCAGTGATGGGCTTCGAGCAACAAATCAGCTTCTGACTGCTCTCGATCGAATGCGATCTCTGCCAAATGTCATCATCCTCTGCACCAGCAACCTGATTCACGCCATCGACCCAGCCTTTCTCGACCGCGTGGACATCAAGACGTGCGTTCCAACCCCATCGCCGGCTGCGATCTATAACATCTTTCGATCCTGCTTGAACGAGCTTGTCAGAGCCAGTCTCATCGACCTGACAGCCAGCTCAGTGTCTTCTAGCTCTGCCGTAGGAGCGAGCCGCTCTTCACCATCTCCAAACGGCTCGAAGCGCAGAGCGGTGTCAGTGGCTCCATCGTCAAATTCTAACACGACCCTTGATGACCAGCAAGTCGAGCCCACGTCGCCTCTATCCGAACCTTCGCCGTCATCCGCTCACAGCTGGACTGACCTGACTGTTCCAACCATACCGACTTATGTGGTGACACAGATGACCTTAAGCAAGCAGCCAGATTCGCCCGGCTGGCGTGTCTGGGAATTGGCAAAGAAGTGTGAAGGCTTCAGCGGCAGGACCTTAAGGCGCTTGCCCATCCTCGGTCTGGCAATGTATACATGGGGTGGAAATTGCTCGCTACAAGACGCAGTTTCGGCGTTGGAAGCAGCTGTGAATGAAGAACTGAAGGTGAAGTAGAGTGCCAGTGAGCCGGCATGAGCTGGAAACCTTCAAGACTACCAAGCAGCTCATAGATAGCTCCGCAGTCATTGGAATGTTTCGATCGTCACATGCATATCCATACTCATCTCTGTTGATCTTTTGTGCCCCTTGCATCGGCGCTGGCGTCATCCTCGAACCCCGCCATCTGATCGGCGCCAGAAGGATGGAGCTTGCATTGAGAGCAGAACTCGGCTCCAGTCAACAGCTTTCAAATCTGGACAACACTCACACGATTACCCATTTCACACGAGCAGCTCTACATCCCAACTGCAACCACACTCCACCAAATCAACCAAACAACCCACCATCATGTCCCTCAAAGGCCCCGGCGAAGCCAAGACCTACGACGGTATCCCCTCCCTCCACTCCCCCCAAACCATCTCACCAACCAAACTAACCCATCATGCTTCTAGGCTCCCCCCTCCGCATCGGCATCCTCCACGCGCGCTGGAACGAAAAAATCATCTCCGCCCTCCTCACGGGCGTGAAGAAATCCCTCAAATCCGCCGGCGTCCCGGACACCTCCATCACGATCCAATCCGTGCCGGGGTCCTACGAACTCCCCTACGCGACGCAGCAGATGATCCAAGCCGCGCAGGCGCAGTCCACCGGCGCCTCAGGCCTGATAGCGTCCGCGACGGATTTGCTGAGCTCGAGTACGACGGATTTGACGAGTTTGCCCAAAGCAGGAGGAGGATCAGAGAATAAGAAACCGTTTGATGTCGTGATTGCGATCGGGGCGTTGATCAAGGGCTCCACGATGCATTTCGAGTATATTTCGGATGCGGTGAGTCATGGGCTCATGCGGGTGCAGTTGGATACGGGGGTGCCGGTGGTGTTTGGGCTGTTGACGCTTCTGACGGAGGAGCAGGGGCTCGAGAGGGCGGGGATTGATGAGGCGGGGAAGGGGCATAATCATGGGGAGGATTGGGGGGCGGCGGCGG